AAGATTAAGTTTCGGCGGTGAAAGATTAAGCGTCGCCCTTATAATTGACATAAATGGTCCCCTTCTTTCCCACCAGACCATAAGGCCGTAATGTTATTACACGGTATTAGTAGATTATGCCGTTTATTTAGTGTCGCAAAGCGATCTTATTGGCAATTTAGGTTGTTTGCGAAAAGGCTCTATTCCGTTTTTATCTCGTTATACGCAAACGACGATATTCTGCCGGCGTTATTATGTATCGCAAATCCTATTTGCCCAATGTAAATATTTGAAAAATCTTCGTTTCCATACCGCTCTTACACACCTGCAAATACACGACGTTATGTTGATTTACAGCGTTATTTTGAGCCGCGTTTTGTCACGCTCAATTGAGCAATTACACAAATATACCGCGATTTTTCTAAGCAAACTGACCGCATCGTCTCCACCGATCCGCGAAACATTAACATTACATCGGACACCGGTCGGAAGACCGGCGGGCGCCGGTCACGGTTATAGAAATGACAAAGTGCGACAGTTCGCTTCCCGTCGACGGATATTTCAATGAGTTCCTCATAACTTCCGGTTCGATGGAAAGACGAGTGCCGGGCCTTTGTGGGGGCCAGCGTGTGCCGAGTCAATTGGGCGTACGGCCGCCTTTCGGCCCTTAAGACCGCGGATCCAGCGAGATTGGCTTTGTTAGAGGGATTTTTCCGGCCGCAGGGTCGGCTTCGCTTTTTCACGATCGTCCGGTTGCTATGTAACGAGCGAATTTCGAAATATTTCGTTAGAATTGCAATCGAACGGAAATCGTTCGCAAATTTGCAGTTTGTATAATCCGGCGAGATTGGTAGGATGACTGCTTAATTGGAAATTTAAGTGAGTAGCGAATTGAAGCTGAAGCCAATACTGCGGTGCTCGGCGATGGAGAAAATTGGAAATGCTGCATTTTCTTGGGGATAATTCGTTAAGCAAACCATGTAAATTTAATGACCGAACCGAGTTTTTCCTATCGATAACGACGCTCGTCGAATATTCAATGAGATTGTTTAAATTGAATATAGCGAATCAATCTCGCGTAGTAATTCAGTTTCGTTTTTGTAAGTCGTGAAATATCAGAAATATACAGCAGAAAATATTAAAATACTTCAATTGCAGGTATACTTGTATATTCCAAAGTGCTTTAAATAAGTTTATCGCTAGATAATTCTTATTCTAGGATGATGCATCATTAATTATCAGAAAAAGTATCGTTTTTCTTTTGTGAAGAAAATCAATAGTGCTTAAATAAACACTGGGTGTTTGTCTATAGTTAGGCCGTTGGTATTGCCGAGTCATTCTATAAAGTGCGTGTTTTTTTTGTCCGCACAATTTCAATGCTATTCGCGATGAAACAATAACAGTTTAGCGTCCCCGTAAGGCATTGTCATTTTTGGGGCGCTCTTTCTTATATTCCATCTAAAGGGCGGCGGGGGGATTGGGCGGGTTGGGCTCCGGGCGAAATTGAGGACTTGGATATATACCGGTTTCTCTCCCTTGAACTCCCAAGGGAGCTTCCCCGGCACTCGATCATCTCGGATAACGGCGCTCGTGTTTTGCTTTTTGTTTGTCGACTCGAGACTCTCGCGAATTTCGCCGTACGCTAATTGCTCGCAGGTAGAAATGGAACGCGTTTCTTTTTGCGACAAAGTTTTCTTATACACTTTGCCTTTTAAGTGTATTCAGCATCTACGCAACTTATTATTACACTTGAATTTAACATCAAACAACTTCCTCGACACTCATCAATAAGCACATCCGCAGGCGATGTAAACTTCCATTAAGTGGCAAACTCTCTTTGATGCCGCCAAACTTTCCGTACTTTTGAGCTTTAAGACGAACAGCTTTAAAACTCCCAAAACAAACGTACACGATATTGATCCTTATCTCACCTCAGCTTTATCCGAAACGTCGCGAAGCCAATTCGAGCCGCTCCCTTTTATCCTCTCGCAAATCCTTCTTTGTTAGCGGCTCGATTTTTTTTCGAATCTCGTTTAATCAGCGAGAACAGAAAATTGAGATATCGTTCGAAAAATCTCCAGTTTGCAAATATCGATGTGAACATACTGGAGTAGTGAATGTACACGTAAAAGTTTTCCTTCGACGGCAATTTCTCAAGGGTGCGATTCGATATAAGAAAAAGTTATAAGCCCGGTATCGTAGGGGAGAAACAGCAATTGAACGAGCCAGTAATAGTCGGAACGCATTACTTTTCTCGGAACGGCCCCGTTTGGACTTTTCCGGAGGATTTTCACGATCGTCTGTCTCTGGCGAATGAGGATATATCGTTTCGGTGATCGGACAAGCACCAACTACAAGGAGGATCTATTTTATCCCTTTTCTATCCAAATGTATTACCTTTTTCCTATCCATGTTAAGAATAAAAAAATACTGCTTAAATCTTGTTTAAATAAATACTATAGTTGTATAAGAGGTGTTTGCTGTGAAGTTATAAAAGCATTGAAATTGCTTAATGCGGGAGTTCGGAATACGAGGGGGCTACCCTGTTTAATGCGGATGAATTTTACACCTGCTTTTAAGGGATGTGTGGATACAAAGAAAGGAAGGGGATGCTAAGATGAATGTTTATTGCCACCTACCAAAATAAAGGCGAGAAAAGTTCTTGCTACAATATCAAACATAAACGAAAAGTTTCAATTATTTATCTCTTTTTTATCTCTTAGCATGACATAGTTGAGTAAGTAATAATAATTCTCTATTATAATAATAATAATAATATATATAATAATAATAATATAATATCTCTAATAATAATAATTCTCTATAATTACACTTTTCTTAGGTATTTGGTATATCCCTTAGTTTCCATTTCAAATGTTGTAACACTAAATTTCTGAATAATGCAAATGTTTCTTACCCAACATGGAAACGTAATAGAGCTGAAACAATAATGAATTCAAGTTTGGGGCGCCTTATCAGGCGCTAATTCCTCGTCGCAGTGACAAAGGATTACACGGCGGTTGTCCTTAATCCTGCTGGTAGTTGGGGAAGATGCGTCTAGGATTGCACGATGACTATTCCGGATATCTCGACGACATTTTATGATTTATAGCGTTGTTATATTACTTTCTTAATTTTAAACTATATCTTTATTAGAAGCGAACATAATTTAATGAAAATTTACAATTACACAATTTAGTTAGAATCGAATTATTCGAGCAAATAATACATAAAAAACCCTCCCTAATGCAATGTTCGGAATGGCATAATCATATTAAGGTCCTCTCCTGTAGCAAATTAACTAGAAACGCGTGTAATTTTTTAACGAAAAACCTAGGGAGAATAATTCCAGCCGAGGGAAAAATTCGCAATTTTCCATCGCCGATGAAAGGAAAATCCTTTTCCTCCGAACACCGGTCTATACCTAATCTGCCCTTTTACAGAGCGCGGACGACCGAGAGAAACACCATTAATTAACTGAATGGATAATGAAAGGAGAATTTAGTTAATTAAGATATATGGAAGGGAAATATGACGACACCCGCCGGAAAATGAATGTTATTTATAATTCGAATTAACCTGCAGTTCATTCACTTTAAACCGTCGGATTAATTGGACGTTGTATAAACCGCGCACGATAAATTACCAAATTGCAACTTATTTGTTCCATATAGGTATATTCATTTAAAAATAATAGAAACAAATATTATTAGAAATAGTCTACTATCTCTATTATTATTTAACAATTTTTGGTGTTGTGCTCAATTCCTCCTAATAGAGTAATTTTAGTTTTTATTGCAAAGACGTCAGCAATTCGTCCCCCAATTCTTCCAGTCCCCATTCTTCCTCCAAGAACGGTCACCGCGGTTCATTTTCCAGTTTCCGTGATGTATCTGGCTAATCTGCTGGTTCACCCCAGCGCGCCTCGCCGCCCTTTCTCGTCGGGCTTGATTGCTTTGTCAGGTTGTTTTATTGTCACGAGTTCATCACCGCATTCTGTAGCCGTTTGTTTCTTTATTGACCCCGCGCTTTGTTTCTCACGTACGGACATGTTCAGGAAGCCGGCGGGTAAACATTGAGGGTTTTTTCGATTTGAATTGCAAGCCAAACGACATAAAATCACCGCATCCGGACTGAATCGTTGCGTAGCAGATGAGATAAGTCTAAACGAAAACGAGAAACCTCGAATAGAGTCGTCGAGGAACGCGCCGAGACGTCCTCGACGCCTGTATTTGCCTGCGTCTCACGTACGCCAACAACGGTAAATCCCTTGGGATCTCGATGGCTAAAAAGTTCCCAACCGTTAGCGTCGCGGCGCTCACAAAAGGAAACAGAACGATCGACGTAACGCGACTTGAGGAAACCTCCAGTAGGGTGGATTTGGGACTTTGGGACTTTGGATTTTTTTTACTCTAACAAAACTTTTTAACGATCAAATCGAGTAAACTAGTGCAATAGATATTAAATATAGCATTATCCTCTATGTTTATTCAATTTTTCAAGCCAACATCCACCTGGATATCGCATATTCCTGTACACGCGTGGAAAATTCAATTTATCCGGCGATACTGGAACTTCAAAGGTCGCATGCACGTTAAAGCAGGCTCGCATTTCGCGCGGGTCTATCCACACTAGGTTTAACCTTTGTAGCGAAATGGCAAAGGGGCAATTTTCGTTTCGCATTGTAACTTGAATTCAAGAGCAATTACGGCGCGCACGGGCGCCCGGTATAAAAACCGTCGAGTGTATTTTTCGAGCCTTTGTTTCGAGTCTGAATGGAAGCGGGGTCGGTGGAGGCTTCGTCATTATTTCGAGTAGGAAATTTTATTTATTTTTGCGTCGTCACACATGTCACGTGTGTAACGTAAAGGGGCAGTAATTTCAGTTTTGTCACAGAGCTTTCATCTGTGGAACTTTATTGAGATTAATAATAAAGTTGTTAGAAACGATGGAACAATAAAGTATCTATAACTTGTATAATCTGTATATTTTTGCTTATTTTTGTTTTGATTTTCTTTCAGGATGGCGAGAATCTATATTATCTTTGCCCAAGAAATTACTTGCCGGTGCGAGCCGGGTGCACACAGACTTCGGGGCAGCTGACAAAGAGGTATGTTTCAATTGTACTTTCAATTTCTCTAAATAGTCTGTAATAAAGCAAATATTCCTTGGTCTATTTCAACAGAAATTCAATCAAGGAATCTATTGTACAAAAATGTACGATTAATTACTACAGGGACACAACGGGAGTGGCGTTACGTATTTCGAATCCAATCGACAAAGGTAGATTGGACGAAGACGAAACGTATTATAAATCTACCTGCTGCGACGAAAATTGCATCGGGACGACGACAAAAAGCGTTTCAATGCGATTTTCCGGGGGTTAGTTAAACGACCGTGTCAAGTGCAGCCGCTTGTTTAAAAGGGAAAAGGTGAATCATAATTGCTGTTACGACAGTAGACAACTAACGATTCTTTGAAATACCGTTTCGAGCTATTAAACTAAACATACAGGGTGCTCAAATAAATACCTACTTAAGCAAATATTCAAATTTCCATAATATGTTTCGAAAACAATGAAGTTTATGAACAAAATTTATAGCAGTAGGTAATACAATACGGGGGCGCTTTGAAGGTTTCCGACTTCATGAAATATGAAATAGGGCAATCGACGTGTACACGTATATTAATTAATCCGGAATGCAAATTCGCCCGGACGCTATTATAATGCTACACCAGAGGGCATAAAAAGGGGAGAACGACCCTCTGTGAACTCACTGGTGGTCTAATACACCCCGAACAATGGGGCTCCGCAGCCCCAAGACGCCGGGGTTTGTTACGCAGATAATGATAGAACAAACCTCGGGTTCGCAGATAAACATCGGCATGTAGGCGTGAATATACAGGGTAGATTTTTTCAAATAAATTCACCAAATATATCAGTAGTATATTTATAAAGTGGTGATGATGAAACATCTGAAGAAACTCTTAAAAATTAAAGAATTGAGGAAATTGGAATTGATACAAATAAAAGAAGATATTTGTCATAACTAATTATTGAATGAGCCAAGTATTTCGGGCATTATTTCGACGATTCCGGGAGAGGTAATTAGATTCCGTTTTGCCTGGGGACGGCTCCCCGTACTTATAATTGGCGAAACAAGTAAAGCAAACGAAAAAAAACTGAGTTGCAGCGGTGCCCGGATTCAGGGAAGACGAATTTGGGTTCACGGTTCGTTACAGTGACGAATACGCGAACTCCCACTAGTCACCAGTCCTCCAACACCTTGACTTCGCCCGAGCAGGGGCGACGGAATCGATTTTCGCGGATTAATTCTTTTGTGAGAGCCAAATAACACTCGAAATACAATGGGCCCTCGAAAGTACCTACGATGATTTATGCGATGCTTTCGACTGTCGAGTTTTTTATTGTATCGATTAACAAGAAATAATATTAGTTCCGGTAATAGATTCTCGATATGTTAGGTGCATAATGACCGAAGGCACTTCAATCGATGGTTTGATGCGTATCAGAGTTGATAAATAGTTGATTGATAAAGCCAGCCGGTTCTGTTGGTGTTGTAAGCGTCGCGACGCGGCGCGACGGAGCCGAAGAGGTCACGGTGCGCCAGGTAGACGAGAGTGGCCGCCCCGATCAATACGCGCCGCTCCCCTTTCCTGCCGAAACGTAAATACGCTCCGGTTCAATTCCATGAAACGTTCAAAGTACTAAGTTAAAATGATGTAAAAGATTTAATGCGTTATAAAGGGAAATTATTTTTACCAATGTAAGATGTGCGAATTCATTCTGGTTATAAATGTGGATTATTAAACATCTACCTCAAATTTCCCTCACAAATATAAAACACTAATTAGATTAGTATAAATTTTCGTTATTTTAGGAGCCTTCTAAACTCTCACCTCAATTTTCTTAAGGTAACTACGAGTTACACTTCGCTTATTATACCTCCTCTCAAAGAACAATCTCTTGACATATTACCCTCAAAGGATCAAACGGGTTGCTCACTTTGAAATACTAGAAGCCACTATCACCCCATAATCACCGTATCACCCTGTACGTTACACGACCAAATCGAAACCGAATCTTCGATGTGAATTTGATTAATTTCGACCAGATATCTTTCTGAATATTTTCTTGCGGATAGTACATTACGTAAAAGCTTGTCACCCCTAAATTCCGTAAGTATAAGCTTTCCATGGGGAGGCGACCCCATGAGAAATAATCATCTGCAGCAGGTGTTTGCGGTATCGTTTACAACACATATATCTTTTCACGAGTTTTTACAGTACATTCGTTCGATGTGATATTCGATACCTACACAAATACAAGTTGTTCGGGGGTTAAATCCAAAGCAAATATTTCTCACTTGAGAAAAACCTATTTTTATCCCATGGAGATACATAAACAAGTGTAGTTACTATTGATGAGAATAACATTGTCAATTTTGTGAATTTTCAACGAAAAGTGGTAGGTGATATTCCCTGCGTTTCCGAGCACAGTTTGCGCGCGCCCTTTTTCTTTGTTTATCCACCGTTTATTTATTTAATGATGTACGACCCCCCGAAACAGCCCTTCGAATTCTCGCTCTGCTGCAGCCGCTCCCCTTATGTCGGGCGAATGTTTTTCTATACCTGCAGGAAGTTGAGTAAATGGAATATAATTCATTATTAATACTAAGCAGACCCTTCGACGCTGTCGTCAATTAAATATTAACAATTTTCCACCCCAAAAGCTTTACGAAGCTTGCAGGATACTCCAGGAAATGAACTTGCACTATACTTATAACATTGAATGGATGAAGGTATTATAATTTCAGAAATTTGCAGAAATAAATTGTAACATTTTAAAAGGTTTGTTTTTCATTTAATCCAATAACAATATAAGAAATGTTTTTTCTTAATTAATTAACGAAGAAAACGGGATTAAACAATTTGTTTTACACTCGAAATCGTAATATTGTATAAAGTCTATTTTTCATATTTTTTTAATAAAGATGTTTATTTATTTCGTTAATTAACGAAGAAGAGGGGAATAAATATGATTTTCACTGGAGTTGTTTGCTCTCGAATCGGTAGTTGTTACGCCAGAGGCAAAAATAAGGGAAAAATAAATATTTGTGGAAAAACGGAGACGAAAACCGAACAAAGTGTTTATCTAGTTCTCGAGGTGATTAAAATCTATCGGAAAAATATGTTTACTTTAAATTAAAATGAAATTCATGGATGATGTAAACACACAACGATCTAACACGATTTTAAACGCGGTTTTCAATGTGTATTTTCAACTTAAAATCAACATCGATTTTCTAAAAAACAATAATAAAAAAACAGCTGGAGAATGAGTAAGACAACTAAAGTGGCTTAGGACACAGAAAAGCTATCTACATGTCTAATGTCCCAGGAGACGTCACGGTTAGGCGGGAGCTTTCCGATTCTATTCCAGCCCGACTTCTCTTTTTATATCCAAAAGCCCTAGGACACCAACCAGAACTGGATCTCCTAATTCCGCAAACAGAGGCGTACTCACAGGGATTGAATATTAAATTCAAACCACAATACTATACGCATTCTCTAATAATTATCAATCTCAATTTTAACGAAAAAAAATTCTTATTTTATTTTTGCTTTGGAGCTGATCAAACATGCTAACCGCGTACCACAAAGTAAACTGATGCCTGTTTTCGTGTACGCTGTAAAACAAATCAGCAAAATTATTCATGGGTTTTTATAAGGGGAAAAAGTCGCTCGGAAGATATCCCGTTTCCATTCCAATCTCGTCTCACAGGAGGAAAGTAATGATGAAGCCGTACGAGGTGAGATCAGGATTTAATGTGGTTTGTATGTATGAAATAATACGTGGTGAAATAATATTTTTTATATGCCGTGGTGTTCAAGCGATTTTCAAAAAATGGTTTTATAAAGAAGATTGAATATGAAGAAAGAAGAAGTAAGAGGTTTGAGAAGAAAGGAGAAGAATTCATACGGAGAATGAATTTGGATTTCACCGTACGAATTCTTCCCCCATCTTTTAAAACATTTTCTAATGAAAACTGCAAAAAGAAGAAAATTATATGACTCAGTAATTCGTGGTTGTTGGAGATATGAAATGGTGATGTTGGAGAAGAAAGGGGGAGAATTCGTGCGGTGATTGACTTTGAAATGTCACCGTACGAATTCTTCCCCTATTTTTTCCTACGAACTCAACACAACAAGAAGAAACAACAGAGAAATAGAGCATTAAAAAATCATGTCCATTTATCTACTATATATCGTTCCTCCAGAATATCCCCAAGAAACTAGCAAACCGCACACTCTCAGCAGTAGAAACAGGACCTAAACTACTAAATCCCCGACAAATATAACGCGGTTAGTCTCAAGAAAGTAGGATATGCGGTATCGATCCGTAGTGTAATTTCACAAGAACGAAAATCGTAAGTAGTAACACGCGACTCCTTCATTTAACTCTTCCGCCCATTTTTGTAGTGCCTGCACGTGGTGGTTATCGACAAAAAACGATATAAAAAGGGGAAAACGCACGGAGACCGTCGCGTGACTTCTTTCACAGACACGCACGACCCCTACGAAATCGTAAAGAGAGCGCTCGAATCTAAATAGGAAAATCAAACTCATATTTTCGGATGATTAACACTTTTAGAGATTTTATTTAAGCAAAAAAGTTGCCAAAACACTTTTGTCATGAAACCGCCCGGCACTATTTATCCCGTTTTCAACGGCCCTCTCCGCCTCAATCGACGATTTAGCATTTAAGATATGGCCGAAATGAAACTTTAAAGCCGCATTTCCATAAAAGTAGCGAAATCACGTGGGCGCGAGTAATACTCGTGCGAATGGCATAACGGCCGTCGTGCCTCCCTCGCCGATATTACTGTAATCCAGTTTTCGAATCATCCATATATTCATGGAGAATGGGGTCGAAGTAACAGCGGCGTGGACCGCGTTTGGCGTAGTAATCAAAGCCATTTGAAAGCATCTGGAAAACCGGAATATACGCCTAAACCATAGATATATTTTTGTTCTCCTTCTGGATATTATTAAATTAGTTTCATTAAAATGGAGTGGTCTGGTGTTGCTGAGTACAAACGATGTTACAACTGATGTAAATATCTGGAAAGAACTGAAAATGTGTCTGTAGAAAGAAGCGTAACAACAGTACAGTAATGTACACCAATTCAACTTTTAAATATAGCGATATTTACTTTTTATTGGCAAATATAAACATTAGAGAGTTTTCCCTCGACGTCCCTGATCTAACAGAATGTGTAACGTAACGAACAAGGGTTGTCGGGGGGGCGATACACCAATTAACATCTCGTGAATCATTCGAACTACACCGCACCCAATTAGTCGGTTTACTTTTCCGCCGACGATTCGGGAGAATGGTGAATTTCGGGAGAATGCGTTTTTGTTCCAAACTTTCGAGGTGCTTGTAATATTGTTAGGAAGCTGCGAATAAAGAGTTCCAAACAATGTGAATGCGGAAAGGAAAAGTAAAATTCAGTTTCTGTTTTAGGAACAATTACCCAAACTGCCGCTTCCGACGCTGGAGGTCACCATGAAGAAGTACGAGAGAACGCTGAAGCCTATTTTGACGGAGCCGGAACACGAGCGGGTTAGTAAAATAATTGCGGAATTCGGTAAACCTGGCGGGCATGGATCGAAGCTACAGCTGTATTTAGAAAGCAGACGAGAAGAACTGGATAATTGGGTAAGTAGCAAAGTCAAGATGTAATTAATGCACCTACTACGTTTTTTAATTAAATACATCTACACGAAAAACGTTTTTACACTACACTAACCCAAATTATTTATATTGTGTTGAATCACATCTTACTCAAGATTAGATAAAATCTTTGACCTTACCCTAAACTAATCCTTTGATAGTTAAAACTTGACTGATTATCTCTGAGCAATCATAAGTAAAACTTATTCACGTTGAATAACCCTAGACTAGATAATCCTAGATCTTCTAAATATATGAACACACATACAAACAGCACAGACTAAATTTTCACGTTCATTCCTGCAGAAGTTAATTAGCTACTTGTTAAGTAAATCCCGAATAAAAATCTTATTCTTCGATAAAATGTATACGTATAGCTAATTGCAACAACATCGATAAAGCGTTGAGTATACAGTTAGAAGACATCCAATTAGGGAAATGCGTTTTCATGTGAGCGAACGGAGAGTGGGAGCACCGAAGCGGTATCCCCGGGAATTCCCCGGCCGTGCTGATCTTGTTAGTCGAGGAAATTGTTTGATCACCGATTCGGAAAGTAAACGCAGTATTTTCCACCCTCCTCTCGATAATGAGGGTCGACGGTGTATCGAAAGGTCGGTGCACCTTTGCAGTTTCTTAGTCGAACGAATTATACGGTTGCAAGTCGTAAATATGGATGTCTTCTTCTGAGATCTGAGGTCTGTAAAAATTCTCTATCATTCCCTTTCCTGGATCGGTTCAATATTACTCAGCAACCTTGAGGATGTTTCAAAAATATAGGTGATAATCCAAATAGTAATTACAATTTCATCACACATCGCTAGATTCAAATTAAGTTGGATTTCAATTAAAGCGAAAATTGAAAAATACACATTCGCGGCAATTTTCCACGCGAGGTCTTGACGGAAAATTAATTTCGTTGACCCAAAAAAATCGGTAACGCTTTGGCAAACGAAGGGCTAATCCGCAAAATTGTTGAAGTTAAAGCGGCGAAGGGGAACTTTCGACGCGGATTTCGTTGCATTAGCCCCCTGGAGTGGATCCAATTATAATTTCTAATCCCCCATGGGACACGATGATGCGTTTCATAAACTATTCTCCTACATTCGAGTCTATCAAAAGACCGAACTCTAGACACGCTTGACACAGATTAGAAACTCTGATATGACAGTGTAGTTAATACAACAAATAATTAGCACAATAAAAAATGGCATATTCCGGTATACTCGGTTTATATCGATCACATAACATTTAAATATACTTGGATGGGTAAGAGGAGGCGAGGGCGCCAATCGCCGGGTAAACGGCATGCACGCACGCGTCTCATCACACCCCCATCACCCAATCCCGGCCGGTTGGCGGCCCGCGGCCAAATAAGACAATGAGGGAAATAATCGAATTCTTCCACGCCGATAACCACCGCCACGCCGGTTCGACTGTTTGATGTTTTTTTGCGCAATTCGCTCCAGGCGAGTGTTTACTAACCCAAATGAAACGAGGCCTTTTTTATCGTCATCTTCTACAGCTGTCTATATATCATCTTATTTGTCATCCTCCACAACTCTCCAAAATGATCTTTTACAGGCACACGAGTACTGGTTGAACGACCTATATCTTGACTTTCGCGAACCCATTCCAATAAACTCCAACCCGGGCATGGTATTTCCGCCGAGAAAGTTCACCACCATCTTGGACATAGCTAGGTTCGTTGCTAGGCTAGTTGACGCCGCTTTGGATTACAAAGATGTACTGAATCGGAGAGCATTGCCAGTGGAAAGGGCGACGTCTAGAGAACCCGGACAACCGTTGTGTATGGATCAATTTTATCGAGTACTCGGAGCGTCCAGACTGCCCGGAAAAAAGAGGGACTCGCAGTACGTGAGTCCGGTGCCTAAAGCCGATGAGCAAGTTTCCGAACACATCATTGTTATATGCAGGAGCCAATTATATTGTGTAGCAGTGCAAGCAGGTTTTATTACTCCTATAGTTCTTCTGAAATGATTTTTCTACATTTTTTTATCAATTCCTAGGTGATAGAGGACGACTTAACGAAGATGAAATCTGCTCACAACTACTTTATATACTCGACGACGCTCCGTGCTTATCAAACTCTCCTCCAATAGGTTTACTAACAGGCTGGAAGAGAACATTGTGGGCTGAAGCAAGAGAAGATTTAATGAAGGAAGAAATGAACAGGAGAAACTTGGACCTAATTACAAAATCGCTGCTAGTCGTATGTTTGGATGAAAGCTTACCAAACACCTTCAATTGTCGATTTCAAAGAGGTAACAACGCTTGCATCAAACCAATAAATATATTCTCACAAATAACTATTTAGGCGGAAAAGGGCATTTCACCTCCAACAGAGATGAGACCAACATAGCGCATCAAATGCTGCACGGAGGCGGCAGCACGAACAACTCTGCCAACCGCTGGTTCGACAAAACCGTTCAATTGGTGATTTCTGGAGATGGAGCTTGTGGACTTTGCTACGAGCATTCCAACGCAGATGGCATCGCAGTGGTGCAAATAATGGAAAAAATGTGGAAACACGCCGACTCCTTTACGACCTCCTCGGAACTCCCAACAGCAAACACCAGTCACCTACCGCCTCCGGAACGATTGGAGTGGATGCTCGAAGCTACCGACCACAAGAGAATCGAAGAAGCGGGGATTTATTTGGATAATTTGATCAAAGATTTGGACTTCCAGGTGTACAGGTACTCCGGCTACGGCAAGGAATTTATGAAATCCTGCAAAGTTAGTCCGGACGTCTATATTCAATTAGCTTTGCAATTGGCTTACTACAGGTTATACGGTAAATTAACAGCGACTTACGAAAGCGCTTCAATTAGGAGGTATCGTTCTGGACGAGTAGATTGCATCAGAGCGGCTAGCCCCGAGGCGCTGGAGTGGGTCAAGGCTATGTCACAGCCTAAGGATGATGACGAATCAGGAAACAAAAAAGTACGTAAATGTCTACCCGCTACTAAAACAGCTATAGTAAATTTGTTTTACAGGTGACATTCCATTTAGTATCCGACGAAAAGAAAATTGAACTATGGAATACTGCAGTAGCTGTTCAAACGCAAGAAATGATAGACAACATATTAGGTAGAGGCATCGATTTGCACATTCTAGGTCTGCGAGAAGCGTCGAAAGAAACATCACCAGTAGCTTCGTCACCACTGCCAAAAATCTTCACGGATCCATCCTACCGAGTGGCCAACAAGTTTCTTTTGTCCACCAGCCAGGTTGCCACCAGTTCGGATAGCTTCATGGGCTACGGGCCCGTCGAATCTGACGGGTACGGAGCCAGCTACAACCCCAAAAGCGATCAAATTATATTTTGCTTATCTGCATTTTGGTCGTCGGAGATCACTAGTACGTCTAAGTTTGCACAATCTCTAGAAGAAAGCTTGAATGCCATGCAATGCTTGCTTACCAGGCCTACGTGAAGCCTGAGTTAAAGGAATTTGATTTGTAAAAAGAGAAGATTTACCTATATAAATCATATTGAGGTAAATGTTGATTTCGTATAAGTACTGATTTTTATTCTGGAGCTCTTCGAGTGCGACTGGTGGGAGATGAGCCAATAGTTTTGGCCAATTAACCGATGAAAAAAAAATTAAATATTAAAGGTGTTATTATTTTTGGATTAAAATTGTGTAAATTGATTTCTATCATCAACGTTTAAATCAAAGACAATTTCATATTTGGGTGGTTAATTTTAAATTTACTATCGCAATGTTTGTAGTTTTTTGTTCACGTAAATACTTATCATATATTTTAGATCTTCTAGTTAGAATTTATATTGAATTAAAAATTAAATCGCCCAATAAGAAATTCCGATGGCCAGAAGCAGATCAGCTAATTAGGAACAGTGGATGTTTTCAACTAAATTATTAAAACCTTAAAATTTTAACGAGCGTCTATGCATGATTTAATTAATAAATGTAATTGTTAATTTGTTATATATTTTATGCATTGTTAAATAATGGAACTGTTAAAATTCATTTGTTTATCAAATACTAAACAAACATATTGTTACCTGTATAATGATAACTCGAATTTTGGAAAGAGATTAATATTTAATTTATAGATATATGTCTACATTATTTATTTTAGTTAGCCTATGAATTATGTATTTATATCGTTATAAATTCTAATTATTTAGCGGAAAATATATCTATTATTAAAATATATAATACATATCGAATATGAAACGAATACATATCATGATACATAAGTCTAAATACAAACATACTACTATTTTGATGAAAATCAATGTAGGTATATCATATAAATTTAAGCACAAGCTCAAATGTACTATTTTTTTGATAAATGTTTGATATATCATAAATTATAAAAAATTCGTTTATTCTTCGTGTTGAAATACTATGTAAATAATTTCAAATTTATGTATACAAAATAAATTATTACAATGTTAGTGCAATTAGGGTTGTTCAATTATTTTTATTGTGATATTTACTTCAGTTGATTTACCTTATTTGGTAGGTACAGTTATACCTACTATTTGTACATAGAATTCTAAATTATATAACCTATTGTAGCTTCTAAGGACTGTATTTATGTAACAGAAATAATTTTCTAATTAAGGGGGTAGGTAAGTAGACATTGTATATAGATTAGAGAATTCGTGTACTAGCAATATGAAAACATATGTAATCGATAAAATTTACTAAATTATTTATTTCCAAAAAGCTGTAATAAAATAACAACCCAAAACCCAATGTGTAATCAAAACTCTAACCAAGCCAGGATTTATCTATACCTACTCGAATACTTATTATGATAGATTTATCAAGCTTTCTGTATCTTCAATTACAGCGTGCTGATGAAGCTTTAAATTTCAGTAGCGATTTTATAAAGTTTCAATGAAACAAAATAATATTATTTAATTGTTATTTGTTTGTAGAAATAGGATGTTCACATATAGTAAAGAGCAAGTTTATAGATATATAGAATTTATAATCATTTATATGTCAGTATATCTACTCTTCGCATCTAATTGTAAAATATATTAAAGTTTTTAATGAATGTACAATCTTTTCAAAATCAGTTTAAAGTGCTGTTAAAGTTTAACTTTCGGAAGACTATGGATGCGTAAAAAATTAATGTGTGTAATGTTATATAGTTTAAATTTAAATGTACCTAACTAAAAAATAACTGTTAACAAGATACCTAATTGTAATCAAATAAAATATTAAAACCTTATACAATATAAGGTAATTACGAGGGATGTATAACGATGACTGTAAAGGTTGATTAACTTGCAATGGTTAGTCCTAATGGGTCAGCGTGTATAACAAAGCGTACAGGGTAAAAAACAGAACTAAAACTTCATTATCCTCAAGCTGTTAAAAATTTAATAAAACAATACATACATACTTGTAAATATTATATTGGGCGGTGCATATTTTTGTAGCTCTCAATTTTCTGCTTTGAATTTTGAAACTAATTTTTTTCTAAAATAAATAAATATGTTTGAGAAAATGTGATGCCCGCACAGTACATCTGGTCCACATTCTAAATAGTAGTCAATAAGCAAGACTTACAAGCTTATAAATAAATTAATTTTCTGTTATCTTCAATTATCAAATCTTTTATAAACGTATAGGATAGACCGATGATAATAATAATAAAATTACCTTTATTTGCATCGCCTCTCATTAGTTGCAGCATTTTCAATTATATGCTTTTCTATGTACCTATAGGGTCTACATAAGTTACTTTATTATAGAGAAACATATAAAGAACAATTTATAGACCTTTTATCCAGTAATATACCAAATAAAATATTTTATGTAATAATGTCAATTTACAACAAACACTGAAGTATTTATACATGTGTCTAAAACTAGTTAAAAATCCCGAATGAAACAGCTAGAATAATGTATTTTGCATTTAAAGGATGTCCCGTATAAAGTTTCGTTCTTTGGAATGAGAGATTGCTGACATCAACATTTGTCGAGATTGCTTTTCTTTGTCTATTACTATATTGTTCTATTAATTGGTGTTAGCAATCACCCACTCAAAAGAACAGAATCTTATGCTGGAGACTATTAGGCTATAAGTGGGTTAAGTTAGTTAAGTTTTAAATTCGTAGGTATTATTACATTAGTAGGTATTACTTAGAGCAGTTCTCCGAAGGTGCTTAGCTATAGGTGACCTTTTGAAATGTAGTCAGAGGCTTTGTATGCCTAAATATCAGCATTTGCTATTTTTAGTGTTCACAGGGAGTGTTCAATAAAAACTGATTAAAACGTGCTTATGAGCATATACATATCATTACTATCGTTGAAAATTGTTATTAGATTTTTTTGTGATATTAAATAAAATTTGTCCATTGTGCAGGGTGTAAAAAATAGTTTTTAGACATACTTACAATTAGTAAGCATTTTTGGGCATACCTATATTTATGTAAAAAAATGTAAATCCTAATTCAATACTGTCTTACACTATTTTTCTACATCCTGTATACTGTTATCAGAGGATTCCTGTATTACCTACATATATTTCGAATGATCTTCAAATGATAAATCAAATTAAATTAATATTTTTTAATTAAATCAGACTACCAATTTTCTCTCAAAAAATTATTGTCCTGTTTAATGAATTAATAAAAGGAGTTTTTTAATAGAATGATAAATAATGATATAAAGTAGGTAGATATTGTGAAGATTAATGTAAAATGAAATGAATAAAATGAATTTCAGTTAATGAGTTTTTTTCCTGAGCTTTGTCTCTTGACTGTATATAATTAAATAAAAAAATTAAAATGTAAAAATATTGATTGTGTTCTGTCAGAACTTCATTTTAACTGAATACGTCCCTGTCGTTTTCATAAAACTCCGATGAGAAACTCCAAGAAACTCATTGGCATTGCCCACCTCTTGGGAATTGTAAGAAACTGAAATATAGGTATACATTTTCCGTAGATCTTCCCATAGAAAATTGTATATTATTTACAAAGAGTAATAGTAATCTGTAATATCCGAAAAGATTAAAAATCGATTTTAAAAACTGACCGAAAATGGCAGCAAAATTCAAATTTCTTTTACCATGTTGTCACCAGATGTCGCTTAAAATATTTAATCACAGAACATTTTTACAAGAGTGACAATGTGGCTGTGATCATTTCATTGACAGTTCCTCATACATTTTTCATTTTTGGTGTCAAACAAAGTAATTTTTTTTAAATAACTTTCTAATTATTATTTTGTGAGGTGCATCTTTTAATGGGTTTATTGGTAACCTTAAAAAATATAAATTGAATTGAATTAAACAAAATAGAAGACTGACATTTTTGGTGTCATTTTATCATAAATTACATGAATCAGTACGAAACTCTATTTATCCTGTTCTACGCCAAAAGGTTAAATCTGATTGGTCGAAATAAACTGTCAAAAATTTATTGAATTGTGTTGACCTGACATTTGTTTTGAAACTAACCTCCCAGTTTTGTTTATTAACCAACTTGTCGGGCAGTATGAGAAAAATCTTTTGTAAAAATGTTTAAGAATACGTTTCAGAGTGGTTTTCTCTCTATTTTGTATAGCATCGGAAGCAAACCGTTGCAAATTTGGGATAAAAAATATAAAAATGGTCACATAAAACGAATCACCGACGAAGACATTCAATCTTTGGTGCTCGAACTCATCGGCTGTAACGTGAGTACGACGTATATTACATGCCCCGCCGACCCGAAGAAGACTTTAGGAATTAAATTACCTTATCTAGTGATGATAGTCAAAAATTTAAAGAAATATTTTACTTTCGAAGTCCAGGTATGTTCCGTATTGATCAAACACAAGTATTATTAAGTATCGACTAAATAAACAGTTACAGCAAAGGAGTAAAAATCAATAATGCCGATGTGTCATTAATTTCGTGTGATTTAGATTTTAGATGACAAAAATGTACGTAGAAGGTTCCGTGCGAGCAACTATCAATCCACGACTAGAGTGAAACCGTTCATTTGTACGATGCCTATGAGGTTGGACGAAGGTTGGAATCAAATTCAATTTAACGTGGCTGACTTCACCAGGAGGGCTTACGGTACCAATTATGTGGAAACGCTGAGAGTTCAAGTTCACGCCAATTGTCGCATTCGGCGAGTCTACTTCTCCGACAGATTGTATTCCGAAGACGAATTGCCCGCCGAATTTAAATTATTCTTACCTATTCAGAACAAAAATAAGTCGCACGTTTAGCTCTAAGTCAAAACGAATCACTGGTTGTGGACGATTTTTGCACTGATCTCAGTAGAATGGATTTTTATTTTCAATGCAATATGATATTGTAACATTTTTAATAACAGAAATATTACAGGTAATGTAAATTACAAATATGTTTGTAAAAGAAAATATCGTAAACTTTCATACAGTTAGTAAAATTTCTGTCTCCAAACATTCCTCTGGACACCTTACGATTGAACAATCGACAAGAACATTAAACAGGGTGGCATATTAAAAACAGGCAATGTTCTCATGAACTAATGTAGTTAGAAATTGCTTCTATGACATGTAGGTGTGTGTTAAATGGCAAAATGTATAACTCACCTCCCCATATACTTCTATGTACAACTTTTTTCCAATAAGTATAAATAAATGACCTGTAAGCTATTCATTCATCTATCATATACAACTTTTATCACTAAAAAGTAATTATTGCTATCTTTTCAGTGATTTAAGACAAGATGAGGGTTTATGATTTATCATTTTCGTTGTCATTAATGCATAGAGTAGTGTTTATTTTTATATTTTGTCACTTAAGTGCCTGTGTGTCATGGAAACGGTAATAAATATTTCCTAATATCATCTGCAAGTTATACCCAAAAATATAATTCGCATTAATGTGCCTTAATTCGCATTTTGAGAGATACTAGTGTAATTTTCTTTCTATAAATAATACTTAGTCCATGAGATAAGGTCATGGTTTTTAAAATAACGCCCTAAAGTAATAAAAATGCACACTTTTTGCACAACTGAACAATATGTAATCTTTCGCCTTGATGGGTCTCTTTATTTAAATATATATTTGTGTGTAACGTATTTCCAATGATTTAATTGCATTGGCATGAGAATTTTTTCAACCCTTTCATCTCAACTCTAATAAAAATTAAACGAAAGAAACGGCAAGAAATATTAAAAAAAATAGAAAGATTATTACCTAAATCAACTAAAGAAAGTAAGTAATTACCCATCTAGCCGGTGGTTGAGTTTTCCTTTGGTAAGTAATTTACAATACAGGATGTCCCAATGAAAAGTAGCCCCTTTAATGAGCTTATCATTTTGAAATGCATAATCATAAAAACAGATATTTCGCAGATATATTTTATTTTGCTACAACTTTTTGTTAGAGTAAAACAACATTTTTTTGTATCGCCTGTACAGGGTGTTTATTCCATTTAAAAAAAATGGTTACTGTGAATTTAAAAGAGGAGATTTTGATAAAACACCCTTTATTGGTAATGCATAATTTCTGTATTACTGTCATAAAACATATTTGAGAAGGCGTATTACGCCAGTACATATTAAAGGACATATTAGGCGTTTAAAAGTTTATTAAAGCTCATTAAAGCGGCTAATTTTCATTAGGACGCCCTGTATTTAATGGACTTAGAAGAGCAATCTATACATCACCAATTTACATTATTATATTAGAATTTAACTTATTTAAAAGAGTATTATACACATTATGAATGTGTAATTAAAAGCAAGTTTCGTTACAATTGTATCAACGTTTTGCATAGCCTGTAGAGTTTTCTAATTAAATCTTTTGTGACAGGCTGTTTACAGGTCTTTCAACGGGGTGCCATCCCTTAATTAAAAAAAAACAAATAAAATTAAGACGATAATTAAATTAGTTAGCTTTAATTTATGGTACGCTGAGTATAAACGCATGGGGTTAATATTCATTCAATATTTCTCGGTAATTATAGAAACCGCTCTTCATTCCGTAAGCTAAGTAGTTGAGTATAGAAATATTGTTTTTGTTTCTGATGTAATTTGAAAAATCTATTTTCTCTTTAACTTGAAGATAAAAATATATTGAAAACAAAATGTATAGGCACACCTACACTCTTTGTTTTGAACTTACAATTAGTAAAATGAAACTGATATCTTGAATGCTTTTTCGCGTTGAAATGAATTCGTTTTTAAACCAAACACTTTAAATGCTTTTAGTGAGAACTAGCTAGATATAAAATTTTATAAAGAATCCAATTTAATTTCGGGGTAATTTTATAGCAAACTTCCCTAAAACCTTCTACTTTTTAACATCGAGGGTTTATTGTGTTTAAAAGCAGTTAATAGTTTTATATTATACGTAAATTCAATGCCGCAATTTTCCGCGCTTATGACCCGACAAATTACAAAACATGCGTCCCTTTGAACATTGACACCGGGGTTCCGGGGCGGGAAAATCTTCTTGAAACTCAAAACTTTGATTAAAACCGCAGGAGGAGCGACCCAGTAAAGTAATATTGTATACTTGCTTCAATCCATTCTTTACTGGCTCCTAATCAAAAATGTAGGTACACGAGATTTTGGCTACATATACTTTTGATTCACAAAATACTTTATAGTGATGCCTATATCTATAGTTGCTATAAATAGTAAATCTATCAGCATCACTCATTATAAAAATATGCAAAAAACTCACCCTATACGTAGAAGTAACATCGATCATACCATCGTTAACAATCCGAGAGGATGTTAATTAGAGTTACATTTGAGATTTTCAGGTTTTCAGTTTAAAAAAAGTATCAAAAATTGCGATACCAGAAATCACCGCAGTGCCCTTATAAATGGACGGACATTAATTAAATTACAAATTATAATGTTTTCTATTCGAAACCGAAAAATTTTAATTGAAAACATCATTGAAAACAGTTCTCGAGATGTCATAACCGTGAATGAGGCCCGCTATTACGCACCGACAAAAAAATATAAAATTGTAAATCATCCAGCGAGGAAATGCCGTCTGTTATATCTGCATATACGATATATGAAATATTCTCCGCATACAAACATGCGTACTTATACCTATGCATCTAGTGCAGGCATAGGTAAATAGCCTATTAAATTTATTACATTTCGGTGTATTCCAAAGGACCCTAATAATGTTTCTGATAAAGCAAAACATATGGATGGGTGGTGAACAAACTTTACAGTCAATGAGCATGATAAAATTACGTTGACAAAACAAGCATGAACTTGGGAACTTGTCTGCTCTATATAAATCAAATCAAAAATAACATAATCACTAAGTTATTGACGTCACCGAATTTATACGAGTTATTAATTATTGTTTGTTAATTCAAGCACTAATAGGTAAATCGTCCTTATCGATAAATACATTTTGATTTCTTGTTATAGATAAATCTGTGGTTTTAATTACTAAAACAGCTTTAAATATGTAATAACAACTCTAGTAAATCAATTTATATTTAAAAGAATTTAATGTGTAATTACCTACGTGTACAATTACATACAAATTTACAAATGTGATGTCATTCCAATATTAACTTCAACAAGTACTTATAGTTAATAAATGTTAATAAACATTATCCGATTTCAAGGAGTCTCTGTCAAATTACCCATTGCGTAACTGGGATACCGGATATGTTTTTAGGCATTAACATGCGAAATGTTCAATTAGGAACACCCCAAAGTCCCGTAATGGCCCGCAGACAAACGATTGTCTCGAGAAATCGCGACAATCAACACCTTTCGCGAATTACCGTTATCAAAAGGCTCCCCCGTTTTGTCGCAGGAACGCCGATCTTGTTGACGGCATTTAAAATCCGCTGCTAATTAATTTCCCCGTCCTATCACCGTACCTGGATGTCGCAGGATCGGCACTCACGATTAGCCGCAAATACTCCTGGGCGATTATGAATGCAAATATTATCTTTAAATCCGTTCCGGGGCAGCAGAGATTTACCGTTTCAATTACAGTTTATGTGAGTTTCTAATTGTTTTATTATTTAGTCTAAAGAGTTGAAAAGGGAAACTTTTCAGCGAATTTACGGCTGCGTCTCCTTCTCGTGGATTTGTAATTGAAAATTATGTTTGTTTGTTAGTAGGGAGTGGGAAGTTCAAGTGCAGGGAGAAAACTATGTAGATGTGTTATGCAGCTGGTATGTTGTACGCTAAACTAAATTAACTTAGAAACGAAAAAAAATATGTAGCCAATTTAACTCGCCATGTTCGAATACAATAAGAGCTAGATGACTTTAAAATAGCGCTCTTGAATCGTATATACGATTATCAAATGCACGTATATTTGAATACGTTCGTTGCGAGTTGGAGTTCAAGAGCTTTTCTGAAAAATGTTCCGTCACATATAGGTAGTGCACCTAATGAATCATTTTTGAGAGCTGACTTTTCATTTACTAATTCAATTTTTCCTTCCTTTGGAATTTTCCTAACGATTTTGAACTTCACTTGAGGCAAATGTCAAGGTAATCAAGGTTGAGTCTCTTCCTCGAGAATCTTCGGGAATAATTTATTTGACTGGTGTCGCATATCAACAAAAGTACATATTCTAGTTTTTCCATCACGTTTTGTGTTGACCATGATGGATGAATAATCCTGTATATAATTTCTTGCAACAGTTGATTTTTGTATCAAATTCGACCATATCATCAAATCTTTTGAATCAATTTATTGATAGGTATACCGTGAATAGAACGTGAATAGAACCTATCCACATAATAATAGTGATCCTTTGAAATAGTTGAGTATTTACACAAATATTGGTTAAAATTTTCCACCTATATCCATACGAAGAAGTAAAAGGAATAAAGGAATAAGCGGAAGCTCGGCGTAGGATGTGCCGCCTCCCGGCTGCGGCGCTGATGGCGCCGACGTGCGGCCCGCGTCGCTATAAAAGGGATAACATGCGGAGTTGCAAGAAGTCGAACAGTTTAAAACTTCGACAACTTTGTTAGTTTCAACAGGTGAATCAAACAATCTTGTTTCGTCCGTTGAGTCGTGCACTACGTTCTTACGCAAGTAAGTTACTTGTGTTGTAGTTTATTTATTTCAATTGTGCAATTAATTTTGGAACGTTTTTATGAAATAATAGTATAATAATAAAATCTAAATTGGGCTTTTCGGATATTTTTTGATAATATTGCGTTTGGTAGATACGTAGGTTTTTTCCAAGTAAAATATTAATTATTTTAGTTATGATTTTATATTCTAACTAGTATTTCAAATACTTGATGAAGATTTGATTTGATATTAAACATAATTATAATTTTAAAATACAAAATCACAGTTATACTATGTTTTATTAAAATATAAACTCATAGTAAAGCTTAAATTAAATAAATATAAAGAGTTAAACTATTGTGTGTATACTATTACGCATGGTATTAAAGTCTTCGAAATTCACGAAATTCAGGTATAATTATTAATTTTAAAATCTCAAATTAATAATTCATCTAAGATATAAGTTTACCAAAATCATACAAGTGCCTGTATAAAATTTTGTTATAAAAGTTTAGTGATTTTTTTAAGGTTTAACTAGTACCTACATGCATAATAATATTAGGTATTGCTTATTTTACATTTTTTATACAGCAATAGTGCTTTGTTTTCGAAACTTCAAAGAATTTTACCTCAAATTTCTATGGAAACTAAATTGCAGATTTCCTTTGACAATAACGAGATGCAAATTTTTTGCATCGATCCCACACAATTTTTGGAATCCATGCATGTATAAATTGAACTGCGCAATTGGTTTAATGAAATTTTCACGTACCTACGCGAGTACGCTCCAATAGATTGGTTACATTTTTAATTGTTTATTAATGATTTATAGGTGGGTACCTACATATCATTTTTTTAACATCTCTTTATAATTCATTGTGATGCATACTTTTCATCAAACTAATTTGTAGAGCTCCAATTTGTATATTTCAGTTATCTACTCGTAAAATAAATATCGATTGCAGTTTGATACTTTACTGATGAAACGGAAGACCTGCAAGTTAAAAATTATAGTCTCAATAAAATTTCATTTACGGTGGCTTTAGAGTGAAAAGGGAATCGATTAAATTTAAAACTTGAACATAAAGACATATTTTTTAGAAAAACCCGGAAAAGTGTCTACCTATATCAGACTGACTCGCAAGTTGAGTGGGTTTAATACTATTAAATAGTGATTAAATTTAAATCAGTGCGGAAAAATCACCAAGTAACTTCCAAAGGAAGTTTTGAAATTTTCAATACTTCAGGTGTAATTTAAAATAAACAATTACAATCTCTAATAACTTTTGATCTACCTTGATCTAAACTAATTTAAAATCGTCCATACAATATGCAAATTTAAACGAAATTAATTAAAACTTCGAAGGAAAAAAGTAATGTAACTCGCTGGTATCGAGTAGGTACAGTTAATAAAAGCTTAATACTAATTTCAAACAGCACATATCCGATGCGTTTTGGATTACTAAACGTATTTGAATACGCTCATTAATTTTGAACGCGCTCCTCACGAGTTGCGGTTCATTAAGAGCCTCTTTCTGTAAAATACAGACCGTTTTGTCACAGGCGAATAGTTACTCATATTTCAAGGAAAATCTAATGAGACTAATAAAAAAATATGAATAATAATATAATAAAAACTATGAATTTTTGGATGAATTTTTTATTACACTATTTGTGATTTTAATTTCTCACATGTGAGAACTAACTATATAGCTAATCAAGATATTAATAGCACTTTGAAAATATTAAATTATTATATCTACATATCATAAAATATTAGCTCGTATATTAATAGCTATAGAGCATTGAAGATTTTAGCATACGATAATAGCATAGATTTTCTTTTACTTAATCAATCGCTTTATAGAGTCATTTCAATAGACCGGGTATTTCTTGTTAACATTATAGACACTTCTAGAAAACGCCTAAACAGCAATAACTATTAACCTTAACGACATCGAATTACAGAACTTTCCGCGACATCGACGACAGTAAAAACTTAGTATTCATAAATATAACCGCAGCATCCCGTGAAACGTTCGGCAATTTTGTAAAGGACTTTTTCCAATTCTCCAATTGCCGAATGCTTCAGATTGTACGTCTTGGCTAGAGGTACTCGACGAAATGAAGTTTAGAAAGTTCCGCCTCGAACTTCTCGGACTCGGTGGAGAATTCAGTAATACGACAAGTATGATCAAATTGCTAACAATAATGTCGAATCCTAGACAAGCTAGGATTACTGTAGATGCTGCGCGGAATTAGAATTTAATAATAAGATACCTAATGAAGGAGATCGTATTAAAAGGCTTAACTTTAATTTCAGTGCAACCCACTGGTTCAAATCCCGTATTTAAATTTATCCTGTATTTAATTTATATCCAGCATAAGTGAAATTGAAGAGTTGGAACTATTTGCAGGTGATGAAGCAAATCCAACCTATCAACACCCACAACATTAAATTATTAATGATCTATTGGCTTGAAATGCCTAGTATTGTTTGCAAGTGCCTATTGATAAAGGCATTGTTAGCCATTAATTTTTAACAAATAGAGGCAATCTATGCTATGTCAGGCTGGTCGTGCAGAATTAGCTTCATACGCCCTTCCTACGTTCATTCAAAATATATCGAACAATAAACGCGTCATTTAACTCTTTAGTGTTTAGGGGAATATTGGCTGTGGGATTTTCATTGTTTTCGATTAACTGTTACATCGCGATAGTCGCAGGTGAGGTTGTACTATATGAAACTCGCGCGATATGAATACATAAAGTCCGGATTGTCTGCCATCTAAATCGTTTTCTAATTGAATATGTCAATCACTAAATCGGGTCTGCTCGAAAAATGAACCCGTAAATAGGGCCATCGGTGTAGAGATAATGGTATTAAAGTATGAAGGTAAAATGTATAGATAATGCTGGTGAATTATTTATTAGGTACGCATTATAGCGTATAGCAGCCTCCATGCATGAGGAAGCAATCTAGCTAAGCTAAATATTGTGACTAATTAAGTAAGCTGTTTCTGTATTGACTGTATTGAAAATCAATAAGACAATCTGTATAATAACTCCTAAATTATTATTATCTGATTGGTATTGGATGATAATTATTATGGAACAGCTGTTGACACTTAATGCGCGCTCTTTTGATTGTTCCCACGTCGATTTATGAAAGTTAAGCAGAGATTTTTGTTCGAATTGAAAACGAAACAGGACACAGGTACTTACATACTCACAATACATACATACAAAGCGAAAGTGCACTTTCATTTTCGTTTCTGAAAAAATGCCCTGAAATAATGTCATGCTGGAGGCTATAACTGTAGCCGTAATTCTCAACAGTAGAGGAAAAAATAGACTTACACGATGTTAACTTTAATCTAGCCTTTATGACCACTAAATAGTTCTTCTTGTTTCCGACATTTTACGTTCAAATTTAAGAAAACAATACAACCTGACAACGCCGCGGTCCTATGTATGGGTGCAAACAATTTTGCATCTTTCTGTATTTAAGTACCATCAATTATTACTTGGTTTGTCAGTATCAAATATAAAATTTAAGTAAAAATAAAAAATATAAAAAAGTTATATGAACGTCGAAGGCAATGATTTAAAAATTCTTGTGTAGGTGTTATAAAAGCTTTGCGACAAGAGTAATTCTCGAACACTGGTGATTTTATTTTTTATACCTGAACTAAAACTTCTTGACAATCAATATCTTTATTCGTGTGTGATGTTCATTGACTACATTTAAGAAATACAATATTCGAATTCGCATGGGAGTTCTCGTTACTTAGGAGCAATTTAATTTCAAATATCATCCCATCCCATTCATCCCATCCCTGGGGCGATTCTTTAAGAATCATCCTACTCGAAGAACATCTAAAAATAATATTTATGCATCAATCGAGTGTCCTCCGCGGGGAGGCCGGTAAGCCGGCTTTCCGACGTTAATTTCCCAGAATTTCCGCGATGCATGGAAATAAAAAACGGCGCTTTATCGAAGTGGGTATGCCCACGTAACAAAATATTATTTTATATATCTTCTTCGGTGCAATTAGAAGAAATAAATTTGAAGGAAATACTTCTGATAAATTCTCTATCTGCTTTGAAAACGTAACTTAGTTACCTATGTTCCTTTAATATCGATTAATTCCAGTGGGTTTAATTTGTTCTGCTAATACTAATAGGGTCCAGAAATGAAATTTGATAGGGGAAATAGGGAGATAGGTTAAAAGAGTAAAGCGCAATTCGACTTAAACAAAGAGGATTCAATTTTACAATAATAAAACCAATTACAACTACTTGCATTATAATATCTTAATGTAATCGTAGATATAATACGAATCTATATATGTAATTAATTTAGAATAATTCCCAATGGAGTATTATATAAATTCATGACCTAAAATCATTTGATGTTCCAATATAATACCTACTAAGAATTGAGAATAATAGCTACCGATCGGCCGAAATAACTGCTAATCAATGTGTGTAATATAAGACCTCTCTTGGTCGAAAATGGCAGAGTTGAAATCAAGAAATAGGAACACTGATATTTAATTAATTGTATTAGGATTCAATAAAAAAGATTAATGTAATTGTAACATTATTTTTCAATCGGCGATAGAATTGTAAAATTGAAAAACAATTAGCAAAAGGTTGTTCACTCGAATAATTCCATTAGCTAAAATCGAAATACTGAGTTTTTTTCGTTGTTTTAAATATCAATTTCCTTCAATGTGAGCCAGCTCAATGTTTTGCATTCATCGCGCAAATCTGCTTATGACGTGAATGCGTTAGAAAGCTCTACAAAAACATGTGTTCCTATGACGATTTTCTTTGGTTAAAGAGCTTTTTATGACGCATCCTAATTTATTGAAACATACTAATGTGCATAAGAGTGTTGTAATTAATTAAAATTGACTACTAAGTTCTTTTTTACTAATGAAAACTGTCTATAAGATTCAGTTTATTCATTTCAACAGCGAGCTTTAACAAAAGAAGCATTGGATTTTAAAACTGGTTTTATTTTGTTGCAGGATATTGAAATTCGAAATGAAGTTGTCAATGTTGAGGTTGCTGACGTTCACGGTCATAGCGGTAATTACACTGCAAGGTAATTGGGTCCTGGCAGCGACTAATCCCGCCAACGACGAACTCATGAGAGAACTACTTAAGTTAGATAAAGCTTACTCGTTCGTCTCCAGACCTAGGTAAGATCTCATTCTAGCAACTCGTACTTCTAAAAAACTATTCCTACGCACCGCTTTCACATTATCGCTATTATTGTATAGTTGCTGATGATTTGTGTTTCACATTGTTGCTATTAATTGCATCGCATTTTTTCTTTTTATTTGCTAGAATACTTTTATTTTAAAATTTACAAGAATGTGCGGTTCTGCTTATTATCCAACCAGACTTTCTACTGTTTAAATATCTATTTAAAAATCTTCAAATCGTTTCCATGATACAACAGAATCGCACCTTCTTAGTAATTAACTACAGGGTGGTCCAATATATTGTGTACAAACATAGAGTCCTATCTGACGATTGTTCATTCAAATATTGTATCCTATGTATATTCTTTTAAACGCAAATTCGGCAATTCTTAAAAGCACCCAAGGAAAATTACTTCGAACACAATTATAACGATATAAATGTCGAATGTACTCCATCAAAACAAAGGTGGGTGAAATATTCATGATCTTTGGGTTAAATATGAGATTTTTTTTCCGTCTGTGGAATCGTAATGCAAAATGCTCGTTAAGAAGTCAGTGGACAGTAACAGGCTTATTCTTGTTCTTAAGTAGAATCATGTTCCTCGGGAATATGAGATAATGGAAAAACTGGAGCCGACGTAATTTACTGCAAAGGTTGCCATTTTTACGAAAACATTAAATAATACATTACACCTGTTGAGCTAAAAATTTTCCACTACCTACTACATAATTTCAAAAAACACTCCTGTAGCAATGAACTCTTGTTGATCATTTCCTAAATTGATGAGTAAATCAAATGTGCTCGATTCCATTTCGTCGGATTTATAATCGTCCAATAGGATCGGATTTAACGTCGATCCATCATTTTCCACTATCCACATCCTTCTGCCAGTTCTGAAAACGGAAAATCAATGAGAAATTAATAGCGGCTCGGTTTTTTTGACTCGATTGAAAGGTGGGCAATATTTGCGTGGTAATGTCGAAGATTATCTAGAAATCTTTAATGAAATTAACGAAACGAATCACACCTTCTGTTTATTTTTATCTTAGTTTTATTTTCGGATTTTTCTTTACATTTATTGCATATAAACCTACACTATTTTTTTATAAATATATACAAGCTACGATTGGAAATTTTAAAAACCTTTTAAGAACACGTTATTGGCGATAATAAAAATGAAAATTATGTTTAAAATTTTTATAATTCCAATGATAACTGATTTTATTTATTGGATTTCTTCAGATATTGCTCATCCTATTTTGCTTCAATGAACATGCTTCAATGGATATGCTAATATTTTGCATGTTTTGCATATTTAAAAAAATCATCAATCATTAACTAATTTATTATAATGTTGGATTTTAACTTTTTGAACCATTAAAACGGTAATGAGACTATAGAATTAAAATTCAATTGTCAAAAAAAACAATACATTTATAGTGGGTGAATATAACGATTTTTTGTTATTCTCCACTCCTTCGCCTTTCCTTTGAAACTAAAGCTTACTGGTGGTAGACAGCTTGCGGAATGGACCCATCGTATCAGAAAGTAGACCGAGAATTGTGCAGAGGGCCATGTTGAAGCTGCAAGAATTGGACAAAATATTTTCGGAACGTTCACGACCTAGGTGAGAGACTTTAGAAATTTATGTAACTTTGAACATAAGATTCCTTCAATTAAAGGCTACATCATTTCATTCATAACCCAAAGTATTTTATACAAAGTTCACTTTAAATACACTTTAGCAAAGAGTGAGTAGGAAGGAAACAATACTTTAGCTTTTCTTAATGAAACCCGATAACGTTTTGTTTGAATAATCCCTCTTCAGGTACATGGTAGAGGGCTTAAAACCAACATTTCTGCGAATCCCCTTTAATAATCCTTTTTTCTGTTCTAACCGAGACAAATTTGTCCATTCAATCGGAAAATAATATTTCGCGCTACAATGACATCCGACCGATTCGAAAGGTGGTAATATTTTCCGACGAATGATGAAATCGCCCTCTTTTTCTACCTTATTGGCTTCCTCCACTCAGGATATGAGGCGAAGACAATAGAAATCAAAGTTCAGTTCATTGGAACATTAAATTTAAATTCGTAAAATTGTGAATACTAATCTAAAGGTAGTGGATTTTCTTCTGAACAGTGAATAGGGTGCGAGCAAAATCTTAGTGATAACTAGAATAGTTATGCTCAAACTTGCTAGAAAATCTGTTATGTACCTTTAAATTAGTTCTTGACAGTAATCTTCCTGTGCTAAAGAATTTTATTGTACACGCATTAGCGAGTCACCTTGTACATACAACTATTTTCTGTGGTAAGCGAGTATTTTTCGATTACATACTGTATATTTTTATTTACAGATTCGGCAAAAGGACATACGTCAACTCGCAATACGCTCCTTACATGTACGAAGGACAGGTAAGACTATTATTATTTTTTTAGTATAGCTATATTATTTGCCTCTCACTGCATCGTATAGTGGACAAGATGAACGTTTACTTTCCCTTTTCATTGTCGAATAAAGGAAAACTATCATACGGTTTTTTATGGGAAATCCTGACCGCTTGTGGCAGGCATTTAAAGAGGCAAATAATTGCTGAAACGACCGCAAAGTATATAAAATGAAGCAATTACATATCGGCGTTAACCTTTATTACGAGCAGGTTTCTGTAAAAACGAAGATTTGGATTATTAACGTTAGACGAGTGGCTTAATTGGAAACTGAATCAAATTAGGGAATGGTATATCTATTCTAAGATAGGATATTTATCCAATAAATAATAATAAGTAAATAAATAAAAATAAGTTATTTATCATCTTACTTTTACTTGATTTGAAAATTTAACGAAAGTATGTACGTAAAGGTAATTGAAAAGGATTCTTACGAATAAAAAATTTAAGTAGGTGTACAGAACGCCAAAAAATGTATAACTTCTATGACAATTTTCTTATACATTATTCTTTATGAATAATGATTTCTTATTTTTTTGTTATTCATTCTATTTTAGCCCATATTAATTATAATCAATAATAATATTACACCCGGATTGTAACGTGCATAACATTATACATATTATATTACCTAATAAACAAACAACGATTTGAGGAATTAAGTATCGCACTCTCTGCATTAATTCGAATGATTACCCTTGTAATTAATCCAAATATAATTTAATCTTACTTATAAATATTAATAAATTTTCTCAATTTCCAATATAATAATTACTTTTTTCAGTGCCCATAGTATTCGTATAAAAAAGAGAAGACCTGAATATTTCTTTGAGAGCGTGCTTTCTCTGTAATTACGTTGTCGCCTTCAATGATATCTGCAAATTAAAATTGTATCTCCTTTTTGTTTGGCTTTAATTATGCATATCTGCTATTATCGTAGTTTATTAGAGATTCAAGTTCTAGCCATTGAAAAGTAACTGTTCGTAGATGTTGCTCGAAAAATATTCCATGAGGTAATTGATTTTGGTGAAATATTATTATTAAAAAACGATTATTGTACGTTTTAGTGACTTCATTAAACCGAACTAGAAAGTAATTTACCAATTATAATATTAATTTATGCTTTCAAAGTATCAATATTTTTTTTTATTCCGGTTTGCAATTCATCAAGTGTAACTTATTTGAAATGGTTAAAGTTAATTCTTAACGTGAAAATCGTCATTTTTCACGGAAAAGATGCCATTATTCACTTTCCGTTTGGCGTTTTCTCTCGAAATTAACGTCAGAGAATTCTAATGAGGCTGTCGCCTTAGAATTCGCGTTTTTTTGTAATAGAGAACAAAGCGACGGAAAGCGTCCGAAATTACGAATGTATCTAATGCGGTTCATTTTTATTTCAGAATCAACTCACTGACTCGGACCTGAATGATTGGTTATCTGATACAAGATAAATTGGTGTTTGAGATTTTTCTACCAACAACCTTTTATTTCTCCTAATTTTTTCCAACCCTCTTAGACAATCACCTTTAGTTTCTTCCCTATTATTTGTACCTACTAATAATTTCTTCCCATATTTGATGTTATGCTATAGTTTGTTCACGTTAATCTGGTGACGACGCGCAGAAAATCAATTATGACGTTCTCATATTTGTACCCTTTTTCACAGTTTGTTTTATACAAATCGAGTATTTAATTTTTTAAAAGTGATTTATGTTAGACAATGATTAACGTGAACGTTGAATGTAAGAATATACAATTATTATCCTATTTAACACCTTAAAGATTTGAAATTGCTACGATTGTTTATTCCATGATATATGTAATAAATAAATATCACATAATGACCATATATGTATTGTATATGCTATTGTAATGTTCGCTCTGTTATATATTTTAATTAATTATTATTATCTAAAAGCAGTTTTGTTAAATTTAAAGTAGTTTCAAGTTAGGTACTTACCTACAAAGGTCTTGCAAAGAACTCTCCAAAAATTCTATGTGTAAACAAAGGTATTTCAAATAAACTGAACAAACCTATCATTTATTTTTTATTTAACCTATCCTCGAATAAATCCAGCGAAAGACAATTAGATTATTTTTCTAATATCGCTGCAGCTGCAATCCTTACCTTTATGCTTGCTAAAAAAACAGCAAATTACTGTTAGAGGTGCTCCAAAGCATAGAATAAAAGTAATAAATTACATCGTGGGCGTATATAATCCTACAACTTGGTAAGTAATTTTTCAAGGAATAAGAAAAGCTGTCGAATGGGACTGTACTCGATCGAACTTTATCCCTGGATATTCGCGAAAAAATGTTAATTTCTAATCAACTTCGACGGTTCAACTACTGACAGAGCAGTCGCGCTCCATTTCTTTGTTTACAGTTTAATGAGCCGACGCAAATTTGCATTATCGGCGCATTTTCACAGATCGTAACTCGCTTTAATAACATAATGAATTAGTAAAGTAAAACTGATCATCGTACGCTTTTATTTCATTTCGAATCTATCCGAGGAAACTTTCACGCGCCGGCCTTTTGCCGCAAAACTTTAAATCTAATTTAATTGTTTGACTTACCACTTGCAACTAAAGCAAATATTAGGTATCCGATATGAATTAAACTCAACTTTACGAAAAAAATTAAATTAACTTAGCACTTCAATTAATATTTATTGTTTTTTTAATAAAATTTTTTGAGTGGTTAAAAATTACAACAAGAGACCTTTTGGGCGATGATACAACTTGTAATTATTTAATTACTAAGAAACCATAGGCAACTAATTTATTTACGCCTTGCCAATGTTATCCCTACAAATGCGCCAATTTGGATATGGTTAATTCCAAACAAAAGATGAGACTTTACTTGTGTTGTTAGAGTTAAAATTAGAGGCTTTGATGCACTGCGAAGGCGCCAATTCTTTCGAAAGTTCAAGACCATAATTAGCAGGGCTGCTTATCGAGTTAGGGGATGAACGGCGCAATTTCCCGAAACTTTCCCGCCTTTGATGCTCTCCGTAAGAAGCAAGTGCGACTCCAAGAGTATAATTACAACAAGTTGGGCTTAAAGCAGGATGAGCGCTGTTTTGAATTGAACTGGTAAACTTTAGATTACATAAATCGTTCGGATTTATTCGGAATATTATTATTGTTATTATTATTAATCGTTCCAGAATTTACTCGTTACGGCGTTAATAACGCGACGACAAGAAGACGTGTTAAAAGTTATCCTCCGAAAAGTTTAGAATATGAAATATAAATTTTGTTGAATAGTAGGTGTCTTCTTTGGAATAAATCCTTCAGAAAATTCGGTATATGAACGAAATTCAAACGAGACGAGTTTGAAAGGAACGTCGCAGGGGAACATTCTTGTATACATTTCGAAAATAACGCTAATTCCTCGAATTCCTGGCGCGAATTTAACGGCGATTAACTAATAGCGGTAATCCTCTCGTGGGCACATAATGTCGCCGATACAAAAGACCATCATCGGATCCGACCACTTTCGTTGTTTGGAAACGGAATCACTCTCTCCCCGGCGAAATGCCGCGGCCGCCGTCTCGTCATTAACGGTGCACAAAACGGTCCGACGACTGCAAGACATGCCAGCGCTATGGGCGAGAGAATTGCGCTCCTCCTGCTGCTGCTGTTGTTCGTCCTGCAAGTCCTTGGATCGATGTCACTGATCAAGCAAGGTAATTGTTGGTGTTGGTGTCGATCAAATGTGTGCGTGTGTATGTAGCTTCTGGTGTTTATATTGCTGATGTGCTAGTGGAAGATGAATTTTGTGGTGATGATTTGGCGATCTATGTTGTATTAGTAAAATTGGGTAAATTTTCGGAAGAGGTTGTTGTAAGTAAAAATGAATAAAAAAAAGGTGAAATGATTGCTGGATGATTTATGTTTTTTGAGAAATGGCTATTGTCATTCACAAGACATCCTTTAGTGTCCTGTAATACCTGTAGTATAGTTTGCTAAGTCATAACAAATATTACAACAATACATTAGGTAGGTAGATAGTTAATATTTCTTCCTTGCATCATTTTCATTCTTCCGTTATATTATTCCGATCAAGTGTCTTTTTATGTATTTTTTATGTAAATTTAATCATTCATACTATATTTATATATTTTACAATTTTATTTCTTCATTCATGAATTTAATACCTACAACTGCTATTTTATTCGAATCGAAGTAAATTATTCAAATTGATGTTGATCCTGTTAATTCATATTCCTATCAGGTATCGAATTATTCGAAACAAAAATATTCTTGTTTGACTTTGGCCTTGTTAAAATTCATCTATTAGATTTCTTTAGAGAATTCTCAAGGATAAGGCTTAGAAGCGCTGGATGCAATTATTGATGGAACTACATAGAAATATTTTTATGGTAATTTTACTTCATCTTGAAGTCTCTCCATCCCCATTCGCACCAATCACTCAAGTAAATTATAAATGACTATCAAAAATTATATTTTACGAGAAATGTATTGTACGGTACAGCTGTATCTGGGAAATTACATATTTTGAAGGTCATGGGAAAATCCATTGCCAATGACATTCAGTGTTACTATGCGAAGGTGTCTGGTATTAAATTCAAAGCGCAAACAGAAATAAAAAAAACTTCCTATTTTCGCTTTATAGTATTACATTTTTCCGCTATTACAAATTCCTTTACTTATGAAATTTGAACGTATTGTGTCGAACTTCCCAGGATTAGGCCGACGAGCGCAAATACCTCTATAGTTATTTATTTCATTTTTCATCTAGTCTACGTAAAGCTTTAACGTCTCGTTTTTTATGTTGCACATTTCCTTTATGTTTGCTATCAAAGGACCTAAACTCTATTTTTTTGTTAATAATTTTGCATAACTGAAGTCCATATTCTATTACAAACAGGCACGTAATTCAATTGCTTATTAGAATATGTTTGATGTTGCAATGGGCAGACATGGAAGTATCGTTTACACAAGTTGCTATTCCAGTATATTTACTCTCAAAGAATTGAAAGTATACTTTTATCAAAAAAACCATGTCAATGTCAAAGTCATGAGAAAATGTTGGAAATACGTAGGGTTTCTATTCTCTCCAGTAAGTCTTGGACAAACAAAGCACAATTTACAGATTGTGGCAAAATAAAAAAGTTCTTCTCAGTTTATCCCTTATCATTTTCGATTCTAACAATTTTTATTTATTTTTGTACGTGTAGAAATATAACATAAAAAATGAAAATATATTATTTCTTTGACAGAAGGTAGGATTAATGATACTGGGATGATATTACATATAGTGAGAATTGAGAACAATATTTTTTTAGATTGTGGAAGAAGTGTGAGAAGGTCCAGGCAACCACGAGCCGGAATGCTTGGAAGGATAATTCAAGGGAAGCAAAGCAAAAGAGGCGCCTGGCCATGGCAAGTAAGAATATCTAAAGTACTACTAACTTTCATTGCTTTGATTATCATTTATTTTAATAAATAAAAAGATGTTGTACGGAGGCAGGTGTTTAGAAGGTAAATTTGGACGTGCAAAAAATTCTAAGATAATAGAAAACGGTTTTAATAACAGTCATTTTTCATCTCTCACAGATTCGATACTCATCTCGAATGATTGATCTGCGAGTTATCTCGTACTACTTTTAAAAAACCGCGAAGACAAATTTTTACCGCGGAAGAGAAAGTGTTCTTCGCATTCATTACCATAATCGATAAATAAAAACAATAAATTCCGCCGGTCGTTTTGTTTGTTTTCATTAGTTACGCATGACAGACGAGAAATTATTCTCGGGCTACTCGTCTTGTTTTATCCGTTCAATAATAACCATTGGAATTATAATCGAACCGACCTCCAACAAAAGCCATAAAACATCCGCTCGGCAACTGAACATAAACGAGTAAGAGTGAAAGTGCACGATTGTCTTTCGAGATTTTTGTCGTGCTGTCCAAGAAAACGATTAAATATCATTTCTAAACACATATTTGATTCCCGGCTACGATGGTACGCCCTGTATAATTCGAACCACCTTCCACGCAAACTGTTTAGGCGAAGTGCAATCTCTCATTGAGAAGTCGAACACGATTATGAACTTAAGATTAATTTTGATAGAACGAATTCCTCGGCCGTGATAATATCGAAACTGTCACTAATCTCGAATTATCTAGGAAACGATTTAGAAATTTAACCGCCTGGAAATTAAAATCCGGGTCTAACGATTTTTATTGTTAACCTTTGTTTATCATCGTATTCTCAAAGTTTCTCAAATATGTTTATGTATTTAGTAAAAAGGATATACCTTAGTAAATTCTTCATCTAACAATATTGCTTCATTTTTGTTATCGTTTTCTTCTACCAATTCATCAATTATAATGAGCCCCAAAAAATATCAAGAGTACCTACATAGTTTATGACCTATTACTTGAGCTGATTACTTTTGTTTCATTTTTTATTCGTATTATAATATTAATGTTCTTAGGTGTCTTTGCAACTGCTTCATCCTCAGTTCGGATTTTTGGGTCACTGGTGCGGAGGCGTTATGATTTCATCGGAATGGCTATTAACGGCTGCTCACTGCATCAGCAAGTACGTATTTTTTTCTGTTTATTTAACAGTTACCAGCCTCGTCTTTATTTAGTAGTACACTTTCATCTAGATCAAAGCCATTGTCTCTAGATATGCCTATGTCAATACCATAACATGCGGTAATGCGAGGGAGAAATTTATTTGATTCGAATAAAAAAATATGGATAAAGGTATTTAACTTTCTTCGGAGATTAAAAGCTCCCGAAATTGATTTATTGTTGAATTTTATATAACCGAGTTCCGTGAATGTTAATGAACTCTCTTCACTTTCGCTGACGTTTGTCTTCCTATTGAGCTTTATTCGCATAGTGCAAGAGATATACATGTGAGTTAACGAATGTGATATCTAAAGAAGAATCGATCAAATATTATTTGGATCAAAAAAATTTTTCATCAGTAATTTACAGGAAATTGGTCCCTCTCCAAATTAACATTTCATTAGTTAAATTTCATCAATTTGGGCTGATCCATGTATATGTAGACCATACCCTTTGTATACAGAAGTAAGGGTCAATGAGAAAAGAATATAAATTTACAAAATCTAGGTGGAAGTTATGATGAACACAGCATAACAAAGAACCTGCTAGTATCATTCTGACTAATGCGTACAGACCTTGATCTCTGAGTGCAATAAGTTCTTTACATCGACAATGACCTAGTTCTCGAGCCTTAAACGTGTATTACAGTAGCGGATTTGACGTTTTTATAATACCTGCACTAATTACGCGTAAATAGAGTTTTTTTTATTCTCTTTACGACGCATACCAGAATCAGTTTTCCACAAGGTGCAAACAGTGACTAATTATTCAATTGAATATATCGATATTTGTAGCTTTCTAGTTTAATTGAAGTACAGATACTGAAATAATAAAAAAGGTGAAAATTAAATTCACTAGCCAATTCTATTGATTAATCCAGTATACTCAGCCTTCATTTGTAGCAATAATATAACCAAAATTCCTGCTCGAATTTAAAACGTACCATGATTTGTTATTTTCCGGATGTATTATTAGCCTTGTTAGCCCTGTTTTAATTTATATTACAACAGTTCCTTCTTCCCCCAATTTCACGCCCACAGGCCATCAAAATTCGATAATTAAATTTCCAATTTAACTAAAAGACATACATACAGTCGTCTCTCATATACTAATTTACATCCCGGAATCAAGCCAAGAAAAACAATTAACTCGAATTGGGAAGATGCTCAAAGAAAACAATACGTGTACTTATATTTTTTGTATACAATTTGAAATAAAGTGAGTGATTCTAGAGTTAAAAAGCATAAATGATATTATCAACATCGGTCTGGAATATCCTAGAAAGAGAGTTAATACCAATAATAAGAATTGATCATAGCACCCGATAAATGTTCTAAATATCTCCTCTATTGGTCAAGCGTTTCTATTGAAATTTTGGATTTGTAGTAGTGTAATTTTATACTAGCTTTAGATAATTACTTTATGTACCTACGTGTAGGTATTTAGGAATTAAATTTAATATAAAACTCCTTTTTAATGAATTAATTCTAGTGATCTGTTCAATTTGCCATTAGCCGCTTTGTGGACGGCTGTAATAGGGGAATGGGACAGAGAAGTGGAGGAATATTCTGAGCAAAGGATTCCAATCGAGGAAGTCATCCTGCATGAAAGATTCCACAATTTTCAACATGATATAGGTGAGGTTAGACCATCATGGCACAAGCTAAATTTAATCTACTTTGGAACTCATAATAATGTACCTGTTTGATTTTAATTAGACAGTAATTATTAAGCATATGCACATTACATTTCGTCTGAATGAAAGCTGATGATTTTTTTGCCGATGCCACTATTATATTTCAATTAACTTTGCTCTCACTAGTGAAACTTGATAACTTGAGTGACTTTCGCATCGAATGCGAAGGCAAACCAAAAAAAATACTGAGAAAAATAATCCGTCTCATTTGCATCTAATGGCGTGTAACTGGAATGATTCACGCATTTGTAATTGCCTTCTATTAAAACTCGAAAACTGTAACTATATACCTGCCAATCTAGGATTGATTGTGTGTATAGGTAACAATTATCATCAGCTCGTGAAAGAATTTTGTATTCCATAGATATTTTTCATCCTCTTTGTGAATATTCTACCAATAAATATTTAATTAAAACGAATTTTTCCAGCGCTAATGAAATTATCGCGTCCTGTAAAATTTACAAGGGACAGCAGAATTAGAGCCGTGTGCCTGCCGACTTCGAGGCTCCTGCACAACCAAACCGATTTGTGCTATGCAACGGGCTGGGGCAGGGCTACAGAAGACGGTATGTTATCAGTAAGGTGAGTGGGTAAATTCAACGAAGAATGATAAAACATTACAACAATTTTCTATTTTAGATTGCTAGAATCTAGAGTACCAGTGCACGATAACGCCGTGTGCAGGAAGAAGTACGGTCACGCTGTTCCAATTAAATCTGGTCACTTATGCGCTGGGCATTTAGACGGTTCCAGTGGAACGTGTGTGGTGAGTCTCCCATATTTTCTATTCAATTCGTGTTTATATCTAATGATTTATTAGGGAGATTCCGGGGGACCTCTGCAATGCGCTATGCAGGACGGTAGATGGATACTGGCTGGGATCACCTCGTTCGGTTCAGGATGTGCAAAGCCTGGTTTTCCGGACGTTTACACTAGATTATCGTATTATTTGCCTTGGATAAAGTCGAAGACGAGGTCGCCACGAAGGACGGGAAGGGCGAACGAAGGTTTCGAGGATGATCAGTGATTTACTTGCGGAGATTCATGCTAGAACAAATTAACTGTAAGTATAAAGTGATTGGGAAAAGTATTGTTATTGTAAAAAGTTGAGTTACGTATATTGTATTGTTACATGTTGTTATAAAATATCATTAGTTATGTCTGTGATTTGTTTAAATTAGTTCGAATCATTTGTATTAGTAAATACAGGTAAAGTACAATGTAAATATGTAAAACTATTGTAAAACAAATTGAATGTAGAATAGTCAAAATGTGCAATTTTATATGCAGTATTACCACTAGCAATTACCACTTACATATACCATAATTTCTTTATTTATTTTTCCATAAGTCTAACTTTATGTATACTCACTTGTTTATTTTTCTAAATTTTCTTTCTCCATTTATTACTTTTATCAATATTATTAGGTTATTTTTATAAAGGCACGTAAAAACTAAGTAAATTTAAATCCTAAACCGCATATACATACATATACATATTTTTATTTTATTTTCTATATTACTACAGTTCTGGCCAGTTATCGAAAAGTCCTAAATAAAGATAACTTAAATCAAGCAACTGTATCTATTGTTGAACTAATTCAATTATTAATCGCTACAGTTGTCATTGACTTTTTCTTACATTAAAATTTTACAAAGAACCATAACTTCATTAGTTCTTTTGGGTACCTGGTTAGAACTATAATATATTTCTGTGATTTTTATTAAGAATTTCATGTAGTGATGTTTGATATAATATATTAAAGAATTTAATCAAATCTATTTGTGCCGACTAATAATAAATTATTCATTAGGTAATATTAAAGCCAAAATTAAATCTAAAATATTTATTTATTACAAAATAAAGTAACATAAAAAACCGCAAATACATAGGAAATATACACTTATTTATTAACGTACTATCTATATACACAGGGACAATCTCACAGGGATTAAAAGTTTATCTCCTAAAATAAAGACACCCCTTAGTCTTAGTCTTAGCTACTTATAAAAAATATCGCATGAAAAGTTTCACGATATCAGCTGTACCCAAACAATGCTGGTATTCCTTTTCAGGAATATTTCTACTATAGGTTTAAATCTGAACAAGGGTATTTAAAGAGAGCCACAAATAAATAAATTACATGAAATAAACAGCAATGCAAAGATTTTACAAGAAATTTTACAGAAATATTCATCCATTGCATATGAATTGCTCTCTCTATGTTTGTTTCAATGCAATTTACAAACCATTTAGATCCAATATAAACGTTATTGATTAATCACATGATTGAACTGGAATTGTGTGGTTTAGTCTTATCAATCTGTGAAATGCATTAGAAACAAATCTGTACTAAAAGTCAATTAAGTTATATCACCGTTCAGAGTTAAACAGTCGGTTTAAAAATATGTAATAATCAGAAGATTTGCTAAAAAAAATGTCATAAGAAACCCAAAATAACCTCCTACAAACCAACCTACGCAAATATATAGCAAATACTTTAAGAACTCTGGAGAATCCTACTCCGAACGAATCTATGTAAATAAATAACATAAAGGAGTAGGAAAAAGACTCTATTAGTGAAACAAAAGGGACTTTATAAAAGGATGCAAATAAACTGAAACTACATAACCATGGCAAGTTGTAACAAATCTATCGTTTAAGTGCTCTGTAGGGATATGTTTGTTCTTACAAAAGTCGAAAATCCAAAATAATAACTTAACTGAGCGTTAGAGAGCGTTGAATAACAGGGCTGTGTCCCACTTTATGAGATGAAAAGCCTTAAACATAAACCAATTTCAACTTATTTGATTTTGATTCAAATTTAGCTGTAATTTACACAACATTATCGAGGATTTCTTGTTGGAACAAACCTTATAAGGAGACGAGCAATAACAACATGTAAATACTATCAACTGGGAATGAAACCATAACTAAACTGATTGGAGCTGAATAGATATGAGCAGTTGAGCCCCACAAAGAAAAAAACTTTCATTTCAATAATTTACGTCAGTCTCTATTACGTCACAGGCGCCACACTATACTTTTCTTAATCCAGCAATCTGACTTCAGTGGATTTTTAACATTAATTGAAGGTAATACTTTCCGAATAAACGAGAACCACCGGCAGATCGCTTTTGTATATCAATTGCATAAGTCTAAGTCCACATCCTTCTTTCTTTCTCTTTAAAATACTGCGCGGGAATCGTAATTATAGGAACTGGAGAGTATTCCGATACTATGCTCATCGATCTTGGAATTACAGTTTTTGTAAAAAATAACGTTAACATAGCCGCACCAGATATTAGCGCAAAACCTAGAATGCCGAAAAGATACACCAAAACCTTCTGTGCTACTGGCAGAACGTCTATCACTACTTTGAGAAGGAAAGTAACAAAAGATGGAAGTTCCGAACAGGATAAATCTATCCACAACAACGGCACGGTGAGGTTGTTGAAAGGTTTCGTTTTGGTGTTGTATTTGGTATCTTTAACACCAACATTAACTTGTATTCTTAACGCGGATCCGTCAAGAGGAATTCCCAAATCCGGTTGCATTCTAGCTATGCTTTTATGTTTCTTCGGATCGGGATTCAAACCGTTAACAGCGTTAATAATCTCTTTGGGAGAGTAAATGAAATGAGGTTGCGATAGAACTATAGGTATATCGTAGTAGCAGCTGCCTATGTTCTGCAGGCCGTTTTTGGGGCAATCTTTATTAACGCAATAGCACTCGTTGTTCGGGTTTTCTTCGGGAGAGGCGAACAAATTTCTAGGCATTTCGTAATTGTATACTCTGAAACCCTGCGGGGTTGTTCCTTCGTTCGTATACTCGAGCACCACCGGTCGACAGAAAGCTTTCCTGAACATGGTTATGCTGGTTTTCCTCATAGGTCTAGGATAAATGGTCCCGTCGAAATCTCCTTCGACTAATTCGCATTTTTTTGTTGTACCGATGGCATCATCGTCAGGATTGTATCCCCATTCCGTTAGCCCTTCTATACCGTTCCACGTGACAATGTGATATGGAGCCATCTCTTCAGTGTATGTTAATAGCCTTTCGTAACGGGATTTTCTTTTTCCCGGTTCCAATACCATCACTACTTCGTTTCCGTTGTCTCTTGAAATTAACTGCAATAATATCTATAAATCTTATGTTCTAATAACAATATTTTCAAAGAGTGCTTACCCGTTCCATTATTCCGAATTTTTGGAAATCTATCCAGCTTGGAATGAATTGATTTGCCATGGTGACGAGCTTATCCTCGTACCCCCACAGATATTCATCCACTGTGATGTATTTGAACGACTCCGCTCCCATAGTGGCGCTTAAAGTAGCGAATCCCAGATTGGTTATAAACGAGGAATCGGTCAGGAAACTTTGGATACCCTGAAAATAATAACTATAAAAATCGAAAAAAAATGATTAAATAATAACTTACCAATAGAGGAATATTAGGAACGACTAGTTTATCTAATTTAGGGTTACCGACCGAACATTCTTCATCGACAACAAACTTTCGAAAGGGATAGAAAGTTAGAATACCTTCCTCTTCGTTGTACGTTGAATTCTGGTTACTCAAAAGCTCTCTGTAAAATGGAGTTAATAAGCATTGTACTTTATTGAGTTAAGTTTAGCTTACTTGTAACAATAAGGACCAACTTCAGTGACATTCAGTTTTTCCTCGCCTCGTAGAAACTCCTCTGGATTAGTTACGTTGAATATGTATAGCCTCATCTTAACATCATAAGGCGGGTTCTCCCACAGCTTAAAGAACATCGTTCCAGGTTTCATTTCCAGCAACTAGATTAATAAAGATCAATGTAGAAAATTAAAATTGGAAAATAACTTACAAGAACAAAACTACATATTACTTAAATGAAATCTTACCTTTAGCACTATCATGTGCAATGGATCGTAGAAATACATCAAACAAGAGCAGCATACCAGTATAACTCCTACCAAAGCTAATGTAATTATTTCTGAAATAAAAGAAGATAATTCATTATTTTAGTAATTTGTATCTTCACTATTTATAAGCTTCTTTTACAATATACATACATAAAAAAATATCGCGTTAGAAAGAGAGTATTTTTCTCAATCTAGTTACACAACGTGGTGTTCGCTGATAAAAAATACAACACTTGTTAATTTTTTGCTATAAAAAAACATTTTGTTCATTGAGCAACGTAATTAAATTACTATATCTATTTGGCCGACGTGCATTTCCAATTAGTTTCCATTGCACGAATTATTGAATTGTTACAATGACTACAATGGAACGAGAGTAAGAAAAAATAGGAAAATATATTAAAAGACAATAACTGTTGAAAAGAAAAAGCTTTATCGTGTACATTAACAAACATAAACTGATAATTCCGACGATTAACTCCAATAATGACTACTAGAACTGCAATTAATATCATCAATTGAACGTAAATTATGAGTGCGTGTTACCGACCTTACATTTTTTTTAATTTCAAAATTCGATAATAGTGTCTCGTTATTTACAGTTTAACAATTTTATTAAGAATGAAAAACAAACTTACACGTAGAAAGAAAAGTAATAAATCTTGTTAAATTACCACTTATTTACTAGTTATTTCTGTTTAATACTCCATGATATAGTATTTGGAACGTGTAAGTTGAGAAATGAATAAATTTTATACCTATTAGTCTTTTCCGAGAGTAGATATCTAAGCTCGATCAATATTTACAGAGATTGTTCATTGCTATATATAATTTTTGACGAAGGAAAAATACAAAATTATTTTTTTAAGCGTGAGCGAATATCAAAAGTTGAAATTCCTTCCCTAGCTCAAGTATGTAGATGGTCATTAGTCAAGGAAATCCCAATAAAATCGGTCAAGGTGGATGAGTACTACTGCAGTTCATGATACCTAATTGAATCGGTCGCCAATTTCCCTCAATATACTTTTATATAAAAACAATCACCCATCATCGATAAAAAAATAATTTCAGCAGTTCCTCATTGCAGTATGCAAATGCCATGGGAATTAAATACGTTATTGACATTGACCTCGGATTTTTTATGTTTGCTATTTTCGTTTTACGTATTCACAATGCTAAAGTTTATTGCGGTCGATTTATTATTCATCAGAAATGCCTTACCGGTGTTATTGTACTCGCTCCCTAGAATATATTTTAATGTATTCTATAATCCGCTATTTCGTGATATAAATCATTATTTATCAAAAATTTCGATAATGTTAGAATAACCTTAATTTTAACTGGTCTTGAAGGATCTTGAAGGTGAAGGTAAGACCAAAAACTTATAAAACCAGAAAATATTCCCGACCAAATAAATTTTACTTTCATTGCCTTCATAATTATGTAGCTTGTGTTCGTGAATGAAGATATGATGAATATTAGAATTTGTTCAATCACCCGAAGCATCCATAATCTTATTAATTATAAATCCTCTCTATTAGGATACTCACTCTATTTGCGATACGAAAAATTGATAAAACAAATATTTAATTACAATTAATCGTGAATCTATTAATAACCTTTTATGGGTAACATACAATAAATCACTCATCAGAAACGTCGGAGTTATTAAAAATTGAATAATTGTTGTTAATGTAAATATTTTAACAACGTTGTAATTGCTGTTGTCATTAGCATGTGTAGAATATCTAACGGGGCAAACATTTTTAAGCTATTTACATATTGAAATATTCTAAATCTTGGAAAGTTTTTTTTCTTAATAAGTCGCTTAAGTTGTACCTGCTACTTTTACTCTTAGATAAACCGTTTGGTTTGTTTGTTTGGTTAACAGAGAACCTGCCTTAAATAAATTAATTGTGCGATCTTGGAATGTTTATAGCTGTTCGAAAGTAATTAATAATAAATTTCAATAATTTGTTTACAAATGCGAATTCGCGAATGTTAAGGTCAAAAAACTTGTAATTTAATTCATAAGAGGATCTCCAATTTTTTACGATTATTTATGGATGGACTTCCGTTGAATCACTGCGACATTTATTTGAAGAAGAATGGACGCTAACACGTAATTAAAATACCGAATTTTGCTAAAATTTTAAATTAATGTTCATGCTTTAGATGGGATTTACTTTTTAATGCTTACAAAGATCACTTAAGAACACTTAAGATTTAAATATACATAGACATAATAGTATATGTACCTACTCGTAATTAAATTTTGTCATGTACTGACCATTTAGAGAAAAAGATAATACAGACGTCGTAAAAATACTAGAACAACATAAAACTTATTCCTACTAAATTTCATACCTATTTTCATTGGATGCGCCATTGAAGTTTATTTTTTTTCTTAGAAATACTAGTATGTAAATATTAAAGATTTATTAAGATAAACCAAAAACATTCCTACTATTTTTAATGTTAAACAACCTGACATAAGTTTATTCCATAAAATTTTGAATACAGTATGTCTTTAAATTACTAAAGGAAATGCCTCCCAACAAATCAATAATTGATTATTTTGCAACATTTTAGATTAACTGTTAGTCTGATAATCCATAAATCTGATAATAGGTCATAAACCTACAGTTCATCATTTTTTTTTTCAAAGCAGTTAATTGCAAAGTATCATTTATTTAATTAATCTTATTTAACATAAAGAACAGCACCTTAATTCCTGTAACAATAGAGTTAAAAGGTAACTGTTAAGTTAAATCATTGGATTTAAATATGTAGGTATAGCAAGTTAAATCATCATTTACTGTTACTTTGGATTAATCATTTTAAACGGGTTCTGGAAAAATTTAATATTATTAGAATCGAAAAAAAAATACCTCCATCATTGTCATATTACTTAATGGCTTGTTTAAGGTCAATAATTTATCTAATGTACATCTAACCTTATGTAATTGTTATGTCTATTTTTATTTTATTTTATTAATAATTATTAACATACACAGTAATTCTTTCAAGTTAAATATTTGCAAAAATGATATTAAATATGTAGGTATGTGAAGTACCTAACTCTTTTTCTGGATATTTTGTACATTTTTTGTATATTTTTTCTTTGTCTAATCAAATACGTTGCATAACAATGTTGAATAATAATCCATTAAACTCAATTTGAAGACGAAAATTATCGTAAATTTACCCGAAACTACGAGAATTTACACATATTAATAAAATTTATTTAGGCAATCTAGTTAATTTTACAATTCTTAGTAATTTTATAGGTATTTACTTAAGAAGATTTATAATTAGTTGTATAGAAGATAACACGCCTGATACTTAGTTAATACTTTTAATAAATAATTGATAGTCATTATCTTAATTAATTTGGTAAAAAGATTATCGTGAATATTTTGGTTTATTGGTATATTAATCGTCTGGTTTGTTTTCCTTTCGGAGAAAATATTTTTTAGTAAGAAATTAATTTTACATAAACATGATATTCACGCATTTCTGTGTCACATGGATCAAATAATTTTCAAAATTTCTTATCACATACTTACGATAAAACTTATTTTTAAGAAAGATAAATCTCGTTACTTTTACTAACTGTTATTTTTTTTAGTAATCACATTTAATAGTGTATAAATTATTAATCAGAAGCTGCATGGAAAAGGTTATTCAAGATGATTGGCAGGAAGGAAAAACATTTTTCGACTTTGTTTCACGACTTAAATAGCCTCCTTATTTGGTCGGAACGACAATTCACAAATTGCTCTCGAAAATCGACTCCAATTTTACTTTTAGTTATCTAATTAACGATACTGGTTCTGTGTCGATTTAGCATAATAGCCGCATGTATAAGGATCTCACGTACTTCTCGCTGCAGTTAATTTTTTTCTCGTTCTGTCAACCTTTCCTCAATGATAATGAAAGCCTTTGTGTATGTCAAGGCTAAAACTAGACTTGATATTTAACTAATATTTTGACTGCAATTAGACGAATTGCTTATAAATTTGTCAATTGCTTCCTTATTTTCTGTCTTTAATTCTTTACTTTAATAATCTGTATAATTGCAATTCGTTCAAAAATAATGAATGTATTTTTTATCTACAATCTACCATCGCGCAAGAAGATCGCGATTTGTTAATATGTAAAAAAAATTATGTAACTATTATATTTACGAATATAATTATGAAACAAAATGTTTATATATAATAATTCACGAACTTTAAATAAATGTTACCCATTTAACTGTAAACGATTTTTAAGTTAATAAAGCGATAAAAGTTTAATTAAAATATAATCTTACATTGATTGCATAATTCCCAAATATTCTTTTTTTGGACTAGGCTATTTCTAAACACTAAATTGAAATTAATGATAGTCTTGGTTTATCGCATTATAAATTATTGTTATTTATTATTTATTAGTATCAATTACTTGTATGTAGTTTAATGAATGCAAGTAATTAGAATATTTATATCTAATTGTTAGAATGCATAAGGTAATTAATTGTACGCAATTTAATGCATCTGCAATGTACATAAGTAACGATTCTAAAAATCAGTAAAAAATATTTATCCTTTGATAAAAATATTTTTATCAAATAGTTTAATGAAAATTAATAAAAAAGTTAAATTAAAGATTTGATCACAGTGTTTTGTCAGTATTATAAAATCGCCCCTATTCTATACCTATAGTAACTTATAATCCAAATAAGTATAGTATATGCTTGTAATAATAAAGTTATATTGGAAATTTACTCTTCTGAGCTAACATTGATTTAATTAGGTACCTGGTATAATTTATACAAACACAAATTTATTTGCTGTTTTGTTAAAATTTGTAGTACAACTACATATGTATATGTACTATACTAAACCATTTTTTTCTGTAGGTATGTGTTTTAGATGTGATATTATTTAATATACTTTACAAGAAATTATACTCCGAATTAAAATTCACAATTAAAACCGTTGACTTTATTCAATATTTAAACGCTGCTTGTGTGTTAGTGTTCTATGTTATCATTGATATCTTTCTGGAATTTTTTAACAATTTGATAATTAAAAGAAATTTCCAATTTTTTATTAAATAATCAATATTTACTTATAAAATTATCGATGCATAAATTTTTAATTGGCATATACATTTTTGACAATTTTTTTGGATTATTTACCAAAAAAATATGTAGGTATTTTCAAATGTAATATGAATTATTAAATTTTTATTTTAATTGCATAATATCATGAGATTAATAGTTAATTCATAGGAAACCCATGTACCTATATGTATTCAATATTACTTGTTTATTGTTTCGCCAATTTAAGATAGTTTTATACCTTTTCATACATGTATGTGAAAATTTAAATGTTCATATGATTGTTCAAAAAATTAACTTGTTCTATTATAAAATAGTATAATTTGTATACAGGGTGGCCATATTTCGATGCGCTAATAGGAAATCTTGATAACAACTCTATGGAAAAATGATCCTCCCTCATCCTCTATATTTTTTAAGAACAGTAAAATCAAAAACTATATTTCTGAATATTTCTGAAAATAGGAATAAAAAAATTATTTTCTACCATTTTGTTGGTATTTATTTTAGAAATTCATTGTGAACTAATTTCTAAATTATTTTTAAATTATAAGTTAAAATTTAGCCATTCACGGACATTTTAAATACTTATACAGAATATCTTTATCAAAGGATCAGGTAAATATTATTGGCTAAAAAAATAAATACAGCGTATTTTTTTATAAACCGCCGGTAATTTTAACACTTACTTCCATTAATGTTGTATCGAATTTCCTTTTTCATTGTTAATTAATTTATATCACACACAATACGCGCGCAGAAATCAAATACCGACTTGAACGCGATTTTATAAAGAAACTCCTCCGGTCCACCGAAAACACCCGTTCGCCGATCGATTAATATAATAGCGATCTTCAATACTTCAATATCCCTTTTCTGAATAAATAAGCCCGCGACAGTTCCGGTGTTTTAAACATCGCGCTAAAGAGATAAAACAGGGTTGGAGTGGGAGTTCAGTATCCTGAGCGACGTCGGCGCGTCGCACGTTGTTAAAGAACAACGTTAATTCCATTTGTAATTTTGTAGACAATTACGTATATGTAGTGTATGATTAGTTTAATGTTTTTTTTTCATTACAACATTGTCGGTATATGGTATATCCATTATATCATTAAAATTGTAGCAATTTGCAATTAACAACAGAAGTAAGTAGAATAGCCAAATTTTTCTGAAGAAAGATTGATTTATTTGCCTTTCGTACATAAGAAATCAAAATTGACAACGAATTAATAAATAGCAGTATCAAATTAAATCGCAATAACATTTTATTGCAACTATTTCTGGGTCTCCTTTACACACGAGTACTGCTTTAAATTTGTTTAAAAAATATATAGAACTTCCGTGTAGTGTCGCTCAATTTTACGAAATTATTCAGAGGTTATCGTATAGTTAAATAATTGGAACCGAATAGTAACTTTTGACAATCAACTCTTTATCAATGAACTAGAACGCAACTTACAAATACAATAACAATTCAAAATAACTTGGATGTAGTCACAGATTTTTTTTCCAAACACACAAGTGACTTTTACAGAACCTACTCTTATCTAAAAACGTTTGGAAAGGCTACATTATTATTCTTATAAGTATTCCATTGAATAAAATGAAAATCATAGTTACAGTTAAACGAGTAAACAAATCTACGTAAGAAATTATAAATTATGTTCCCGTATGTTACCAAAACTGTAGTCTTCTTTCATCGGCCTGAATTTCAGGACTCTTTGACGTCTTTGTTGCAAAGTAGTCGCAAGGTATGCAAGATAATCCTATAGAACTCGTTTATTATTTTTTTCATTGAAGAAATACATCGAGTTTTTTTTTCGGTTTCGATTCAAGTTTGCGTTTCTTCAGCTTATCGACCATCATCTACGTGGGCATCGGGGAATCTCTTGCCTACTTCAATGACGTCAGTTCGATCTCGATAAATATTCTAACTGATTAATTTATAACTAATTTCGGTAATTCGCTTGGAGATATTTTCTCCTCGACTTGAAGAAGGTTAATGAGTAAAATCGGCAGATGGAAAAGTATACAATGAATACGAAAGAGATATTTTATTACCTAAAATTTATACAGACGTAGAGTTTTTTTTATAAGATATTTTCAAGAAAATATAGTGCAACGAAGAAATAAATTTGAAGTAAATTTTACAATATATAGCTATTTTACCGATATTGTTATTTTCTAAATGTATCTACAACTAGCGTCTTACTGGAATAACAATTGATTCATGCAATTACCAATTGGATATTATTCGGAAAATCCTGCTTTTTTACTCGTGTTCATGTCAATTAATAAATTTTGTACGATACGAGCGGAGCAAAGTTTAACGACTATACAAACCAGCCATTAGGTAGGTATTTCTATTACAATTAAACAAAATGCATTAAATTATTTTTGATCGCTAGATTTACATTTCAATACATGCAATTTTGAATAATTTATACAAAAACTTCAGGAAAATAATAAAAAACCTTCGTAGAACTGACCGACGCAATTGTTTACATGAATTAATTGTCTTATACGTTAGATGGACAACCTACTTGGGTAAATAACGAGTGATGCACGTTGTATTTGAGATGTAATTAGGTGTTATGTTAATGACAATGAAATTATTATATTTGCTGCAAAAATTTTATATGTATTATATTTCACTGGGATGTAACATACATTGTAGAATAATTCTTATACATAAAAAATTCTTAAGATCATAAAAATCCAATTTAGGCACTCGATGAAAAAGTTACTTCCAAAACTCCCCCAGAAAACTATTTATTTCTCTATTGTACTTGAAATAATCCATTAATTATTTAACTAATTAACGTCGATATAATTTAAACATTATTTTTCAATAACAATTTCCGGAATGTTTCAATAACAAAAACCTTATAATTGTTAGTAGGTATATCTCTCGGATGGGAAATTTATTGTCCTGGTGCTATAATTTAACCCTGGATAAATGAAGTCCTCAAATTGTAGACAAAACAAACTGTTACCTTATCAATATTTAATTAGTCGAACAATTAAGTAGGACTTTCTTTGAATAATGAGTTATTTATCAAATCAAAAAATTTACCAAGCTCTTCATTTATATTTTTAACGGAACCTAAAGAAGCTTCAAAAAAATAATATAATTTTAAATTATTTTTCATTCTGAAAACAATGTTGATTCAAAACTAAAATGATGAATACTTTTTTAGAGTCAATAATTACTGAGGAAATACTGAAAATAAAAAAATTAAATTGAAAACAATAATTTACCAAATAAACTGTCTTATTAATGATAGTCGTGTAATGTTAATCTGTCATATTTCGTGGTCAATGTACAAAAATAATAGTAGGTAATTATAAATATTGCGACGTAACATAAGAAGAATTTGTTAATGCAAAAGTAAACGACAGCTTAAACACGAATAACGTTTATCAAAAAAAAAAATAGAATAAAAAATTATTAATTACGAGGGGCCCAATTTTTGTTTTAGTCTTTATATTTATTTACCTTTAATTCCTTCGCGTCTTTGAAAAGCGAAAATAATTCTAAATATGAGCTCGTTGATCTCGAATGGGTTACCCAAACGGCCGACTAACCCAGTCTTATTTAAAACGAATTTACGACCCGTCACTAATAAACACCCAAGGTATTAGGAGGTGTTAAAATTCGAATCAACGATTGGTAAAACGCAAAATGACCTAGCCACCATAAAGGAAAAATTTTTATATTTTTTTAATTTTTTAAATACTGGTGAGTGAAACAGCGAAAAACTAGTTTGAAAAACGAGAATGAATAATTATCTTAATTTTTCATGTTCTGTGCAGTAGCAGGAACATTATTGCATACAGGATGATAAAAAAAATTAAACCGCTTTTATAGGCATCTACAGCCAGTAATTTAATTAATGCGAAACCGAATATTTAAACAGGGAGTCGAACAGATAATGAGACGCTGATAGCGGTCGCGACTGAAACGGTGCTAAAACTTTCGATATTTTCGGACTTAATTAATTTGTTTTTTTTTTTGATAAATTATTTGACGTAAATACCCTCCTTGAAATCAATGGAATCATAGCCATCAGAGGTTTAAAAAATTGTGTTTATTACCACGCAAGTTGTTGAACTCTTTCTAGCATATGGATAGGGCGTAATTTTTTGGAGTGTTTTGAGCTTGTTGTGTGTATACTTTTGTTATAATTATTTGTCGTTTATTTGTTTTTGATATGTTTACCTATATGGGAAAAATATAAGTAGATAAGTGATTCATGCCTGTAGAAAAATACTTATTGTGGCAATTAGGCAAGTCTCTAATAAATATTATTCATTGAGAAATATACTTCAACGTAGTTGTATAAAAAATATGTTTTAAATGGAAGCTGCAAGTGAATTTGAAATGTATTTTTAATTTTTTAATGTCGTTTAAAATATACAAATTTATATTAGTAAAAAGATTGTAGATCTTAACCATTTTACATTATTACATAAATTTGAAATTAAATCTAGATACTATACATAACATAAACGAAATTTTGTATATTAAATAATGAAACGTTAGGTAAACTAATAAAAATAAACTGAAAACTTGATTTCATGCTAAAATCAATATTGGGTAGGTACTCACTTAATTATAAGCTTTTTAATTCATTAGAAATACCTGCAGCAATCAAGATGATGTAGTAGACAAATTGCTTTGTTTTAACAATCCATTAGTTTTTTTTTTATTTTTATGAGGCTGCGTAAGTTGTAAATAAATTTAAATTTGAACATTAATAGAATTATAATTTTCGATTTGACGCAACATAAACGACTTATTATGCGCGTGTAAATTACAGAGGCGTTTTAGTTAGTCGGAAAAATTACATTTTTAAAAGTCTATCGTAATGCAAAATTTATATTTATTTAGAAGTATTGTACCTAATATAAGTATCCACTTTAGTATTTGTTGAATTCTGTAACATTTTTTTTTCTGTAGATTGTAATTAGTAATCAATCGGTATTCGCCAATGTACAACGTATCTTTTTTATTAATTACCTACGCAAAATGAATAAGTATTTAAAACAATAGATGTGTAGCAAATTAATCATTGTTCCGCGTTTTTACGCAGGCTTTATAGAAAAATGCTAAAAACGGGTACTTACATTTGCGATCAATTATGAGTACTTACCTACCTACATGTGTATAATTTTCAGACATTTTTTATGCGGAATTACGTTTATTCATTGATGTTTATTCAACCGCTAATTGTTGTCATTCGATTTGGAAAATTCAAATGACTCGTAAAAATAGTTATTATTGAGAAATATTGTACGTAAAATGCGACATTTTAAGAGTAAATACCAAAGTCCGAGCGACTACAAATTAATAAATGTGTAAAGATCCTTGTTTCAAAGTAAATGAAACTTGTTTCAGTGAGTACTTATAGAGGGATTATGATAATAATGTATATTCTGTATTTGCTTGGTATCACAATTTTTACAATTTTAAACACAAAGTATAATTAATTGCACAACAATTAATATCCGCATTCGGTGCTATACCTACTTAGTTACATTATAAGCTTATACTACTACAAAATTGACTAACCATTGGAATTTAAACTTTTAAAAACAATTATTTTCGTCTGCACGTGTCAGAGCTATACTCATTTTCATTGCTAGCAACAAAATTTACAAACATATATTTGATTAATTATGTAAATTCTCTTTTTTGAACATAACAGTTAATTAACCTTTAGATAAATAAATAAACGAAAGGGACAGGAATTACCTTACCATCTTACACCTCGTTACATCTTATGGTATTTTAAATATTCTGGCCTGTTCATTAAATACATATAGTAAATGTTCCTTGGAATTTCGTTAATTTTTTTATTATGTTTATAAGTAATTTTAATATTACTCTTTGGATGTTTACCTGAACTGTTTTAAAACCATCTGTATTTGGAAATACCTGACGAAAAAAACCGAACATATATTTTTGCTTTAAATCAAATAATTAATAGTAAAAACGTCTAATGAACTAATTTATATCTAAAGTACCTACTTTTATTTCTTAACAACAAAATTTAAGAAAGAGCATTATTTGCCAATAATTAACTCGTTATCCAACGTAAGCATATTTGACATTCACAAGGAAATTAGGTTTGTTGTAAAACGGTTTGTAATTGATAAGTGATTGTTTATGTCCCATGTTTGATATTATCATCAAATTATTAAGTAAAGTTTTCGATACCGGATCTAATAAAAACGCAATAAACACAACTTACATTAGCAATGCACAGTCATTAAATGAGTAGATATTCAGAGGTCAAAATTTACCAATTAATCAAAAAATAATTTTGAGTTAGGTACATCTTCATATTTTTCTATTTGTGTATGCCCCGCATCTACGAAATATATCTACATTCACCATGAGTTACATAAATGAGAACAAAAAATTTTTAAGGAAAATTTTAATTGAAACGACGAACCGACATTACTACGGCATCAATATTAAATTTTATGAATGATTAAATGCACATGGCTACCTAATAATTTTAACTAATATCGTCGTAAAAATCCCCTGTGTATGATTTCTTAGATTTTTATAATTTAAAAATTACACGTTATTAATTTCTTTATATGTATCGTACACTATAATTGTCCTAATCTAATAAGTACACGTTGCAAAATAGCTAATTGCTCTGTCCGGTTTTTCTAGTATTCATTTTCTGCAACGACAAATAAGAAAATTACATCTTTATTGGTTTGTTATATTAGGTAATTTGTTGATATTTTCGGGGATTTTTATTTTTTTTATTATTCATGAACTTTAGGTACAGTATATCGACATTCAATGGCAGGTTCAATGGAATAAAACGAATTATAGACGATTCTTCAAATAATTTTATCTATACATCATATAATTATATAAATATTTAATATATACAGATCAGAGACAGTAAAAAGGTACTTTTATACTTATAATATAATCTTACGGAGATCTGATGACACAACATACATTGGAGTGTTTCCCTTACTGTGTTTTGTCAATAATTTTCTAATAAATAGCGGCAACCCGAAAGAAGATTATTCCTTGAACTCATTCTGTATAAAAATTCAAAGTAGTAGGAAGTATTTGGAATATAGAATTATTTTTACCTATTGCATAAAAGTTGTTTAAAAGGTTAATAAGAATAATTTATTGTTTCCTGTTTCGAGGTGCCGCCTTTATGGAAGCTTTTTATTGACAAGAAAAATGCTTTAAAATAATTAAATGTAATATTTATCTACCTACGAAATAAAATATTTGTGCCTATAATGAAGTTCTAAAACTAACACAGAGTATCACAATCATAACGCTATATGTATATTACACTTACTAGTTTGGTCGAAAATATCGATAGATACAACTATTGACGAGATTTTTTTATAAAAACTAATGCAATAAATTAACACATATGTAAATCCTAACACCCGTTTACATTGGAATAAAACACGAAACTATGTTTATATTGTAAATATGATGTAAGTACTTTATAAGCGTTTCATCGATTTCCCTTAATCGTTATCACTTATTAAAAATTTCATATTGTTACATATATTTTGGATTGATATAACAGTATATTACGCAACGATATTAATATCATGACAGTAACATACTCTAGTTTATCTACGGCTATTTCTACAGAATAACCTCGTAGGTTGGTGCTGTAAATTAATTTGTATTCGAAATACACATTGAATATCAGAATAACAGATATTTTTAATAGTAACAGAGATATCTTGAAATAGTTTTGTTCCCAAGTGTCTGCAATATAAAGTGTTCTAATTGAGATAAGGTGTAAACAAATTAAATAACAGCCGTAGATAAAAGTGTAATCGGTCTAAGACATAAATTTTGCTATTTACTAAACGGAGGATATATTGGCACATATTATTATAAAATGCCATAAGTGAAGAGATTAGTTGCTTTTTTGAAAAGGGTATTTATTAATATTGAAAACGCTTATCGAGATATGTTACAAATTTTGCTGAAGAAGTTCAACGTGATTGTCTTATCGACTAGATATCTCACTAGAAACTGACTTAAAGGCTAAAATAAATAGGGTGTTGCGATAATTATTGGACAAAGAAAACCTGGTGAAATTTTTTGTGGAGACTTGTGCTTTGTATACGAGTGGGTACATCTATTTAGAGTGAAAATTTTACATTTAAATAGAGCATTTTGCAGTTTTTCTCTGTCCTATTTATTACACATTGAATACACACACCCTTTATACGTAATTCAATAAAGAGTCGTCAGATCATACTATCAGTCTAATAGAGAAATACAATACATGCTTTCAAAATTGAAATTTTTAGAGGACGTTCAAAAGTTTTTTCGATTGTCGATACGTGATAAAAATAGAATTAAAAAAAATCCTAGGAAATCTTTTTTGAAACGTTTCCTAATGTTTGAGAGAACTATAAAAATTTTGAAGAATTGTCCAAATCTACTTGGAATTTATTGCTTTCATACATTTACCTTTACCTTTTTGCCTAATTAATTTAAGGAAAATTTCAATTTATATCTAACAATTTTTAAGAATGTGCAGGATTTTTTTATATTCTTCGATGTTTAGGAAAAGTTTTGATACAAGTGAAGTGTCTTTTCTTTTGATCGATTTGTTTTGCAATAGAAAAATATGATTGCAATAAAAATAAATAGATGCAATGTTTGACAAAATAGTTCCTCTCAGAAACTTAACGATAGATATATCTTGGTATTGGTATGAAAATCCATTTAAATACATACATAAAACTTTGGATATTTTGAGCAGTGGCTGTATAATACACGTGTTAGGAGCTTCCTTATTACAACAATATTACAAAAATGGACAAGACGCGGAGCCTTCCTTTACAAAATACTTTTCATACTTTCCAGCTGCACCTACAGATTGTCTTATTAAGATCTTCTCGGTTCTAATTTTTGAGAAAGACTCGTTAGCACCCTCTGATTGTCTATAATTCTCAAACAAGAAATGTACGATTTTACCTCACCTTCACCTTTAGGAGACGGTGGATCTAAAACTAACGAAACGAATAACAGGTAAGTGAATTATCGACAAATAAAATGATCATCCTTACCTAAATGCCTACTTCTACAAAACCGAATGGTCCTCATCGTTTGGGCTAGCATGTGCATCTTCTCGAAATTCACCAGACCGTCGATGCAGGTCTTGTTGCCCTCGTGCGTGAACGTCATATCCTTCAACAGCAAAGGCATGAACGGCACGACTGGCGGCTGCAGCTTCCCCACGCTCACCCTGTAAGCGCGGTGGTTCCTGCTCGGATCGATCGCCGACTCGAATTCCGTGTACAATTTTCGAAATTTCGACGGCAGCTTGTCCCAAGTGTTCGACAGCCGAGACACCGCCACGTTGCTCAGGCCCATCACTATGGCGCAGAAGGCGTTTAAATTTTGATATTCCCTGCAACTGGTAGAAATTTAAAGTGGTATTTTGCGCGTAATGCACAAACGACTTACTAAGCGGCTAGTTTGATGAATTTTCTCAAAATAGCGACCCGTTTGCTCAGGCTGCAGGTCATGCAGATTTCCGTGACGACCCAAAATTGGATTTCGTTGAATCGCCGCAGAAAAACGTCCAGATTCGCCGTGATTTGGCCGAAGTGGTGTCTACCGAACGTGTGATACAATAATTCGTATTCGTGAACGCACCTTAAACGATAAAGGAAATAAGATTTGAAAAAGCGAGCTGAAACGACCCGTTACCAAAAGAGATCCCAATCGAACAGCGTTATGTAGTAAGCCAATTCTTTGGTGCTGAACATTTCCAAATCACCATCGATTCCTTGCGTCGGTTGTTCTTGTTCGCTCAGGCACGTCTGTGAACGTACAAGTTATTTTACCGTGGCTGTACCGTTGATGTAAACTTACCAAAGCATCCAAATGGTCCTTGGGCGAGACGAATATCCTGCCGTTTAGTGTCAGCGCAGTCGGTATGCTGATGTCGTTATCCTTGAACACCACCCTTTCACCGTTGGATTTGACTTCCACGAGGTGCAACTCGTCGGTGGGCCGCATTTGTAGTTTTTCAGCCGCCACTAATTTAATCGTTTCGGCGGTCGTATCGACGGGCAATCTCAGCGTGCAGTAGGTGTGATCGGCGCAATATACGCGAAATATTACTAAAAAAAGTATTAAAAGATTACGCCGTTTCGTCATAAATTATTGAAACTTGTTTGATGGTCAGGAATACTGTAATTTGTTGGTATTTTGCACTTTGAAGTTCATAATACGCCTGAACTTTTAAATATAATGAACTAGAACTGTTCAAATAAGACAAGAGTAGCTTTGCATAAAAATCCCATTTATCTATTATAATTTACTGTTTATAAAATCTTCCCGTACAGTGCATAGTAGCACAATGACTGATAATTGTTGTAAAATTAAATTAAAAATTGAAGAGTTGCTAGTGCATATCTGTAAATCAATGCAGCTAAGAGATTTATTAAGACGCTTAAAGTTATTCAGTAAAACTGGTTATGGTACTTACTATCATCTTGTGGCATAATTATCGTTCTGCTCGTGTCATCGGCGGCGCTGAAGAGGCTTATCGGTTGACCTAGCGGTGGTAATTTCCATTTTTGCCCTTCGTGCGCTTTCCTATCTTCATTATATCTTGAAAATAGAGAGATTTATTCGGTTGAGTAATTAAAAAACGGGATTTGGAAGCGTATTCATAAAGTTAAATAACCTTATATTTGGAAAAATCGTGTTTAGGGTGAGGTGAAATACGTATTTCACACAAAAATACAGATGAGAGAAACGAACACAAAATTTATCCAATTAATTCCATTTACTTTTACGCCGTTGTAAGTTTCAATGCGAATTCAGCTTAATATAACGAGAAGAGAACTGAAATACAGCCAATTCTCGCGGGTTTTTTTCCCATCATTTATCCGTCCGCTATGTTTGTCATTATTTTTAATGAAATTACTGTGCTTGGCTCGATGTTTTTTTTCGAATCGATAGCTATTAATTAAAAAAGCGCAAAAAAGTGGCGGATATTGTTTTCTACGTAAAGAAAATTAAATTGTAATTGCACAATATAATGGAGTGTTACAATACCTTCTCAATTGGGTCATGACGTGATGCATCAAAGCGGCCTCCTCTTGCAAATCATCGAAATGAACAGTATCGTTTTCCAATTCATTGGCGATTTCGTCCAGGAATTCCACGGCGATATCGTCCTCGAATACTGGATGTCTCACGGTAGTCACCCACCTGTAGATGAAGTGGATGACCCTCCTTTTGCAAGCCAATACGAATTCCCTGTCTTGATTCGACATTTCCATTCTATAAGTGAGGTATATTAAGGAAAACAATTATTTTATTCAAATTCGCAGAACATTGTTCGAGTAGAGAACAAACTATTTCTAAAATAACGAGTGTTTAAAAAGGATATTATTTGTCTAACTCATCGATTAGTTGATGCGTGGGCAAAAATACGATGTGAGTTAATAGGAAATCGTCCAGGAAGGGATCCTGGGAGACGACGTAATTATCTCCTCCGCCGCCGCAACCACGACTATCCAATCTGGTTTCCAGGAGATGTTCCAACATTTTTTGTGACGTACCTGCCATCACGGTGTATCTAAAAATATTATATCAAATTAGTTCGATTCTTTACCAACCTCAATTATTAACTTACTTATAGTTCGAAGAAAAAATTTGCTTAGTATTAGAGCTGATTTTTTCCAGCCGCAGAACGTCCTTTCCGTGCTCTTTTAACCGTACCGTATTCGCCTCGACGTCCCTAAGTATTCTGTTGAAATTCTCTTTGTCGACTCTCAGAAAATGACAGTTGTTCTCCCTTAATACTATGGTGGCCGCCCTGAAATTAAACCACAAATTATACGGAATGCCTTCGAAAATGATAAACGCATTCGAATTGAATTTTTATTAAAGAAGAAAGACGAGCGGACGTGAGCGCACTCGTCAAGCGTTAAATTAAACGCGGGCTTGCTCACCTCGGAGCGTCGTTTATTAGAGCTAATTTTCCGAAATCATCGCTTTCGTGCAGAGTGTTCACCGTTCCTTTGCCATGTATTACGACATCAACTGAGCCCCTGACGATTATGTACCACGATCTCCCTTCGTCGCCTTGATGAAACACTGCAAAACGAAATTCAACTTGTGAAATCAAAGATATGTAACGTGGCTTTGAAGGATAAAAACCCGCGACTTACACACAGTTCCAGCTTTCGGATGCGCTTCGAATACAATCACAGATGCCAATTCTCGCTTGACCGAGTTCGAGAGATGCGCGAGGGCCCTGATGTGGAGCAATTCTTCGTAAATCGTTTCTTGGTCGTCGGCGGTACGTTCGTGGCTCCTGAAAACCCCGTCAAAATATTGAAATTTATTTCCATTATCAAGCTAAGGACGATTTTTGAGTGTTCAGATTCGTAATACGCTAAATGGCGTATTCGAAAAATGTACGAACAAGAGAAAATCTACGTTAAATCGTCGTAGAAGTCCCGAAAACAAAGCATTCGATCTTGTACTTACTGTTTCCTAAGTATCATTCTAAGGACGGCGTCCGGTCCCCGTTGGATTAAAATCCCCAGAGAGTCTTGTATTTGCTCTTCGGCGGTAGCGATGTCTTCCAGGGGCGGCAAGGCCGTTGCTCCCTCTTCGTCCTGCCAGAACCTGTATAGGAAGCATTTATCCTTGAACGGTTGTTCCTTATTTACTAAAAAAAAAGAAAATGTAATTAACTACTTTATGCTCAACTGTGCATGCAATATCTCGCTGTTGCTATAAATATCAAATTCAACAGCAATATTCGCAAATTCGTTCGAGTGCCCTATTTTTCCAGCTTGCATCCTGTAATTTCAGAATATTTAATAGCGACGCTGAAACAAAGTAGCATCCTCAAACTCCCCGAGCTCTCGGCCGAGGAAGTAATTCCATCGATACTCCATTATCGAAGGGAGCGTTAAGAGCGCGGCTCCTAAAATATTTATGGACGTCGGCGTCGAGACGCGCTTAAATTTCCTCATAGAATTCATAACAACGTTTATGCCTGCTTTTACCGGATAGTTTTTTAGGCTTTAGTTTTTTTTTACTTGCAAAATGAACCATCTGGCGCGTTCAAGACCACAAAACTTACCGTGAGAAATGACTCCTTCTTCGAGAAGAGCCTGCCACATTCCAGTCGCCTGGATTCTAGTGTGTATGCTGGAGGAGAGTCCGAGCAGCCAGTCCACCAATTCCGTGCCCGGAGCGCAGCGCCTCACCAACCTTCCGGATACTTTTCTGTCCTTCAGGCAGGTATTCTGGGCTGCAGAGCGAATTTATGTATTAATTACCTTGGGAGTTTTTTTTAATTAAAACTTACACAAAAGTAATGTCCTTAGCGCCCATCCGATCCTGCCCATGGTGGAGCTAGGCGCGTCCGTGATGGGCTCGGCAGGATTGGGTTGATCGGGGGAATTGGACCGTCTCGGCGGCGGCGATACCGGTTGAGCGTTGGTTTTAGCGTTCATTATGCCCGCTCCGAATCCTGCAACCAATTATCGCTTTTTATATTTTAGGGACTAAAGTACGTGCTCTAATATCTGCTAAGGAGGATTAAACGGATGCTAAGCTTTATGTCGGATTTTGCTTGATGCCATTGTGTATAATGTAGGTGTCACGGTGTTATTCCTAATTCGGAAAATTAGATAATACTTTGTTTATTAAAAAAATGTATACTGAAACCCACGCTTAGCATTAGCGAGATATTAATGAAATAAAAGGTTGTATTAGGATATAATTCCTAGCGATTAAAATTGCATATTATAACTCTGGATAGTAATCAGGATGTTTCTCCTTCATTACGTAAATTTATTCCCTCACGCCGGATAAATAACTAATAAAATATTCAAATTAATGTTTATGCTTAATAACAAAACAATTTAAATTTTATGATGGAGTCAAGTTAGCGTGCTCTCCGGGTAAATGACGACCCTGTCCTGGGTTTTTGTCGCATATAAAGGCAGTAATAGAAGGTCACCTCGATCGTTTTTTATCTTCAGCAATGCGAATTAAACGAATTCCATATTTTCTCCGTGAATGGAATAGCGAATGTATTAAATTTTCGAGAAGTAAAAATAAATGACAACAAGAACAAATATCAAAGGAATTTCAGGAATGTTGGCGGATTGAGAATTAATTATTCGATATTTCAGACAGCCAAAAAATTAAAAACCCTCTAGAGTAAATTTCGTAACTCATTAATTACTCAACTTTATGAAATATCCAACGAAATAAATAACAGGATCTGGCTTTATCACGAATTAAAAACAGACGTTTATGATCTAATAAAGAATTTTTATGATTTATTTGCACCGTTGACCGAATATTAAAGTTTGAGTAATTCTGCAAAACGACCATCATAAATCGGAGGACACGCGAACTCCTAGAGGACGTTAAACGAAACATATTATACGACTTCGAAGTTCTGTTCGATTCAATATAAATGGTTTTATAGTAGATGACTTTGTGTCGGAGCTTAAACGGGAAAAGAATTAAATTTTTTTCCAATGGTAGCTTTCAATTTCTCTAGATATTAAATAAATGAAGGAGTAGAAGTCTCGTTGAAAATCGATAAACGAAAGGGCAAGAATAAAAATAAAATCGGAAAGCTAAATAAATCTTAGTAATAACGGTTAAAGTGGGTTTAAAGAGAGAATTAAAAATGAATTAAAAAAATCAACAGGTAAAATCGTCTGCAAGCGAAGTTGCATCGACTTTTCACCTTTAAAATTAAAAATTGGACGGTATTTTTTAAAAGAAAATCAGGGTTGGAATTACCAAGCAAGATTGACTAACTTTTTTTACAAAAAAAAATATTTCATTTTTAATTACAAAGGAGGTAATTTATTTTTAATACTAAATTGGAATTATAAAATATAGATTTTTCTTACATGATTTGTATGATTTTTCAAACATCTCAACATAATTATTATGATACAATAAAAACCAAATATTTACCTATCAGATTTATCTATTTTAAAGCTGTTAGCATTGTAGTATTAATACCAATATAGTATAGATTGTAATTGATCTTATACCTTAAAATAATAAATTAACAATAATAACTCACTTGAAATTCTTATGCCTTCTAACAAATTTTAAAATTTAAAACATTTCGTTCGCTTTTTTTCCGTTTCACTAGGAAATTTTAATGAACTCCTTTAAATTCCAATTGTGCTTTCGCCACGAACGTCTAATTTCGACTGGCTTACGCTCAAACTCAGGTGCTTTATAATAGACATACATGAAAGAGAACACAATGCATGCCTCATAAGCTCACCAAATAGAAATGCAAGACTTAAAATTAACGTGTAGGTACATAAAATAAACTTACCATCTACAAAAAATGAGTTTGCATCCAACGAGTAACATGCATTAATATATTCCAGAATAGTTTACAAAAAGTAGTAATAAAGTAATGAGTAGAGTAAAATAATAAATTAAGTTTTAAGATACCATTGTGGATAAAAGAGGGATCTTATATCTACTTAAAGGGACATATAGAGTTATAATAAAAAAATGAATTCTTGCATTTTCAACCCTTAATCATGTTTAGTATAAGTTACGCCGCTGGTCGAGACATTCGTCATGGCCTCCAGCCGGGTTTTCTATATTACTCACGACCAACCCTTGTAGTGTTTGTGCATCGGTAGATGTGGATGTGGATGTGAATGTCAATGTGAATGCGCGCCGGGTTGATTATGCCTTCGTGACATTCAATATAGTCTGGAGAATTGTGTGAATTATTCAATAAGCCGAACGTATGCGAGTTTGTACCGTAGAGCAAAACGGAAATAGCTCTTTGAATAGTTCATGCGTGCGTATTCGAAATATGATTTCAGAATTTTTACCAAACGAATGCGGAGGAAACTAGAAATGATAGGGTAAATTTCACATCGATTTGTGTGAACTAAACAATATTTATCGACGCAAACACGTACGCCGATAATAATGAAATATTCGCAATTTCGTACAGTCAGCCAGCGTAAAGTTATACGTACATATTATACATATTACCCTTTGTACAAACAACTCATCCGGGAGATATAAATTATTCACGATTCCCAGTTGCGTTTAAAAATTGGAAATGCGGGAATGATTTATTTTAATGCTGTAGCATTCGTATCGTTATCGCATCGCCATCTGGATGTTTCTGAGTTTTCGAAAAAAAAAATGGAAAATCTATTGGAAAGCTGGGCGGGTGAAACAAATTTAAAGCAGTGACGCGCTGAAACTGGAAATCGGAATTGTTATTAAAAATGCAATTAACTTAACTTTGAAGCTCCAACCGATTTATTTTCCAATTACATACTTTCATAGCGTAATTGTAGGAGCGGATCGGAATACTTTTGTAGCGGATTGTTATTTGTGGAAATAATTGGATAATTTTGTTACGCGACCGCCCCTGGATCGGATCGCTGCTTTCGCCCTTTTATCTTTTCAAAGCGAAAGAATTATTTAAAGTCTGAAAGCTCGATTTTTGCCGACGGGACGAAATTTAGACGCGCTTCTGCTGACGCAGGACGAGTAATTTCCATCAGTGAATGTAAGAAAAAGTTCGTTTTTCGGATACAAAATTGAAAAAAAATTATCCCTTTTAAAATTTATCATTTATCAGCTATCTATAAACGTAATGTTTTACTACCATTTACACATACAATTTCTTCATGCTTTCACTATAATAAAACTTACCGTTCTTCATTTTACAGTTGGAAACCAAATCGTTCATTAGCTCCTTATTTTTCTGAAAAACAAACGGAAAAAATCAATAAACATTTACAAATTCCCAACTACGACTTGTTTAGCACACAAACAAAAATTACATACCAACCCCAACTCAACGAGCCCATTCTCTTCGCATGCAAACGCCTATATAGATATACCAACGCCTATTCTACATGTTCAACTCCCGTAAAGTGTGTTATAACTTTCTAAATACGTATATAACACAATTTAGACACGGTAACAGAGTATCTACGTAACGTCGACTCCGCAGAAAGTTGAACTGTCTACGCGTCGACGAAACGTATTGACAGAATGTGAGATGTGTTCTGCATGTTGTACACCCACTCATCGACTCCCGAACGTGCCTGAAGTTAGGCCGAATTTATTTTACGGTTTAATTATTGGCAATTCCGAAGCGCCGTTGAACGCCGCTCGATGGAAGTTGCGGCAGGAGTTGGTAATTTTAGTACGGCAGTTTCAGTAGCAATTTAACATTATAACGACCGAATTATCTATGCACGATATAATTATTAGCGAATGCCCTGATAACATAAAATAAATAGAAGATAAGAATTATGAATTAACGTATATGCAAATTGAAGGCCGTTTAGGTTTAAGTCATTTTTTTGCCAGTAAAGTATTTGCGTATTTAAAATAATCTGCTAGTACAGTATGGAATAATCAAATGAAATAAATGCATTATTTCGGTTACTGCGCATTTTTATAGAAAATCACGAAACATGTCAAATTAAAATTATAAATTGACATTCTTCGACGTGAAAATGTGATTCCTACCTTCAACCACCTTCAAGTGACAGTTACAACCCCAAATTCTACAGTACAAACCCCAAAGGTCTCTTCATTCCCTATTCAAAAATGTCGTTTTCATGTTTAATTTCTTCAGGTTATTCATACTCTTAAGTCATCTAAATCACGTAACCAATACTCTTCACATATCCCCATAAAAAGAAGTCAAATGGTGTAACATCAGGTGATCTTGCCCACTTCAAGTTTTACAACAAACTTGAAAGCAATATAGTTTAAATTTGACGTGTTTCGCGATTTTCTATAAAAACTGTAACCGAAATATTGAATTTATTCCATTTAGTTTTTCCAGAACTATAGGTATACGAGTAGGAGGTGCAAATTTGTCAAATTTACAATCCTTTTTGATTGCTCTATGTGGAATGAAATAAAACAAAAAAAATATATCCCTTACCTCCCAAATGAGCCTAAAATCATGCTGTTCAACCCTCAGAAGCTCGCAAGTCGTTTGGGTAACGACTGTGCTGTCTCTCGGCAAATCTTGCAGAATTGATTCACCGAATGTGGCGCCGATTCCCAACGTGCACAGCGCTATCGGATTCTAGAAATAAAAGAAAATAATACATAAAAGAAGAGAGATTCACTTCGTAATGTATCGTTCCAGAAAGAAATATACTTCCAGTTCGGGATTTATAGAAAAAGAGGAAAAACCACATCTTCGGAAGCTTCGCAGCATTCCTTTAATTAAAATTGCTTAGCAGATTTTAGAGTAGCAAATAAATTGAAGAAAACTTACATACAAATTAAGACTGTTGTAAAAGTGATAATAACTTTTCGCATATGTCAAATAAGTTTTTTTCAACTAACATTAAAGTACTTTGTACGAAAATAAATTATCGGTATTTACCTATTTGTATGTAGTTGATAACTGACGTCTATAGCAACATTCACCAATAATTTCTATGATGGAAATATTTTTAAAACAGCGGAACCAGTTGGCTCGAAAACACGATTGCAACAAATGAAGAATGTCAATAGAAGCGTCAGTTATTATCTACGGATAAGTAAATAACAAAATATTTGAAAATTTTGATAAACAACTGAAAATCGAGAAAAGTTGCATACAGTACCTATTGTTAAACAATATTGGAAATAGTATGATAAAAAAACTTCAATTTTAAGCATACCGTAACATTAATTTTCCATATCATTAATTGGATCACTATAAGCAACATCTGTCTACAGTTAAAGCTTGTAAATTAATCACCCTGTACAATATATTCAATTGAAAATCCAATCAAACGTATATTAATATAAATTCCTAACCTTTATAAAGGAAATTAATTTACCTTCATAACCATTTATTTGATTCGTACGCTGCTCGTCAATAAAAAGGGGTTGTACGAATCGTGGAAAATTAAACATTACATAAAGCTAGCACTGCGTTAAATCCTACTTAGCTGTAGCCCATTTTATGGGGTCTAAAAACCTGAGCCGCTAATTTTAACGAATAGTGTATTTATCCTGCATCTATTGAAATCTAGTTTTCAAATAAACAAAATTATTAATTTATGGTAGGTATTTCCTGGAAATGAAATTCGGGATAATATTCAATTGAAATAATTTGAATTTTCAAACAAAATTCTATTAATTTCCGGCGCTAATGCCGGGAAATTTAGTTGCGGTTTCGAGTGAATTAGTGACCAAAATAGAGGCAAGCTTGAAATAATTTGAATAGAGAAATTGAGTCTCATTCGATAATAAATGACCTATAATTGAATTAATAATTGTTCAGATCGAACTAAATTATGCCTACTTGATATACATATAGGTAATAATTAGTAATCCAAATATTTAGGTAAATTTTGTTATTAAATATACATGGATATATGCTTTATTGCACTTATATTTTGATATAAAATTTTAATAAAGCATTTATTAAAGTTTATGATATTGCGCATTTTATAATTGGATAATAATTAAAATAAAATTGTCCTGCACAAATTGTAATCAAACTCTATTGTACCGGAAATGAGCGAATGAGGGATTGATGCTTTTGTTTCATGGCGAAAATATAAATACATTTTACTGTTTCAATAAACAGGAAATTATTCCTGCAATTTTGATGCATATAATACGTTCACCCTAATCCAGTCGTGACGTCATTTATATGATTTATTGCAGCGTTTAGTGTAGTTTCTTATCAAGTTTTATGAAAAGAAATGTCAGATTAATGTTGACATTGTAACAATGTTGGTAGGTATATGAAAAATGAGTAAGAATTAAAAATCGATACATCAGTTTCTTCGGTTGTCGAAAGATTCGTAAAATAATTTTCAGCCAAATGTACATCCATAATTAATTTTTCGATTTTATTCCATTCAACCAAATAAAAACGACGGGGGACGATTCAGCGCTTCCATAGGGAATTCAAATTTTCTTTTTCGAGCAGAGCACATTTCGATTTAGTACAGAAGATATACGACAAAACGGGTTCATCTTTATCCTACAAAATTTCAAAAATTCGTTTCATTTAACCAATTGTACTTGTTTCATTACTTTCCTCGTTTAGCTCATACTATAACTTATATTCTATAAACAAATATATCGATCATTTTGTTTTCAAATATCTATTTGAACACCATTTTCTTCCTTATCGTTTATACTAGATCAAAAAAATCTCTGCATTCGTTACGCTTTCTTAGTTAGCATTCGAATAAGAAAAAGGATTTCTGTCACAGGGTCGAAAGTTTCAACTCTCTAAAGTTTATTCATTTTTTTTTGGAAAGAGTTCACCACTTACCTTCCCCGAAAGTAAGGATAAAAAGTTCATGAAGTGAATTTTTAGAAAAAAAAACGACAGGAACTTGTTTCGTAATAGAAATTTCCCAAGTAGCTAAGTGGCAATTATAATTAATAACACGAATAAAATGAATAATTCGGCTATAATTACGCCATAACCGCGTGCAAATTATTTTTTATTTTGTAAACAATTAAAAGTTGAAAATTTACCTTCCTGCCATTCGAATTATCGGCATAAAAATAATAATGAAAACGGTAAACATTCACTTGACTCATAGGAAAAACAGATAAACGAATATTATTTACGACTATTTAATGAAAAGTGGCCCTTTCCAGCAAATTATGAACCCGATAAAATTTAATTAAAGTTAACGATAATTGTACCGCAATTAACGTTGCGATTAAGTATATTAGCCAAAGAAAAGGTGTCCAACTCAGAGTTTTCCGGCATTCACAACAGACAGTTCCCATAGAACCAAAGAAAATGAACGCGTTCGGTCTTACCATCATTGCTCTAGTTTTTTTCCTTCAGGTGAGTTACATTTCTTTATTATTTCGAAAATTTCAAGTTTTTGGTTTCAATTTTTAATTATAATTCACACCGCATACAATGAGTTGTACAAGGATGCTTCTATAGTGAATAAATATACTGGTCATATGGGAAAAAATTTGATAAAAATGCTGATTTAGGATGGCTAATTTTTATAAATCTTAATTTACCCTTAGGCTCCAGTCCGACAGGTAGCTGGTGATCAAAAACTGGAAAATTGCATTGAAAAACTGAAAACCGGCATGGACCTAAAAACTATTAAGAATGTCAAGTGCTTACAGCCGAATTTGAAGGAATTGGAGAAAAATTCGGATGTATTCAAGCAATTCTCCAAGCAGATACCAAAATATTGCTTGAAGGACCTCAAAGCGAAGGATTGTCCCAAAATATTGGTGACGTCTTACTTCAAATTCCAGGAAATCTTGAAGAATAGTGCAATTAGTAATGTCATGACAATCGCTAAGATGTTTAAGGATTGCTTCGAAACCATTAATTGGCAATCATTGAGTAAATACATAGCTGATGGATGTCAATAAGTGATTGCTGTACTGCAATAATGAGCTAAATTGGTTGCGATAATGGCTTACTCTATCGTATCTTTTTTTAAATATTTCTACTACCCAGCTTAAAAATTTTATAATTTTCTACAAAATTCTACAGACTTTTGCTTCGCTCATTATTGTAATGCCATCCAAAGAGAACCTCCTAACTTGTATTTGACCTGTCTGAATAAACCAATGATTATTATGATTTTTTTTATTAATGTTAGCTATATTTTTATCGGTAGGTACAAAAATTATTTATAGAATTGATTTTATTTCGTACTATTGAAGAGAAGTTAATTTGCTGCAGGAAAATATCAACATTTTCGACTGTTCGCTGACTTTCGACCTACACGAAATAATTCCATCTGTTTTCAACAAAAAAACAGCCGAAAGAAAAATTATTCGTTTAAGACTTAAAAGCATTTCCTTATCCAAGCTTTTCCTTCCTACGTGGAGTTATTTTCTTCCGACAATTTATCAAGAAATAAGAGAAGGTATAACTATTCACGGCTGAATTCCAGCCACCTTAATAGAACTTTCATATTAGAACGTCAGCACATCTATAAAATGAAGTAACGCAAATTAAGAACTTCGGTATCGGTGTTTCGTTGGAAGTTCCCTAACTCAACTCGGCTCGTTCCAGAGTTCCTAAAGTGCATTAAAACTGATCATGCTGGTAAACTCCAGTACGGAAGAATGAAAAGTAAAGGTATATTTCCTGATACTTTGCCATTTACAAGGAGCATAAGGATCATTTTATTCGAAGAAAACTTTTCCCCTTTTATGAAATACACCTAATATTACAAATATAGGATAAATATAGTTAACGAAGTAGTAGAGACTATAATCGTATATCACAGGAAAACGTATATCATTGGACAGTGAAGTACCTTTCTGGATAGTTGAAAACATTTGCGAAAAATATATTCTAGCTAAAACTTTAAAATTTCTTTCATTGCAGAGCAATGACACGTTTATTTAACCTTAATAATCACTTAGCCTTAATATCGATCAAATGTGTTTTAAATAAAAACATGAAAAATGTGTCAAATACCTTTGCGTGCGGCTTCAATGCGTACAAACCCTTGTTGCACCGAACATTGAAACATTCCATAGCTTCTTTTCCAATATACGCATCCGATAAACCCTATTGATGGAACGACGCGAAAATCGATAAAAACAGTGCGCACATTTCGCGTTTATGTCTTATCACTTTCCACAAAATTATCTTAATCTAAAGTAAACAGCACCATTGAAACCGAATTATCCTCGCTAATAAACAAACTCACTATATGCTAAGTAGACTAAAAATAAGAAAACTTTATCTTGTTATTTTTCGAAATAAAAAAAACTAGTAAAATATACAACGACTTCTGAAAGTATCTAAAGTAAAATATATCCACAATTTATCGTTTAAATGCAAACGAGAGAAACCGCAACGCCACACGAAACCCGACTCGACGTGCACGGGCGTGAAACCGACCGAACAATAAATTAATTCGTTAACTACGCGCCGGTTGTAATTAATAAAAGGCATAATTAATTATCCAGTGCAAAGGAAGAAGAGGCTCGTGAAAGTCTATGGAACCGAAGCGAAACGTTCGATGTATGTCAAGTACGAACTGTACGGAATATTTCGAGTTTAGTCCTGGTGCATTGAATAACGCATACACAAAATGGATTTGAATGGCAGTGATTGTTTTAAACTCCAAACGAACTTGAATGAAATGAGCATTTGGTAGAATAAGCCTTTGGTTATCTTCTATTCAAAATCGTCCTGTTCACTTATGCAATCCTCCAAGCCAAAATTATAATCCTTTTGACAACGCATTAAAAAATTGCAGGTGGTTATAAATACAAGCTATAAATTCCGTATTTAACATCATACCTGTTTCAAAGCCCTAATTATTACACACTATACAAGTATAATCCTATCAACCCTCAAAGTTCTATATACATATATCAAACTTCTTGTGGCAAATTAAACTAACACGACTTACTAATATAGACAGCCATGAAAGGCACAAACAACTCCCAAATCTACAAGCACCAGTCCCTTTTAGCCCTTAGAAATTTTCGCTTAAAACTTAGTAGTTAAAAACTCGTTTCGAGTCCAATTTGAAAATTCGTTAATAACTTGGAATAACTCCTAGAAACGTTCCGCGCAGAAATCATTTCGTTCCCCGTCTGCGTTGCGAAACGCAAAATGCAAGCCAGTCCCTTTACAATCCAAGTTTTCCTACCCTCGGGGAGGCTTGCACGACGACTCAACGCGGAGTTCAGTTCCGCCGGTGAGCAAACATAAACAAACCTTACTTACTTATTAAATATTCCGGCCAATTGTGTAGATATATAAACTTTTCCCGCAAATGTACACACAAATAGGTGGCACAGGAATTCTACGCAGTTTGTGGTAACACTATAAATTATACAAAAAAATTCCTACTCGGGAAAGAGAAAACTTTGATACATTAAGCATTTACTTTCCATTGTAGTGTCAAAAGGAATAGGTAATAGGTACAATCAATTTCAGGTGTGTGATTACAATAGTGGGAGAATCCTACTGGCCTAGTGATTACAGGGAAATTTATTCGGCTGTTGAGAAATGCAAATCGATATGCCTGCGAATTTTCCCAAATAACTTCCTGAAACTCGTTTCCGAGACTTGTTGAATTATGCATGTCAACTTAAATAGAAAATGCGCTACCTCAATTTTTATCGGAATGAACCGCGCGAAATTGAAACGGAAATAAGCAAAATAAATATTGGATTTTTATGAAAAGATATGAATAAGTAAATAAAAATTCTCTTTCATTCCTGCGCCATTGTGTCTTGAATTGTCAAAAACTTCCGTGAAAAGTTATAATTAGGTTATAAAATATTCTCAGGGTGAGTTTGATTCCTTAAAAAAGAGCACTTAACAATAATTAAATCGGCGACACACCACTGCAGTGCTTGGTCCAGAAAAGAGAAAAAATATACAAAAAATCCTTCACTGTATTTTCGAAGTCTTTTCCTTTTTCACTGCATCCTTTCCAGACCATCTGCCGTGCTCGACGAGGCGATGGAAAATCGGAAAAATAATAGGAAAAATCCGGAGATAGATAATATACTTACATATCAAAAGGAAGGAACCTTTATATCTCGATAGGTAAGATATACCTGCAGCAGATTTAAAAAGGAATAAAAAGAATTCGTTGAAGGTGGTTGGTTGCTTTCAAAGATGATTTAAAATTTAGGACAAAGATAAATATAAAAAAATACAGAAATATATCGAAATTATCAAAGATATTCAAAAATACATACACAAGATTTTCACTTTTTTTAATAATACAATAAAAATGTACTAAAATTATAGTAAATACATTTTAACCTAATTTGTATTATAAACACGTTACAATCACAACTTTGGAAACAAAAAATATTTTCCAACCTTATCGAGGGGTTGTAATCGTTTGTGATTTTTCTTCTGCTCGTAGAAAGAAAACGTATAGCAGTTTTTATTGTATTCTATACATTATTTGTCGATATTACACTGGAACCCACGTCAGGCTAACGTTTTTTCTTTTAGTATAAAAACAAAGAAAACCCCGAAGTTATTTGTTAGGTCATGTCTAAGCGGCAATTTATGGCACATCGAATGGAAAAAACGCCGGGAAAAAAATAAAAATATCTGCGAAAAATAGCGTCTCGGCTTTATTTTATTTTTATTGCGGAAAATTGATTTCAGAAGAGTAAGTGAAAGAAAATATCTCTGAACTTTTTATTACGCTCCGATTAGTGTATTAAGTTCAGATCAAGCAATTATAATTGTTTAAAGGCTGTGAATGGTAGTGACAGTGCAACAGGTCGTGAAAGAGAATAGAACAAAAGCAAAACTTGAAAAATTAACTTTTACCTTTGAATCCGTCTCCGGCTGGTTCACTCTGACTTCCAACGTGCCGGACATCACGGCGTACCAGCATTTTCCGGTGTCGCCTTGACGGAAAACTGGAAAGCAAAAATTGCGTGTCGTGAATAAAACATCGAGCATTATACCTACACGTACCGTATAATGGCAAAAAACAGCGGAAAAAAACACCGAGGTCTTTTTCTATTCCGCAATTTTAAGGTCTCCTATACGACATGTACATACATCAAAGGGTAATTTTTCAATGATAAAGTTCGATGTATAGCAGGCATGGCAAAAATTCATTATAAATTCATTTCAGATACAGTACATGATTGGCTGCAATTGTATTAAAGACACACTTTGTAGACACCAAAACAATCATAAAATAATTAAAATTGTACTAAATCAACGACTCATTATTCGTTTTTCTACCATTTTTTATTAATCTTATTCTGTAAGGATAAATACATACATATAAATAAGATGATAATGATACATTAGAAACCCATAAAAAAATAAAGTATAAGAAAACCAGCAACTGCGGGAACTTGGAGCTGCATATACATACCCTACATAAAGTATGATATACCCCTTTGTAAATCCCGCATTTTACGATTGTATGAACATCCCTGGTTTTATACCGAACACACTAAAAACTCATATGAAAAAAAGTAATTTAATCTTCATTTTTTCGACGTATAGCTTTCATACAAAACAAGGTTCTCGTTTATTATTCAGTGAGCGTCGTAGCGTCGGCGTCGCGACGTCATATAAAAAGGAATTGTGCTAAAGATGCGATTTTGATAAGCGAAAAGATTCATCTTCAATCTTCTTCGAGTCGACGAACGTTTACCTCGCTTCTCGCTTCTTAAAATTAACGAATCGGCAAAAGCGTTTATAGAACCGAGCACAATGAAAAGAATCAATTATAATTCGCGAAATGCGTGTCATAAATCCATTATATAATGGTAATTTGCGAATTAAAAGCTTCGAGAGTATTCGTAAAAGTGAATGCTAATGTAGCAACTTTTTTATATCTCACTAATTTCAACCATCTTGCAACCCTTAAATAAAGTACTTAAAAGTAAAAAAGAGAAAATTTACACCTTAGAAGCTTTTACCTTCTACAACATTTATTGTTGATTAATGAACTAACCTCTACTTATACCACAGAAAACTTTTATATAACAATTTACTTACAGTATAAAGTTAAGTACTCATTAGGGAAGTTTTTTATTAGTTTATATGCTACACCGCTTCTTTGAACAAACAGTAGGTACAAATGTCTACTAGTATTCTTCTCGAATAACATCTAACTCGATAACAAGCACGTCTGTTGATCGTACATCGTTTCTCCTCTCTAAACATCTGGCTTTCACTAAAGAAAACCCGAAGAATTTTTTTACTCTTAGCACGCGTGTACGTGCCGACGTTTACAATTTATAAGCTCAACGGATAAATTAGATGACACACAGGACTCGGACCGCTTCTCATTCAACTCGACACGTTCTTGTTTTTCGAGGCGTGAAAAGAAAATTTTGTCGAAAATCTTACCTACATCCAACATCTTACATACGTCCCCAGTTGTAAAAGTTATTATCGACAGCGAATGAATTCCTGATACGACGCGGTGGTCTGAGTTCCCCTACGATTAGAAAAAGATTACGCTCGGAATTCGATATTAATCCGCAATTGTCCGATTTCGGGTAAATAATTACGAACTGAGATTAGTCGAAATTACTAATTCTAATTCGAAACGTTCATCTCGGAAACGCCTGAAATTCTCTTGCATCTCTGATTAAATAATATTTCCCAAAGCCGAGAGGTTGCGATGCGATTTATCTGGGACAACCGTCTTTAATTACATCGCAACATTTTCATTACGAACTAACTCGCTAGAACTATGAATAATTTCAGCTCGTTTTCGTAGGCACGGGGTTTCCTAAACTACGCGGAATCCCTTTCGACTAAGTCACACAGCCCAAGGGGAGCCGATGAATATTCATAAATTCATCAAAGAACATTCATTTTAAAAACATTAATACAACTTATCTATAGGGATACATTACTCTATGTAGTGTACATCTCATTTTTTCAGCTGTATTAAATGGAATAAATCCAATAAAATAAAAAAAAACCATTGCATATATCAATTTTCAGTGTTATTTTATTAATCCTTCAATTGTTTATTTTGTTGCTTATTGTTTATTTTATAGTAGGTGGGCAAATACTTATGAACCGTACTGTACAATGGTGAATACATTATAATAATTCATCAGCTATGATATCAGAATGTGACCCCAATTTAATTAAACTAAATATACCTAGATAGTTTGTCGAGTAAACAATTAAGTAATTCGACTTCTTGCTAATAAGCCGAAGGCCCGGGTTAATTAACAGGCTACTAGAAAAGTTATTATCTAACGAACCGAGAAACTACACCGGGTAATCCTAATTAGTAATTTAGCGGGAAAGGAAACGATCCCTATAAGTGATAAATTAACCCTCGAACCTTCTTTGAATATTCGTTATAAAAATATTCCAAAGCAAACAAAACTATTACCTTATACGGTATTAATTAATTACTCCTTATATTAATGTAGGTATAGGTAATTAAAAAACTGAGAGAGAGTTGAATAAATAATATCTACAACCTTTTAGGTGAATTTATTTAACGATTGTTTGCAGGAATATGATTCTGTTTTCTAAATGTTAAAGCGAAATGGAAACCTCTTCATATTTTCTCATCTCCATCTATCAAATTTCCCATTATGTAATCCATTGTTTTCAACCCAAAAACTACCGCACGTTAGAAGACGTGACGCTTCGAAAATATTCCGCCTCCAAGAGTCGCTTCTATACAGCAATTTACGAGTAAGATTATACGTGCTCGGCTCTGTTCTTTGTAGGTTTTAATCCCGCCAGGATTACTCTCACATATCCGTCTATACGTAGATGTACGTAATAATCAGGACGGGAACTTTCCAGTTTGCAGATTTAACGTTATCTCGGCCTCTCACGCCAAAGACGCAAATGGATGGTAAGTCTGGTAGGAATACGTTGCGTATTAAACGCGAATTACGTTCGAACCGGATATTTGTAGAGCGATTAATTCTACTTGATACTACTACTTGATTTGAATTATATTTCCCCTATAGGGATTTAAGTGAACAGGCTTTACAAATAGAGGATTTTTAATTAGTTTCTATACGTACTAATTAAAGTGTCTTCATCAAAGAAGAGTAAATAAATCTAGTTTTCAATTCGCTTATACTATAGATATACTTTTAATAAATAGCGAGAAAAATATACTTAGAATTGTTACAACATTTTGGATTATCGTGAAGAAACTTTGGAAATTTATTAGATAACATATTTTTACTTACGATAATTGCATACAGGCCAAAAACTATCATACTTTTTTCATCAGGAAAAAAAAATAATTTCAAAGTTCTATAAGCCCTCCTGTAATTCCTCGTAACAAATTTAACCCTTTCGGTGAAGTTTTCCGTCTTAACAGCAACAGTGGAGGGGCAAAAGGCGACTAAATTGCGAGGGCAACGGGCCGCAGATTATCTGTCCCATCACATTGAAAATTATTTCTTAGACAATCGAATTGGGGTCGACATCCCTTTCCGATAGAAGATAGAATCCGGCTCGATAGGAAACGCGCGTTTCCGTCGAAATTTATATCGAGCATCAGGCAGGCCCGACTTCGGGTTGTACCATTCAAAGGAGGGTTTGCTTTATATAAATTACCTAAAGTTGTCGTGAATTGAGATCGTCGCCGATGAAAATATATAGGGGCATTCCAGTGGATTTGAACTTACACAGGAAATTGAATGGCATGATTATAAAGAAATTTCGAATTTATTGTCAATGTGGTATGAAAATTTCCTCATTAAATAAAGCAAGAAAAAGTTATTTTATGCTGAATTTTATTAAAGAGTCGAATTAATTGTTCCCAGATTCTTTCTATTTCGGGTAGTTTCTTCATTTTTCTCGTTTTTTCGACACCTTCGATATTCTTTTTTAATTAAATTTTCAATTTGAATGCATAATTTATTTCAAAAATTTTTGGTGAACTTCTGATACCTCTAGTTCTCCGTTTATTAAGCACCTTCAATAACACTTTTTTTAATTAAATTTTCAATTTGCATGAATACATAATTTCATGTAGAAATTCCTGGGGAAATAAAATTATTTGACCCTCTGTTCGAAAGGATTAAAAGTAACGCAAACTGTCCGCTAATTAGACGGATTTTAATAGCTCCACGTTCATTAAAACTTTACCAACCTACATATTTAACTAATAAGTTCACGCAAACGTTAGCAAAATATCCATTATCTGGGGAATGTTTTCATTAAATTAAGTTAACAGAACTTACGACTTACCCACATAAATATAGAGGTATGTATTTATCCACTTCAATTTAGCGGCCATTTATAAACTGAAATTAATAGACAACGTAACTAATTTCGAAAGTATTTTCCACAGGATACAACTGTGGGTCTCCCGACATTTCTCTCCTCGGATTTCTGTGAGCTTTTTTGATCTATCGCTTTGTCGTAATGTCAGGGTGAAAATAAATCGGGCTTTCGGTAAGAGGATTAGTTATGTTTTTAGAAAATCTCAAGAGAAACGGCTTGTCGGCAAAACTTTCGACCATCTCTCTGTAATTAAATTCTAGCAGACACTTTTTTTGCACCTTTCGATTTCTTAACTCTAATTAGAATCAGTGAAAATTAAATATGGTGATTGTAACAAACTTTTGTACTATGCAAATTAAGATTTTTTCACCACTTTTATTACACTTTCCATCGTGCAGCCTGATTATTAAAAAAATAGAAAGAATATTCAGAATGTCTGTATTAAATACTTGATTCTGCGATAATTTAGGTACAGGTCAAATAATATTTTGTTGTTAGGTGGTGTATACCCACCGTAGTAATAAATTGATAAAAAGAAACAATAAGTTTACACAATGTGTTCGACTATTCGATCAAAAGGAAAGTAAAACTTACGTGTAATTCCTTTCTCGAGATCCTCGTAGTATCCGCAAAGGGCCAATTGTTGCAGCAGGGAATTCGGCAGTCGGCACAGTTGCTCGACGCGTCTCAGTCGAGCGCAAATTAATTCTACGTCTTTCACGTTTCGATCGCAGGGCCTGGAAAGCAAACATTTTCGAACTTCAGAAGCGGATAAACGAAAGACGACAAGCTGATTTTTTTTTGACGAATCAAATTGTTTTCATCGACACATTCTATTTTCGGATTTATTTACTTTATATAAATTTCAAAAAATGGTGGAGGGTCTCGCGCGCCTTGCACATACAATTTCGAATAAATGGTGGGGAAACTTAAATTCATTTTTTAATAAACGAATTCTAGGCACATCTAGATATGCCCTTGCTTCTGGATCTGACCGTAACATCTATACCAATTTCGAAAAGAGTAAAAAACTGATCAAAACACTTTTTTAAGACGGGTTAAAAATTTACAATTAACTACCCTCAGTTGTGAAAACGTAATTTACCCAACCAAATTTCGTTTTAACGAGTTTTCTATTTGCTTAAAAACCAGCCACTCGGTCGGCGTCTTTGTTGCAAAAATGTAATCAAATCCATCCTGAATGCCTAATCTCTAACTAAACAACAGTCCTCCCTAGGGGAAATTGAAATTAATTGAAATTTCTCCAGAATCGAAAATAAAAAGAATCTTAGCTACCTACATTCGCCGGGGCAAGTACTGTGTATTATAATGAAGTAGTAACACGATATTCAGAGTTAATTGCAGCTGGGTCCCATAATAAAGTCTAAACTGGGATAAGGATCGCCTCTAAGTTCGTTTCGAGCGTGCATTGAAACAACTCACGTTAAAGAGCCTCTTAGCGAGTTACAATGTCGAAGTCATAATAGAGCGAAATGCGCCTTCCCTAAGGCCATTAGGACGTCGGAATGAATTGATCGCTAGGGCGGTCCCCAGTTTAAAATTTGGATGAGGAATAATTCGAAAATTATGTTGTTGAAGACTATAAAAAACGCTATTTTTGGGAAACGTTTCGAAAAACCGATGGTGATAACGGAAAGGTCGCCGGCGAAATTGCTTAAGCACGAGACAGTGTACCTAATGGAGTTTTTTTGTGCTTGATTGGAGTCCCTTTTTTGTTCTGTGCTTAGGTAAGATCCTACTCCAATTAATGCCATCGTAAAAGGGCTCTTCGCTGATTCTTTTGGTAATTACATTTGATGAATTTTAGACCATTTTATGCAGGAGTTTTAAGAACATTTCGATGTTTAACTTGAGCTTAAATTTCAGGCGAGATGCGGGTGCTCACAAACTGAAGTATTATCCCAACATAAATAATAAATTGCATATTCCAGTAGTGTTTCTCGTAGAAGTTCTTAATACCTTTGATACACCAGGCAATTTATCATTTATCTTGTTACGCCAGAAAGCTTTCATACGAACCAACCATCAGCTTATGTTGCGCTTTTTGCACTTGCATTGCTTTTTAACTGCGATCGATGTTGGTCCAAGAAAAGACGAACGACTTTAAATGGGAAATAAATCGACGGAGAAATTTATTTTCCAAACGTCACATAAAAAATTTACTCTTTATTTAGTCAATATCTCTTTTCTTTACAGCTGCAAAACGAAATAGTCGTTTTGTATGATTAAATTTCGATGAGTTTAAATTTGATTATTACAATTTTATACTTATTGCCTATAACACCAGTGTATTTCGTGCTCCATTACGTACGAGAGACAGAGGTAATTCTGATGAATTTATTGCAGGATTTACCTTTGATTTATGTATCGATTTAAATTAAATCGATTCACTTAAAAAGCAATCTCCTTAGAGTGATTTATTTGAAAATAATTCCGCAATTTCGGAATTATTTTACACTTAAATATCGCATGAGTAACTCAAATTATAGCATTTTATTTAAAAAATTAAAATATGATTATAATTTTGACGATCCTAATCTCCCAAAGACATGTAGGTATACAAAGATAAGTCGGGCTCCAATCGTCTTTACCTATCAAATAAGTGTCATGGGAGTTCCGTGGGATTCTGTTTAATCCAGTTTTATCTCCATCATGCATCCGCATGCACGCGCTTTTATGAGCAATGTGGACGTAACCTTATAAATAGCCATATACTGGTCAATGCCAAGCAAACGCTGTCACCCGACCCGAAAGCCCTAATGAAGGACGAATGGTGTAAAAAAATCAACACAAGGACGAGAGAAAGAGGAAATTCGACCTTCATGGGACTGCGGACTGAAAATAAAAATAAGCCGAGCGTTGCCGAACCGACTATCCCGATATATTTATTTACCTTTCAAGTCGATCATCCGACCAAATAGCTGACTGAGGAGTGAGAGTCTCACAAAGCGAGCTGTGGATTCCGCGTAATTCAATTATTCGACCGAAATGTATGGGGCTATACCTGGAGAATATGGCGACGAAGGCGACGCGACGCCGCTCGACGCCTTAACCCGCTCATCTAAAACCCATAAGCACCACCATTTTCCCGAAAATATCCAACAAAATTTAAATCTAATATAGATTTCTTAAGGTATATAGATTTTCTTGTTCTAATTAATTCCGATTTGGCGCTGATGGCTCCCCTGATTTATTAATTTGTTTACGAAACGAAATCAATTCCTTAATGATTAAACATAATCAACGAAAATTGACATCAGTTAATTGGAAGATTCGGTAATTAGAATTCCTACTAATGTATCTAAAAAGGATGTAAATCGTTAATTTTATTTTCCACTCAACGGGAGTTCTTTAATTAGATTTCCATCTAAGAAACTGAAAATCGCTCAAGGAATTGGATTGTAGACGATCTTTTATACCAACTCATTTCTCTCCTCGTTTTTCGTTTTTTTTAACACTACTTCAAGCAACCTAAATGCGTGTATTCTGGTGTAGGTATTTACAATGTTCTCGCTCAGTTGATTTAATTTGGCGCATTTTCATTTGCCAAACAGGTAATTAAATTCTCCAAAGCGTTAAAATTTAGGAAAATTTACTGTCGCCGCCTCCGCTGTTTTTATTGCTGTGTATTTGTTCAACGCAAAAGCATTTGGTTCGTTTGAAACAATTCCACTTAAAATGGAAATAAATGTGCATTTTAAAGTAGCTCTATAAAAACAAAAGGCTTTTCGAATCTTTTATTTTTATTTATTCTAATACCTAACACGCATATTGTTACCAATCCGGCGAATTAATCGCCCTAAATTTTGATTATTCACTTCACTCTTCTGAAAATAACATACCTACCTAATTTAGTACAAATTAAAAGTGACTGAAAATATATCCAATTAAATATGCACATTTCCACAGTAGTAATAACAATTAAAATAGAGCAGAAACTGTTAAAATTTACACAGTAATACGCTAGATATATGTAAATAAACGGAAAATACATACCTATTTATGATGCGTTGCGACAAAAATAAAGTATTTTCTTAACGTCGGAGAAAACGGAAAGTATTTGTTCACGTTCCGTGGCGTGAGAAATTTTCGATATATTTGACAATTTTCTTAGTAAAGTGTTTTCCGAAGCGCACGAGCGATGTCAGGAACGAAGGTTTCAATTTCATATGAGTTGGGACAAAATAGAAAACCGGGTCGGAAAAGAAGTATCGATGTGTAAGAGATATAAAAAAGTAAACAGAAAATTACCGAAAATGTGGATTTGTAGCACAAAGAATCTCGTGATAAAGAAGAAAATTACCTAACATTTCAAAAAATCTTGAATGCACCATGTGTTGCTATATTCTAAGAGCAACACTGGGATCCTGTAAAAATCATTTATTAAATACGAGCACGTATTAGCAAATCCTACATATTAAAGTGCTTTGTACTTTCATAAATTCCTCGAGTGCGACAATATTTTTAGTGCTTTTTAAAAATATCTCAGTAAATCTCAGTAGGTATTGAATATTTTCCGTGGGCGAAAAAAACAATTTGCAAGGAAACTCCCGAGGGTGTTTAAGATTCATTTCGTCGGCAATGGTGTTCATTCAGGAGGAACATAATAAGAAAATGTTATGTTAACCTCAACTTTGTTGGTTTTTGTTTTCGTTTGAGCCCTCTTCGACGGATTCGAGCGTTAATGACGAATAACTGAAGTTAGATTGTTTCGAAAAATGTATCCAGAATTTCAAAGCGGGGCAAAAACCACCCTCCTTCTTTTTGTATAAAAGTTTGATGAAATTTGGAATTTTGTAATATGTAGATAAATAAATTCATCTCGGAAACTCTATTGTTCTATTGTTTGACTACGAACCTGATTTCAGTGGAACACCTAATTTAATTGGAAGATTTTAAGTGAAAATGCAACGTTAATAACAGCGTATTAGCGTTTCCCTTCGCCAAGGTTATTCAATTAATGGATTAATTCAGGACATCAACGTTGCGGTCCGAACTATAAAAAAATGTATCGCTGCGTGGTAACGTCCAAACGAATTACCTAGCTACCCCATGTTAACAGAAAATGCATATTGATTTGGAAACAAAAAAGAGCTTTTTGTTTTGTAAAATTTCATTTTGTCGCTGGCAATTTTTTATACAAATTTGTTCACAATGATTTGGATCAGAAATACCTAGTGAGGAAACAATTTAATAATTTATACATAAACATAAATCGAAAATAGATATAGGTATTTAAATTTTGAAGAGGTTTTACATTTTATAAAAGCTTCATGGGAATCAATAAATACAATGGAATAAATTCTCTTTAGAGGTTAAAAATAGATATGAAATTCCCAAAGGTTTTGCAATATTGTGTCGAAGCAATTTCCTGGAAAATTATAAGTTGCAACATACAAGTTCTACAGATTGTTTCAAAGTTACATTTACTAAATCTCCGAATTTGTCCAACGCTTCATGTAATTTACTAAGCAATCAATAAAAGTGCGGGAAAATTCAATCGGCTTCAAAATTAACTTTACAATCAACGAATTACGGTAGCGGTGTTATTGGAAATTAAAAAATCAATCGCATTAGTTGCGAATTCGCGTTGCTCGCAAATTCCACGATTCCACCGCAACTTTAACAGGAAGTAAATCGTTTTTCCAGACTAGCGCGGCTTTGCAACTCGCTTTAACGTTTCAACTCCTAACGATACCGAGATTTTATTAGTTTGAGTTACTGTTTTCAGTTTATTATTTGTAACAACAAAAAATCTTATTGAGGGAAATTCATCTTATTGTTACACACTAAGAAAATTTTATACGTAATTAACTTTAAAAATATGTCAAAGATCAGTTTTTGAGCTATAACGAAAGTTCCCAGCGCTTCTGGAAACGACGTGAATTCATCAACAATCCCTATCGAGGTTTCTCCCTTGTCTACTCGAATAAAGTTCCTCGAATTTCCTTCGAATACATCCCGAATTGACAAATTGAAGTGACATTCCGGCTGAAATTAGCGACTAAAATTAATTGCTCTAGTACGTAATGAGAAGAGAGATGGGGGGCGTGTTAAGGCCAACATCACTGGATATTAGATCCTGTCAGAAACTTGAGATACGAGGTGTCAACAGTAGAGAGTTTTTAATTGTACCTAATGAACATTCGAATATTACATACAAGTTTAGCAACATAGTAGGGTTTCATCAGCGTACTGATTAATTAAATACGATAATTACTATAGGTACGCTATTAACTTGTTATTTTTTCCTCTGGTTACATGTGCTCGTATGTAAATTTAGCGAATGCCTAAACTAGGAAACCCACCCCGTTGTGAAATTATTTGCTTTGATATTTTAGACAAACAACGGAAGCCGAACGGGAAACCTAATAAACTGAGTTACCCCTTTCTGACGTTGATGAAAGCCTTTTGCCCTACCCTTTAATGCGTGGGTCTTTCGATAATAACCTACGTCATAATCAAAATTTTTCTTTTATTTACCTACTGAATTACTTATTAATTAACTTACATTCTGATATACATTGTAAATATAAATACTTTTATGTAGGTATGGGATAATTAATTAAATAATAAAGAAAATGCGCATTTTTCAGATATGATGCAATCCTGATTTATTTTTAGCGGAAAGTTTGGAAACCAAAGTTCTCATAGGTTCTTGACTTTTAACAATGTCGACTTACTGTAAATATTTCAAAGAATCTCAGTGCTTCGTTACTCGGTGACTGAAAAATTCGATTCGAAGGAGCCTTGAAAAGTTAGTAAGTACATCGCAAGAATTTTAAAGGACATGTTCAATTTGCGATAATATTTCTTAAAAGGTCATGGAAAACTTGCCTTAGGTGAAAAATAAGTACTTACTACTAGCAGTTTGTCAAAAAGTTTCTGAAACTTCTTAGGTAGACGGCTTGAAAACTTTTGAAATTGTTAAAGTTTCTAAACAGTCGTCCATACGAGAGAGTTTATACACTTTTGATTTGAAATATGAATTGAAATTAATATGAAGTTAATAAGGTCCTTCATAAATCAATATACTGGAGACTCAAACGCGAGAATTTCATTTGATAACGGGGTTGGGAAAAAAAGAAAAGGGATTTTAACCGAAAAAGGGAAACCGGAACCACCAGGGCACTTTATAATGCTTTCTGGTTGGGCCGAAAACGGTAGAAAATGTAAATCTAAGAATTCATTGTCGTTCTAAAATAAAACCAGATTTTTTCCTAAAAATTTTCCGCTGAAACTTTTGAATTTTCCAATAAATAAGGTAGATAGCTCGCATTTCCATTCTATTCAAGTTTAATGCCTAGACAAAAATAACCTTGTGATCTATAGGACAGGAGAGGCGCTGTACCTATTGTAGGTAATATTCCAAGTGAGTGGGAAACGGTGTTCATTTCACAAAGGGCGTAACCGCAGGACCCGCAGCAGGTAAATATATAAATCAAAAAAAAAATCGAGTTGGAAATTTCGGTGTTCCGTCGAAAAAGGAAAAACGAGGAAACTTTCCTCATCTTGTAATATTTATATTTAACCGGCTTTTCGTGTAGCATAAGGTCCATTTCTAGTATATAGGCGAGTCTGAATGTCCCCAGGGACACCGGCTCATATTCTCTCGCTTTTCACGTTTCGCGGCTTTCGTGCGCCGTCCAAAGGAGAGTCACCATGGATTTTTATACTTGTATATACATACAGTCTTAATTTACTTTGTAATTTAGGAAATATTTCAGAAAAACCAATCTAAAGTTTGCACGGAATCGCTGAACATAAATTCCTTAGAAACGTCCAACAAATTGCCTCGAAAGTCAAAGTTACAAATTCAGTTGAGCGAGTGGGCAGGTAATGTATCATACTCGTGTTGGTAAGGGCCATATAATACACATAAAACACATTTATCATAATATTTTTCTAAACATGCATAAGCTAAGCATATAAAGTCAAAAAATCCTTTTCTCTTTAGGCAGATATTTACCGAATTTAACGAGAATGATTCGATCCGTGAAAACACTCGCGCTCGACGAAATAAGGAAATTTCCTTCCGAAACGGTAATTTAATCAAAAAAACAATGTTGCAGTTGTGAGCGGAAAATTGTTCGCGTTTTCGTTTGTTTCCTTTATACGAAAGTTATTTATTTAAGCGTTTCAATTCAGAACAAGCAGGAAAGTAACTAAAAATCTACAGAAGAGATAATAAAAGTTACCCCTTAGTTAACGCGATAAGGAAAACAACACATTGTTGTCGAATTTAACGGGGACATCTCGTTCATGCTGCCATTGCCGGATAGCCGGATGCCCGACACATAAAGTTTTAGTTTGAAACTTTGTGTAAATGAGCTTCATTATTGCGACCTGCATTATAGGTAGCCTGATGATGTACGGATAAAACAATAATAATGGACTGATTATGGTATTGTTAGGCAGATATAATCATTCACAAATTCGTTTTTGTTTCTGTTAATTTTATGTTGTTGTTAGGTACTGCTTATTTATGAATTGATATGTCGTTTTTTGTGAAAATTGAGTTATCAGTACCAGCAGGTTCCTCTCGTTGACATGTACAAAATGGTGGAATACTACAGTAAAAGGTATATCAAGCAACAACTGATTAAAAAGATTTGGGAAAACTTTATAAGTTAAACAGTAAACCAAACTAAAAATAGCTCTCCTGCAAAATTTAATAAATTCGACATGTCAGGTTAACTTCTATCCACAGATATTAGAGGTGATTATTGCAAAAATGTACAAAAGTTGAGGACCAACACTTGGATCATCCTTAACAAGAGCTGTTTCATTTTCTTCTTCTTCAGTTCTGTCACTTATTTATTTTTGCTCGAAAAACATCTAACGACCTAACTGCTTTTTCTAATTTTTCCCTAAATAGATTTACATATTTATATACAGCGCGAATTACAAAAGAGGAATTCGAGTATTAAAATTTTCGCTTTTATTCGCGAAATGCGATTCCGAGTTTCCATATACAAAAGAAAAACTGGAGTAGATGAGGATGGTGGTGGAACATCGCGTACTCTGGAGAGTACAGCTGGAAGCGGACGATACGAAATTAAATTCGACTTTTCCCACCAATGCCGACAATAATTTAAGATTAAAAAGCAATAAACATCAACGCTGATTGCGCTTTTAATGTAATCGGCTCGGACCTTAATTAAAAACATTTGTTCAGGGGTAATTTACTGTAGATGCTAATATAGTAGAATAGGAATTTAATAGGAATTTCTTGCATTTCTTTACAGGATGGTTCATAAAATTGGAGGGATTAGGGGAGCGAATCTGCACGATTTTGAGATAAAATAGGTTCATTATTGCTTTCTAGTTGAAATATATGAAATTTTTATGTATTCTAAGATCTATATTAATAAAATTGTTCTTATATATTGTTCCAGGTGGTTATAAATCTTCTCCTCCATGGGGAAAAACTTATATTTTTATATCTTTGACCAATTAATAGGTACACCCAATGGTGTATTTTCCCAAATAAATAGATACAAATCTATTTTTTCTGTTTAGCTAAAATTGAATGAACCAATCAAACACCCTGTATATTTTTTGTCAAATTTTGCCGACTTCAACATTAACTTTCCGAAAGTTACCGCCCCGCAAGAAAATTCCCCGACCGTCTCTTACCTTTTGTCGATGCACGTGATCCATTCCATAGCTAAGCGTCGGCGAACCGGACCTGAAATCGCACGAAAGCCCAGCGGAAAATCACTTGTCGCGCGAGAACGGAGCCATCGCAATCGCAGCTGGTGGGCGACGCATCGCGACCGGAACTCCTCTCTCAAGAGCAACAACTGAGCGCCGCCGAACGGAAAACTGATGGGGCCCGCGTGCCGCAAAGTTGCCAGCTCGGAAAATTCGGGATTTTTCCGCGACCCCAAAAATATTAATACCTACTTGCGCTACACACCGCAAGGTAGTTTCCCTTTATTATCACTCTTCTAAAACATTCCTCAGCTTAATACATTCGAACAATCCGGAATATTCCAACCTCTCGTTACCACAAAACTCCTTACCGCTTAAAATTCATAATTCGCAATTTCAAAATAATCTTTACCAGCACCTATATAAATCGATTAAATCGCTAAATCCGACGGATTTTCGGGAAGACCGGCAATCTCGCTTTCTGATCACGAAATTCCGGAGCCGGAGCGGAACACCTACCAGGCGGTGTTGTCGGAATTACCGGATTTTCGCGCAGGAAAGGAATCCGGGAATCCGGGGTGTCGGGAGGCGCGGATTCGCGGAAAAATGATCCGGTCTTGGGAGCGGCAACGGTGCTGAGAAAGCGCCGTCCGGAGTGCGCAAGATGCGTATACGTGAGTTGAGGGAAAAATTAAATAAAAGAAATGCTAATGAGGAGTACTTAGGTAATGGTAGATGGATTTGTCGGGATGCTATGCGACCTTCGGCGAGCCTGAACACGCGAATAAAAGCGGAATAATTATCCTTATTCCCTTTTGACTTACCTAAGGTTAATAAAACTCATCGGTAATTGGACGTCTTCGTAAAATCTTATAAAAATTGTAAAGACGATGCAATTTAAAGGGCAATTTAAATTTAAAAAACGTAAAAAAGTTTTGAATCTCTTTTCGTTTCGAAAGTTCAATTAAAATTTAAATTTGAGTTCGTTTTTACTTTACGTTATCGTTACTTTGTCAGTTTCCTAATTGTTTCGTGGTTTTTTTCACACCAAGAATTTATTTTGCGAAATCTCAAAAATTCAAAACGCTACACACAAAACACGGAACAGGAAATTAGAAAAATCCTCTTCTTTTTTCAGGCCATTACTACTTGATGTAATCAAATTAATTATAAATCTTCTGTTTTGTTTTGAAATAAAATAAGAATCTGTAGCTAATTTCGCGATTATTAATTTAACCTTAAATCAATTTAAATAATTTGTATTGCTCCGGTTCGGAATAAATAGTAATTTAAATTGAGTATCATATAAAAATACTGTATATTATTGAATTATGAGCGCTTAAAATTTATAATACTTTTACCGGTTACCTGTTGGCATGTTGGCATTTGATCTAAAAATAATAATTTTGTAATGCTATTAAGTGACTAGTTTGAGGTGGATTTGTTTTTACTTGTTTGTCCTTGTTCCTTGACCCTGTAAGTATTTTTCGCAAATTTTAAACATATTCAATAATACTAATTAGTAATTAATTATTTGTTCATTAGTAAATTCATTTACTCAATATTGCACAATGGGAGATGAAGTGGACATAACCAATCGATTCTATAACATACAAGGGGACACCGTAAGTGAGCGAAAGAAGTATTTTTATGAACTCCTAAATTCTCTAAAATCCTGCGAAGAACATGTTTACATCACGTTGGAAAATCTCCAGCCAAGGAATTACCAAGAAAGTATCTTTTACGTTGACGCTCTGTTGTACTTCAAAAGGACCAATCGTTTACTGGAATTAATGAAAAGCGGCAACGAGTTGTACACCAGCAAAATTTTGAAAAACCAGTGGTTTTTCGAACAAACATTTAAAGATGTTGAACCATTCAATATCGTTAACGAATTATTGCCTTGCTTGTCTTTTTCGATAAGAAAGAAGTTTATATCCAGGTTAATTCAATCATGGGATTCTAACAGGATTAATCATCTCTTTGACGAACTGGTTAACAAGTAAGTTAATTAAACAGCACGTAATGAAATGGTGGTTAATTTCTATAATTTACAGATATGGCATAACGGAAGCTGTAATTATATTACATAAATGCACTGAGGAGAAATTAAGCAATGTTCTTACTAATAATGAAGTATCATTGCGCCAAAATCAGCTGATAGATTTAATTAACACAAACGAAAGAGCTTTCGTATCGTACATAGAACATTTCAACAATTTAAACGGCCAGAGATACGATGAAAGCAAAGTTATAAATCACCTGTCGAGAACAAATACACAACTGTTCATAAAGTTGCTTAAAAATAAAAAAATCTCCCATCTCCAACTCGGTAGAAGAACCACCAAAACATTGGTACCCAAAGTAAAGGAAGACTTCCTGGCAAATAGCGAATTTTATTTAAAATTTGTGAACAGACCGGCTGCTGTTCGAAAGTTAGGTGGAGATTTCAAGGTGTTGTACCAGAGCACATTTCCAAGGAACTTCAAAGATATCAATGGTTATTGCATTAGCAATATTTTGCTAGAAAGCTATCCCAAAGGCCGAAGATGGAATTTATTTACACAGACGTGCCAAGAAAAGTTTCCTGACAAAAGTTTGAATGATATTCTCTTATCGTATAATAATTCGGTCAAAAAACTTAATCCCCCGAAAGAAGTATTTTTGAAATGGGCTGAACTTCACTATCAACAGCAAGAAGGGCATTTTGAGGATTTCTTGAAATATTACGAACCGAACACGTGCATTCCAATGATTAAGGAAAAAATCAATTTGACGAAAGAAATCAGGCAAAGACAGATTTTGATTAAGCTCATGTTACAATCATGCTCTCAAAATAAAGATTTAAATGCGTTAGAGCAAGTTTTAAACTATTTCTGTTTCAGGTAAGTATTTAATTAAACCAATAAGATACCCTTTAAAATTGCATTCGTTTTAGGCACAGGAACGAAGATGTAAATTTCAGGCAAGTTGTATTACGATACATTACGGACAACTTCAAATTGGAGGATTTGAATGAAAAACATTGGAAATACATCAACGAACAAATCGAAATACTGAGGCTTCAAAACGCCTTCCATTTCTTTTCGTTTTCCGATTTTGTAGAAAAATACCTGGAATTTTTGTTCAAGAATAAGAAAGATCACAAGGAAGCCCTCGATCAGTACATCGAAGATTTGTCGACGATGCTTCCGCGAAAAATATTGAATTTGAATAACCTTCCAATTGAGCAGGCAATTTTTATCGAAATCGCCAAAATAGTATCTAAACATTTAAACAAGGATCACGAACAGTCAGTACTCGCTATTAAAATGTTTTTTAATATCATCAAATTCAGTACAAGTCATCCCAATTATCGTATAGACTTGAACGAATTTCCAGATTTTATCGCGTATTCGGAAAAAATGTTCACAACTAAAAATTTCTCGACGACCAACCAAAAACTCCGTTCAGAACAGTTAAAACTGATCCTAAAATTAACTGAATACTATTTAGCTTTCCCTGACAGAAAAATCATCGTCTCGGAAAAACAAATTATCGATGCCCTCACTAAAGTGTTTGAATCCGAAACAAGAGTATTGTTTGTTGGCGACATTTTCAAAAAATTCGTATCGAAATCCAACCGAAACGCACTCGAAAACGCTTTAATGACTGCGTACTTCGATAAATTGTTCGAAATGATTCCCGATGCGAACGTTGTTAACTGGTTTTTGAAGGAAGAACCTTCAACAATCGCGCCTTATTTCGATAAAATATTAACCAAGGTACACAAAGGCTACTTACAATTAGATTACAAGCTCGTAAGGCATTGTTCGCACTTGAAATTCGACGAAAAAATATGCGATTACTTCACGAACAAATTGGAAGAGAAGGAAGTTTCTGAGAAGAAGCGATTAATTGCCGGTTTGTCTATGATGCTTTCAACTGAAGAGTTTAAGAAAATCATAGAAGAGAAGTACCTCCCGACTAAGGATAAGCTCGATTTGAAGGATGAAAATATGAAAAATTTGTACCATTTGCAATGCGAGATAGTCAAACTCGCCGGGAACACATTGGAAGTATACAAAATGTTACCCACGATAATGAAATTCTGCAGAGGGGATTACTTGCAATCTGCGTTGAGTGCATTGTACAAAGCTTTCTACAGATCGCCTGAGAAATTGCTATACCCTTACGCTGAAGCTTTATCAAAATTAGCAGTTTCTGTGAGGAAACACGCCGTGTTCTTGAGTTGCCAAGTCCTAAGCAAAGAATACGCGCTGGAAATCCTAAAACACACGAACGAAACCAACAAATCCAGCCACAAGCATCTATTCTCGGCTACCTTGAAGTACTTCCTCAAAAATCCCTCCGACGAATTGCTGGACAAGCTAATGGAAAACATGAAGGCTATCGATAAGGACGACGCCGAGACTTTGAACAGTTTAGCCTATCTTACGGTGCCGGTGAAGTACCGCTGCCGGTACTCGGAGAATTGCTGGAGATTCTTCGAAGATCTGGCGCTGAAAGGGCTCAAAGTGCAGGTCTACTTGGAGCAACTCCTGCGCAAGATGAAAGGCGACATTGCGGTGTCTCTTACACCCGAATTTGTCTCGTATTTAATCAGTAAATACTGTTTCGAAGGTGGTTTGAATCGAGCGAATGAATTCGCAATGGAGATTCTGGTTAGTCGAGTGTCTGAAAGGGACAGTTTCTTCGCTTTAACGTTCGAGACGCTTTCGAAGAAGAACGTTGGAACAATCGTGGACTTTTTCCGTTGCTTCTCGGAGAGAATTCGACAAGATGGCTTCGACGACCACGAGCTAGCGAATTTGTTCTGCCAGTATTGGACGAAATACTTCAATATAGTCGATTATCTAAGCGAGCATATTGAATTAAACGTGCGACTCATTCGACTAAACAAACCGCCCGTTGATGTTTTCGCCAGTAAAATCGTATCCTACGTGGATACATTGTTGGCAGACTTCGGTTTCCACGTTTACGAGTTTTTCAAAAACGTTTTTACCGAGGCAATTGTTGATTTAAACGGGCCGGAATATTATGAATTGATGCTGGGTATTTTGAAGTGTAAATTAAATCCGACGACTTGCATTTTAGTCTTAGATTGTCTGAGTGACTCGGATTCGCTTAAAGCTCCGAGAATCCACTATCAAAACGTACTGGACGCTATTGATGGCCTCGACAGCCTTATTGTTAAAGCCCATAAAAAGGCTTATTTGAGGAATCACAATTTTTGATAACTTATGTACTTTTGTTATTGTCGTATCTAAACATATTTTTTTAAGTATATTGAATTGTTAACGTTTATATATTAAACATTAAACCGATAGAAGCGTTATTATTAACCAGTTAACTATTTAAATACATTAAAAGTATTTAAATACTTTTTAATGTAATAAAAGTAAAGTATTTAAATACTTTTAGTGTAATAAAAGTAAAGTATTTAAATACGTACTTAAATACAAATACACAAGCTCTATTTGTATTTAAAATACATTTTTGTCTAACATTTTAAATACTTGTAGTTAGAGTTTAATTACAAATACATTTTTTCTAAGCAATTATGTTGAGAACACTCAGCTCAATTATTTTTTTACCTGAAAACAAAAATTTCCTCATATTGTGAAACCCGCTGAAACGAACTGAAATCGAATATGAAATAAAAAACACAGCATCACCTTTAAAAACTGTTTGGTATGTTTGGTTCGGTTTAGATTTATAGAACACCCTGTATATTTTTTAAATAATTTTAAATTGTGCGCCTTAAGGTGCTTAACAATTTTCCTATTTCCTATATTAAATATTTTACCTATGGGTAAGTGCAAATGTAACAGTAGTTAAAGTAAGAAAGTTGCAATCCCATAATATCACCCTGTCTTTTTCCTTTATATGAGTAATGGAAGTTCTCTTTGTTGCACCCATAGACCACATAGAGTAACAACTTTGCACTTATCTGTATTAGCTCAATATGCAGGCATAATCTACGAGTATTGGGAAAATTACATTATTCACCCTGTAAAGGAGATCTTATGAAACAGTAGAAAATGACAAATATTGTCAAATATATTATTCTTGCATATTAAGGTCCAGTCTTTACCAAATCGTGTATTACATACTGCAATGGACGGTTATTTATGCATAAAAAGCCTTTTTATATTTTTATGCTTGTTCGTTGTGGACATTCGAGCGACTGGGAATTCTTCGGAGGCGCTCGTGCCTCCAGTGGAAAGAGAATTGCGACAAGGCAACTGTGAAAGTACTCCGAATGAAGATTTGGTGTTTCAGGACCACATTTACAAACCCGCTATACCTTTATTAGTTAGAAACGCCACGGTAAGTGAAAAAACTCATAAAGTTGTTCCTAATTCGGTAATTTTCTTCAGGCTTCTTGTCACGGTGACTACAAAATTTACTGCGTAACGGTGAAACCTTCGGATCAAAGTGATCCCACTGCCGAAATTATCGTTAGCGAAGGAGGAGTGAATCATACGTTTGTTACGATAGAAATACATTCTAAAAGGAACGAAGGTATAGATTATGGAGTGCGCGTATTCGCGAAGAAATTGAATATTTAGTTATGTTTATTTTATATTTGATTACAATTTTTACACACCAAATATTTTTGTGTTTCCAGCAATTTTTCATTCAGGTGTTCGAGATGTGTAATGACTTTTTTATGATTTTGGGTGCGATAAAGACAACGTCCATTAGACACTTTCATTGCAACTTTTCACTCTAATAACTTCATTAGTAACAAGTAATAATACTTATGAAAATCAAAAAAACCTGTGAAAAATCCAACTATCTATATTACTTCTACTGAATGTTTTTCCTAGATTCGATATCTCTCAATTTTTGCTCCAACAGCCCTTCATCTAATCTGTGTTTGCACAAATATTCACCGTTTAAAAACACAACGGGTATTTCGTATCTGTATAGTCTTAAGTAACGGACATTTTCTTTTTTCGAAATATCCACAGTGCTGAATTTAACTCTAGGAAAATATGGAGTAAGTTGAGCTTTCAATTCATCGCACAGCGGGCAAGGGTCTCTTGAATATAACGTAAGACTCGGTAGTTCTTCTTTTGGTAGATTATCCGTCCTGTTAAAGAAATCCACAGTTCAAATGGAATAAAAAAGGCAAAATAAAATCATTAGTTTAGTAAAATATATATTTATAGACGTAGATCTTTTACAAGAAGGATTATAAAATTACCCATAAAACAACTCTTCATTGTAAATATAGTTTTTTCGCTTAATTCTTAATAATCTCAATTGCTTACTCACAATTTCTCGATCATCATAGAGGACGCGCCGCCTCCACCATTACAAATAGCAGCCACCCCTTTCTCGCCGCTTTTCAACGAGTGCACCAAGTGAACAACCAGACGAGCCCCAGACATTCCAATGGGATGTCCCAAACTAACGGCACCACCATGAATATTCACCTAAACATCCAAACGAGTATTACACTATGCTACGAGTAATTTTTAACCGTATCGATTACCTTATCGGGATTCAATCCCAATATTTGTTGGTTGGCCAAAACCACCACGCTGAAAGCTTCGTTGATTTCCCACATGGCGATTTCGTCCTTACTGACGCCGGTTCTCTCCAGCAATTTCGGAATGGCCACGGCCGGAGCGATAGGGAAGTCTATGGGGTCGCATTCGCCGTCTTGATAGCCCAGCACTCGCGCTAAAGGCTTCGCGTTTAATTCCTTGGCTTTCTCAGCTGTAGTTAGTATCAGGGCTGCGCCCCCGTCGTTTAGGGTCGAAGCGTTACCGGCCGTAACTGTACCGTTTTCCTTTTGGAAGACCGTCGCTAATTTGCCGAATTTTTCGAAATTGACTCGCTTGTATTCTTCGTCGGCTTGCACTACCAAATCCGGGGTACCTGACGAAAAATAGGGGAGTTGTAATTAAATTTTTGCATCAACATCTCGCCCATCGCAGTGCTCTGCAGGGCCTTAGGCAGTCCAAGCTCCTACTGATGGACATGCTAGGAGAGCTGTAGAACTACCAATGAGTAGATAAAAAAAATAGCAGGACTCATAACAGGGCACTGCTATCTGGGATAGTATCTCTATAACCTAGGTTAAGAGGGAAGTTTCCTTTGCAGGTGTCCCCTTAGAGTGTCTGCATTAGGCTCTGCTAAACAGGCGAATCTTTAGAGTCCCCGTTATTGCCAATGGAGACATAAACAGGCATCTATTGAGTCTCTATTGAGTCTTTAGTAGTACTAAATAGAATTTAGAATTACCTTTTCTCTGCGGAACGCTGACAGGTACCAATTCTGAAGCGAATAGATTGTTCTTATAAGCTTCCGAGCTCTTCTTGTAGCTGTTAATGGCATATTCATCCTGTTGCGCCCTGGAAATGTTCAACTTCTTGGCCGTATTTTCGGCGCAATTGCCCATGTGGAATTTGTTGTAGACGTCCCATAGACCGTCGAAAACTACCCCGTCGGATAGATTCACTCCTCCGTAAGGTGTCTGGCCTCTTCGCATGTAATAAGGAACGTTTGACATAGACTCCATACCTCCGGCTAAAATCACATCTTGATCGCCCAGCAGCAAACTTTGAGTAGCAAACATGATCGACTTTAAGCCGGACGAGCACACTTTGTTTACTGTCGTGCAAATCGTCGACTTGGGAAGACCTAAGAGGAGGCACCAAATTAGTCAATTTTGACATAGCTTACTTTGATTTAAGTATAATTGTTACACTACGAGCGACAGCCTACTGGATTATATACACATTTAGTTCTTACCGGCGAAAATTACAGCTTGTCTTGCCGGGGCTTGGCCTACGCCTCCTTGACATACGTTACCCATAAATACCTCTTTGATTTCTTCTTTGGGAATGCCGGCTCTTTCGATGGCTGCTTTGATAGCGGTAGCGCCTAATTGGGGCGCAGATAAGGGCGCCATTGAACCCAAAAAGGGGCCCATCGGGGTTCTTGCGGCCGAAATTATAACGACATCTTTTTTCAAAGCGGAGCTGTAGAACCTTTTGCTGAATCGCATCGCCTAAAAATATTGTATGCCGATATTAAAAATCGAATTTGTAAAAATATTGTGTGTTTAACGTACCATGTTTGGTTTGGGAAATACCATTGTTAATCAGTCTTTAACGTACAAGTTTCTATAAAGAAATAATTCAGAATTATTTCGAAAGTAATTGTTGATTTGATACGATTGTTTGCCTGCTTATGGATTCAGACTTTGACCTTTTTAACCGGAGTAATCAAATGATTATGCAAAATAATAAAAAAAATAGTTGTGTAGATATCAAAAAGAATTATAAAATTTTTAAGTTAGGCTATTTTTTATATATATTTTTAGCGTATATCTAATGAATACCTTAAATTTAAAATAAGTAAATAAACATAACCTAAAATTGTATTACTGTGACATGTCAATCGTGTCAGTGAGGCCAAGGTTACTAAAATTATGTTTAATCATAACTTATTTTGCAATAAAAATACATTACAGGGTAGTTTTGGCCATAGAAAGTTTTACAAAAATTAAAGAACATTGGAAGACATCAAATCACATTTGTTAACTGCACTTTATTTTTCCATTAGTAATTAATCATACAAAAATAGTACTAAATCAATCAGACGAATCGGATTCCTCGTTTGCTTTATTTTCATCCAAATTTTTAAGCCTCGCTATCAATTTATTGGCAGGATTGAAACTGGTTATTAAAGCGTTGCATACGAAGCACTTTTTGTTCTTTTTGTACCTTTGTACTGCGCATTTTTCGCAAAAGTAATGTTTGCACCTAAAACATCAAATCAAATTACCTATTTAGGACAATTCTACAATGCTATAATCTTTAGATATTGTGACTGTACAACACCTACTTCGATACAACAGGATCGACGAAACTTCCTCTGCAAATGACGCACTTAAATGGCAAATCTTCCTCGTCTGAATGGATTTCATATCTTTTATCGTCCTCGTCTTCCTTAGCGTAGGTTCCTTCGTTCCATTCTCTTTCCAATTGCCAACCGTGCTTGTAGTCGCTTCTGTCGTGGAGGAATTTACAACTGTCTCCGAAACCACAAAAACCCGTTTCTTTGTAATCCTTACAAATGTCTGGTTGGTAATCCCATCGAACAGTGGCTCGAAGATTAGCAGGCGCTCTTATGGGACCTCTCCTGACTAGTCCTACAATAGAACGATCATAAAACTATCAAAAAAATATCCATTTACTATATGTTTTTCAACTATTTTCCTATGATTTATTGTATTGTAAATAATTAATAAGTTACCTGAACTGGCGTTTCCTGCAGCAGTGTCTTTTGGTTTGTAAAACTGGGCGTAATTGTTGATTCCTCTGTAGACTTTATCATCTTCTTTACCTTCCAGATCTTTGTTAATTTCCAACCTTTTTTCGAATATAGCTTGTGCATCTCTGTCTTTTTCAGTTTCGATTTCCTGCAAAACAATTCAATTGTCCATTGTCCTATTGTATTATTATTGCAAACATACTAGAATAGCAGTAGCTCCTTGATCTGAAGGTCCTGCTGATAACGCGGACTTGCTTGATTTGTAATTTACTGAAAAATCTTCTTCGCTATCGGATGAGTTATCTGGCAATTGCTTCTTGTTTCCACTAGTGGACTGTACGTTTGGATTTGCTTTAACTTTACGTTTGCTCTGGGTAATTAATTCCTTCTTTTCACCCACAGGCTCTAAAAACGATTATTTATTAAACTAAATTCATATATTCTGAAATAGGGTCGTAAGTTCCTTAAAGTTAAGTAAATATAAATACCTTCTTCTGAACTCGAAGCATTTCTTTTTCTTGTACCTCTGCCTTTGATGGTTCTTTTTTTAAAAATAAATTTGCAAGTATCTCCTGTGACAATTTCGGAATCCGACATTTCGCTTAAAAAATAATTGTTCGCTTAAAAAACAAATATACTTTTCCTTAGTATGTATTAAAAATAAGAACAATCAAAATTATAATTATAAATAATACGTATAACCATTGACCATGAATTTGCAAACATCAAAATATAACCTCAAAATTATCTGTCAAAAATGTCAATTCTTTTTTTGCTCTGCAGTCCTCTTGTTACCAAAGCATTCAGCCACTAACAAATGGCAACTTTGCATAAATGAACAAATAAATGTAATTATGGGTACTTTTATTGTGAAGCGGCAACGCCGAATCTATTTTTGCGTCTACCGTAAACGCACGTGATTTTATATTTACATCACTTCCATTGAAATTCGGTATTTTCATTTTCAACAAAACAAAATGAATAGATTTAATGGCTCACTTGGATGTTGATCGCATGACGGACGATGAAAGTAATTTGAAAGATTGGTAAGATTTTTTTTAAATATTATTTGCCAAAAGTTTTTTAATTAAAATAAATTGATTCATTAGTGCGAAAATTTAAACATTTTTTTATTGCAAGTTTTTTAATAAGAGTAGATAAATTATAGTTTTCAATATTGGATAAAAGAGATTATTTCCTCTTTTTCCACTTGTTGCACACTTCAATATTATTATTATTATTATTACGCAGTTTTTTAATCTTTTGTAATGTATTTTCAGGCCTACGTTAATAAGAGTTTTGTTGTTTAAAGAATGCAGATTCAAAGATGATAGGCAGTTGATCTTCGATTCCCACTCCATTAGGAATGGAGAATCTGCGAAAATTTCCAAAAACAACAATTTGGACGAATTTTCCCATCTTAAGGAAATGATATTCGGCTCAACTGTTATGAAGTATCATGACACGTACTACAAAATCCATGATAATTTAGCACCAGAGAGACTGATATTCACCCACGTGAGTTTTCCACATTGGTCTTTACTGGGTGGCTGATTATCTCATTCAGTAAAAGACCCATTTTTCAAATTAGAGTCGATGATATTTGGAGATACACAGTGTAGAACTTATATGATTTATTTTAATCACCCTGTATAAATATAATTTTCAGTGATTTATCATTTATATTGCCGCAGGTTTTTTCAACACCCAATATTAAGAACCGTCGAATATCAGGAGGGAATATTAATTTCCACAGTGGATCTAGCTTGCTGGAATATGACTTATCATCAAATTGTTTATCTCGCTCCTCAATGGAATCAAATGAAGATAGTTTTTCAAGTAATTTTTCTATTATCAATTCTTGTATTCGCTTTTTCTTTGTACTGATGATATCTAAATATATGCATGTAATTTATTCTCTTCATTAACATTTGATAATTTCCTACAGTTTATAGAAAAAACACCTCCCGGATATCGACTAACTCCACCTCGAGCACCATTGACTCTGGATTCTCAGAATCCAGTTTCTCCGTTCAATCCAGCCGGAGCAGCTTCACAAGAAGTACCGTAATTATACACCTGGAAATAATCAAAGCATTGTTTTCTTCAATCGAGTCTTTTTCAGGTGCCAATCTGGCTTCGACGAATTCCATATACGAACTGTTTGCAAACGGGACAGACTCTACAGTGGGCATGTCGGGGAATCCCAGTCGCTCCAGACTGGGCGTAGCTCTCATTCTACCCGTTAAGTCAGAATCCATTCGGTGAGTATATAATATCAAACAAACAACAACAATTGGCTAAGTAATTCTAGACGTGAAAACATTTACATCCATCTTTCTTCGTTCGTCGAGTTCATCTTGTGGCGCATCCGCCATTACGTGGAATTGGCGGTGATTTCGACCAAGCTGTTCCTTCCGACGATGTACGAAATATCCAGCATGTCTGCCAAATGGCTGTCGAGGGAATTGCAATTTCGGTCGCAGCACCGCGAGGAAGAGGCCGGAAAAGCATCGGGAATTTTCAGCGTGTTTAACAGAAGATTGAACTCGTTCTTTCGACGGAAATCTGAAGAAGATCTGCGCTTTGAGAGGTTTCTAAAAACAGTCAAGGAGTTAGACGTGAAGGAAACTAAATTGTGAGTACAAATTACGCGATCATCCTGTTAATTAAAGTAATATTTTTCAGCTTCTTGAGCAGTCTTCTTACAGCCGTTTTGACCCATCATACCGGTTGGATAGAGTCTTGTTATCCCACGAGACAACAGAATGGGAGTAATTCCTATCACGCTGTTTGGAGGCAATTGCTCGCTCTGCATGGAGCTACTGAATGGCACTCGGTTACCTCCAAAACAGTCATTTACGGCACACGGAACGACCAAATACTGAAGAATGCTATAGATTTTCTTCGATATTTCGTGAGATATCCTCTAGTAAAAAAGCGGTGTGTGACAAACGAGAATTTATCTGAAGAAGACGAAATCGTTGCTCAAATATGCAATAATAGCGTGTTTAGAGAAGATGGTGAAAATAAAGAAGGTATTAAGAGTACTTCTAATGATGTAAAGATAAATAATAATAATAACAACAGTAATAGAGGATTGTTGAGGAAGGTAAAAACATTCGGTCGAGCTCTAAACGAGGTAATCAATGATGAAGATGATGGGATTAATGTTGATGAAGGAAATCGTATGGAAAATCCTGTTTTGTTCATCTTGGGTGATAGCGATAAACTGGAGAATTTAAAAACGCACGATACAAGTGATAAAAACGCTAATTTAAGCATCGTAAAAACCTTAAAAAATAAATCTGAAGACTTCGATGAAGCTATGAAATTAAACATTTTGAAATTTCCACTACCAAAGTATGTATTTTTCCAAGTTCCTAACTGCGCTTACTACGATTGATTAACTTGGTAGATTTATTTAGAGATTATTTCAGGTATAAACCAGTTGGCGAATTTTCCGAGATTGTCCCTCGTGAATTTTTTCCGGAAAACGGATTTTCCGACATCTACATCCCAGAGAGGGTTATACAAGCCACAAACTGTCCGGAAGAAAATTGGAAAAACCTCTTTAGAAACGATTTATCCCGAAAAAGTACATTCTTATTCCCCAATCAGTTAGATGAAAATATTGGGATTTTGGCCAACATCGATAATTGGTAATTAATTTCTAAGTGCCTACTAAGTCACTCAACTTTTTTTTCTGGAAATATCGACCTACCTTATAATGTAATTTTGTTTACCAACAGGGAAGTGCAAATCCTATCAAGCAATAGAAATAAATCGGATAGTCTGGTGGTTGCAAGTCCCTTAGTTTCTAACATCTTGGATACAATTTCACAAATGTCCCAATCAAACGTCAACAAAGAGCATGTAATCTACTATTGCAAACCGCTGTGAATTAATTTCATTAATCATTTTTTTGTTTTAGTGTACTAGATTTATCGAACAAAGTTTGCTGGAAATATGTCTGAAAGGCAATGCTTTATCGCAGTTACTCCTAACTGTAGATTTTTGTACTGTGGAATTTCTTCTAAACGCATTGAAAGTGAGCATAGCAGATATACCTCTACTGATGTCCGTGGCCTCCCGAATTAACCCGGAAATTTTGACAAAATACGGCCTAACGTACCAATAAACGGTGCAAATAAATTCATTAAAACGTGCACCAAAAGCTGCAAAGGAGCGAATTTAAAGGTAAAAGTGAACTAAATAAATTCTAATTTGGATAGTTGATTTATTATTTATTGAAATAAAAGAACGAACTAATTTAACTATTATTTTTGTTTACCACAATCTCTCACATGCATCACTTCGTTTTCCCCAAACCTCCCACACAAGAATCGGCAACGCCGCGTCTTCATTCATCAATCCCATTCACATCAACATTCAAACTATTAGTAGTAGTTAGTCTGACACTGTCAGTCGCTATGACAACGACAACGCGGAGTGTTCTAGTTTTTGTTCTGTTCCTCCTTCGGCCGCCGAACATACAGGGTGAATCGCTGACGCCGCCCTATTTCAACTTGGCCGAAGGCAAGAACATCACGGCGTCGGCGACATGCGGGGAAGGCATCGAGGGGCCCGAATTGTTCTGCAAGCTCATAGGGGCCGATTCGGAAAACGAGCTCTCGGTTAATTTGATACAGGGACAGGTGAGGGAAGAACATTGAGCATGTTCTGTATAATTGGATTGAGTTTGTTCCAAAATAATGAGATATTATATCGTTAAGTTTAATTAACGATGATTAGAAATTATGGGAAATGAGTTGGTTCTTATTGTATCGATTGAGTTTGTTCCATTCTTAATAATGCTTCCCATTTAAATTTATACTAAAAAATAATAATATGGTATTTTTCTGAGAGAATAAGTTGGTTTCTAAGAAATTAATTAATCAAGTTAGTTCTTAATCAATCTAAAATATCTAAGCGTTATAAAATTACAAAACGCCAATAAAAAATTTAAACCAACGAGACAATTTTTGTGTTCAATTGGCGCAAATATCACTTTACATAATAGCAAAACCGCGAAATAAACAAAAAAAAGCATCATATTTCGATATAATAACCAGCAAATACAGTATACAGCTAGACCCAATAAATTTATAGAAAGAAATAAACATTTAAGCACTAAAAATGGGAGTCGCAGAAAAAATGCAGTATTCTACTCGATTAATAAAATTACATTTTTTTAGTATTGCGATATATGCGATCCCAACAGACCGGACAAGCGACATCCTCCGGAATTCGCTGTAGACGGACGGGAGGCCTGGTGGCAGAGTCCGCCCCTGTCAAGGGGCATGAAATACAACGAAGTGAATTTGACCATCGATTTGGGCCAGGTAGGTGAATTTTTTCGAGCGCCTTTTTGTATTAACCGCGTGGTCGAACGCGAATGCCGGTAATTGCACGTTAATAATGCACCGGAGGGATCGAGTGAATTTCCAAATTTTTTTATATCTACGAATTCTAGTGAAATTGACCAATTTCTAAACACTCTTTAGTACAATTTTTATCCAATAAGAAATTAATAATTATCGAATTGTGTTGTCACAATGACCTTTGTACAGATAAATTGGGTCTTTAACCGACCTCTTCTGTATACACATTTACTCGTACACAAGTAAAATATACGAAATATAATAGATAAACTGTTTAAAGAAATTTTAAGATAACCAAGAGTGTTCAACACATGTTAAAAGTTAAACCCTAAACTTCTGTTTGGATTCCTGTCACTGATCAGGACAGCATTCAGGAGGCACTTAAATACTACCACAGTTAAATTATATCTACTCGTATCAGCAAATTAATAATATGAGATAAAAATATACTGCACATTTCAATTGCTACAAAAATATCTTTGTAATAATGCATTCCTTATAATTATTAATAATTTAATTTAAAAACTTTAAAAATCTATCAGTTTTGTTTAATTAAATAAAAGCCTGTATAGTTAAACTTTGAAAGAGATATTAGATGTAATAAATTGTGATTAATATGTCGTTAAAAATTTGAAATTATCTCCTTCGATGGCAAAATAATGAAAGATGATTTATCGGCGTAGGCGGCGAACTTCCTTTTTCTCTCTCTTTATCGCTATCAGAAAATACGATGAACTTCCTCTCTCTCCGTTATATCCATTATCAGAAAGTTATTTTCGTCTCGATCGTTTGTTAGAAATGAAACGAATTTTATGGGGTAAAATCTGGCACGAATGTGGGTCGTTAATATTATTATCGCTCTGTGCAACATGTTTCCTTATTACTTGAAATAAAATTGTAATAATAGCGTTGAAATAGAGAAAATGTCCACATCTAGAGACATGTACACATTTGCAGGAATTCCACGTGGCCTATGTATACATCAAAATGGCCAATTCCCCTCGCCCCGGTTTGTGGATACTGGAAAAATCTGTCGACCACGGGAAAACCTTCACCCCTTGGCAATATTTCTCCGACAATCCCTCAGATTGCGAGACATTCTTCGGCAAGAAGAACAACGAGCCCATCAAAGAGGATGATTCCGTCATTTGTACCAACGAGTACTCCAAAATAGTACCGCTTGAGGGTGGTGAGGTCAGTTTAGCATTCCTATCTCGAGTTCCCATGTAACAAAATTTAACGAATCTCCAGATACCGATCAGTTTATTAAACCAACGTCCCTCTGCGAACTTCTACTTCAACTCCACGGTACTACAAGAGTGGACGAGAGCCACGAACGTCCGGCTCCGATTCCTAAGGACCAAAAACCTGTTGGGGCATTTGATGTCTGTCGCTCGACAAGACCCCACCGTCACCAGACGCGTAAGCTCTTCGATCGAAATCCTTTAATACACAGCCGAATTAACAACGATCCATTGCAGTATTTCTACTCCATCAAAGAGATCAGCATCGGCGGTCGGTGCATGTGCAACGGTCACGCCGAAGCTTGCGACATACCCGATCCCCGCGACAACAAGGTCCTGTTGTGCAACTGCAAGCACAACACGTGCGGCGCCAAATGCAATAAATGCTGTCCCGGTTACGAACAGAAAGCCTGGAGGATATCCAAGCTGGAGGAGCCCTTCTCCTGCGAACGTAAATTACCTCTAACGGAAGTTCTATAGGTAGATATTGAAACGGAGGATTTTTCAGCTTGCAATTGCTTCGGCCACAGCGACACCTGCGTCTACGACGAAGAGATCGACAGAAAGCGACTATCGTTGGACATCCACGGGAAATACGACGGCGGCGGCGTCTGCAAAAATTGCAGGGACAACACGGATGGCATTAATTGCAACAAATGCGTACCGAAGTACTTTAGGCCGTACCACAAGCACTGGAACGAAACCGACGTCTGTCAACGTAAGCAATTTTAAATTTTAATCAGCTTTACTTATATTAAACAATTCCTTAACAATTTAGTTAAGAAAAACTCATAATAAAATTCTCCAAAAAAACAAAATCTTTAAAATAAATAACATTTTCTAAAGTACCTATATCATTTTTATGAACTTTCAGAAAGTGAACATAATATGGACCAGATCCAGAATTTTCCATTTCTAGAATATAATTGACTAATTCATCTTCTAATTCACTCGGTAATGTTGATTGTCTCCCAAGTTTTTGGGTGGTGATATCATTATGTGATTTGTTTTGGGTTTATGTTTAGAAAGCATTCAAAAAAGCCCATTTTCTTTTCTCATGCATTTTTAATTGTCTCCGCCATTGCGTTTTTTATCCCATGCTTGCCTGGTCAGCCTGGTCTTTTCTATTGTTTTAGAAGCCATTCTAGAACATAAAAATTAATTTTTATCCACTCCATATTTAAAACGCGCCACTGGTCCATATTGTGATATTTTTGAGATTATTTTTTTTCAGAAAATTGGTGTATCATAGAATATTATAACTTTATACAATTAATTGCATCATGACTCACCTACCTCGTGGTCTTATCCACTTTCACATAAAATTGTACTTTTTGGATTAAAAAACTTCCAAAGTTCGCTAGAAAATTAGATCGCGGGTTGCAGAAAACTAAAAAAAGCTGTCGTAAATATATTCGTGCATCCTGGATCACTGCAAGCGACATATTGGTCAAGTGAGGAGTGATGTTTAGTGTGTGATGATCATTTACTAGATATAAATAACGTTCTTTTTAAAATGACGGCGCTCCATATTATAACACCGGTCCATATTTGGCGTACCCACTCTACATTAATCTACCTTTATATTTTAAAGCGTGCCAATGCGAGACGTTCTTCTCGACGGGCAACTGCTCGGAGGGCTCGGGCCGCTGCGAGTGCAGAAAGGAATTCACGCCGCCCAATTGCGACAGCTGCAGCTTCGGCCACTACGGCTATCCGGACTGCAAGCCTTGCGACTGCTATTTGAACGGGACGCGCGACTTGCAGTGCGCGCCCCAACACGGCGATTGCACGTGCCTCTCCAACTACGGCGGCAAGTTCTGTCGCGAGTGCGCCGAAGGTTTCTTCGATTTCCCCCACTGTTCACGTAAGTACCTGCATGTTTAGGTATCCACCATGTTCTAGAGATATTGACCCGTATTCAGCGCTTCTGTTTAACTTTAGAGTGACTCTAAAGTCGCATCACGTGTCCTCAGTTACTCCATAACGACAATGTAAATCTGTCATGTTAAAGGCGCGACTTTAGAGTCACTCTAAAGTTAAACAGATGCGCTGAATACGCGCCATTGAAGCGGATAGATGAACAAACTATCCTCTTTTTTCGTACTGTCCTGATATGTCTGCTATTATTATTTTTAGAATGCGAATGCAATCCTAAAGGTTCGGTGTCATCGTCTTGCGACCAGTTAACAGGACAGTGTACTTGCAGGAATACATACGACGGTTTGAAGTGCGAACAATGCAGGAACGGTTACTTCTACAAAGACGACGATTGCGTTTGTAAGTAACCACAGCAAGTAGCTCTTTCGATAATAACGAATGCAACGTGTATTTTGCAGATTGCAATTGCGACACGGGCGGCACCGAGCCGGAGATATGCAGCAAAGAAACGGGCACGTGCATGTGCAAGCCGGGTTACGGGGGCGCGCGTTGCGACACCTGCCTGCTGGGCTACTACGGCTATCCGGATTGCAAGCCGTGCGATTGCAGCAAGCAGGGCTCGCACGGCACGTCCTGCGGCCCGACCGGCAAGTGCTCCTGTTTGTTCAACTACGCCGGCAAGACGTGCAACCAGTGCAATCCTGGATACTACGATTATCCCGATTGTAAATGTAAGATCAATTTTGTTTCGTCCTTGAGTAAACGATACCGGTTCAAACATTCCTTTCGTCGTTGCATTTTCAGCTTGCAATTGCACAGACGAAGGTTCGGTGGGTTTATCCTGCGATCAAACCGGCAAATGCCAGTGCAAAGGAAACTTCGCTGGTCCGAGGTGCGACGTTTGCGAGGAAGGATTCTACAACTTTCCGGCTTGCGAAGGTAAGAATAACAACTCAAAATCAACTACTTCATTAACGCATTCTTCTATGCAGATTGCAACTGCCACCCCGCAGGAGTCGTGGAGGGTTTCGCCGGTTGCGGATCCGTCCCGGCGGGTGAATTGTGCCAGTGCAAGGAACGCGTCGAAGGAAGAATATGCGACAGGTGCAGGCCGCTCTATTGGAACTTGAATTTGAACAATCCGAACGGTTGCGAGGAATGCGATTGCAACCGCAGCGGCGTCCTGGGCGGTATCGGAGTCTGCGACACCGAAAGCGGTCAATGCGTGTGCAAACCTGCTGTGGTTTCCAGATCGTGCTCGGTGTGCTCCGATGGCACCTACGCCTTGGAAGACACCAATTTGTTCGGTTGCATTGGTAATTAAATATTACATTAAAAACGAGTACGTGTACCAAATTTGTTATATTTTATATAAGATTGCGGTTGCGACGTTGGAGGTTCGATAAACAACATTTGCGACAAGAAAACAGGCCAGTGCACGTGTCAACCGCGCGTAGAAGGGCGTACCTGCACGGAACCGCTGCAAGCGCACTACTTCCCGACACTCTATCAGTACCAATACGAATTGGAGGACGGGCATTCGCCTGAGAACTCCAGAGTGCGGTACGAGTACGACGAAAAAGTCTTCGCCAATTTCTCCTGGAAAGGTTACGCCGTCTTTTCGTCGGTGCAACAACGCGAGGTCATCCAGGAGATCGCCATTATGAAGCCGTCTTTGTACCGCATGGTGTTTCGATTCGTCAATCCCAATCCGCATACGGTCATCGGATCGGTGAGGGTTGTAGCGGACAATCCCGGCGACTACGAGCAGGAGATTAAAGTGCAATTCAGAAATACCTCCCAACCGGAATTGGTGACTGTTTCAGGAGAGACAGGCAACATAGCTAAACCTTTCGTCTTGAATCCGGGAAGATGGTCTGTGATAGTCAACGTGAACGAAACTGTGTTTTTGGTAAGTGTTTTATCACCACTTTAACTACTTTAAATGAATTAAAATAAATAATCTTTCATCAGGATTACTTCGTACTTTTGCCCGAGGATTTCTACTTGGCTACGGTTTTAAACCAGAAAATCGAGAAACCTTGCACGATAGGGGAAAGGGAATTGTGTGTACATCACGCTTATCCTAACAGCACCATTTACGACAAATCCTGGGGTTCCGGAGGTTTTCGACCGGGCAACCAACCGGTCACCGAATGGTTCAAGAACACTACAGTAAGTACACTCACTAAAAATTGACACCAGTGACACCATTAATTACGTTATTCATCTAGCACTTGCGCGAATTGACTAAATTCACCCACAAAGTACCGCTACTGGACGACTCCCAATCGGAAGTGTCTTTCAATATATCCCTCGAGACACCCGGAGATTACGTCATAGTGGTCGATTACGTAACGCCTTTAGATGATCTACGCACGCACCAAGTCGACGTCATTAGGGACGTCAATGATGGTCAATTAGGCACGTTGAAATTGTACGCGTGTCCTTACACGTTCCTATGCAGACAGGTGGTTATCAACAACGATCGCGAAGGCGTTTCTGTCTACAATGTGAATGGAAATTATATCGTGATTACACTGAAGGTATCGTATTTATCACATATTTTTTTTGGTTCCGTTATTAATCAGTTAAACATTCATCCGGAACTTTTACATAGTAGGGAGACAGTCAGGAATACACTATCAGTCTTCAACAGGTCTTACTGTAGATATTGAGTTGCAGATTATTTCTTTTGTACATTAAAGTTCTAAATGAATCGTTCTTCTATTACTAGAGCACCCAATCGAATGTCGGCATCCAATCGGTCACCGCCATACCGTTATCGGAATGGTCTTTGGACTTTATCACTCCCAAGCCGGTGTGCGTGAGGAAAAACGACGATTGTATTCCATTCACCTTCCCCGATCTCCCGGAAAGCAAACGGATTCCGTTCAATCAGGAGACCGGCGACGTAGACGAACTCGCCAAAAACCGCCCGCCCACAAGACAAATATCCAACACCACCTACGTGTGGTTGAATCCCGCCGATACCACCGTCGATTTACGCGGTAAAGTCCCCCAACCGGGGGCGTACGCCATCTTGGTGCACTACCACCAACCTCACTATTCAGCGTTCGACGCGCCCGTCGTCGTTCAAAACGGCGTATTCTACGAGGCTTCCGTGCGATTGGAGCACTGCCCGTCGACGTCCGGATGCCGGGCGGCGGTCACGCTCGGCCCCAAAGGCCGCAGTTATCAATTAACAGAAAATTTCATGGTAACGGTGCGCCTGCCGGAAGATAGAGACGTGTATTTGGAGTACCTGCTGGTGGTGCCTGAGGATTTGTACGACGAACGCTCCCTCCAACCGGGCGATTTGGATCGTACGGGTGAATTCGTGTCCACTTGCGGTCGCAACCACTTCAACATCGATACAACCGCTGAAGGTAAAAGTTGTCATAATCGAGTCCCTTACTATTTCGCTCGTCTAATTCGTTTCAGGCTTCTGCAAGAAGGCGGCATTCTCGATCAGCGCGGCGCACAACACGGGCGCCATCCCCTGTTCCTGCGACTACGAGGGCTCTACCAGTTTCGAGTGCGAGAAATTCGGCGGACAGTGTCCCTGCAAACCGAACATAATCGGACGCAAATGCGAAGCGTGCCGCGTCGGTTTCTACGGTTTCCCCGATTGCAAACCGTGCCGGTGCCCATCCACGGCCTATTGCCAACCGAACACCGGAGAATGCATCTGTCCCACGCACGTAATAGGCGAGAATTGCGATCAATGCGAACCGAATACCTACGGATACCATCCTATAGTCGGTTGCGAGGAATGTAGATGTCATTATTTGGGAACCAACGGTACTAGCCAATGCGATCTGCTAAGCGGAGCCTGTCCGTAAGTAGTGTTACTTACTTTCATTAAGCTCCAGTACACTAAACGAATGTTTTTTTTTTAATTTAGATGCAAACCGAACATAATGGGTCGCACGTGCGACCGGTGCAGATCCGGCGCCTACGCTTTCCCCTACTGCGAATCCTGCGAATGCAACACAGCAGGTACCACGGCGGATATATGCGACAACCGCACGGCCGAGTGTTTCTGCAAAGCCAACGTCGTCGGGCCGCACTGCGAGTTCTGCAGAGAGGGCTCCTTCCACTTGGAGGCGTCGAACCCGGCCGGCTGCACCGAATGCTTCTGCTTCGGAAAAACGTCGAGGTGCTCCGGGTCCGGCTTGGCGAAGGTGGCGCTCCACGAGATGGCCGATTGGGAGCTGGTGGCCGTCGAGCCTGCGGAAGAATTGAACGTGACTTCGTTGCACGTCGAACTGCAAGACTTCGACGACGGCAACGGCGTCGTAGGCGTCGATTTCGACTACTTGAACGTCTCGACGGCGTACTTCGCCGCTCCGTCGGATTATTTGGGGAAGAAGCTCACGTCGTACGGGGGTTTTTTGAACTATAGCATATTCTACGATATCGGAACGGGAGGATCCGCTGTGAGCGGACCCGATGTTATTCTAGCTGGAAGAACGCTGTACTTGACATTCAACAACTTGGAGCAACCGCCCGCTTCTTTGGAATTCCTAACGACGCTACAATTGGTGGAAAATAACTTCGATCTCTCCAACGGCGAAGTGGCTAGAAGGGAGCACATAATGGAAGTGCTGAAAGATCTCCGTGGCGTCTACATCAGAGCTACATACTGGACCAAAACCAAATCGACCAGGTAAAAATTCTAATTGACAAAAATCCATATTTCACATATTCAAGTTATTATTTTTCCAGATTAATGAACGTGGTACTAGACGAAGCCATAGAAGTCGACGGTTACGCCTCCAATTCCCCTCTAGCGCAATCGGTGGAGCACTGTCACTGTCCTCCCAACTACCAAGGACTCTCCTGCGAGGACTGCTCGCCAGGTTACTACAGAATCCCGTCAGGACCTTACGGGGGAGTTTGCGTACCCTGCGATTGCCACGGACACGCCGACGAATGCGATGTCAACACCGGCAAATGCATAGTAAATAGATATCTACTTGTTTGTTTATAAGACATTAATACAATTGAATTTGTAGAATTGCGTTCACAACACGAGAGGTGATCACTGCGAATTTTGCGAAGTAGGTTACCACGGAAACGCCTTGGCTGGAACTCCGAACGATTGTCTAATATGCGCTTGTCCTCTGCCCATAGCGAGCAACAAGTTAGTTTGTTTCATTAAATACGAAAATGGTATAAATATTGTAAATTTCCAGTTTCGCCACGGCTTGCGATTTGAGCTCTGACGGCGAAAAGATCAGTTGCGAGTGCAAAGAAGGCTACATCGGCGCCAGGTGTCACTCCTGCGCGCCCGGGTTCTACGGTAGACCGGAACAACAAGGTAAGATATTAAGTAATCCCAGAATTGTGTTTTTTTTATAACGATCATTCAAAGGTGACTATTGCAAACCGTGCCAATGTTCCGGCAACATCAACCCCGACGATCCGTACTCCTGCGACACCGTCACCGGCGACTGCAAGCGCTGCCTGAACAACACCTACGGCGAGGCCTGCGCCGTCTGCAAACCTTGGTTCTACGGCGACGCCGTCTCACTGAAGAACTGCCAGAGTAAGTAAATACACCGCGACCTATCAACTAAAACCGTTCACATCGATGATATAATAATTTTAGTGTGCGTTTGCGACAACTTGGGCGCCGAACGTTGCGACAGCTTCACGGGCAAGTGCGTGTGCAAGCCGAACGTGATCGGCGAGAAATGCGACCGGTGCGCCGACGAGCACTTCGGCTTCCCGAGCGGCGCCGGTTGCAGACCGTGCGAGTGCGGCGCCGCCTCCGAGAGCAACCAGTGCTTCGAGGTGACGGGGCAGTGCAAATGCAAGCCCGGGGCGACCGGCAGAGCGTGCGACCGGTGCTCGGCTGGTTATTGGAACTACACGTCCGAGGGATGCGTGTCGTGCGGCTGCAAGAGCGAGTACTCCCTGGGTTTCGGGTGTAACGCTTTGACGGGGCAATGCGAGTGCCTGCAGGGTGTTATAGGCGAGAAGTGCAACCAGTGTCCTCATAGATGGGCGTTCGAACCGAACTTCGGTTGTCATCAGTGCGATAGTTGTCATCACGCTCTTCTCGATGAAACCGATAGCCTTGCTGCGCTTATCGATCCAGTTATCTCCGATTTTGGTGTAAGTTTTCGTGTTGATTGTGATGGTATTTTGTAATGAGAACACTGTTTTCTTTTAGTCGACGCAATCAGGGTATTTCACTAGAAGGAGACTGGAAAACATGCGGGAACAACTGGATAAACTGCAACCCGTTTTCGACGAAGTCAATCCAAGTCAAATCAATTTGAATGACTCCATCAAAACTTTAGAAGGTTTAGAGCAAGACTCGAAAAATTTGAATAGAAAAGTATGTATACATTTTAGTGTATAAACCTCTACTTTACACGATTGTAATTTCCAGTCTAATTTCTCGTTGGTAAACAGCGAGACGACGAAAAATACATCAGAAAAACTAAAAGACAAAATCGAGTTGATGCTGGACGAATTATCCCAAGTGGAAGAAGACGCCATCAGAACGGCCGAGAACATCGATAAAATATTCACTGAAATGCACCAGCAAGCCGGTGAGTATACCGATTCTCTTCAATTATTACCTTGCTACTTGTAAATTTCACCAGATGACGAAGTGGACAAAGCTCTACAAGAAGGCCAAGCGATGCTGGACGAAATGAAATCACACAATTTAACCAAAAGCGAAACGAACGCCGTAAATTCCTTCAACAAAGTGGAAGAGCTCTTGAAGAACGTGACCCAATTCAAAGCGCCCGTCGACGAATTGAAAAACCGCGTTCAAACTATCGAAGGCGATTTGAAACGTTTCAACGACAAACTAGACGGACTCTACAATCACACGCAATTCTCCTTGAATATGGCCAAGGAGGCGGAAGACATCATCGCCAAAATAGGGTATGATTACCATGAATATACATTCGCCAAGAGTCTATTTATTCAAATGTATTTCCTTCCAGAAAAGACAGATTGAAAACCAAACTGGACGACATCGAAACCAAGCTGCGCCAATCCAAAATCAACCTCGACGACTCCGACAAGTACCTCAAAAACGCCTCCGATCTTCTAACAATCTCCGTGGGGAAGCTCAAGAACCTCCAAGACGCCCCGGAGTCGCTAACCACCGTCAATCGCGACTTCAACGCCGAACTGGAACGCAACCGGGCCGAACTGGACGACATCGCCCGAATCAAACCCCAAGTGGAAGAGCACGCCAACAGCCTCTCCGACAGAGTGCAGCAACTCGAGCACATCCTCTCCGAATCGCAGTTCGGCTCGCAGGACGCCGTCAAGGCGGCCAGGGCGTACAAGGACATCGTCGAGGCGGTGAAGGACGCCAGGGAGGCGGCCGACGCGGCCCGTCTCGACGCCGATCACGCCGCTGACATCTTGAACAACGTGCAGGAGAGGTGCAACGACGCCGAGACCAGCTCGGCCAAGGCTCTGGACGATGCGTACGCCTCGAAACGGTCCACCGTCGAGGAGCTGGAGCCGAGGCTGAAGAACGTCAGCGACGTTTACGAGCCGATTAAGGAGATGCTGAACGACGCGGGAAAGCTACTCGATGATATACAGAAGATTATGGATAACATTCACGTGCAGGACTTGGATGAGCGGTACAAAACGGCTGCTGATAACGCTGACGATGCTTTTGCTTCTTTAGGAAACGTGAAGGTCTCATACGATAATGTAAGTACCTTATTCATTTAAAAAATATATAGGGAATAAATTAAAAGTAGGAACTAGTAAATTAATAATTTGATAGATAATAATTACCGATAGTATAGACGGATGTAAATTGGGCGCAAAAGGGATTATAGATTTTATTTCTTTAGGTAAATTGGACAAGAAGAATGAAAGGTCATTTTAATCACAGGTAAATTGGGCGCAAAGTCTTCACAAAATAACCACGTATAATTTGTTTTGAATTAGAATTTCCCAATGCACTCGACTCTATTCTAATCTACCCTACTCTACTCTTCACTACTCTTCACTACCCTTAACTACTCTTTACTACTCTTCACTATTCTTCCCTGCTCTTCACTACTATTCACTTCTCTACTCCACTCTAGACTACCTACTCTCCTCTTCGGTATTCTTTCCTACTCTTCACTACTCTACTTCACTCTAGACTACCTACTCTACACCACTCTACCATACTTTACCCTTCTCTTCTCTACCATACCCTAGGTCCTAGACCCTAGATGAGTGTAAATTTGTTCATTTTATTGCTAGCATAGTAGAGTAGTTATAAACTATATCTAACGATAAGGCATAACACGAGAAATATCTTCACTTTCTAGCTGCCTAAAGAAAAAGAACAAGCAGCCCTCCTTCCGAAGGAAATCGACGACATGCGACGCAACATCGGCCAAACGGACAAGCAGATCACATCGGTGAACGAGCGCCTTCCACCCATCGCGGAGTCGTTGAATCGGCTGCCGCAAGACGCGGCTGAAGCCAAAGTAAAATCGGACGCGATACGCTCCAATCTGATGAAACTCAAGGAGCAAATCGAAGTCGCTAGAGACATAGCGAACAGAATCAAAGTGGGCATGCGGTTCTTCACGAACACCACTTTGGAGCTGCGCAATCCGAAAAACCTGGAAGCGTTGAGCTCGTCGTCGAAGTTCTCGGGGTATTTCAAGACCAGCGATCCCAAGGGATTGGTATTCTATATCGGAAATCCTAACGCTACGCACCTGCCCAAGCCGAAATCGGTATGTAATCGAATACTATGTTATACTTACAATACTTACAGGTGTTTTTACAGGAGGATTACATGGCGTTGATAATCCAAAATGGTTTTCCGGTGTTGAAATTCAACATAGGAAATGGCAACGAACAAATTATTAATCCAAAATACGTAGCGGACGATCAATGGTACCAATACATCATAGAAAGGTGTGTATTTTATTCTTATTTTTTTAACCTTCTTTAACTAATATTCTTTTTTCTAGGATCGGTTTTAATACGAAATTATCCATTCGCGAAGACCTGGGTAAAGGATTAGTTAACGTTACCACCGCTGAGAAATCTACCTCCGGTCCCTATACAGTATTCAATCTGGATCAGGAGAATTCCAAGATCTTCGTCGGAAGCGTGCCCAACAACTACCAGGTGCCAGAGGGTCTGGACTCGGGCGCCTTCTCCGGCGAAATGGAGGACATGGTGATCGGCAACACGCCCGTTTCATTATGGAACTTCAACGAAGGCTACGAGAACAACCACGGGGCGCTCGAGAGGGACAAACTGGTGAACTTGTCGCCGAGCAACGGGTTTAGATTCGACGGCAACGGTTACTCCACTTTGGACATTCGATTCGTGTCCATTAGATCCAAATCGACCATACAATTGTACTTCAAGACCTTCTCGAAGACGGGATTGATCTTTTTGGCGCTTGGAGAACGTTCAAAGAAAATGTTCATTTCATTGGAGATGCACAACGGCAAGGTTTTGTACCAGTACAATCTCGGCGGAGCTACTAAGAAATGGATCACCTCGAAGAACTACAACGACGGCGAATGGCACAAAGTAACAGCGAGCAGAGACGGCCCCAACGGAAAATTGGTCGTCGATTCCGAAGATGTGATCGATATGAGTGCACCGATCTCCGAATCCATTCTAGAATCCATGACTACCATCTCCTTCGGAGGTTACCCGTACAAGCACAACCAATCCGACGTTACCTCCGTCAACTTCGACGGTTGCATCACGAATATCACGATAAACGGGGAAGCCATTGATTTGGCAAACAACATACAAGCGTTCGGCGTGGAACCTGGTTGCCCCGATAAATGGCCATCGATGGTGTCCTTTGCCAGAGACAACTACCACTACGTCGGTTGGGATAAAGTGGCGTTAACCAACGAATTTAATATGAGCCTGAGATTCAAAACTAAAGACGCAGACGGGCTGATTTTACACATATCCGATCCCACGCAAGACAATCTCATATCTCTTACATTACTAAACGGTAAATTGATTCTGGTCGATCAAAAAATAGAACTACAATCGAAAGGGCTGTACAACGACAACGAATGGCACGTTGTGTCCGTCATACACAACCACACCTACCTGCGAATGGATATAGACGATACAGAGAACCAAGTAACGGATACCCAACCGCCGTTCCTCCATTCCCTAACGGCCGGTTTGTACGTGGGCGGTCTACCCAAGCGAATCAACCAAACAACTACACCGCAACTCTTCGGTTGCATCACAGATTTAACAGTGAACGGTAGAGTAATGAACTTCATTAAAGCCACCGCTAAACACCACGTCATATTAGACAAGTGCATCCTGGATCCGCAACCAGCGGACCACGAACACACTTTGCCGGATTTGAAACAGACCGAAAATACAAACGTCTATATCACCGAACCCCCCGTAGCCACTACAGAAAATCCCACGAATGAATTAGACGCGAATAGAGGCGACGGCGGTAAGGATTACAGGCCGATCGAACCCCAACCTGAACCTGAACCCGAACCGGAGGTAGATTTAGTAATCACTACCGTTCACCAAACTGAACCAACCACCAAGCCGCCACCTCCTACTGATAGATGCGCTCTTCCGCCGAACCCCGTGCAGGAGAACGAGCAAATCGTTGGTTACAGATTCGTCAGTCCGGATAGCAGATTGGAGTGCAAGACCGCCAGAGGGAAGTACAAGAAGAACTTCGATTTCCGATTAGAGTTTAAGACCAGAGAACCGGACGGCGTGCTTTTCTACGTGACCGGAAGTTCGTCCACGCAAGACCGCAAACACTACGCAGCGGTTTACCTGCTGAACGGTCACGTAATGTTCAGTTTCCGCGGCGACGGCGAGACTCTGGCGATCAAATCGGCTGGAACCTACAGCGACGGTGAATGGCACATGGTGGAGTTCACCAAGGAACACGGTCAAGGTAAATTGGTGATGGACCAAGAGGACATCCAGTACGGCAGTTTGGGACCTGGCCCGTTAATGTTGGACCTGCAGCCGCCTTTCTACGTGGGCGGCCTTAATCCGGAACTGTACCAATCGGTTCAACAAAATTTGAACACCTCGGCCGGCTTCTCCGGATGCATTAGGAGCCTGTCGATGAACAGCAGGCCTTTAGAGCCTTCCGAGGAGTACGGGGTAATACCGTGCTCGGATAATTTGGAGCTGGGGACGTACTTCGGTGGCGGAAGTCATTCGTACGTAAGATTGAAGGAGAAGTACAAAGTAGGCGTGTTGTTTAGTATCAAGATGGACGTGAAACCGAGGAGCGATTCCGGTCTTTTGGTAGCGGCTCACGGGAAACGGGATTATTACATATTGGAGTTGGTGAATGGAACTGTGAGGTTGCACGTAGAGAATGGGAAAGGGCCGTTTTCGGCCATCTTTATACCACCTCATAATAATCCGTTCCATTTGTGCGACGGTAATTGGCATAATATTCAAGGTACGTTCTTTTAGCATATTTCTAATAATAATTGCTATTAAAAAAATTGCATATATTTTTGCAGCCGTTAAGTCGAAGAACGTGGTGACACTATCAGTGGATAACATGTACACGGATCCGAAGATAGGGCCCCATTCGAAGTCGACCGATACCGGTAGCGCCCTCTTCCTAGGAGGACATCGATACATCCACAGGGTGCGGGGAATCCATTCGAGAACTTCCTTTACTGGTTGCATCAAAAATATCGAGATCAACAACGAACCGTTGGAAATAACCAGCTCTATGATCAATCAAAATATTACCATAGGTTTTTGTCCCACTAATTAGTTTTTCGTCGGTTTATATTTTGATTAATTAAACTATGTTAAAAATTAGTAATCATTTTATTATCGTTCGTATGTGTTTTGTAAATAATATTGAAGAAGAAGCATCGATTTTGTAGTACAATTAGAATAAAACGACACACTTTAGTAATTAATTGTCTCTAAAATTGTTTCTTTAATCCTGCGAGGAATTATAATAGAGTCTAATATTTATTTAATGCTATGGATATGTTAAATCGAGGGAAACTATGAAAAAAGTACAAAGTACAAACATTAGCCTTTTACATCATTGTGTATCCAGCCAACTGTCAATATCAAAAATATAGTTGCTGAATACACATTACAGTATAGCCAAAAAAATAAAACAAAGAAATAGTGAAAAAGAAGAAGTAGATTAAGTCGCAAACAGTTATCAGTTATTTATGGAATTTTTGGATTATTAATTAGTAATGTGTTATGTGTTCAGTGTTAACAAGTTCACCCTTTTATCAGTCCTTGATCTTTCTTCCAGCGATAACGCAATTTTAATTTAATCGAGGAGGAATTGGAATAATAATCGCTTCAATATTGTTGTGTGTTATGTAGTACACAGCAGTTTGTAGTTATAAGATTAAGTTAGTTTCACAGTTACTGCGATCTAGATAATAAAGAAAATGTACGCGTTACAACATAAGCCCGAGAAAGAGTGCATTCACTCGGGACATTTCATGGTGTCCACCTTTGAAGCCGAAGAACAGGACGATGAGGACAATGTGGCTGTTCCGATACCCGAGAACACATCGGATACGGTTTCAGTTCCTTTACCACTAGTTTCTTCAGAGTCTAGCAGAAACGAGGTTATATCGAAGGATCATCCTAGGAACCAGCAGTTATCTATCGATACTAGCTTATCGAAGCTTTTCCGAGCCATGTCTTTGGCATACAGGTGTGTACTTTATAAAAATATTAACTGTGCTTATTATTTGTTAACCCCAATTGTTTTGCTTAATAGTTTTTAAACCTTTATTTGAATATTATGAGAGAAACTTGAATGTAGGTTACGCATTATTAATAGGTTTGTAAACTTTCCATTGAAAATGCTTAACTTCTTTTTAATACTTTCGTAAATACCAATTATTTGAAAAGCTATAATACCCTATAATCAAAACTCATAAATGTACTTTACATTCTACAGGCTTTTTGCATGGTTTTCTCAATTATTTACAATTATATTTACATAGAACATTGTAAGTAATTTTTCAAGCCATACAAAATCAACTTGTTTTAATAATATTAATGTATGCAGCTACTTTATGCTTCCTTATATTAATCTGTAAGGGGGAACACCAGTTTTACATAATTTACAGATCTGTTTAGATGCTTCAAAATTATTTATAAACAATTAAAATATCAATATCAGATAAAATATATTATTAGTAACGCGTATCTCGGACGCTGTCGGTATATTTTTAACAATTTTATAAACTTGAAATGCTTGAATTTTAAATTTACGATTCCTAATTTGCATATTATGACGAGCTATTGATTGTTTGAGCGCATACACGTGTATGCGTAAGAAGATAAACTGATGTAATAAACAAATACTATGTATTTGTTAATCTTCTGTAAATTTAATTATTTTCAATTCTCTTGATAAATTTAATTAAAGATGTTTATAAAGTAGTTGGCAGGGAAGATGAATAACTTTCTTTGATAAAGCAGACTTTAATATACAGGGTGTCCCGCATAAGAAACGACACAGAGCACAAGGGCGTGTAGGGGAGTCCAAAATATGCTGTTTAGTAACTTAATTTAATACAGAGTTATTTTTCTGAGAAGTTATTGGCCTTCAAATTTAAACCAACTATATTTAGTATTGATAAGTTATGAGTGTACTAAAAACATTAAATGATAGTTAGGAGAGATCAGTATTTTAAAGGATTCATCAGGGATGATGCTCCCTTAAAATGTTACAAAATTTTAATACCTGACAATTGATTTTAAAAATTATAAGTTCATTTTATAGGTAATTTCATTTTAAAACTTTTTTTATTCTTTTTGTGTTTTCAAAATCTTTGTCTTTTTGATGAAAAATAAAGTAATGTACACTATCAATGTTACTTAAAATCGTCGATAATTTAAAATTTAAAAGTTGCCTGTATTAAGTTAAAGTTGGGTTAAACAAAACATTTTAGGTTAAATATTTCCCCTACACTCTGCTCTGCATCGGTTCTTATGCGGGACACCCTGTAAAATTTTCCTATTATGTTATTTTAGAAATATTAAATTGAAAAATGTCCCAAAACGTATTCCACTGCTCCTATGAATTTATGTTAATTAATAAAAATCATTTAAATCACATTTCTGTTGCTCTTTGTGCCGTTCAAAATAATTTTAAATTTTATTACATATCCCATTATCAAATTATAAAGTAAACTAAAATATTTGAGACGAATTATCAAGTTTTATCAAGCTACTATATAAACAAGTAAATGCCGTCTTGAGAAAGAAATAAAGTTGTACATTATAAAATAATCTTATCGCCGAAACTAATTGATTGTGACACAGTAAAGTCAAAGACCTATTTAATTAATTTAGTAACGCACAATTAAAAAAATAAACTATTGTATATCACTACAGAAGAGGTAAAGTTTATTTATAAAGCAGTTGATATGTTTGTTTGATATTTAACAAATTGTTTGTTTTTTTATTTTGTTTTATTTTCATTTGGACCTAGAGATTCGGGGAAAGTTTTTGACCAATGCACATTTATTTAGTGGTCAAAAAGCTACTTTTAACAAAAGTCAATGTTGTTAATAAACAGCATTCAAGTACTATAGAGACATTGACAAAATCGATGCCCATTAGATCCAATTCCCAAGAGTTCTAAAGTCCAGCTAATTCAAATTTATTTGATTTCATAACTCCTGCATTATCGGGTATTCTTATCACCCCTGTTTGAGGCCCTAATAAAATTCCTTGAATACTCTAGTGCTCTTGATAGAGTTTTATAAAATTCTCCAGTTATCCAATATAAAAGTTTTGTATTTTTTCAGACAGAAATTAACATCACCAAAATGGAATCGATTTCGGGGCATAAGACTGAGGTGGAAGGATAAGATCCGCCTGAATAACGTTATTTGGAGATGTTGGCATTTGCAATGTATGTATATTTCTATTTTCCACGATATATACCCTCTTTATTCCACTTGCTTGTACTTATTCATTGGTACGGAAGATAAGGAGATGTATAGTACTTTAAAATTTGAACTATGGTTTATTTCGAAAATGTATACTAGTATTTTTTTGCAGTTATTAAAAAAGAAAACACATTGATTTGCCAATTTGCTTCGCCCTTAGATGTGGATACACATAATAAGCCAGAGGTGAGTTTGACCAAATAAACGAGAAATCTTGGTCAATCAAGATCTTGCAGAAAAATGTAAAGCTTCAATTTAAATTATTTCCCTAACAGGCTGTCGTTTTGGAAGGAAAATATTGGAAAAGAAAATTGGCCGCTGTCACAGCTGAGTACAAAAGATGGCGAATGTTCTACAGAAACAATCTTCTCGGTCACAACAGGGATTGTGCGGATCAGGTACAACTAATAATTCATTTAATTTCTCTTTTGATTCATTTAATTGGAAATTATCTGTTTCAGTTGCTGGATTTGGATTTGATAGGATGGGAATCGGGTAGCTCTGAAAACATCGACAATATAATGATGGTAGATGAGGACTACATGGGTTTGATGAGCGATACATTGTTTTCTACTATTACAAATCAACCCTTCGTTTTCCCAGATTCTAGAGAAATCGGTAAGTTTGTTTAATTACCGCATTCATCCCGAAACTTGATGTAATCTTCCCTTGTAAACGGTGCAAATTTTAGGATCTTTTTACTCTTATCATCATTGTAAATTTATTATAATTGAAATTAATATGTTCTATTTCAGCTAAGGCCGGTTTAGCCGACTTTATCCAGCCCAGTTTGGGGCCCCTGCAACCCAATCTCGAGGATTACATGGACATAGATCCGTTTCAAGGTAAATTCTGAATGTTATTCGTACATCTGAATGTTTATCTTTATATCTTTCTAGCATTAATCGCTAACAAGTTACCAACGGTCCCAGAAGAAATTCAGCCGTCACAAAACGTCACTGGATGGGGTTATATGGATAGCCCCGAAGACACTATGGAGGTAAGTAAACCTACTTATATCGAATGTACAAAAGTGCAAACTTATTCAATCAAACTCCGATTGTTTTAGATGCCTCCTATGCAACAAGTGTCCCAATATAGAGTTCCTCAAGCCGAAATCCTCGAGACCCGCAAGCCAACTATAACTCAACAAAGTTACGTGCAGCAACAGCAGTACTCCAGTAGTTCCATTGCGTCGGTACAATCTTATTCATCCGTCATATCCAAGAACGATATGGCAGCTAGCAAGGGAGCGACATCCAGAAGCGGTTTGGCCTACAGCAAATCTTCGGACGATATTTATGCGAATTATTCACAACAATCTCGATCGGATCAAGTCATTAATCGAGTTATAAGTAAATTGAATCTATAGTATACCTGATGTTTGATCGTTCAAGAGTTACTTTTTTATTTCCTTAGTAACCGATGCATCACAAACGCAGCGAGTACCGTCGCAGCAACAACAAGGCTCGCAATCGATGTTACCGGAGTATTTGGAGTACAAATTGGTGGCTTTGCCTCAGCAAAACCGAAAGCAAGGCTACGAGTTTTCCGTGATGACGAGTCCGAGCGCGAAATTCAACGGGCCGGTGTCTCAAGTGCAATCGCAGTTGCAACCCTACGCCACTCTTTCGCAGTACGATAATCTTCCTCGTTCGGTAATACGCATTTTTTTTGGATAGGTACTCTGTGACCAACTGCTTTGTGGAATTTTTAGAGCGACGATAAGCCGAGATCTAAGGGAGGGTCCAGAGGACGAGGTCGATCCAGATCGAATACCAGGGAACCCTGTAAGAAACCCCCGCTCGTTTCGGCAGCTTCAGATCCATCCTTGTTGAATTCTCAAAATAGCGTTTTATTGACTCATTTATTGGCTAATAGTAAGTGGACATCAGTCTATTTTTTCTACAGTTTGCGATTATGAGACCGTATGTTTGCTTTCAGATAAAAACCACTCGGGTGCCATTTACACCCGTTCAGGCTCCTTAGATATGATTCCCACTCAAGTGAGAATCAAAGACGAATCGAACGGTAACAACAGCCCGATTTTAACCCAACCATCTACGACTACTATCATATTACCTGCCCCTGTTACCATGTCCACAGTACAATCTACATCCACTGAACAAGTAAATGTAAAGCGTGCTGTATATATAGAGAGTATTTTTAACAATTTCTTACTCTTTCAGCTCTTACTGAATTCGTACAGTAGCTCAAACAGCCCCATCAGCCCCATAATGGATCCGCTATCTCAAAACATCAATTCACCAACGTCCTCCCAGGGCTCGGTGGGTTCCCCCGGCGGTGAGAGTTCCAGTTACCGCGACAGAAGGGCCGTGCATATACACGCCGAACAAAAGAGACGTTGCAACATCAAAAATGGCTTCGATATGATCCATTCGCTCATACCGCACCTCAATCAAAATCCCAACGCCAAGGTAATGTCAACGCTGTTATTTTATTGAAGTTGTAATTGTTATGTTTCAGCTAAGTAAGGCAGCTATGTTACAAAAGGGAGCCGAATACATTCGGCAATTGAGAGACGAGAGGGGCAAATTGAAGGCTGAAATGGATTCTTTGCGACAGCAAATCGATACTCTGAATTCCGCAATCAGGTAAGGACGATTTGAGAGTAAATTTAACGATTCTCGCGTAAGTACGTCTGATGGGTAGATTCATAGACGTGTTACGTAAGACATTTTCGATAAAGAGAAAATTTTCCGGCACCTATTTTTTGTTATTTTAGTGTATTATTTTCCAGTAATTGTCAATCTTTGTTACCGGCGACCGGTGCTCCCGTTTCCCGGAGAAACGACAGCAGAATGCTGGAAATGTATGAAGAATATGTTCGAATGCGCACCATGGAAAATTGGAAATTTTGGATCGTATCCTTTATGATAAAATAATTAATACTCTAAAGTCCGTTTTGATGTCCACAATGTTGGATATATTTACAATTTGGTGGGAAACAAAGCTGTTTTTGCCTTATGAGGCAAACAATGTTATTTTCCTTAAATGAATATTTCAGTTTGGTTTGATATTTAAATCGTTATTGAATTCATTCAACAACTTTGTGTCTAGTTCGAGTCTAGATGATCTTTATAGGTCAACATTACTGTGGACTGAACAGTATTGCTCACTCGTAGATCTCAGGCCAGGTATGTAATATTATCGATTATCTATTTATCATTAATTACTCTACGAACACAAAAAGGTGCATTTTCTCATATTTTTCTGGGCAGTTGGTTGGAACAAATGAAAATGCAAGTAAAAACGATAAACAAATTACAGTCATTACATGCATTTTGGTACGTAATAATCTTTTGTAACAAAACAACAAACAACCATGACCTAGCTGATAACCAATTTACCAATTTAATTTATCTTTCTAAGTACATGATTAACTAGTCTAAGTTTACTTGCGTAAATTATTACGTTTTATTTATTTTCGTACTAATTATATTTTGTTTTTTTTTTTTAGTGGTGCTTAACTCGTTGAAATATTTGTGCACAACAACGGATGTTTTAACGAAACCGGAGAGGTTACCAGATGAAACTCAACAACTAGCTCAAAAGAAAGGCTCGTTAAACAATTTTAATTTATAACCAACTTATATGTTGTTCGTTTTATTTGTGGTTTTTGCAATAATCTCTAAAAATTCTACAGATTATGCGAATAAGACTCATTGTTTTCTACTTTTGTAACTTAATAATTCGATTTTTTTATGGAGTTCGCAACGAATTGGTCTCATTTAACAAATTTCTCCGGAAGATATTTTATTAGTTAGATGTTATTTGAAAATGTCTTTAATTACTAATTTAATTCCGATTGAAACGGTTCACTATACATTATAATTTAATGCCCTTTAAGTACAATTGTTTTAATATTTAATTAAATTCGTTGTATAAGTGTTTTGTAACTGCAATTATCTTTTAAGTTTTCTATTAAGTGCCTTACTAGGAGTACGTGATAATTTTTGTGTTTGTAAAAATATGCATTTTTACTTATATATGTAAAAAGGTACTTACACAGTTTACCATCATTTCATAATTAAACTACATTAATGTATATTCAAACTTCATTGTGAAAGCGGTGTTCAAGTATAAAATTAATTTTGTTTTAATTAATCTCGGGCTACTATACTTTGTCCTTATACCTATGCATATATTATATATAATATGTAAGTGATGTATAATACTATACACATATTTGTATAATATTTATATTGAATGTTTTTGTTTATGTTTGTTTTACGTTTATTTTAAATTTCAATAAAAATTATTTTTTATGGAAGCATTTCTACATACTACATTAAAAGTGTACCTACAGAATGTTTTATATTTCATCCGATTGATAATATATCAAATATTTTTTTAAAAAATGTTCAATAAATTATTTAATATTTAATAAATGTAATGTGGTATTACCCCGTACATTGCTATGAGTCATTCGTAAAAAAATGTCCTATGTATGTTTAAGTATGTCAGCTACTTATCTAAATAACATAAAAAGAAGAGTGAAAAATATTGAAAGAGAAGAAATATTAGGTTAGAATCATAATCATAGACATAAGATTTATAGATTGAATTAAAATCAGGAAATAAACATACAAATTATTGAAAAATGGCCTCTAGACCAAGGGGAGGACCTCACAATTTAGGTAACTACACCTTCAACCCTTAAAGTACTAATTGACATTTTCCAAATACATAATCTTATTATTACTATTTCTTAGGCGATCCCGAGGATATGTCCCTTAGGAAAGTAGAAAAAGACGTGTTGATACCGAAGAAAATGCGTGAACTCACGCGCACGGAGAAATGCCAAATGGAAGTAGATCAATTCAACGAATGCGCTAAAATTAATGGTCTATCATCAGTCTTAAAATGTAGACCAGAAAATGCCCTATTAAAAGAGTGCTTGGCTAAATGGTACACCGATGAGAATTTTATCGAACACTGTACACAGATTTATTTGAAGGAAAGATCCGAGTATAGAAGAACGGGTGTGAGTACAAACCAGGGGATAAGGATGGGTACGTGAATCGAGATATTGAGTGTTATTTGGTTAATTTAGTTACAAGATTAATAAATATATTTAGAAATAAGCGCTTATTTAATTATATATTTATAGCTGAAACCAATAAGCAATACTGGTTTCGAAAGAGTTCTTGTCCTTTGCCTTTGTATTGTTACAGGGTACTAAACTCCTAACTATGTACAAACATCGCATTCAATTTTTAACTTATATTTATATTAGACTTAATTAAAAAAATACACGAGTTCTGAACAAAAAAAACGGAACCGAAAAATTCTTATTGAAAATTACCTTTTCATGTGTCGCTCTTCCATAATTTAATCGTCTTGTCATTTTCCAAAGCGGCAGACGCAATAATGTTTTCTGTGGGATGACATGTTGTGCACAAAACAACATCTACAAGACATCAATTTATAGTAAATTGCAGCAGTAACAATACCATATAATCCAAAAACTCACCTGTATGTCCTTGTAGTTTTTGCACGATTTCCTTCGTCTGCAAATTCCAAACGTACACCATATTATCCTCCGAACCGCTAACGATCCACTTTCCTCCCGTCACCGAGAAATTCGCGAAAATACAGTACTTTTCGTTCTTGTGGCCAGAGTACGTTTTCAGGCACTTCCCTTTAGCGTAATCCCACAATTTCAACGTGTTATCCAACGTTGCGGCCAGAATGTACTTGCCGTTAGGCGAGAATTTCACAAAAGAAACGGGCGGATTATCATCATCGATGAGCGTCTTCAAACATTGCCCTGAGGCCGTATCCCATATGCGACTGTAAACAAATTGAGAGCATTAGTTAATTAAAGAGCCTTCTTTAATGCTAATTTAAGAGCATTCATGGTCTTGCGTAAACGATACGAGTTCAACACTCTTCGAGAGTTGTGGAAAATAATCGAAAAAAAAACGTACCACAATCCATCGTAGCTACTGCTAACTATCAACGAACCGTCTCTGTTGAAATGTACTGCACTGACTGGATCCGAATGAGCCGGTAGTGTTTTCAAACATTTACCCGTTCTGACGTCCCAAATTCTCACCGACTCATCGAATGAGCCCGATACGATCAGATTCGATTGTGGATTAAAGTTGCAACAGAATACGTAATTACTGTGGCCTTTCAGCGTTTTCAGGCACTTGCCCGATGAAAGCTCCCAGATTTTCAAGGTTTTGTCGTCGCTAGCCGATACTGCAAGTAATTTAAATGAATTAGATTACGCTGAAATGTAGAATCGAGGGAAGTAAATTGATGGTGATAAATCATACCTAATAATCTACTGTCACTAGACCAAGCGACATCGCTGATGCCCAATTTATGACCAGAGATAGTCTTTTCGAATTTTCCATCGTAAGCTCCCCATATTTTAATTAATTTATCAGCGGCTGCAAGTATAACAAAAATGCGTAAATACAACAATACCAAACTGTTGTGTTGAGATGAATAACTTACATGAGCTCGCCAGCCATTCTCCGTTCGGACTGAATTTCACCGAAGATACCGCCTTTGTATGACCAGCTAGTGTGAATTTTAACGCATAGTTCGGCTTCTGTAATTAATCAAAACAACATCGTTTAATCAAATTATACCTGGCAAACGATAATAAATTTGCCGCATGAAAAAATTAATAGAAGAAAGCCACATTTACCAGTCCACTACTCGACTTTCCAGAGCCTCCTGTGCCCGTCTGGCTAGCATTTTGGCCGCCGGAGTTTTGAGAAATAGACGTAGATGAACCGTGAACAGGCGGTTGGACTGCTAAAGGCATCATCGCTCAAGAACTGCTCCTAAAATTGCAAAGTTTAAACGAGTATTAGACATAAACGGTGTAATATAACCTAAACAACACATTACAACTTACAAACCATTAGATTAGTATGTTGTCTGTGTTACAAACTTACATTTAAAACGGAAGCCAATAAATATCACGGATGTAAGTCATAAAATGTCCTGGGTACTAGGAAACCTATAGATTTACCTATATTTATTTTAATGTTTTTATACAGCAATAAGAAGCTGTGTGCTGTAAGTTTGATTTTCGTTTTGCGCAGGTTTTTTAATATTGTTTGCGCCGTTAGATTGGCTCAAACTTCACACTGGAAGTCACATTGTCAAATGTCAATCTTGCATAGCTGTGGGCTGAAAAAATTAAAATATCAGGCCTTCGTAATTAATAATCAAATTTTTTATTTTGTTTGTTCAAAATGCATGGAAATATAGAAAATTTCAACAACTGGCAAAATGTAATAGTACGTGGGTTTTTGGTTTTGGCATTAAAACATTTTTCTTAATTTTATTTCATCGCACTGTACCTATAGTTTAGGAAAATAAAATTTATACAATTGTGTACATATGTCATTAGTAAAATTTAGCACATAAAAAATACTAAAAATAATATTGAATTTATTCATTTTACATCTGCGTATTAGCTTCATCATAATACCGTTTTTCGAAATTAAATCATGTTAAACTTCACCTACTACAATAAAGGTAAGGAATTAAAATAAAATGGCTATTCACACATTTAATATTTATTTATTTATAACAAAAGCAATAAAACTTTTACTACTTCTTTGTGTATCATGTATGCATACTATATAATACATTATCAATCTTCCTTCCACAATAAGATTATAATAATATTATTGTAGTTTAAATTGTTTACAGCAACTGTGTTGACCTAAACTTATCAATTCCCACTTCAATTAATTTATATTTTCAGATATTTATTTCATTGTATTATGTATGTTGGGGCTTCATAGAATGTTAAAAGTTAAAAGAGTGTCTCATAATATAGGTGAAATTTACCAAAATATCAAAAATTTTAAATATTGTAAATTATAATAATATACAACATGTTACCTGCTATGTGTCTTCGAGAAACAGGTAATTAACTTATTTTTCTTGCTTCCTTGGCTATCAATTTAATTACGACATTTATTTAGTTACTATAATTATTTGAATGTTCAAAAAAATTTCAAAGTGAAAATTCGAATTGAATAGCCAATCCATTCATGTACTAAAATTTAACTATATAAGAGAAGAAAAATCTCAAGACATTTGACATATGTCATTTACTTGGAACAAATTGTCAATACTGTCAATACCTTGTCCACTGAAGTAAAAAATGATTTAATTTTTGGATATTTAACACAAATAACTAATTATGGGTAATGCAGGAAGCGCTGGGGCTCCGCGTGAGCGTCAAAAATCAGGCGAAACCGCACCCGCTTCTCCTACGAAAGAAGGCCAAGCGTTCGTATTCGATAAAAAACCAGAAAATAAAATCCAATTGCAGAATTCCCAGGACGAAGAGGAGCCCTATTTTACTAAGCCGGCTCTCGCCTATGAATTACCTCGACCTCGAGCCAATACAGGTACTTAAACCTGACAATTTAAACCTATAATATACCTAATTTTTACATTTTGCTTTTCTTATAAGTATCCGAAGGTACACAGCCAGTTAGAAACGGGTCGAAAACACCAACCGTTTTCCGTTGGGAAGGCGGCGGAAAGGACGTCTGCATTTGCGGTACATTCTCAAACTGGGAAACGATACCAATGGTAAAAAGCCTTGGTGATTTCGTAGCCATTATCGACTTGCCCGAAGGGGAGCACCAGTACAAATTCTACGTGGACGGGGAGTGGAAAAACGACCCGGAGAAAAACCTCATAGAGGACGACGGAGGCGCCAAAAACAATCTTATCGTCGTAAAGAAATCTGATATGGAAGTAAGAGCAGCTCTCGTACAAACCGTGTCATTCTGTATAAATAAATTCGGTATTTTTTTAGGTATTTGAAGCATTGGCCAAAGATAGCGAAAACGCTAAGGACGATTCACAGAAGGAGTTCGGGCAAGAAGTCCCAGCTAACAAACCTTGGGAGAAGCCAAATGGCCCTCCGATATTACCACCTCATCTACTGCAAGTCATCTTGAATAAGGATACACCTTTATCGGTGCGATTTTCTTTCTATTTGTAGATCAATTGATTCGACTATTCTGTTTTAGTGTGAACCTACTTTACTACCGGAACCGAATCACGTAATGTTGAACCACCTCTACGCTCTGTCTATTAAGGACGGTGTAATGGTTTTGAGCGCTACTCACAGATACAGGAAAAAATACGTAACCACGTTGCTTTATAAGCCTATTTAGTGAATTTAATTTATTATGCAGGGATGTCGTTAAATTTTGCTAATGTTGTTTATTTAAAATTCTATCTAGTTTTGTATTTGTACAGTTTCGACACCCTTGTACATAGACGATGTTATTAATCGGGTCCGACTGTGGGACCTTCTAGTATTTTAGATATAGGGGATTTTATTCGCAAGGGGTTTGAAATTTTTGTATTTATAAACAAACTTTTAAACGAAATTTATTTGTTTGCTTCTCTTTATTCATTCCCAATTTTTCACATGGTAGCACTTTGCCTTGCTTCTTATTGTCAGTGATGTACCCACGGTAAAGATTAAACTTGTATTACAAGGCCAATTTCTCGTTTTAAAATTTAGGAAACAAGTTTTTTAATAACGTAATGATTGTTGCCTATATCATAACAGCTATTCGATAATTATCGATTGTCTATGTGACTTTTGACATTGACATATAGAAAAATCAATGACAAATGACGTGTCCAATATATATAGAATTTTAAAAACCAAATACTAACGTTCATTTCATTCCCACATTACTCATTTTTATTCATATATCTGTTATCAGTGCTCGGAATAAATTAGCTGCATACCGCAAACAATGTACAAGCCTAAAATTTTAGTACTCGGAGGTAACGTAATATAAAAAATATACTAATAAGCATACATTAAAGTTACGCTAATCGAATTTTAGGTTGCGGTTTTATTGGCCGTAATTTCGTCAATTATTTACTGAAAAACGAGCTCGTAAGCGCCGTGAGAGTAGTCGATAAAGTTCCCCCTCAAGTGGCTTGGTTAAACGAAACGCACGGAGAGGTTTTCCGAAACGATATAGTCGAATTCAAAAGCGCTAATTTGATCAATCCTGGTAAGACAAGCATTCCACAGTACTCCCTAATGTTATGACTACAATTCGATTACAATATTTCAGAATCATGCAAAAACGCATTCCAATGCATCGACGATTCGCAATGGGATATTGTAGTGAATTGCGCAGGAGAAACGAAATCTGGTCAAACCGATCCCGTGTACGACGAAGGCATACTTAAATTAAGTCTGAATTGCGCCAAGGAGGCGTCCGCTCGAGGAGTTAAACATTACATTGAATTGTCTTCGGGTAATATGTACTCGTCTGAAAAGGTTCAACACAAAGAAGATGGTCCCATTGAGCCGTGGACTTTTGTAGCTAAATGGAAAAGACAAGTAAATAACTTAATAAGCACAACATTATTTATTCCTTTCATGTATTTGTGATAATTCCGTATTTATATTTAGAGTGATTCATTGAATAGATAAAGGAGACATCAACGGGAAATGAGATATTAAAACTAAGTCGTGGTCAAGAAACTGCATTGTATTGATAATTGTTTTTTAGGTCGAAAAGAAACTAACGGAAATGTCGGATTTAACATATACCATTCTAAGATTACCGGTTGTGTACGGTTTAGGAGACAGGAACGGTTTAACTCCGAGAGTGATAGCTTCGGCGATTTACAAGCGCATGGGGGAAACTATGAAATTGTTGTGGAACGCAGATTTGAAAATTAACACTGTACACGTCGAGGACGTGTGCAGGGCCATTTGGTTTGTAGCCAATCGAGAAGACACTAACGGACAGGTAGATAATAAATGCTCTTACACTTCAGCTCCATCAAATTACCAAGTGTGGTGCTATAATGTAGGCTCCACTGAGGTATTTATCAATAATTTTCACGATATTTTGTAGATTTATAACGTGGTGGACGACGCTGATTCCACTCAGGGTTCTATATCCGATATTTTATCAGATATATTCAATGTAAAAGTGGATTATTACGGCAATATAGTATCGGCTGTGGTGGATCTCGTAGGTGCCGCTGATGATGCTAACGACAAACATTTGGCCCCATGGGCGGAGGCCTGTCGAACGGACGGCATTTTTAATACGCCTCTGTCTCCACACATGGATCCCGAGCTGTTGTTGCATAAGCATTTGAGATTAGATGGCGGTAAATTAAAGGGAATGGGTTTTGACTTGGCTGAACCTCGTCCGACGGGTGATAATATTCGAAAGGTTTTGGATGATTTTGTCGAGATGAAGGTGTTCCCTCCTAGCTTGATTGTATAAAAATTGGTAGATTTGATAGTTTTAAAAAGCATTTTGCAATTTTTGATACCCTATTTATTTGAGAGAAAAATTAAGCGCCACAAAAAAGTTTCGACTTGTTTGATTACAATAATAAAAATCTGTGATAAATGCCTTCTTAGGTTCTGGTTCATTATGAAACAGAAAGGTTTTTCACTAACTGTGAGCAAGATTGTTTTACACGTTACAAGTATTTGTACCACCGATTTATAATTAATCTACTGATTCAAAAATGATATTTTTATTCCTTAGGAAGCTTTGTTATTGTTAAGCTTTAGTGATATGTATTTAGTCATTGAAAAAATTATTCTAGAAGTTGTAGTATTGGTGAAAACATTGTTAAGTTTTTAGGTATCAAAAAATACTTTTGGTTCGTTGAATGCATGTATTTTTTCAATAACGTAATAACTTTTTAATCGTTCTTGTAAATTGAACACAAGACTGATTATTTTGCTCAAATCTTTACGATTCCTTAAATAAAAAATACTTAACTAAATAACTTTAAGGAGCTATTTATAAGCAAACATTGATGTTATTATCTATCGTAATTCCTTTACCGTACTTACAGTTTGAATATCAATGTTGAAATGTTTGTTTATATTCTCAAATGCTAGTTTTAATCCTAAAGCCTTAATCTCCAGAAGAAAATCTTCAAACATTTAAATATTAATTTCGAACGAATTAGTTGTAAGTTTTACAGAGATAATTTAAGTAGTAATAGAAAAAATGAAACGATTGTCATTCCTATTCATACAGGGTGGCCTTGAAAAGGGCATCATAGGCAAAAGCATGTAGTTAGTAATTTTCAAGATCCATTTTCTTAAAGAAACATTTTACTTAATTTATGAATATACCTGGTGCCAATTTATAATACTGCTCAAATAGTTTTTTAATATTCCATTAATGGGTGTATTTTCTTATTGTTAATCGTATTAGGGATTCCATTAAATAAAGATGTTACAAAAATTCTATTTTAATGTTCTATATGTAAAGTTTAAGGAAATTACCTTGCTGTTAATTCAATAAATAACGAATGAAGTAAATAAGACATATTTATTACAGTTCTTTAGTACATATTATAATTTTATATTTTTTAATTTATTTATATATTTATAGACACATGGATTCATTAGAGGGCAGTTTTTCTGCTATGAACCGCAGTGTTCACATATACAATATAATTGGCAAAAAATAAACATGTAAACCGAAAAAAACAAAAATACTGCTTATAGATCTGCTCACAACTATTAATAATCACTCGCAATTTTCATTCTCATTCATCATGAATCCATAACACCTACGCATTAATTGCTTGTTGTGCATTTTCTTTCTGGTTTTTGGCTAACCTAAATCGCTCTCACAGAACAAACATCAGGTTAGATTAAAAATAAATTCAACAAATTACTCGTTAATTTTTTTTTGTATAACAAATACAAGAAAGTCCAGTAAATTTTTAGACGTAATTTGTACAGAATACCTACTAAGGATTGGAAATACATTTTGAAAGGATTACTCGAAGACCGGGCGAGTCAAATATGCGCACAATTTGTAACGGATAACCTACACAAATTGTCGATTCCAATAAAAAGAACATGATTTCCTCAGAGAAAATGAAATTACATTTCATGGGAAAAGAGGGCCTAAAAAACATGAATTCACCTACATGAAATTTCGATAAAGACCAATTAAAAATCTACCAGCTGAAAGATCATTTTTGACGCACCCATAACATGTAAATTTCCCATTTAAGGTTTGGGCAGAGAAGCTCAGAAGCTTGCTGCATGTCCGAGCCTTCGCTGGTTTACACATAAATGTATAAAATTAGTAATATGTCAATGGTACGCGATTTAGAGTGCGTTTTCATAGTCAAGATGTAAAATTAAAAATTTTATCACACATTTAGATATACAATATACATAGATTTCAAATGCTTGCGTGGTAAAACTAAGACAAAGTATAAGTGAACAAATTACACTACAAATCCTACATATTATTTCGAACTATTGTAGTTTCATCTTAAGTGCGTAGAACATGACTTAGTTTTGCCATTCTCGATTTGAGAGTACAGAACGAAATGAAACGATTCAATACACGCCTTGACTATTAACTCACCTTCTTAGATTATAAATATATTTATTTCATCAACAAATACAACATTCACTGAATAATCAGCAAGTTCAAATTAAGAGTGCGGTTTGGAACCAAAATAATAACGTTAATTCGCTAGAAACCCCTATTGAAATAGGCTTAAATTTTGGGTAACGTAGGTCATTTGAATGTAGAACGGTTCATTCGTAATCAAATGCATGCCATTTTCATCATGTAACGGGACGAGTCCGTTCTCGAGAGTCCTCATTTCATTGCAGATTCAAAATGCACACTCTCGAGAGCGAATTCAACGCCAAAGAAGTTACTGAATTCTGGGACGAGCTTTCTTTTTAACATAAATCTTAATGTAAGTACTCGCTCGCTCGAATGGAAATTGACTAGTTTCTTGATTGACACAGTTTTTTTGCAATCAATCAATTTGATTGGATTCGGAAGCGCCTGTGTCAAGGGCATTGCAAACCGCTTTTTTCCATCCTCTCGGTTAATTGACGGTATTTCGACCAGCATGACAATTATAAATTATTATGAATTAACGGACATGCCAAAAATCAGCTATAAATCTCAAATAGTTTATACACTAATTAAAAAAAACCTTTTCATTGATATTGAAGAGCAAAAGCCGTTCTTTTCAAACTTAACATATTAAGTAAAACCGTAAGTATATAAATTTTTGCACGATAAAACATTCAATATTGCACTAACGTTACGATTTGATAAAACATATTTACAAAAATTTAAAATAAAAAATAGAATAACATATAAAAAAAATATATATAAAACTAAATAGTCAACTAATCAAGATTAAAAAAAAACGATATCTTACAAATTTTTGATTATAAAATTCGGAAATAAAAACAATTAAAACTGGATTTGATTTTCTAGTCGATAATTGAATATACAGAGTGTACGAATTCTTCCGCTGCAAGCGTTAGAATTAGAATCTCAATCAATACTATAAGATAGTAAAGAACAGAAACTTGTTTATCGGTTGCCGGCCGATATTAGAATTCGTCAATTCGCTTCGCTTCGTCCACTAGCGAATAGCGGGGATAGCGGGCGTGACTATTTCGTATGTTCTCTTTATTCCTTACATAGCAAAAGTTAAATTAGCTATCTCATTATTCTCATTATATGCTTGCAGCGGATCAGTTCGTACATACTGTATAAATAAATACATCCAATAAAGTAAATTAAAAAACAAATTTCCGTTGTAATACTATTTTTATTTTTACATATTCAACCAAGGACCCTTCCTGTTTCCAACATACATACACAATAGCAATAAATAAGCTCAGATCACATAGTTAATTATAATTTTCCGCTGGTGTGATGTCCACATAACTTATTTTCAATTAAATAAAAGATATACATCCGCATTTGTACTTTCATCTCGACGACCGAGAAGCCATAAACGGCCAGGGAAAGAGTTATGAAGAAAGGTCCTTAGAACTTAGTCGTTATAATCGTGCTTAACCTGGGAAAAGGACTCGAGCCGTAAGGTTATGAAAGGTATGTAAATGGTCCGCAATTTAAAGAGTTCATGTTAGAAACGAGCGCGTCCTGGGAAAAGGACTCGAGCCATAAGGTTATGAAAGTTATAAAAAAGGTCCTCAGAGTCTAGTCTCTACGACCAGCAATTTAAAAAGTCCATGTTACAATCGTGCTTGTCCTGGGAAAACGATTCGAACCGTAAGGTTGCAATTAAATTCGAAGAAAAACGTTTTAGATTATGTTGGAAAACCGCGAGAGTAATTGGAATTGAACGCGCTTTATTGGTTCTCGGTCTTTCAATAGAGATTCGTGCTCGACGGTAAATCTGAATAAACAGTAAAATGTGTAACTGCGTTGTATTTTCTTGGTCCTAATATGTATTCGGAGTGGTGTTTTTTTGCCTTTGAAATATTCTGGTGCTTAATAAGTTTTAGGCAGTTCTATTAAAAAAAGGAGAAAGTTCTAAAACACCGTTTTTATGGGTTAAAACAACGCAAGCAGACGATCTTAATTGAAATGCGGGCTTGGACTCGCCCTCGAGGATTCGCGCTATAAACTGCAAAGAAATGTGGGACCTCGAAGAGCGATTCAAGCCGCCTTTATGCTGTTACTTTTGAAATAAAACATGCCGTTCTAACATGCGTTATCCAAAATGAAAATTAATAATCAAAGTGCCGAGTTATAATAACCCAATGTAAATAGAGTCTTAAGTTTTTTTTCACAACATTTGATTCAAATACGATTACACTATGACTGCGTATCTTATTTTTTAACACCGTTTACTAGGAAAAAATGTCTATTTTTCATTTTAAAAATTGATGACATCTAAATTACTCAGGAAACGGAAAAAATGTTAAAAATTTACAGTTTACGGATATGACTCGATAATAAAACAAAAATAAAATAAACGGGAAGTACTGGAATTTGGTAAATTCATTCTATATACAAAGGTTTCTTTTCGCCAAAATCCATAACCGCCTAGTGATTCGACACCTATTTTGATCCAATAGATCATAACATCATCAACAATAATAATAATTTTTATACAGGATGGATATTGGCACTTACATTATACGCCTATAGGGAGGGTCTTTGTTTACCCCACAATTTCTGCTAAAGTTGCAATATACATCTTGTAAATGTCGAAAATGAACCAATTGGCTCAATAAAAATTTACTATGAAAGTAACATGCGTCCAATTATGACTCTTTATATTTGACACAAGATAATCATTTTAATAATATATAAAATTAATTTACCAGAGCTGCCATGAAACTTGTTCGAAATAGCATTGTCTAATTCTTCTTCAAGGAAAAAAAGAGCAAATTGTTTTATACTTTAATTTTGTGCGATTAACTCTTAAACCAAAAAGTAAGAATTAGAAAATACAGTCAACTTCGAATAAAATATAATTTTACAACGGAATAAATTCAATGGACTTTATATTACCCGATTGCTGGTTTAACTGAAAACAACGATGTTATGTCTATTACAGAGATTCGTGTTCCCAATTAATTTCCACAACTGAAATACAAGTTTACATAAAGCATTGAGCACCCCTCATTTAAGATTTCTTTCGGTTTTGGCATAAACTGAATTTCAGCTAATGGATGAAGAAAACGAGACAAGTTACTAAGAAAGTTGGATTTTTTTCATCTTATCCTCTTTTTTTTTGTTTTCTAGACGACAATAAAGAACCGACCGGCGTTTGAGCGGGCCGAACAGGAGATGTAGTGAAGCGCTTGTAGATGAAATAAGAAAAGATTTACATCGTAAAAACGTTGGTGGGTGGGCGGTTATAAAAGTTCATACTGACGGAGATGCATACGCTGGATAATATCGCGGCAGTCATTGAACACTCTCTTAATGTTTTCCGTGTCTACGGCGCAAGTGAAATGCGGATAGCAATAGTGCTTACCCTCGCCCGATGCCGTGCTTATACGCTACAACAAACCAAATAAACATTCCTTTAAAATCATTTCTTTCATTACGAAACCGTACTATTCTGTGGATAGATGCCATAATAACTCAATAACTCAATTTTGACAAAATAATGAACACATCAAGTTATGGCATCAATCCACTGAATTAGCTGATATAATATAAATTTTCTTACCAAAAACTCGTCCCTGATAAAGTACTTGGCTCGAAATACTTCCGGGTGTTCGTTGGAATCGTTCGCGACTTCCACTGGAGTCTGATATCTCGTGAATTCAGAAAAGTAATCTTCTAATTTACTCTTTCCTATAAAAAAACGCAAAGTCCAGTAAGTAAGCGAATTTTTACACATAGTCCACATTACTACCAGGAAATATAAACATCTTTTTCCAAAGAAGCATCCCCTTATGTTAAGGATGGATAACTGAAAGTTTGGTACATCTTACAACACCCCAAAGAGGTAAAAATTTTCCCGAATATTTGCAAATCAGTGCAGTTAAAATTAATATTCTTAAAGATTTATTTCTCCTGTTGGTACATAGGCACATTCATCCACTCGAAACGTAGAGTAAACAAGATAAAGCGTCAAAGGGATTTAAACACCGCAGCACAGGATGCGGTAAATTCCCCGTACTGGGACCACCCTCCCTTTGACGTGGCATTGTAGAATGCAATCCCAATTTACCAATTTGACGTGACAATGTAAAGGCGTATGTAACTGGTCGATTGGACACATTAAAAAATGTCTGCAGTCGCTTTAGGTGTTCACTGTACAACACACCAATACAAATACAAATACATTTCCATCGGATCAGATGGGAAGAGGATATACGAATAACTTCCGTTTCGATGCCGGCGTTTCATTTTCTCAAAAGCAATTCAATACTAATATTAATGCCAATTATTAGTGCAGTCGAGTGGGTTTTCGAAGATACAAATTCGTTGTATTGCATTAGGGTGTTTTTGCCAATGAACTACATTAGTAGGAATGCTAATTAATGAATCTCCTAATTAAATGATGTAAATTTTAGATAATTATATTTAATGTTTATCGAATCCAATTCATTTCATAAACAAATTGAATCAGCGGAACACACTTCAGCGCGAAATTGGAACTAATTAGAATTAGAAAATCTAGCATTATTTGCTTCAATAGTTATAATTATGCAAATTGATTTTCCCATCAACGCAGCAACTAGCACTCCTGAGTGTTTAAATTATTTTCTATAAATGCTACTAATCTGAAAATTGCATATTATTTGGTATTCAAAAATGTTGTTTTAAGCATTAAATAGCTTAAAAATAACTTAAAAAAATAACAAAATGCAAGAGATCTACCCTTATGAATGAGAGGCGATGTCAAGCTTGCGAAGCGAGCGAGAAGTATCAAATACTTTTGCCATAAACTCCATATTCTAATACTCAATGAAACGTAAAATTAACATCTTTTTTTTAACTCATCATATTAAAGAGCACGCGTTTCTCGCGACGCTCAAAAACGTTACCTGCTAAAATTTTCTCGGCTAGGAGATCCTGCTTGTTGAGAAACAGAATGACGGATATGGTCCGCAACCACCTGTTGTTCCATATCGACTTGAACAAATCCAGGCTCTCTCTCAACCTGTTCTGCGTGGGATCCTCGCGTAACACCATGTTGTAGGAGCTGCAAGCGGTCACGAATATTATGGCCGTCACGTCGTTGAAACACTGTATCCATTTACGGCGCTCGTCTCGCTGCCCGCCCACATCAAACATGCTAAAAGAGTAACATTTTACACATAAATATGAAATACTGTTTACTGTTAGTCTTACGCCCGTATTCACCAATTTTGGCTTATTAACCTGATAACTGTCAGTCTGATAAAATGTAACAGTCGGTTAACAATATTTGTTCACAATATTCACCACGATATTTGAAGTAACTGACAGTTTTTAACAGATAGTTCTTAACTTCATGAGGAACTCATAACCACAAATTACTAAATTAGGTAGTTTAAATGCCAAATATTTAAAGAAGTAAATAACTATGTATAAAAACCATAATTCAGCGGTTATTCCATCTAACCGAATCTTTCTCTTCAATCAATATCTATTTCTATCGCTATTTTCGGAAGATGAATTGAATAATTCGTGAAACTTTATTCTATTTAAATGCTATATTTATGTTTCTATTTAAAATTTAAATGATAATAATCATAAAAATCTTGACAATTTCGATATTTGGATTGAAGTTATCTGTCTGTTACCTCTTGTATCAGTTCGATTTTGCTCTGTTAATTTTATCTGACGGTTAAGTATTAACTGACATTGGTGAATGCCAAAATATGATGTTAGCAAATTGATAAGAACTTATCTCTCTGTTAGCGATTTAACAGGCATTGGTGAATACGGCCGTTAGGAGTAGTAATTTGACTTAATTTTCAGTTTACTAAATGGCTGTAATACTTGACAAAGACATAATTGCTAAATGAAAACTCTTATTCGATGGGTAATACAATCGAGTGGCAATCGAGCACTGTGATTCGCTAGACGTCATTAATTACGTTAATAATGACGCCTTTAGGGTATAGCCGGTAATTGTAATAATTCTATCATATGCTTACTGAAAATTGACTTTATCGACTTGGAAGAGCGTTTCGAATATGCCGCTGGTGAGGACGCGACAACGCAATATGTCCTGCTCCGTGGGCGTGTAATCCGGCCTTCTGATGACGCTCACCTGATCGAGGAAGTATTTCGCGCAGTCTATGAGTTGGTATTCATTGCTCCTTTCGTAGGTTCCCTTTAATCGGTTGAAAATTGCGTGAAAAAAAAGACGCTAATAACTTTCGTAATTGCATAAATACCTGAACACCTCTATCTTTCCACAGAGCCTCCGTGTGATCGTAGAATTCCGGAGGATAATCAAAGTCGGGTCCGGTCGCGCAATCCTGAATCCAATCGACTCTCGCCTGATTTTCGGGTTTTTCTAAACTCACTGGAGGGCTCAGGGTCGACATTGCCCCTGTTATAGTCTAAAAATCAATAAAGAATAATTCAATTATAATTTTAATGGCAATAGGAATTATGTGCTGTTATCGAATAATAATTTTATATTTCATTAAATGCCATATCGATAGTCAAAAATTGTAGAAGAGGTGATTTTATGTTGATTATAACCTTAATTAAAACTAAAATACAGGGTGTTTCAGAACTATGGGATAAAATATCTAGGGTCTATTCAGAGCAACGAAAGAAGACATTTGAGTACAAGAACTCATGTCCAGAAATATCTCCATAAGGCGCTACGACCCTATGACTCCCTATGTGAGAGTCCCTAAGACTCCCTATGACTCCCTAAGATCACTATGTGTAAAAATCTGTTTTATCAAGTGTTAATACATTTTAAGGTAATTTGTTTGTCTAAAATAACATGAAACAGCAGTGGAAACAGATCAAGACCTGATTGCTCGAATTACTGCGGCATTTGAAGTAGTTCAAAACAAACTTCAAGTTTGATTAAAGCTCGCAGAAGCCATAGACGACGTTTGAACAGGTGTATTAAACTTCAAGGACATTTTAAACAACTGTAGCATTAGATATTTTTTTAGGAACAATTTAAAATAAAATGTATTAATTCGATAAAACATATTTTTTCATAAGGGTTTTTAAGCATTATAGGGAGATATTTTTGGACATGGTTCTTCATACTCTAATGTCTTCTTTTGTTGCAATAATCCTTATAAGTTTTATTCTATAGTTCTGAAACAGCCTGTACTTGTAATTTCGATATTGACTGATTGGCCTTTGGTTACTTTAGAACTAGAAAGAAAGCAAGATATGGTATCTATGATCTTAAGCGATTAATAATAAGTTTAATCAAATTAAACATGGCTCTAAAGGATCACTTTAACGTAAACAAAATCCTTAGTTACTCCCTAACAACAATCTACAACTGTCAAGTTGGAGACGCGTCTTTAAAGTCATGTTTAAGGTTAAAGTGGGCCGCTGAATATGGGCCAATATATCTTACGATTATAGCATCTCTGATATTCTTCTTGATATCTTCGATTTTCTGCTTCTTCTCCTTTTCGCTGAAGCCGTTCACGTGCAGGATGCGCATCTGCTTGACGATGGTCGATTTGCCGGACTCACCGGCGCCCAACAGCAGCAACCGATGGGTCGCCCGATACACCTGCTTCTCCTTGGCCAGTTGCCTGTTGATCTGGTCGCTGATGCGCTTCTGCGATCGGATGTCCTCCGACGCCTGAGCCGCGTCCCTGTTCCCGAAGCAGCCCATGGCCGCCAGCGGGGACCACCAGCAATCGGCCCCCTTGTCGGCGGCCACCGGCCCGCACTCTGGGCCAGACGCCACCGTGGCTGTCACTCTGGAAATATGTTTTTTTTATTATCTATTTACAAATGTACGAGAGATGTTTCCAAAGTTCGGGGGGAATTGTGCTCTAATTAAATTAGGCAGAATTTAGAGGTGACAGACAAGCCTTGACAGGTTTATACAACTATCCAGTGCAACATTGTTCAGTATGATTCAGGTGTTTGACTGATATAGACTCGTTTATTAGCACTGGTCTTGTAACTATGAAAGACACAGCAAAATATCGAAGATCTATAATCAATCCATCAATAAACAGTACTTTTAGATTCTCTAGACTTACCAAATACTATTTGTATATGCTGAATAATTTCTCACATTTCCACACCTTTTTTTCCACAAAAACACAATTATTGCTCTTTGAGATGTTGCTGCATCTTCTATAGTTACAAAAACAGTGCTATAAAAACGTGTCTATATTAATCAAACACCTGAATCATACTGAACAATGTTGCACTGGATAGGCAAGACTTGTCTGTCACCAAAACATTATCCATAAGTTATCTAGAAACATTCCTCGTACATTATAGAAAGAAATCATATGGTTCACTCAGTATCTAATAAAAAAAGATATATCTAGCAAAATGGTTAAATATTGGAAGACAATGCTTATTAGTTTATAAAGGCGATTTATATCTGCAAGAACATCATTACGATACTATTATTTTACAGTATGTTTCGAATATAATTAAGTTAGTGTGCACAGAGTAACACTCAAAGACCAATTACCTTATGCAAAATTGATACCTTAATGCATCTTATGGAGCAAAGTAAAAGTACTTGCGTTCTAAAGCAAGCAATGAAAACGATACGGCAAGACAATTTTCTATGTAGCATCTTTAATTTAATCGATGCGCCTTTAAAATGACAAAGGAATGTTATTAAGATGGCAAAATTATATCATAGTTATGTATATTTTTTATCTAAAAATGATTAGGATTTACTCATCTGATTCATATTGATTTAATCAACCCGTTTATCTATATTAGTATGATCCTAAGGTTAACAGATATTTATAAACAGTATAGCTCAAGTATAAAACATTTTTTTTTAAATAAATCTGCAGACAACTGTTCTTAATTTGATATTATTTTAGATAAGTGAGAAATTTTTTGGGTATTATTTGTTTTGTTGAAAATACATTGGATATTTGTGATTGTTAATCCTTGGTGTAAATTTTGAAATTAAAAAACTATTGTTATCTATTAAGTAATTATGGCAAGTAGTATAAGTAAAAAACACAGTAGTAATCCCGGTAAGCGTTATCGCGCCAAAGTGCAAGTAATTTCGTGTAAAACACCTACCGAAAAACCTATTCCAAATTGGACACTTCCATACTTCAGACATGGAACATTATATTATCGAATTATCCATTTGATATTGAAAATGAATACGGTGCATTATCTTCCTTCGAGTCCTCGTTGATCCTCAAAAGGTATTCAATTCGGTGATAATTAGCGTCGAGAATGGATTTAAATATGTGTACTTAAAAAATGGCTCCCTTTTAGTATTAACACGGGCCCATGGACAGTTGTTATTTTTAATAAATTATATTTAAAAATAGCCCACTCTGCGAGCGAAGGCTTATATTAGCGGAATACAACACAAATCTACACGAGCATATTTTAAAAATAGATCCCGTCTAATATTTTATGGAGTTTAATCGCGAATCCTCTATCAGTCCTCCTGAAAACTACTCGATACACCCTGTCACTAAATCGACTTTTGCTTGTTCACTGCCGATTTCACTTTGTTAGTCGCGAAAACGGACCGTCGATTAAACGAGATCGCGAAAAGAGAACCGCCGATTGCGTATTGTCACTTTTCGTGGCTCAAAAACGAGAGTTTTTCCAAAATTCTTGGCGATTCACTTTGCCTATACACAATTGACTTTATTCGGCCTTGCCAAACGGGGCGCCACTGGCGCTGTCAACCCACCGATTTTGCGCACAAAATTTTTGGATGCTCCAGTGGCAGCACGGCTTGGGGTATTTTTATTGGCCGATATTTTCTATTTTTATTTATTCCGAAAATACAAAAAGTTTGTATTAACTACCCATTGAGTGGATGTGATCGCAAATTTGACCGGATGGTATCTTTTTTAACAAAATTTTGTTAACAGTTTAGATTTGTATATCAAATCATTGACGTCAATTATGTCAATTTGACAGTCTTTGACAGAGACTCTAATCTAGTTGTCTACGTCACTGATACTTCATAAAACTAAAAATATTGACAAAACAGCCATTACCACCTTTAAATCGAAACTATTTACTAACTACCAACTCTAAATAGAAATTTTCAATAATTTCCAGTCACCCAGTGTATAATATTTTAGATTTATACATCAATTTACGATATCTTCTTCAAATTTTCAGGTCATCACATAAACAGCGTTTGGTTAACATTTAATTTATGAGGGCCTTTACATGTGACCAACGTGATATAGAGTGTCCCAGAAAAATAGGAGTAAAATACAAAAAGTAGCATTTTATTAGGAGTTGATTTCATTATAATAAAACAACTGCAGCAACTACCTCTAAAAATAAACAATGCAAATGGATACAATATGAAATTGATTTAATACTAATAAGGATTTAATTGAATTTACTCAGAAATAATGTACAGTTAAGTGCAAATTTGTGCGCAATATGGTCTGTGGGTACAATAAAGATAACTTCCATCAGTTTCAAATCAAAGAAAAAAAAGAGTGCTCCTGTGGGATTGTAACTTTCTCACTCCATAACCACTGTTATTTTAATATTCTTTCTTTGTTCAACTCATAGAATTGACCATATTACAAACAAATTATACACTGTTCGTCAAAATTAGTGACTCTTGATCGCTTTTTTGGAGCGCTCTAAAATTGCGCCTTCGAACTTGATTGAATTTTCAATAATGAATTTTAAAGATGTTCTGGATCATAGAGTCCTCCTCAGTCTTTCCATGATCATCAGAAAAAACAGTTGCTCAAGATATCCCAAAGGGGATTTTCCCCGAAAAATCTTTGAACATGGTATCATTCAAAGGGATGGTTCCAACCCTTGGAGTTGAGTGATGATGATGCCACTATGTGGGTACCAAGACAAGACATGAAACTATGTCTTTTGAAAATTTCACGTACCTGGCTTAGCTCCATCCAATTTTATAAGACTTCAAAAAGTGAATCAATGTTTAGAAGAACATTATACAAAGAAAAGTATTAGGGTAGTAGACTATTACTAGTAATCTATTACGTACCAAAATTAATAAAACAAATTCTCACCGCTCACAATGCACCTTCCTTTCACGAAAGCTACCGTGTGAATTAATTCGAATTTCAAATTCCCGTAGAATTTATAACGATTTAAATAATATTGGGAAACATTAGTTACTTGGAATTTATACTGTTGGCAGCAGTGAACCATTTCCAACGTTGCCGCTAAAGGACAAGAATTTCCTCCTATGCGAAACTTATATTTTTATAAATAAGTGATCGATGATCGGAATTAATAATAAATTTAATAAAATATATGGCATTTCTTATTTGCAGTTAGTTACGTAATTTTATTCAATTATTATTGATTTGTGAGGTTCAAACGACATGGAAAATGAATTGACTTCTCTCTGTCAGACATTTCACAGGTTATAAAAACAAGTGGCAACATTGTAAATTGGATTAAATAATCGCCATTTTGTGCATGTGTAATATCGAAAGGTAATTATTTTATTTTATTTCTAATATTTCCAAATGATAAATATTTTTTTCCCTCTTATTGCATACACAGTACTTTCGTTTGTAAAGTAGGGAGCGTAATTATTTGCCCATCCGATTCAAGTTTTTAGTTATCAGATTGCTCGACTTTTACGTAATAACGTAACAACTGTGATTTAGTGCAAGTAATAAGGGTTCATTTTAAGTTTTTAAGCACAAGTTAGTAATACATAAACCCAAATACATAAAACTATCGTTCGTAACAGCATTTTTTATTCTTTCAGATCATAATGGCGAACACTATAATCGCCCTGACGAGCCGGGCATTGAGACATATACCCAAAAGGTCCTACCAAGTAGCGCCCATGTCCAGCTACGTGCGCACTCTTATCGGCAAAAGAGAGATCGTAGGCTACGGTTTCAACGGTGAACCGAACTATGTGGACAGGTCAGACTTTCCACTACCGGCTATCCGGTGGAAGGAACCCAACGCAGATATCCTAGTAAGTATAAATTTTCCTGCAAATGAATTTTACGTAAAATTGAAATCTTTCTCAGTTCTGTATATGCATTGAGTAATATGTAAATTATGATTTGCTTGTTTTCAGGCTCTAAGAGAGAAGGAAAAAGGCGACTGGAACAAGCTATCGATTGAAGAAAAGAAAGCTTTGTACAGAGCGTCTTTTTGTCAAACTTTCGCCGAGTTTAACGCTCCTGATGGCGAATGGAAGTCTGTAATGGGATTAAGCCTTCTTATAATTTCATCGGCTTTCTGGTTCTTCTATTTCCTCAAGACTTTCGGTAGGGTTTCTGCTATATACAGTTAGTATGCAGTATATGTAAAACTATGTACTTTTGTAGTATATCCTCCACTACCTGACTCATTCAACAAGGAGAACAGAGAGGCGCAATTTAGACGTATGTTAGATTTGCACGTCAATCCGGTACAAGGTGTTTCATCCAAATGGGATTACGAGAAGGATGATTGGAAGAAGTAAATAATTTAATAGAATGAAGTTATTTTAAAACCGTTTATTTAAAGGGGTGTTGGTGTTTGACAGCCACCGACTCTTCTTTAGAAATAAATTTTACTAGTAAATGATCACTAGAACGTTTATTTTATATACCTTAATATACCATGTGATGATACCATGTCTTTAAGTTATAATATTTAGTGTTGATTGGATACTCTGCAAGTATTAAATAAAGCTTTTTTTGTTATCTATTTAGTATTTTGTATTCTTAAATGAAAGGGAAGAATAATGCTATTAAATTATACAATGTATATTTAAAATATATGCAACAAAATCGCTTACAACATAACAAGTAACATAATATTGCATCAAAAATTTGTGCTTTTGCAAAGCAGTCACCGTTTTATTAGGCACTAATGTTTCATGAAGTGCGCCTCAGAATAATTTTCGAGAACGACACCGAATTTTTGACATCCATTAGTTTAAGTAACTCAACAAATAATTTTTGGTTAGCTAATACTCCAGTAAAATAATTTTATGGAACACTACTGAGGTACTTAATAAGTATCAATATTTAAAGTCTTAACAAAATTAGGTGTTTGTAAAACACATCTAAACAAATATTTTCGATTTAACTGCATTCTAACAAAAAAAGACAACATACATACTAAACGAACTTCTGAACATTATTTTATGATTCGCTTAACCTAATAATAAAATTGGTTATTTTGCATCGTACGACGATTTTCCACTATTAATCCTGAATCGTAATAATCGAATCTCTACTTTTTCCAACTCCAATCCATTTCACTAGAAACACATTATTCGTTTATAAAATTCCGTTTACATTTATTTAAATTCGTAGTTACCTGGTACGTTCAACAGCTCCTCGATTTTATTAACGTAATTCTTAGCTTCGGGTGGTAGATCGCCAAATTCCCTAACGTCTTCGGTGCTCTTTTTCCAACCTGGCATCGTAAGGTATTCCACCTGTTAAAATACCCAAATCTATTAACAGTTTCTTAAACCAAAGATTCAAATGTGTGGATAGATGCCAACCTGATATGCCGAGTTTATTAAACTTTACAAGATGTTTGAATTACTGTCGAATTTATTCAGTAACTTAAGTAGCTGTTTGGTAGCTTTAATATTAGACTGTTACTGTTAAATTCTACTGTATTGTCGATCTCAACGAGTAGAATCTGGTGGTACTGTTAACACAATTTTGAAAAAAAAAGTAATATGCTTTACCTCAACACTGTTGAGATCTGACGCCGTGGAAGGGAAGTACTCGATCTTCTTGCCTCGCAAAGTATAACCTACGGCCAATTTTATTTCAGGCAACGTATCGAGAATGTCCAATTTGGTTAGGCACAAAGCAGTGTACCCGTTTATCATATTGGTGTACTGCAACAGAACGATGTCTAACCAACCGCAACGCCGTTTCCGTTTGGTGGTGACTCCGATTTCGCCGCCGCGAGACTGCATCAAATCGCCTATCTCCTGGGAAAACAAAAAATAATATAAATTGATGTATAAATTGAAGCAGGATGTAAGTATGCTTACGTCGTGCAATTCAGTAGGAAACGGCCCGTCACCGACTCGCGTCGTATAGGCTTTCACCACGCCGATAACATCACCTATTCTGTGCGGGTTGATGCCCAAACCCGTGCACACACCGCCCACGCTGCAATTGGAAGATGTAACGTACGGGTAAGTACCTGAAATAAAATACGGTAAGTTAAAAACGGATAAAAGTATAATTCAGCATTATTATAAATGTTGGTATATCATTTTCTTCCATACAGAGAGTGTAAAGGTTGGAACAAATTCGTTAAATGCTTGATTTACCGAAAATTTGTACATTAAAATAAGTGCTGCAACATCACAAAAATCACCACAAAAAAAACTTAATGAAACTTACGCTTATTTTCATCGTACAAACTAAAAATGAAATAACAAATAGGGTATTCCATTTAAAAAAAAAGTAAGTTATAGTCATATCTCTTCTTTTGGGACATCCTGTATAAACACTCACAACCTTTTCTGACCCGCTTTTTAAAATAAAAATCGACGTGTCCGAGCTTTTTCCCCAATGGACAAATCAAGCATTTAACGAATTTGTTCCAACCTTTACCTTCTCACTGTATAAAGTTTATTGTATTTTGGTAAATTCTTAGCATGATGAAGGATTGAAAAAGGTAGGGAAATATTTCCGGTGTTGTGCGGTGAATTTCATCTTTAAGATTCTCTATTGCCCTCCTATCATTAAGATAACCCCTCAGAAAAAAGTCTAAAGGTGTCAAATCACAAGATCCTGGTGGCCAAGTGACATTACCTCCTTTAGAGATAACACGACCATTAAAATGTTTCTTACAATAACAAAGTGAATTTTCACAATGTTCGATCGGTTACTTTTACATTACTGAACCTCAATGTTTACTTATGACACTGTATAAATATTTTTACACTAGTTTTACAGCGAAAAGAATGGCAACAGACTTATGTCAGTTACTTTTGGGAACACCCTTTATTTATGCATTTATGCCTCCAATTAGGTATTGACATCGAAGCGAAGTTAATTTTTAAGTTACCTTGAACAAACCAATTCCCTTACACGGACTAATTACCAATGGATCATATCTACCAAGTTTAGTGATAACATATTTGCGCGATATTTTACCTATACTTATTAGGTACTCGTAAAAACTATGCAAAAACTTCTGGATGATTAAAATAAACTTCACCATTGAAATAGCCGAGAAATATTACAACGACTTATGTAAATTTTCAGAATATGTAAGAAATAAATTCCTATTAATCTTCGAAAATTCGTACTGAACCATTATGATGAACAAAGATGATACAATGGGAAATCTTACCGAAATCGATATCCAGCATAGCGGCATTAGCGCCTTCAACGAGAACCTTGTTCCCCGTCCTGATAGATTTATCCAAATAAGACACGGTGTCTCGTACGAGAGGCCTGATTTTCTCGGCGTACTCCGCGTATTTTCGCAGTTCCGCATCCACGTCGACCGTCAACGACGGAAACATCCTTTGGTGCAAGTTAGCGAGCGCTTGAAACCTAAAATAGGCACACTCATCATTATCGCCGGTCTCGACGATATCGTTCGATCGAACCTTTTGGAAAACTGAGCGAAATCGCCGAGCAGATCGCCCACCCTTATGCCGTTTCTGGTGGCTTTCGACGAATATGTGGGACCGATGCCCTTTTTCGTGGTGCCCAATCCTTGGCCTTTCTGGTTGTTCTCCTGCTCCTGCAGCCCGTCGACTTGCTGGTGGAAATCGAAGACGAGATGGGCGCGATCGGAGATGATCAGCCTGTCCTGCCAGTTTTTCAGGCCTTTCTTTTCGTTTTTGGCGATTTCTTCGAACATGCCTGGTAGGTGCACCACCACGCCGTTGCCTGAAATTTCGAAGAGAAATATTTCATTAAACAGGGTGTAATTTAAAGATAGGGTCATAAATTGTAACACATATTCTGGGGTTAAAATTAAGTCGATTGGACCTGAATACAAAATGTCATACAAAACAAGTTATAGCCTGTTTAAAGTGCTAACTGTAAATTGATTTTTTTCAATAACTACAGGAACTAAATTTTATGTAACAAAATGCTTTTAGTTGGCCTTGTCTGTCTAAAACATTATCTACTGTACATATTTTAGGGGCAAATGAGTATTTTACTTCCTTAGTAGAGTAACGAAAAATTCGTAGTTAGTAGAAATCTTGCCAGAGTTCATTGGAATTGTTTGTGTTTGTAAATTATCTTATCGAATTTTAATGAACTGTAAAATCAAATTAAGGACAATGAGTGTACATATCAAAATGTATCTGCTATAAATTGTTTATATTAAACGATTAAATATTATACCTAATTATATTTGCTTTAAATGTGAATTGACAACCACTATATTAATTATTACTCGTATTATCACAGACTACTCGAGATACTACATTGTTTACTCGGTAGTGAAAACATTCAATATTTCTGTATTATTTATTTACAGACATCTTGAATCTTTTAGAATTTCATTTTCAATCAATCAAATGAACTTTTTACAGACTAATTTAATATCAACTGTTCCACGAATTCTCAATAATAAATTTCACATCTGTTTATTTCCAAGAAACCTCGTGCCATTTAAATACTAATATCATTTACAATGTACGATTAAAAACGTTTACAGTAAAGGTAATAAAAATACTCGTCAAATAACCGCAAAACGACAGGGATATTATTCTTACCTTGGGCAGCTTGAAAATACATTCTGAAAAATATTCAGGGGTTGGGAAAAAGGTCGTTTTCTCGGGTCAATCAAGCCTTTCGATAACTTACCGATGACGGACTTGGAGTTGGGGTGAATGATGCCGGAGGGTAGTAGGTGGAAATCATATTCAACTCCACCAATTACCACGGTGTGCCCGGCGTTGTTGCCGCCCTAGAAATATCAATTTTGATTCATTATAATGTTACTAATTGTATCCACAAAGTAAGTTCCTTATTGCAATTAAAAAAAATCATACACAGATATAAAAAAAATAATTATTGCACAAGCTTCTACGATTCCTAAGCTACATTTCTATTTATGTCCGGAAATTTTCCGGGCATTTTTCAGAGCGTGGCACAAGAATTTGTATTCTATTCTCTAGCCTCCCTGTTTTACTGCACAATTTTCAAACGGAATACAATTTCGTCAACTAGTGATCGAGAAACTTGCGAAAATTGTGCCATTCCTGCTGCTCAAGATGATCCGATGATTCATCAGCCATGCCGCAGCCCCTGCAAAGGGGACTTCCCTCTAAACCTCCGTAATAGAGGTGCTTTGCCAGATGCATTGTTAGAAGTTCTATATTAAAAATCATAGAAGCTTGTGCAATATTTTTTTGCTATACCTGCACATGATTTATGTAATTAAATTAAACATAACTTCCATTTTGTACACAATTAATATCAGATTAAAAAAAAGTGTAAAGTACATAAATGTTGAAATATAGAGTTCCATTTCAAGGACTAAACAATTTTGAGCATTGGTGTTTAATTTAATGTTGGATCAGCAAAATCGAAAACTGCAAAAATGTTTATTTTAAAACACTTTTTATTGCTGATTATTAGAAACGTACTGTAATATAGCTTGCCAAAAAATACAATAAATTGTTGAGGTAATTTTTATGAAAATAAAAAAAATCGCTTTATCCTGCATGTTAAATGGATCGGAACTTTTGGACACAAATTTGTTTTAATGTGGTTTTAAATTTAGTAAAGTGGCATTGATCCAAAAATTAAATAATGGCAAATTCGAGCTCAAACTAATTAAAAAAAATTTATGGCTTTTTGCACAATTAATCATTCGAATCACAATAATTCGCATCAAACGGTTCTAGAATTATTCTCGGTCAAGTACTTTAACAGCTCGAATTAATATTTACATTAGCGCGGCATTACAAATAATTAAAAATGAACAATCAACTGAATCCCAACCGGCTAAATATTAGTTCAAATAGTTTTGGATAAAACGTTCATAGTTAATAATACTTATCACAAACAAGCATCACATGATTATCTAAAAATATGTGTTTGTTATACATAGAATGACTCCCACGATACAAATCAATACAAATCTATGCAATACCAAAAACCAGCGTTACGTAAACCGCATAAAAACCATGTTTAATAATAATAAATTTACGATTATATCGACATAATAAAAGCGTACCTGGCACCGACAAACCACGTCTACGTCGGCGGCGAGCATATCCACCACCTTGCCTTTGCCTTCGTCGCCCCATTGCGCCCCCAAGACCACCGTGACTTTGGTCTCCAGGTCCGTGCGGGGCCGTTTCCTCGGCGAGCCATTCAAACCGTTCGTGGTGCCGGACATTGCAGATTTTGCTATCTAAAAACTCGGCGGTAATCTATTAAACTTGGCCTAAGTACCTCGGATGTTGCGTTCTACCTCACCGCGACCGTTCTACGCGAAACAAACAATACATTTACGAAAATAAATGCGATGCAATGTGAATACCCATGCGAAACACCGAAAATTCAAGGATTGGTGCAACAGCAAATTTCGAGCATGTCAGGGAACTGTCAGTGCCAGTTGTCAATAACGTCAATGTAATTTTAATTTCTTCTGTTTTTGATGGCCTCTGTTGTTTGTAGTAAGTAGTTTAAATATTTAATGAATTATAAATAGATGAATAATTTGTGTGTTTAATTGCACAAAAACACTTAAATATGTCCCTATTATCAATTGGTAAAGTGATTCGAGTCGAGTCGAGATATCGACTCACAAATTTGAATTTTAAATATTTTTTTAGCGATAATTATTAATATCCCCTAAAATATTTAATAGTTTTTCGAGCCAATTTTCTTATCTTAGGTATAGCTTACAGGCTTACAGGGAGAAAGGATTTCTCGCTTTACGCGTTCTTTCTAGTGAATTGCCATGATTTCCATTTTTATTGACATTCGAAATAATACTTTGGAGGCTTCTGTAACTGTGTAACTCCCCTAGGTGAAAATTTATATTGAAGCAAATCATACTAAATTTCGGTGCCTCTTTTACCAGGTGCTTGGAAAACATCCTGTATATTATAAATATTCTGGATATTAATTATTATATGCCTAATAATTCCACAAACATACATTTTTCATATTTGGTGACCTATTCACGTTATATTTTTCATAGAAAGCCATAATTTATTTTTAATTGGGTATTTGTGTACGTTTATACATATGCACGTATGCGATAAAAGAAAAGTTCCCATTTAAGAAATATTTCGGGTATTCGTTAAATACCGGTTTAACAATTATTTTAACTACAAAGTACCTAATCGAAAAAAAGCTTGATCTAGCACTATATTTTTCGATTTATTTCGCTACAATTTCACGGTATTTCACCACATCAAATTCGATCTGCTATGTATTCGATTACTTTATTGGTTTGTTTAGTGCTCCTATTTAACTTCCTAAATTGCGAATTGGTTGCATTAGTAGTTGTAAGTGGGATCTACATCTTTAAAAACTATAGCTATTTAATGTAGGTATCTGCTTTTATCAGATATACCGTCATGGATCGAGGGGACCCGTATTAATGTACAATAACGACCCGTACAAGAAAAACTACAGGGAAATTTGGCCCCAAGGGTTCCAGCAACTAACAAACGTAAGTTAAAACTTGGTTGGAAGCTTTTTTCTTCGATTTATTTCAACGATACTCTCACTGGTGGTTTTCCAAAGGTGGACTGCTTTCAATGAGCCACTCTGTATAATAGTTCTTTAATAGTTCATTCACTAAGCTCCTTTCATAGTCCACTCATTCACTCATTGTTCGTTCATAGTCTTCAAGAAACCCGCGTAGGTTCTGCAGTGAATATACTATTACTTTTTTTCGATTCATGAGCATTTTTATGATATTTGAGTCTTTTTCTGACTATTTTTCTTACGATTCAATGGAACAATTAACTATTTAAGAGCATCATGTAATTTTCAGCGAGGAAAGAACCAGCAGTTTGCGCTTGGAAAATGGTACAGGCGGCACTACAAAGACTTCATACCGACCGAGTACCACCACGAGTTCACCAGAGTGATGTCCTCCGACGTCGACAGATGCCTGATGTCCGCCGCTTCGAATTTAGCCGGGCTCTTTCCACCGCGAGGCGAGCAAGTTTGGACCAAAAGCATCCCGTGGCAGCCGATTCCCATCCACACCACACCGTACGAAGAAGATCCCGTACTGGCGGTGGGGAAACCGTGTCCAAAACACGCCGAACTTATGGCCAAATTCAAGGAGCAGGAGGAATACCGATCGTATTTTGAGAAAATGCGACCTGCTATCGATTATATATTGAAGAAAAGCGGGGAAACCTCGGACGAGATGGCCGAAATTATCCACGATACCCTCTTCGTGGAGTCTTATTTCGACCTTCCGCTGCCCAAATGGACGAATAGGGTGTTCCCCAACATCACTTGGTCTCTTATGTCGTACGCTATGAGGCTACCGATTGCCACGCCACAACTAACTAGACTGAAAGCCGGTAATTTTTTTGGTTATTAATTTACTGCTGTAAGAGCAGATAATTGGGTTCTAAACTAGATTCTATACACATTAGATTTCATGGTTTTTTTCTCCATTACATAGCAAATGACTTTGAGTAGATAATTTAGTCAAGTCTATTGGTACATTTTCTTGTAGGTATTAGAGGAAAGCTTTGGAACCAATGTAGGTAATTTCTGTGATAATTCCACAAACTTAAAACAGGATATTTTTGATAAACCTACTCTAAAATTTTACTTATTGTTAGTTTTCAAAATGAAATATAGGGTGTCCCATTTGAATTATTATAACTTTATTTTTTTTCAAAATTGGGACACACTGCTGATGAACTAGCATGTCTAATTAATTTTAAATTATATAGCCACCAAACTAATGTGGTCATATTTAAGCCGAAGGAATTTAAAAAATCACTTACCATTTATCTACAATACTCTGTCACGTTGAGCATTTCTCTCCTTTCACTCTACTCACCTCTACTCTCAACTCTACTCTTAACTCTACTCTCAACTCTACTCTCAACTCTACTGTCAACTCTACTGTCAACATTACTCTCAACTCTACTCTCCTCTAATCTCAACTCTACTGTCAACTCTACTGTCAACTCTACTGTCAACTCTACTGTCAACTCTACTGTCAACTCTACTGTCAACTCTACTGTCAACATTACTCTCAACTCTACTCTCCTCTAATCTCAACTCTCCTTTTAACTCTACTCTTAACTCTACTATCATCTCTACTCTCAACTCTACTCTCAACTCTGCTCTACTTTACTTCTTGACCTCTTTTTTAGGTCCTGTAGTCGATTACATAACGTCGTTCTTTGAAAAAGTGACGAAAAATCCGGAGGAATCGCAGAAATTCCTGATGCTGTCTGCCCACGACATAACGCTCGTTTATTTGCTGCAAGCGCTGGGCTTGTACGATGGTAGTTGGCCGGAGTACGCTTCATCGGTCAACTTCGAACTTCATTCCACCGGAGTTGGAGAGGACGAGAAATACCTGGACATTTACTTCAAGAACAGTACGGTTTATCAAAAACTGACGTTGGAAAAATGCGGCGCCCAATGCGAATTTTCGGAGTTTACGCGGCTGATCGACGACGTGAGGATGAGCCCGGAAAATTGGCAAAAGGAATGTTTTAACGTATAGATGTGAATGTTTGTTATTGTTTGTTATTTTTTAATCGATTTTGATTTTTTAATTAATAAAGTTTTATCCTTGGTCGATATTTTTTTTAATAATCTTTTGATGATAGCAGATCTGTACGTTATTAAAGTATTGGGAAAGGGAAAGGGTCCTTCCACGTTGCAATTTGTAGTATACTTAAAAAGTAGGGAGAAAATGTTAATAAGAGTAGAGAGAAAAATTTGTGTAAAGAAGTTGAGAGAAAATTTTGTGCATAAAAGTAGAGAGAAAATGTTCATGAAAGTAGAGAGAAAATTTTGGCTATAAAAGTAGGGAGAAAATTTTGTGCATAAAAGCAGTGAGAAAATTTTGTGCATAAAATTAGGGAGAAACTGTTCATAAAAGTAGAGAAATAATTTTATACATAAAAGTAGAGAGAATATTTTGTGTATAAAAGTAAAGAGAAAATTTTGTATAAAAGTATAAAAGAAGAGAGAAAATTATCTGCTTAAAAACAGGGAGAAAATGTTCATGAAAGTAGAGAAAATTGTATGCTTAAAAGTATAGAGTCATGAACTTTATGTATAAAAGTAGAGAGAAAAATTGGTTTACAAAAGTAATGAGAAAATTTTGTTGTTCCGTTTTCTTAAAGATTTTTTTTTGTTTTCTCTAACTAACTTTAAAAAATCATTAATTTAAGAATCTACTAAACAGCCAATCCGTTTATATCCTCCTATACTTACCTCTTCATTCCTAAGAACTTATATTTTTTAACTTACCACCTTTTTATGCAAAATAGGAAATAGAAATGTTCATAAAAAAAAAGAAAAGCGACTGTACAGGAATGTAAAAGTGTATGTATGTATGTAAATGGTATAAACTTGCTCGAAAGGCACGTTAGTACAATCATAAACCTAATATTAACGTTATATTATATCTATGGTGCTAGTTATCACAGATAGGAATAAGTACTCGAGTTAGTGGTATATTATGCATAATCAGACGCAAGCTCATTTGTTATTCGTCAATCTTCCGTTCGCTCTATCTGTATTAATAAGGCCTATTTCCTCGCAAGGCAACGTTTCGTAAGTTCGGTGCTCGTTAATTCGCATCGACTCTTTCAATATCCTTTTCTTGCGCAAATACCTGAAAACACATTTATTCCAATGAGTTATTAGCATGCAGGAGTTATGAGAGAATGAAGTTTGAGCGTTTACCAATAAAAAGGCCCTGTATACATGCTGTTAATGAAGCATTTAATGCACTGGGAAGAGAGTCTGGTAGAGAATACTTTTGTAGATAATAAGAGCAATTTACAAAGGTGCGAAAGTAAAAGGTGTGGTTTATTATAAAAATGTATAAATTAGTGAATATCTACGAATTATTTTGTACGCTAATAAGTACCTAAAGACCTCCTCATTGATAGTTAAAGTAAAGGGAATTTACCTAAAGATGACAAAACCTATTGGAATCGCGAGAAGAACGAACAGCAGCATGTACAGGTGATTGGAGGAACCGCCAGAAGTCGATTCTTTAGGCGGTCCTCGGGCTTCCTTTGTTCGTAATTTTTCGTAGTAAACCACATCGTGTTCGGATCCCCTGTATTTATTCGTGATGATAAAAACGATGCAATATTTATCGCCCGCTTCTAGTCTTTCTTTCTCCGCGTTTCCGATCGTTATTATTTTCCCAGCGTCCTTCTTTTCAACCTAATAGTTAATAAAAATGATATTATTAGAGCACATTTCGAATAATCCTGATTTGATTTGGTGCACCTGCATAAGCAGGTGTGTTGGTGCATATCATACCTCATCAAATGTAGGCAGTTGGAATATATAAGAAAATTAGACACCCTGTAAAAATTATGGTAATAACTTATTCACTGCCACTGTATTAAAATTTGTACAGTCCATCAGTTCTCAGGTGGCGAAAGACTCCTTCATTCTTTAACTTTCTCTCCATCTTACTTCCCCGTTTATTCTAATACAATTTTCAACAGCCAAGCTACATTTGCTGAAGTATAATACTGAATTAAATCTTACCTTTACAACTTGGGACACCCACGTACGACCGTACATATGGCACAGATGATCGACGATTTTCCCATTTTCCAATATATCCTCATCGATTTTAATAGATTTATCGTAATCCTGCACCACCACTGTTAGAGTGTAATACTCCAAGCGTTTATCCACATTCGGTACTTTAAATTGCAACGTCGATGGCCCGCTGCCCACTAATTCGAGGCTCTGGTTTATGTGGTTTCCCAAATCGTCCATTTTAAATCGCAAATGGGCGAAATCGCTCTTGAACGCTTCATTGACCGATCGTACCTTCAAATCGAAGAGCTCGCTGTACGGCAAATTTTTGATCTGGAAGAATAATTTGGAATTCGAGCACCTTTTTACCATTAACATACATGCTATTGAGAATTAATTACCTGATGGGTATATTCGTAAAAATATGTATCATTGATAACCTCGTGAATTTCCTTTCTTTCCTTAGTATCAGTACCGTTTAATACAATTTCGAACGAATTAATGGTACCGTTCTGAATGAAAGGATGCAGCCAAGAGACGTCCACATTGCAATAATCCTTCTCCTTCGGACATTCAGCCACTTTGTAGGTAACGTTAGTAGGTGCACCTGGAACTGTATGAAGTACTCGATTAATACCAGCACCAAAGAGTAATCGTACACATTGCACCTCTTTGGGCGGCTGTTCCTTGCACGACGCTCTCGTCCCCGTAGGCGGGAGTGTTGAGGTTCCTCAAGCTGACGCGGAACTTGTACGATTGACCGGGTATCAGGGGCCCCGCCTCGACGCAGTACTTCTTGGGCCACAGGCTGCAGCGCTTCACCACTGACATGGCGGGCTTGCACTTGCTGGACGAGAGGCTGTTGCATCGTATGACCTGCACTTGCCTCGTCACGCCGTTGGTGTTCGCCGGCAGGTCGTACCTCAGCGAGGCCGAGTGTTCATCCAGCGAGTAGATTTCCAGATTTTCCGGCGGAGGAGCCACTGCGAAACAACAGAATTTTGGTACTAACCGGATGTAGGGTACTTGTACACCGGACGCGCAAAACAACTGGGGTATTACGGGAGATTTCTAATCGATTTTACTAAGCTCACCTCCGGGCATAGTGGTGAATTCCATCGTGTAATTGGTGGTGAGCTCGCCGTTGTAGAGGTGCCTGGCGTTCCTGGCTGTTAGAATGTTCAACGAGTAATGGGTGTACGGTCGCAGCCCCTCGATATCGTAGCTGGTGTCCGTTTGGAGGGAGATTTTTTTGGAGAAGTTCAACGTGGCGTTCGAGACTATCAAGGTGTAGACCAATCGACCGCGCATTTTGGAGCAGGAGACGGGGTCCCACGAGACGCGAATGGAGGTATCGGAGGCTTTCAGTTGAATGGGAAACGGCAGTTCTCCCAAAGTCGGTTCCGCTTGAAAGTTGATTTTTTATTAGTCGGTTTACAGTGTGTTCCAGGATGGAGTTGATAAGAGATTTGAAAAAGTAGGTACCTGTTTCTAAGGTTTTCATGATTGTGTGGAAGTCTTTGTCTTGTACCACGCTCGAGATTGTTATATTGTACAGTGTGTAAGGTATTAAATCGGTCAGTAATAATTGGTTCGATTTTGTACGGGCGAGACCATTGGATTTCAGTCGATTCATGTCGAAGGGTGAAGTGGTACAGCGATCATTCGCCTAAAAGTAATTACCAATTTCAAACCGAAGCAAACAATTTATTTACCTGCCTTATTAAATATTTCTTTGATAAGTGCCTTAAACATTAATCAAAGAAGGTATATACAAAAAATTGTTAACTTATACCTACTTGATAGAAAACGTAGAGACTTAACGAATTGGTTTCGTTCAAATCGGGAAATCTCAGTAAAATTGAATTATCCGTACTTCTACTGGTGATTTTTGGAGAAACTACAAAAGAAAAATTCTAGTTATGCTTATATGCTTGTAAAATAAAATTTCTACTAATACAAGTGTTTATCAAGTTTGCTAAAATGATTCATTTTAAATCACTTCCGATAATACAAAGATGAGATACCTTCTTGTTGGTCATAAACAAACATCTTCGGTCTCCAAACGGGGTCTTTAATCAGCTGACAAGTCACGTTATCGTGAGTAATATTCTGGCCAGAAACATCTAATGTTAGATAGGAAACTTTCACTTCTACAATAAACCGAAATTTATGAAATATTCCAAAGGAATTGCGATCGTTATTTACCATTTTCGTGGCAAACTCGAACGTTATCGATGGCCCAATAACCAGATTCGTTCGAATTCGAGTGCAAACGTTTCGTTTCCACGAAAATGTTCAATTTTTTGTATTGGGCGTTTTCTTCCTTGAGCTTCACTTCGGCCCATTCGTTGTTCTGAAATTAATATTCCCTCCCCTCAATCAGTATGTAAATTTTCAGGTATTGTCCTTACCTTAATCGGCCCAACAGTCTTCAGAATTTTTCTGGTTGTATTCACATAGAAGAAAGTCATTTGGCAGTCGCTGCAAGTTTTCACCAGCAGCGAAACGCAGAGATCCTTGTATGGCAGGAACAACTGCGGACCCAGTCTCGAGATTTGCGTGGTGTTTGTGAACAAAAAGCTATCTAAAAGGTATTTTTTTAAACAAAAAATTGTATAAACATAAATAATCGAAATAAATTACTTTGGTGGAATTTCCATAGGCTGGAATTGGCGCTCCGCATGAACAAATGCGATGAAAAGACTGGATTCTTATCGATTGTATCGATCAGGGTTCGATTGAGATTAACATCGATCAATTCGATTCTTCCGTTATCGGAATTCGAGTTTAATGAGAAACTCCTCCATTGATTTGGAGTTAAAATATTCGAGTAAGTCTGAAATATAAACCACAAAAGTAGAGAGAAAATGTTTATTAAATAAATTACCTTATAATTATCCACGTAATTGTTTTTGTAATCTAGTCCTATTGATTTCGGTAAGGCGTCGTATTTCTTCAAATAAATCTCCCTATGTCCCACGTTGAGGTAATAACAGGGGTAACTGTAAGGATCGGGTCCGGATGAAATGATAATTTCCACCTCACCATCAGCTCTAACAGAAAAAGCCGTTTTGTGCACTTTTTCTACTTCTATTTTATCTCCAAATTCCTTAGTTTTATTTGATATCAAAATCGTCGGTAAATCTAAAAGAATGTCCTCATTTTAAAGGCTCTCATAAAGTATCAAGCGAGTTCGTCAGAGAACCAGTCCAGTCTGAGAATAAATGCATAAAAGTTAAACTAGAGAGAATTGAATGCTTTATAAGATGTCTATTTCCTTATATACTGGGAGGTTTAGAAAAAAATACAGTGTGGATAGAATTGAGAGGCAAAAATCGTTATTTTTCATTTTACAAAGAAAAGTCATTCCTTAAAAAAAGTCCGAAGTTTTCCATATTATAAAATCTGGATTTTTTCCTCTCGTCAACTACATACAGGAAAACACAACTGTATTATCTTAACTATTCTATTACTATTTATTTTCTTCTCCCTGTAAATGTACCTACTACTTAATATAGCACAATTTATTTTACTTATTCTTTAATTATCTTGAGGGTATAGATTGGTTTAAAGGGAAAAATGACCAACCTTCCCACCGAATATCGGCGATGAATTCTTTGGTTTTCGGCGAGGAGCGATCGATTTGCCAATCTCTCAGCGCCCATATCGAATTGCAGTGGCTATTTTCGGCGAATTGGCAATTAAAATCGTTCTCTATCTTCGGAATATATTTATTAACTGAAAATAAAATAATCATTCGGTACGTGAAAACGTTCGTAAAACGTGTGGGATTTTAACTGAGCGCATATTTAAATGATGACGATGAGTATAATGGTAATTTGCATTTTTATTACTTAACTTTTATCTACAGTCGGAGAACGGTTACGTGTGTTGATAATATTTATTCATAAAAGATGATTGTTTAGCTACTTTTTAATTATTAGAGCGTGTCCTAAATACAGAAATTAGGTAAGCGCTTTTTCTAATTCAATAAAATAGGAAAAGCAATAAATTTACTGATAAATATGACATTATAAACTAAAAATTCTAAATTCTCTTAGCAAATACATTACAAAATATGTACAAAAATTACCTCATCGTCTATAAATAAACATACTTGTACTGATTAATTTATCTAGCCGATGTGTATGGGCAACGACCTCATCGAGAAATGTAAACCTTTCATAATTCTTATTACATTATATAATTATACTAGAGATTCGAGCTATATGTGCATACCGAGTGTTGGTAACCCCCGTTCCCCGGCTATCCCCAAGGGGTAAATCCAGTCGATCCCGGAGTACCTCTCCAGCTCTTCGGCCACGCAACTCGCCGAAAAACGCTCCGAAGGGCCGGCTCCCGCGAAATAACTCACATTATACCCGGCAGCGTAGCCAAAACGGCACAAAACAAACACCAACACGGGGCCCAACATTTAAATTAAAATCCGATATCCTGCCGCATTTAACACAAATCGCCGGCGAACACTCTTCTCTATGTTACTTAAGTTTCAGACATTCCTTATCGCGACAATGTGTTTACACGAGCAGCTGCGGAGCGAGGAGTGGGACAGAAGTTCAACAAAACAATACTCAATTTACATGACTACGACCCGAATTGGTTTGCATTAATTTTATTCATCGGTGCGTGTCACTATTTCATATTGTAGAACGCGTATAAATAGAGGAGTCCTTGAATTTTATTCGCCGTAGCCCGTAGTCGTTCCCATTCATTCTTTTTGTTTGCTCGGTTGAGTAACATGTTTAGACAACCTGCATAACGCGGCGATGAAAGTTGAATTGCATGCAGCAGGTGGTCAATTAGCACTTTACCTACCTGTGGATACCCACCGAAAATACTCCCTACTTTTATCTATTTTTTATTTTACAATTTTATTTCGTATTTAAGGCGAGCCAAAATACGTGTGTAGTGATACTAAAAAGAAGCAAAAATAAAATATTTTATTACAGAAATACTATAACAATAAATATATCCGCTAAATCGGCTGCATCTAACGTCGTGAGACAATAATATCGCTTTAATGGAATCCACAAAAAAAATCACAGGTTACTGATGGGATACACTACGGCAAATCGGTAGGGTTTCACGTCGAATTTTCGATATCGCGAGACACCTCTTCGGCTTCGGTGGCGGTCTCCGTGGGCTGGACTTGCCGATCCTGCTCCGGGGTGGCGTCTTTGAGACGCTTCTGTTTCGGGCTGCCGGGCGGGCCCACTTCCTCCATCGACGGGCATTCGAAATGAACGCAATGGAACACCTGAAATTATCGATTTTTATGCAGTGAAACTCATGGGCGCTCTGCCCCTATTCACCGAAGGCATTATCGCTTAACTTGAGACGTTCACCCGGTACATGCGCAGCGAGTTTATTATTCCAATTTTTTAGAATTATTAAGCGATTTTTATACTTAAAATAGGTGACTTCCCACTCGAACGGTGTTCGGCAATCCCTTGGTTAGGCTACTGTTTGTCGCGTATTACACAGGATGTATCTTAATAACATTGAAAAAATTTAAGGCGTGATTCTGTGATGAAAATTAAGTTGGGTACTTAGTATATTTTTTTTTGAAAAACCCATCCCCGGAAAAGCTATTTCGAAGATTGAAAAAATGATGTTTCTTCATTATTTTCCCTGTATACTAAGCTAAGGACACGAAACATGGGGAATATTATTTGTCAATGAAACTATACATTTTGATTTTTTTCAACCCTGAAGAAGGTTTAGAAGAGATTAAAATAGTCCACCCATAAGACATTTTTTTACTAAAACTTTTTTTCGATGAAAATTTATCATTTAAAAAAATATGGCTGAAAAGCTCAAATTATTTACTAACTTTTTTATCTCTACAAGTTTTTTGAAACACTTAAGCATTTACGAGAAAAAAAAATAAATGTATTGCAAGCTCATTTTCATAACAGAATCACCCCTTAAATTTTTTCGGTGTTATTTAGATACACTCCATGTACTCGACGATGGTAATATTCCTATAACTCTTGAACGGTTCAAGATAACATTATCCGGTTTATTTTATTAGTTAGACAAAAGTATGCTCTGTATTTTTGCAAGAATGAAAACGTTTTCATAAATTTCACGGTCTAAAAGAATTATAGAATTATAGAATTCGGTAGTTTTTCCATTCGAAAAAAAACAACGAATTACAGCCATAAAAAGAACACGCCAATGAATGCTACAGCTGTATAGTTTTACAGGAAGTAGGATTCGGATAAATCTGAACATCTTGCCTCGTTAGCCGTGTTGTGAGTGCCGACGATCCGAATGAAAATCACGGGTCTCGGCGAGAAGTGTATGACCTGCCAGGACTTGCAATTTTCCCTCGTATTATCCACGACCATGTCCCATTCCCAAATGTTTACCGACGATTCGATGTAGTAGCTGTAACTCCTGTCGTCGCAGTCCCAAAGCAGAAGTCTCAGACTCGATATTATGTAAGGTTGCCCTGAAATATACACAGATTATTCGTAATACGATTTTACAATTTATTATTAACAAGTAATTTTACCCAATTGGATCAGTATCGCGCCGGAACCAAGTTGATGGCAGGTGTAACCAGAATCCCAATCGTATCTCTTCGTGTCTCCGTTTAGTAAAGTATTTCGAGATCGACTAAAATTCGTAAAATTACTAACGCATTTTTTTTAATTTTAATTAAACATAATACCTGACTCCTTCGATGACGAGAGCGCTTTTATCTAACGTCGCTACGTTGTATGTTGGAGATATGATATCGTTCACCATCTTAGGAATTTTTAACTTGTACATGGCTTCGAACGACACCAAATGAAACACCTTGAATAACCGAAATCGTTTTATAAACTTGCAACAAAAAATACTTTAGTTATACCTTATTTACAGTATTATGCGTGCCTACGATTCTGATATACTGCATGACTCTGTTCTCGAAATACAAATATTGCCATGATCTGCATCTGTAGGCGCTGTAGTCGATTACTCTTATCCAATCCTTCTGCTCCATCGAAACTTCTATGTAATAGGAGTAAGATCTGAAACACTCGGAATTATAATTAACTCAGGAAGTAAATAAAATGTTACCTTAAGTCACGGTCCCATAAAAGCATACGTATATGATTAATAATCGAAGGCTGGGCCAATTTCACGATTATACCATGATCTCCGGGACCGTTAATGGCATGCCTAGTGTAACCTTTTTCCATATCGTATGAATAGTAATCTCCGTCGAGTAGATACTCCATTAATTCCCCCGAAACGACCTTTGATCCCAACCTAGGACAGGCTAGATTCTCATCAATTACTAAAAAAAAAAACAATATTATTAACGCCTCTTTTTTAATGCGTTCGAACATACTCAATTGTCCTCTATGAGGTAAGCTGCTTAATCTAATATTTGTTCGTTCTTCGATGGCGTCCAAGAGAGCATCGGGATTCACCAAACCGGCTGGCCTAACAACAGACAGCAAATCGGCCACGCTCATTAGAGGCAGTCGAATACATTTCATCACCAGATCGTTTTTATCTTCATTGACCTTACACCAATTGCAAGCTCCTCTAAAAATTTCTACTTCCGGCGCAAAAAAGGAGTCCCTTTGGAGAAGTTTCACTAGAGAAGCCTTGAATTTAAAGTGATTAAAAAGATATATTTACTTCGATAAATATTATCCGTTTTACCTGGGATAACTGAAGGAATGATTCGTGCTGCAATATCTCCGAGGCGTGCCTGTCCAGAAAAGTGTGGCAGACTTTTACCAGCATTTCCAAGCCGTACAATCTAGCAGTGTCTAAAACAGCGCAAACGTTTCTCAAAGCCAGCAATTGCCTCAGTATGTCTGATACTGCGGTTTCGAGATCTTGGAAACCATACTGGTGGGCCAATCCTAGAGTATCTAATATGACATCCTCTTTTAAAGTGGAAAGGAACATTTTACCTTAAAACGAAATTATAAGAATAGCGAATACAAGGCGGACTGTGATGTTACCTGTGTAAATATATTTTAACAAAACTTTGAAAGCTTTTAACGGTGCATCAGGAAGGAGAATTTCGTTTTGAGTGGATTCCTTCAAGCCGCCGTAGAGGAGGGCTCTAAAATAATCACTTCTAGCTGCCAAAATTACCTAAAAAAAGTAAATGTAATAACCAGAAATAGGTAATAAATATATTCAAACGTACCTTGTGTGCATTTAATTTTTGACCTTCCACAATAAGGGTGACATCGGAATGCTCTTGGTTCAAGTAAAGTGCTGAAAGATGTTCGGAAAGGTGTGTTAAATGTTCGATATCACCAGGTCGGGTAGAAGGGCTCTTTTGATTGGAATTTTGTAAATACTGGTGACTTCCACTACTCATCCTAATTTACAAGTTTATTATTAATTAATGTTGTCACTAGATTTCTTAGTATATTTACCTGGTTTTTTAATGAAAAAAGTTCAAACAAAATGAAACCAACACGAATTTTTTTCTTATTTAAAACAATTAAACGTAAATAGTTTTTCCACCATTACCATAATATTAGAATTAGAAAATTGTATTGTCAGAAATGACAGTTATGTCAAAAGTCAAAATTCATCTTTTTTTTTATATTAATTTTTTATACAGTACGCAGCCACTGCTATGTTATATTGTGGTTTATTTTAATTATTTTTGTAATATTTTTCTTTTTCTATTTTAAAAATATCCTCTAGATAATATAATACAATAAGAAAATTAAATTAAATTAAAATTGAATAAAAAAAAAACTTCTAGAATAATTCTAACCCAAAAAGAAGAAGTTTTGACAATTGACAATTGACTTGACATTGACACTTTAATCGTGACTGACAGAGCTCGTGCGACTTACATTTTTTCAAACGAAACATTTCGTAAAATAATAAAATGTTTGGAGGAGGACGCGCCCCGATTTTAGTGTTGAGTACGAAACCCGTTAATTTTCTCATCGATCTATCCTAACAATGTGCTTCGATATTTTTCAGGCCAGAATACAAAGCGCGAGTCGGGCCGAAAAGTTCAGTTGGAGAACATCAATGCCGGCAAGGTATATAAAAACACGTGCATTTAACATTTCGCTTTCAGTTACTTGTGGATAATATAATGAAACGTATGATACAATCAATTAACGCTAATTTATTACAGCAAATCGCAGATGTCATCAGAACATGTCTCGGCCCACAAGCCATGTTAAAAATGTTGATGGACCCCATGGGGGGCATCGTAATGACCAACGACGGCAACGCTATTCTGCGAGAGATCACCGTGCAGCATCCTGCTGCTAAAAGTATGATAGAAATAGCCAGAACCCAAGACGAAGAGGTATGTCAAAATTTCCTGTCAATTCGATCGTCTGTCAGAGGATTTCATCTAGTTATCTGTTTGCGTAGGTGGGAGATGGTACCACTTCTGTAATAGTATTAGCTGGAGAAATGTTGGCAGCTGCTGAACAGTTCCTCGAACAGCAAATCCACCCGACGATCATCATCAGACAATACAGGCAGGCCCTCGAAGATATGGTGCAGTTCCTAGAAGGACCTTTGAGCGTACCTCTAGATCGAAGCGACAAAAACGCTATTGCCGAAGTGGTAATAAAATATAAATGAATAAAAATTCAATAATTGTATTTAATAATGTTTTTACTTATGTAGGTTAAAGGTTGTATAGGAACGAAATTCTTGAGCAAGTGGTCGGATTTGGCCGTCAATATCGCTTTAGATGCGGTAAATACCGTTCTATTAGAAGAAAATGGCCGAACTGAGGTGGATATCAAGAGATACGCCAAAGTGGAAAAGATTCCCGGTGGTTCGGTTGAGGAATCGAGGATTTTGAGAGGAGTCATGTTGAACAAAGACGTTACCCATCCTAAAATGAAGCGACACATTAAGGTTGTATTAATTTTTTTATTTTGTATTCGTTATTTTAATTCGTTTGATCTTCCAGAATCCGAGAATCATCCTTTTGGACTGCGCTTTGGAATACAAGAAGGGAGAATCTCAAACCAACGTTGAAATTAGTACCGAAACTGTACGTTAATACAATTTTTATACAGTGAATGTTCATCCTCAATACAACAGCTTCAAGTGTATATTACAAGTTTCATCACAGCAACTAGATCATAGGAAGAAACTATTAATTTTGACTGTTTCAGTTATCTCTTAAAACAAATTGTTTCGTATTTATTTAAAAATTTCTTTTGTAAAATCATGTGACAAAACTTGTAGATATGCCCTTACTTCTGCATCTGTCAGTATCATATGCACATAAGTAACATAAGCACACACCAAAGAGCAAAGAGTGATATTGTGGGATTGCAACTTTCTCATTCTAACCTTTGTTATTCTAATAATCTTTCTTTGTTCAACTCATAGTAATTATCCCACTAAGAAAATCTGTAATTGACATTTTACAGGATTTTACCAAACTCCTCGAATTGGAAGAAGAGCACGTGAAGCGCCAATGCGACGAGATCATCGCCCTCAAGCCGGACGTCGTGTTCACCGAAAAGGGAGTATCCGATATAGCCCAGCACTTCCTGCTGAAGGCCGGCATCACCGCCATCAGGCGTGTGAGAAAGTCCGACAACAACCGAATCGCCAGAGCTTGCGGCGCCGTCATCGTCAACAGAACCGAGGAACTCCAGGAGTCCGACGTGGGCACCGGGGCTGGTGTGTTCGAAATCAAAAAATTCGGCGACGAGTACTTCTGTTTCGTCGACGAATGCAAAAATCCAAAGGTGAAATACATTCCTGATGAAATGTATGATTTTTTTTATAAAAGTAATATATTTTAAGGCCTGTACGATCCTCCTGCGAGGAGCCAGCAAGGATATCCTGAACGAAATCGAGAGGAACCTCCAAGACGCCCTGCAAGTCGCCAGGAACATCATACTGTCGCCGCGTTTGGTGCCCGGCGGTGGGGCCATCGAAATGGCCGTGGCCCAACGGTTGATGCAAAAGGCCACGCACGGTCCCTACAGGGCTCTCGCTCACGCTTTGGAAATCATTCCGAGGACGTTGGCGCAAAATTGCGGCGCTAATACCATCAGAACGTTGACGGCTTTGAGGGCTAAGCACGCCAATCACACTGACGCCGACAAACCTTGTACTTGGGGTATCGACGGTGAAACCGGGGAATTGGTCGATATGAAAGTCAAAGGCTTGTGGGAGCCGTTGTCTGTAAGTTATTTACTATACAGGGTGTTCCATATTGACGTGCTAATATTTAAAGTGGTGATTCTTGGGCCCATTTTAAGAAAAAACTTCATATGAACATATGTCTTAAACCTAAATTTTATTTTTTTAATTTTAGCAAAGCGGCTAACGCCATCGGCTGTGTACAAATGAATGTATTTATTTTTTTTAATGCGAAACGATGAGTCGTACAGAAAAAAGTCAAAAAATAAAATTTGTTCTAAATTGAATGAGGATTCCGAAAATAATTTTTATTTCATTAGGCAGTGGCGTACCATTTTTTTTCTCCAAAAATTTTCAATGCAAAACCTGTATGAACACCGCTACAATAGTAGATATCTACAATAGTATCGCAGTTATTACAAAAAGATTTTATTTTTTCTTAAAACTTTAACACCATGTATCTCAAAAGTTAAGACATTCAAGACAAAGGTTCATATGAAGTTTTTCCCTTAAAATGGGTTCAAGAATCTCCCTCTTAAATACTGGCATGTAATTTTGAAACACCCTGTATTACAATTGATAAAGAAAAGTTATTAATTTCTATTATTTTTAAGGTGAAACTTCAGACCTACAAAACAGCCGTCGAGACCGCTATTCTCCTGTTACGTATCGACGATATTGTATCGGGATCGAAAAAGAAGGGCGACAAGGAGGTCCCGACTCCCAGCCAAATGCAACAACAGGAAGCCCAAGGAGCGGATTAAATTTGATCTTTATAACTTATTATCGTTTCTTTCGTTCGTTCGTAATTTAACGCTTATTAATTCACGATTCAGGTCGATTCTCTTTGTACTCGGCAGATTTATAATAAAGAAAAAAATGTAATCAGTTTGTTTGCATATTTGTTGGTCCCATTATTTGAAATTTTCCCGAGGTTCCTATAATTTTAGTTTACGAGTTTATACAATTTTTTTTATTTACAATATCTGATTATTTATTTTGAATGCTATAATCGTAAATCGATTTGTGGTGAGTGATATGAACAATAAAAAGGAATAATTAACATATTTAATTAAAAAAGTATAGTGTACTGCCCTTGCTAATCGGATACAAAGCGTTATTAAAAATGTAGCGACGTTGTCAAATTTACCGAACTGAAATAAAAAAATGGAAAGCTTTCCCTTTGTCCTTTCGTGATTGTGTGTCGTGAATCGTGTGCATGCAAGTGAACAAGGACGAGCCGGGGCGATTCCGAAACAAACCAGAAAACCTGTTACATAAAACAAGGACGACGCGAGGGGAATCCGCCTCCGTGTCGGAGAGAGAGGAAATCCCTGAAGATGACGTCGACTCGCCGGTGATCCCTCGGCTTTTCCGAGAATTCGCCGCCGATGCTTACGCATTTCGGACAATAATTAGCCGCGCTAAATTTAGACACTGATTCCATATACATATTTCATTCCATATTCCATAGAATACGAGCCAGCTCGAGCGCGCTTCATACAATTTTCGTGCTGATTAGTGATTTATCTCGAATACAATTTAAATAAACAATCGAATGGACTACAACGTATTCTTTTACATTTACAACGTTGGGATTGCGGCATTTAAACGCTCCGAATCGAAGTAGACTTTGAACCTGTATCGAATGTTTGGCGAACGCTGGAAAGAGACGGCGACAGGCGTAGAGCGAGTGCGGCAGAGGTGTTAGTGTCGAGGTGAATCCGAGCCTAGACAGAGACAGCTGCCGCGCGGAGCGTTTAAAACAGGTTTGAAAGTTTTCGAAGAAAGAGGTAGAATAACAAATATCTTGACGTTTGTGTGAGGCCGTAGGAGGGGAGAGGTATTGGCGATTTAAAGATGTCCATGCACCCTATATTATTTTTATTATTCAAAATCCAATTATAAAATCTACTCATTAAAAGTAATAATAAACCACTAAATAATAATTTATAAAAAGAGCTGCCGAGTTATGGTCGACGTCAACTCTCAATTATTGACATGCATGTAGATCTAGTAAACTGCGGAAATTTTAACAGTAATGAAAATGACATAAAACATAAATTACAGTGTACAGTTTTTAATAACGTAATAGTTTCTAAAAAATCCTAGCAATTTTGATAAAAGTTTCATAATTTTAGAACATTTTGAATTGTATTTATTAATGCATCCTTGGTGCATGGCCAGCTTTAGCGGAGCGATTATTCCACTGGAAGCGCGCGGGCGAGCGAGAGAGACGGGAAGAGAGCCAAACACAAGTAAACATGGCGCCGTGTGACCCATCATATCATATTTAGTGTATTTTCTACACGCAGTATCTGTAGATTTATCTCAAATTAGCAGGAAATCTTCCAGATAAGTGCGTAAGAGTCACGAACTATTAGAAATCAGTGATAAAAATCGACTTTTTCGAACGAGTGCCAAGTCGAATTTTAGTGATCAAGTAGCCAGTTTTCCGTTTGTTATCGGAAATTCCGTGTGATTATGATTGTGTCCGAAAAATCGATCATCAGTGCAAACAGAATGTAAACATTGTGACTGTTAGAACTACAAAAGGGCGATTATTTCGCTTCAATTCGATAAGGTGAGTCCCTTAAGTCCTATTATGTTTGTTAATTGACGTGCATACGTTAGAGTTCCTGAGTTCTCATCGGTAACATTAGGATGACTTTTTTTTTTGATTTTGTTGAAAATTTTTGCGCGATATTGTAGCATAACTGGCGCCTGTCCGACTATGCCTTTGGCGTCATACGCTGTCTGTCTGTCTCGTATACGACGATCGTTGCCCCCTTTTTCCCGCACAGATTCCTCCAGTCCACCACATGTTGCGAGGAATGCGCTGTTGCCACATCGACGCTGATTTTCTAGCTACCAAGAAACGCTGTTCGGTATCCAAACAAAAATCAATTAGGCGTCGGTTTTGTGGTCAATTTAGTTGATCAATTGCTGGTTTTTCTCAATATTGTCCTCATGTTCATACAAATGTAGTTACATATGCATTGTAAAAATATTGGGCAATTGAATGTATACAGGGTGTCTTACACATTATATGAGTGCTTCTGTACTAGTGGCAACATAAACCGTTTAAAAAGAACACAGGGTGTCCCAAATATGATGTATGGTGTAGAATGGATCTTATTGGAGTTTCTCCCCAATTTTTTATGTTATAAAATTCGAGCCAACCAAAATGTATTTTTCAAATACCATAAATATAAAAATAAACATTACCTACTGTACCAAATTTTAGTATCTGCTTTAGCCAATTTTACTGAATCTCCAAAAAATATCTCGAGAAGAATTTATCAGTAGTACTTTAAAATTTATTTTAATCTATGACGCCCTGTATAAAAAATACGTAATGCAGTTAACGAAAATCGTTAGCGATGAAAATTGAAAATGTATTGCAAAATATAGCAATTTAATTGTTAGGAAATATTGAAGTACCTATATAAGTACTTAAAAATGAAAGTAATTTTCCTTGTTACTGCAATATCGTATATTAAAAGGTGTAGGTATCATTGCAATGTAAATTTACTGACATTAACGATCAATTATTATGTGTATGAATTATTTGCATAATTCGTACACTCTGTATATATCTAACATATTGTAATAATATGTAGATTTGTGTAGCCCACGTATAGATAAAGAAATTACATAGATATTTCTAACATATAATTGAATATTTATCTTAGACACACTATCTAATCTAATCTAAGTTTTCTTAACATATCTCACGATGATTAATCGAGTCATTTACGTATTTCATTACAAGCAAAATTTGCCAAAAATACACCCCTATATACACATACATATGTACATTTATCGATGTTTTTTGATACTCGATGATTCAACAAATTCAGCAAAAAAATAGAATGAAATTCCTATGTAACCCACGGTACATAATCGTATTCAGGGTCAGAAAAAAGTTCGTATGACGTTTTAATAAATAATTAACACCTTGCGTAAGTAAATTCTATGCTGATTTACGCGCTTGCCCATTATCAGTCAATGACTAGTTTTATTCGGCAAATTTTCGCTTGGAAAACGGAGAATTCATTACTGGATTTACCGAATGCTTTGTTTACCGCAAAACGTTACAAACAGAAGTTTCCAGGAATATTGTGGTTTTCCAGGAATATATGTATATAGATTCATTAATTTGTTTATTTAGTTAATATTTGATTATTGTAAATAGTATCTAATTAGTTTATGTAAGTAAAACGAAAATTTTTAGTGGAAGAAATGTCGAGATTTGACGGGCAAGTGGAATAAAATCGGAATTCACGATACATTAATCTGTACGTGTGAATAAAGCCGTATAAATAGTCCAGATGAGAATAAATTCTGGGTATAATGAGGTCACTAGTGGCGCCGTTTCTTCGTTAAAAAATATGAAAAATGGGGTCAGAAGTCACGCCTGACAGACTCCCAGAAATGTACACAAGCTTTTGCAGAATCCCAAGGGAATTAACCAATGTCAGGTATTAAAAAAAATTAATTTCGTCGCGGGAATTCCGTTCGCTCGAAAAATTGGCATGCTGCGGCCGCTGTTAGATAATCAAACGTTATTTCTCGGAAACTGTAGAAAATAATCATCGACACGTATATGTTTAATGTAGGCTGAACGTATAACCAGTAGGTAGATAAATATCAGCGCGTTTCACATACACATACACACATTTTGTGTTGACATTGAAAATGAGAAATTTGCGACACGACCGGGTCGCCTTCGGTTAATCGACTCCGTTTAATAATTTGCTGAAAGATAATCCGTTGCGTCACAAAAAACATTCGACTGCCCTTGTGCTAATGATTCCACCAAATAACGAACAGCCCTCGTAATTGGTTGTTTCGAAATATATCGAATTGTCCTCGTAATTGGAGTACGCGGTGCACCGGAATTCCCCGCCGAAAAATAACAATACCTAATTGAATACCTGACAACTTTAATTTAATAACCACTCACCGAGAAACTTTGAAATTGAGTAGAGAGAAGAGATTAGAGAGAAGAGATTAGAGAGAAGAGATTAGAGAGAAGAGATTCGAGAAATGAGAGTAGAGAGAAGAGATTAGAGAGATGAGAGTAGAGAGAAGAGATTAGAGAGAAGAGAGTAGAGAGAAAAGAGTATAGAGAGAAGAGAAAAGAGAGTAGAGAAAAGAGAGTAAAGAAAAAAGAGTAGAGATAAGAGAGAAGAATGTAGAGATTAGACAGTAGAGTAGAGAGTAGTGTGGGGAATTCCTGCGTGAGATTGGTGTAGTGTAACAAAATTTTAGATCCGGAATTTCGACATCGGATTAAAATTGAGGTAAATTCGGTGCAGTGTTCCAGCGCGACCGGTGTACGAATTGTCCTAAATTTATTTTAAATGTCTAATAAACAGGTAGATGATCTCGAGCGAAGGGCAACGCTGCGAAAAATAAACAACCTGCACACGCATCTGCCATCGTTCTCTGAGCGATGATTCGCCGATAAACCGGCCGAAGAGCCAACCGGAATCGAGATTTCTCGGTACTACAGGTACTGCGGCTCGTTGTCTTTTCTCGGAATTCCGCTGGAGACTCTGCGATTGTCTGTGTGCAGAAGATTCCCGTTGTCTCTCAACTGGGCGCTTCTTACATAATAAAAAAACAGAAGCGGTTGCGGTAACTTTCATTTAATCGAGCTAGATACAAGAAACGATTGAATTCGATTGAGTTTTTTTACGAAAATTCGAATTCATCGGGCGCCAATTTTTCACAGCTCCAGCGTTGAAAAGTTCAACTTTACGACCGAAAATAGTGTCGCGAAGTAAACACCGGATTGGAAAAATGCTCGACACTTATATTTAGAGAGCGTCTAAATTAAGAAAGGCATCCTTCCATAAATACGTTTTTTAAAAAAAGCCTCGTTTATAAAAATAAAATACGAGCGATTCCGTTCGGTTAAAAATCCAACACAAATCAAGCAAAACAACTACAAAAAATGCTCGCAAAAATAACTGTCCCAGGAAGAATGAATATGTTCACGTCAACCTGAACCTTGAATTAATTATGTATCTCTAATCAAAATAGTTACAACTAATTTTATTTATACTGAATTAATAATGAAACAGCACATATTGTAATACACGAGATGCGTATTCGGCTTGTTTTTCCCCACAAAACTCAATTCAAACAAGTGCCTCCTTATCTCCGTACAGTAATCTACATTCAATAAGTGTGTTCACAGAGTAAAATTTCTCGTTATCAGTATTATTTACCCGTTATCGAATCACAGAGTTCCAACTAACAATTTCATGAATCACAAAATGTGAACTCTGTGTTCCTCCATTCGTTTTCGCTCGGCCAGTCATTGTTGGTAAATAGAATAACCGAAAAAAATTACTTTTAAACCTTACTCGATCGGTATTGTTTTTCCGTAATTTAATAATTTATCTGAGCGAGCGATAAAAGTTTGAGATAAGTCATAAGTTGGCGCTGTACTGGCGAGTTTATGATTTTTCTGCGGTTTTAATGCGTTCAGTGAGTTGATTTCCGCGGAATTGAATGGTAGGTGTTGATTTTTTTTCGACTTTTATTAATTGTTATCTGTTCGAATATGTGCTTCGAATATTGTTGTTCGCAATCGACGTAAAATACACACTATAATAAATTATTTATACAATGTATCTTGTACACATTTGGACACTTTCGTTTTGTTTCTACGTCCTATTATTCTAATATCTTATTAATTAATGAAATATTGATGTTTCTTCGGTACTGTACCTACTAAAGTTTTTGTAGTATTTCTAATTTTATAACTAATTATATGTAGTAGTAATATTATTTCTTTGTTCCAGGTAGTATAGTAGCTATGGAAAATACTGACAGTTACTTGCACAAGAAATTCAAGAAGCAAGTGAATATCCAAAATGACAAAGAAAATAAAATTATTTCTCACGCGGAACAGAAGGAGGAAAAAACCGACGAAAAGGAAAACAGCAGTAATCGAGATTGTGTGCCAAATCAAAGTACAAATAACAGCCCTTCGCTTATTACAGTAAACGCTAACTCTAAGTCTTCCATATCAGTAGGAAACCAAATCCAACCACCTTCGAACCCATACATATCATGTGTAGTTTCGAAACAATTTGACCATCAACCAGTTAGTTTTGATACGAAATTTAAGCACCAGCAGACCAACTATTCAGATAGCCAGTCTTCCATTTTAGATTACGAAGCAAACGTTCCTGATGATTACTCTTCGAGAGGCGGCGGCGGCGGAGGCGGTGGCGGCGGCGAGGAAATCGCTCCGCCCGCTCCCGATAAGAACGCCACCGTCAACGGCAAATACGTGTGCCCCTATTGCAATCTAGTCTGCTCCAAGCCGAGCGTGCTGCAGAAGCACATCCGCGCCCACACCAACGAACGGCCGTACCCCTGCGAGAGCTGCGGCTTCTCCTTCAAGACGCGCTCCAACCTGTACAAACACTGCAGATCGCGGACGCACGCCAATCGACTGATGGGCGGCGCCAAGACCGCCGTCTCGCCGAGCCCCAATTGCTCCAAGGAGGAGCCGCAGAAGCCGTACAAACCGAGGTTCCACATTTCCGAAGAGGAGCCCGTCCAGAATTCCTCCACCTCCGAATTCGTTACGCACCAAATCAACGAAATCATCAACAGAAACAACTTGGTGACGAGCTCCAAGCAGCAGGAAGTCGCCCATCAGCACCACAAAGAGCCCGACGAGCCTCTGAATTTGACCAACAAGAATCGCAAGCGCTCGCTGAGCGAGGTATCCGAACCGGTGATCCAAAAGAGCCTTATCAAAGAGCTGCTACTCAAAAACCTATCTTCTTCGGACATGCAGTGTCCTTACTGCAAAATGATCTTTCAAACGGTTACCGAATTGGACGTGCACAAGTACAGGAGCTGCAAGGGGAAGCCGGTGTCGAGCGCTAAATACGCCAGGAGCAGCTCGGTGAACGTGGCCTCCATTTTGACTCATAATAAGAACGCTTTCGACGAGATTCCGCAACTGCAGAACGTGGTATTTCCGTTGAGCTCGCCGGGACCGTTCCTGGGTAAAACCCGGCTGATCGACAGCGATAAGACCAAGTCGTTTTCGTTCGACAGCGGGCGCATGCCGTTGATCAGTCCCGGGGGGTCTTCACCGTCGCCCAACTACCTCCTCTCGCCCGTACCCTTCGAAAAAGACAGGAAGACCAAGATCAAACTGTTCGGAGGAGAGGTCAAGATCCATCTGCCCGGTGAGACCAAGAGCTTTGCCATCGACGATAAGTTCGAAGAAGAGGATATTATGAGTGAAAATAGAGTGGTGAAGACCAGTTTGCAATCGGGCGGCACCGTTTTGACCAACAAAACCGGCTATAACAAGCCCCCGGAGGGGATGATGATGTCCCCTAACGTCGATTTAGGTAATTACAGTCGATTTACGTTCAATTTCGACAAAGACTCTACCCCTAACGAAGCGAACCAAGTGGGGGAGTTCGGTGACTTCAGTCAGAAGGCGTTCAAGATGTTGACGCCTAACATTCGGCCTCCGACCTTTCCTGTAACCAGCAAACCGGTGCTAAGCGATACAAACGAAAGCAAACCAGAGAAACCAAACCTGTACAATCCCTTAAATTTGTACGTAAACGGGAAGATAGTGAGGCACGTGCCGGGAATGCCGGGGCCCGTAGTCGCCGCCGAAACTCCCGAATACCCCGCCAGAACACCGCCGAAAGATAATCAAACGTTCCTGCAGCCGGACAAGGTACCGGAGAGAAGCAACAAATCGCCCAACATTTCCACCCAACCGACCGGCTGTTTTTTACAACCCGACAAAACCCCAAAACCGGACGAGAAAACCGCCAAACCGGACGAAGAAATGGGAATAAAAAAATTCGTACGGCCCAACAGCCTGGCGTTGAAACCCACGCTGGCCTCGCTGAAGCAACACCACGGACTGACGCCCACCATGTTCAACCAGATACTGATCAGCCCGGACACGCCGCGCGTCGCCAAGAAGTACGAGGAGCACTTCCTGCACGGCAACTACTTCAGCTACTTGGGCCTCAAGTGCTCGACGAGATCGGTGTACTGCACGCTGAACAAAACGCAGCCGTTCTACGTGCCGTTCTTCAAGAAGCTGAGCATGTACTCGGAATGGCGCCAGCAGGACACCAAGCAGGATAAGTTATACGCCAGCCGGTACGATTCCGGCCAGACGAACCAGAGGTACAGCATAGCTGGGAAGACGTCCGCGAATTTGATTATACACTCCAGCTATAAGGTACGTGGTGTACTGGAGAAAATTGAGATAATTTCAATGTTTCGGGAATTTTCAGTTTATGGTTTCGGAGACGTCTGCCCAATCCGAGAAAGAAGACGATCAACAACCGCAGAAAACGAACGCGATTATGGGCAATTATGAAAACTACGTCTACGTTAGGGGTAGAGGTAAGTTAAAATCTGTACTATTTATGAACAATTTAGAATATCATGCTTCCCCCCAACTTATTTCTTATCAAATTGTGCATTTACAGGACGAGGTCGCTACGTTTGCGATCAATGCGGCATCAGATGCAAGAAGCCTTCGATGCTCAAAAAGCACATCAGGACGCATTCGAACGAAAGACCATACACCTGCAGCCACTGCAATTTCAGGTAACAAACGTGCAAATTTCGAATTCGAAACGTGTTCTAATCGATTTCATTTCGATTTCAGTTTCAAAACTAAAGGCAACCTAACGAAGCACATGAAGAGCAAATCGCATTCCAAAAATTCCACCAACGGCAACGGATCGTCGTCGTCTTCGGCCCAGCAAAGCGCCCAGAGCTCCGATTCGGACACCGAAGACAGCGGAATGGATAGCAGCGGTTAGTTTATTCCTATGTATTAATAATTCTGTGGGTAGTTGCAATAATTGTTGTTAAAATTGAGTTGTTAATATCTAGTTTCCCTCTCGCTGAGCTCTATGAGATGGTAGAATAAACCAGTAGAGTACCAATAGAGTAAAAAGCAGTTTAACATTAAGGCTTTAAACAACTACTTACTGAAAAAAATTGGGTCAATTTTCATGGACTTGCCTGATACTGGATCTATCGTGACCTAGTGACTTTTAATCAAAAATAATCTAGTGTTTTTGCATTTCTAATTATATTTGCGGTGTTTTCAGACGAATCGACGAGACAACAAGAGCACGAGGCGGCGTACGGGTTGCTGTCATTGTCGCAGAAACCCACTCGAACGCCGGACATGGCGGAATCGGACGCCTTCATGACCACCGAGGAGATAGCGCACGTGTCGCAAGCGAACTACGCCAAAAACAAGATACTGAACGAGCAGAACTTCAATTTGGAGAGAGTGGGAAAGGCGTCGGTGACGTCGGAAACGTCGGAGAATCGAAATGTGAGAACCCACCTGGGCATGGGCGGCGGCCATAGACCTCTGACCTACCCTTATTCGTTGATTCTACCGTGCGACAAAGACGTGGGGTCGTCCGACGAGCACACCACCACGTCGGAGAGTTGCTCCGACGGCGGTAAATCCATAAAGCAATTCCACGTGATTCAGAAGTACGCCAGAGAGGCGCCGGCCGCGCCCAAATTTTCGACCGAAAACGTTAGCATTAAGAAACCCTTACCCACGCTGAAGGTAAACGACGTTGTGATAACGGGCGATAGTTTCGATCCGAGAAAACGGAAAATCTCGGTGGCCGAATTGTCGCCCAAAACCAAACTGCAACGAAACGACCAAGTCATCGACTTATCCATGTCGAACAATCACGAAAAAGTCAACGGCTTAAGGAATGTACAAATACAAATATCGAATAACTCGACACCTAAGACGCTCGAACCGCATACGAACGACGCCTACAGATCGATCGAGGCCCAGAAAAACGTCGCTAACGACATTTTGAACGTGCTACACCACAAAGTTCCCGCCCAGCGATACGAGATCGACGAAGAGAAGGAACCGGTCAACGCCAACAACCGCACGGTGATCATCCTGCGTCAGCTGCCCGAAGAGCAGCTGAACGTGAATAGTTACAACGAGGAACCGATAGCGTACGACAACAGCGCGATGGAAACTCTGGCCGACATCGCCACCAAGCAGGTGAAGCTGGAGAAGAACACCCTGGCGAAGAACGTCGCCAGCGAGTTCCTCAAATTGGCGACGAAGAACGACTGCAGGGACCCCGTCAGCAAAGACGTCAACGAGATCATCGTGAAATCGGAAGGGAACAAGAGCTGTACGATTTGTTCGAAGAGCTTCAGCAAACCTTCTCAACTCAGGTAATAAAGGGTTTGATAATAGACCGTATTTATAAAAGGAAGCATAACCTTTTGCTTTCAAAAAATTTAGGAATTGCTTCAAGGTATATGCAAGGTAGAAGTTTTGCTTTGAGGACCATACGGTTGCTTTAAATCGAAAGATTTTACGTTTTCCGTATTTATAAAAAAAGATTTTTCCTAGAAATGTCTAGAACCATTTGGAACTGTCGAGAATAATTTAGAACTGTTTAGATCAATCTAGAGCACTCCAGAGTCATCTAGAACTGTTTATAGAACCATTTAGAACGTTCCAGAATCATTTAGAAATGTCGAGGACCATCTGGAATGCTTCAGAAACATTTAAACAATCCAGAACCCTTTATGCATCAGAGAAAAACCTTTTCCTCTTACCTTTTGCTTCAATTTTATAAATATGGACTATTGAAACGCCCAAACTAATTTTGATATCATTTTACTTTGTAGGTTGCACATGAACATACATTACTTAGAAAGGCCTTTTCGATGTGATTCGTGTTCAGTGAGTTTTCGCACTAAAGGGCATTTGCAGAAGCACGAAAGGAGCGCCAGTCATCACAATAAAGTAAGTATACACGGCATTTTACGATAAACACGATCTTATTTGAATCCGCAATGTCATTCTAATGGAAATTTTCTATGTTGCACTCGTCAACCGTATTACCGACATACCCTGTATTTCATAATCAACTAATCTTAAGAATATCTGATCAATTATTGCATAAATTTCATGATACCGCATATATGTAGTTATCCAAGTTTATTGTTGTTTTTTGTTACAGTTATCTTCCTCTCCGGCCCTTTCCTCATCGGAACCGCGGCCGTTCAAATGCTCGGATTGCAGCATAGCGTTCCGAATACACGGCCACCTGGCCAAGCACTTGCGCTCCAAAATGCACATACAGAAGCTCGAGTGCCTGGCCAAGATTCCGTTCGGTCTCTACGCCGAACTGGAAAGATCCAACAGCCTGCTGACGGAGATAAACACCAGCGATGGGGACCAATGCCTCGAAAGTTTGAAGGTAATAAATGACGATAGTGAAAACTGGTTGCTTTTAGGAGTGAAATTTACAATGTATTCTGTTACAGATGCTGGCGAAAAAAGTGTTCGTCAACGATCCCAACAAATTGAACCAGTTGGAGAGAGTGAATAGCGTCGGCGCGGATTAGAAACGAAAATTTGTACATACTGCTATTTATTGCCGAAGACTGAATTCATATAAATAGAAAGAAATATATATAATATTAAGAAGTATACATTTTATAAACTATTTTACTGTTAAATATTCTACTTACTTCCTATAAATTAGTTTTTATTTAGACAATTGTATTCTGAAGTGTCAAATATGATAATTGTGATATATTTTTTTAAGAATTGTAAATATTAATTTAAGGCGCGTTTTTGCCATGAAATCATAAGGTGCATCAGTTTTTATTTTCTGTAAACTTTAAAAATATGTTCAATTTCTATTCTTTGTTTGTTAATCTTAAGTGTCGTTATTCAGGTATTTTTATACGGTGCAAACGATGACTTGTTTGTAATTTGCCAATATTGCCTCTTACTAATTAATTGTTCGGTTTCCTTTTCATCACAATTTCTCATTTTTGCATTTTCTCACTATCTTTTCGCCATTACGAGTGCAAGTGCAAATGCATCTTTGGTTTAAAATTTCTAGCAAAGGAAATGTTATTATTTAAATAATCTTTTTCGAGATTTTTGTTCGTAAAAGTCGATTTATACCTGTTTTTTAGGTACCACGCATTAATTTTTTTGTACATTGGTTAAACGAAAATGTTTTTTTTTATTTTTAAAATGGTTACGTTGATTATTATTGTACATATTGTTTGTATATTATTTTATGCGAGGATAAATATTTTGTTAATATTTGTTTTTCCCTGTTGAGAAAATACAAAAAATTGTTGCCGATTTGCGTTTTTTTAAACCACTAAATTTAACAAGGATATTTTATTTATTGTTTAAAAAAATAAAGTTTATTTTACAAAAAAAACTTAAATATAAATTACCTTTATTAATTCAGAAGTAAGTTCAGTCGCTGTCGTCCTCTATAGTGACGATTCTCTTTTTTCTTTTAAGCGGCCTTCCGTTTCTTTTTTCTTGTTCCAATTTCCTCTCTAATATCTCCAATTGCGATAATTCATCCCTAGTTTCAACTACATCATTATCGACCACAAATGAATCCTAAAAATAACATAAAAAATATCAATAAATCAAGTAAAATCGAATAAAATTCTTACATCTTCAAAATAAGTATCATTCTCAACGTTTTCCACTTGCGAGAACACATTAGAAATATTTAATTTTGGTTCTCTAAATCTCTTCGCAGCCGCCGGACTTCTAAAAAATATGAAATCAAATGAATTACTACTAATTACGCGTGAATTTATAAGTAGTTACTTGACGGACTGCAGATAAACCGCGTGCATTTGCGTATTGAAATTTTGAGTTTCATCGTTAACGAAACTCTTGTCGTATTGTTGAGACTGAGTTTCGAATTCATCATCGGAAATGATGATCGAATCGCAGGAACTTACGTCGGCTTCGTCGTCGATGAATTGATTAGCCTGCAAGGATATTTTTTATCGGAATTCTTATCGTTACTTATCAAAATTAGGTTCTTTATCATTTACCAAATGGCATAAAAATCATTTAAAATTAGCAATAAAAACAATTTATCAAAAGAAATTTACAATGATAAATGGCCAGTGGTATTTCAACTAATATGCAAATTTTTGAGTATGTGTATGTACCAAGATCTGATGCAAACTGTGGGTTATTTAAAGCCTCTAAACTAAATTTGTACAAGCATACCTTTGCAATTCCTTTTCGTGGGCCAGTTCTTTTTTTCGGGCGACTTCTATCCACCTTCGGGAATTTAGATTTTTGCGTGACGGGACTCGTTTCGAAATCGTCGTCCGAATTATCATCGATTATTTTCCGTTTTTTGAGAACATTATTCGATTTGGCTTGCAACCAACCGCTTCCATTGCCTAGCCTTTTGGTACTCGCTTCGATTTTCGACGTCGACGGTGAATTTTGGCACATTTTCGATTTATTTCTCCAAGAACTTTTAGGCGTTTTGAAAACCGTTTTGTCCCGCAAATCGAAGATTTCGTCATCGTTCGAATTAACCGCATTTTCTTTTTGAGATGCTTTGTTTATCTGAGAAAGTAATTGAGTTACGGTTTTTTGAGTAACCGGTTTGTTTTTCACTGGTGTTTTGTTGCTCTCTGAATCAACGTTTGTACAAGTTCGTTTAACAGTAATATCACAGATTGTTTTATTATCACAAGTTGGCGTTAGATTTTCGATGTCGGAAACGTTTTCCGGCTCTTTTTGCTCGATATTCACCGGGTTTTTGTTAATTATACCGAAATTCGATAAATCGACCAAATCCTCCAACGCTAGAACTGGTTGAGTGCTCGCCTTTCGTATCGATTTGTTCCTTTTCGGGGCGAAAGAACACAAAATCGGCGAAGAAGAATCATCACTGCTTTTATAAGAATTATCTTGAACAACTTGCTCGGGCATATCCGGCGAGACCGGAGCAGGTTCGTTGAATTCGATGTCGCGTACGCTTCTCAACTTAAAAAACTCCAAAATACTTTTTATTTCGTTTTGGGAATATATTTTCTTTGGTGGTTCTTCAGCGGTGGAACAATTGAATTTGCCTACTAAAGAATCTAGAGATTTGGGCGGTTGGAAATCCGCTGTCTTTCCCTCGAAATTCCCCACTATACTCCTATCTATAAAACCATCCGGATCCAATACCGAAAAATCCAAAGTATCCTCAAACTGAAATTCCCCATCTAAATTCTTCCTAAACGATTTCAAATCCTCCAAAGTAACTGAACTGTAAACGGCGCTATCGAGCTCAGTCCACGAGAGAGTAGTCGTGAAGTAATTCGTATAGGGAATTCTCCCGCATTCCAATAGCTTCGGACATAATTTGCAATAGTTCGCGTTCAAGTCGCAGCTAATGGCTAAAAAGGTTTCCATTTCCGCGAATAGACCGGTGTATTTATCTTCCTTTTCCACCTCCTTCTGCGTGGCTGCGGGAACTTGGGTCGAGGCCACATCGAAGTCTTTATGGAACATGCTCCTAATGTCGGTTTGCTTGAGATTTCTAGTCACACCTGCGATTAGAAAGGACTCGTAATAAGGCTGGAGTGTACTTGATAATACATAAATGTAGATTTAGATTGAATCAACAACTTACCTAATTGCGTTAAAGGAATGTTAAATCTACGGGATTCGGCTGTTTGGAGCAGGTTAACTAGTAATTTAGAAACTTCGGAATGTTGTATTTTATAAGTTTCTTGTAAAGTTCGTTGCTTTTCGATTCTTTTATTAAACGTTTTCACTAGAGGAATATGCTCATCTAATCCCCGACCTGAAACCGCATTTTTATTCTTGCCTTTCATTTACTCGATTACTCACTATCGTTTGAATATAATTGTGCGTTACATAGAGAAATTCTATCCCGAAATTCGCCTATTTGCAAATTCGGCGAAAACGATGGCTCGGAAGACCTCGAAGACAATGTTCTCATCATATCCTACATATAAAAAAAAACCTCGACTATATTGATTATACTCTGTTTGCTATCAGGACATAGTAATAAAACATTATTGAAGCAGTAAATCCAGTAAACAACCACCTGGTATAATTACCGGTAGTGTCCAGTACTGATATCAATGAAGGGATGTTTAATGTTAATGCAATATGTTAATGAATATCCTTTGAATGATTATTTAATATACCAAAATTATCATTATGCACTGTTCAGGTCACTTTATTTGGGATTAGAAAAGAATTTTACGATTCTTTCGTTGAGTCACTCGTCTTTTGCATACAAAATAAGGATCTATTACTATTTCCTGCTATCGAATGGATTATAATATTTACACACCTTCAAATTCCTACTTTTCTTTGCTACCGGCTGCTTATTCACGGTAATAAACATTTTCTCGCACCTGGGTTGAACGCCCGTGGGGATCAGTCTCGGACAGTCCTTCTGCAAATTGTTCTGCAAGTGAGCCGAACCCAGCACGTGGCAGGTGACGTTGTTTTTGTGTATCAAGCAGTCTTTAAGGGTTTCTTGCTCCTTTCCCTCCGTCACTAAAACCACTATGTTACCGTCTTTCTTGCTGCCCGTCCTGCCCATCCTTTGCACCATTCTTATGGGGGATTTGTTGGACACATCGAAGCATATTATGAGATCGACGTCGCCGACGTCGAGGCCTTCCTCTCCTATGCAAGTTGATAGGAGGGCGTTACAGGTGCCTTCTCTGAACGATTTTATTACCTAGAAATAGACTAATAAATACTATGTTTTTGTGTTGTATGTTTTACTCACGCTAATTTGTGTTTTTTGAGTGACACCTTGTTTCTGTCCGATGAATATCCTGGGTTTTATTATAGGCTGCGAGTCAATTAATAAAGCATAAGCTTCCTGCACGGAGTCCCTGTACTCGAAGAACACGATAACCCTGCTGGAATCTTCGGATTTTTTGAAATGATCCAACAGAATGTCCCTCAATTTGTAAAATTTCGGGTGTCCAAACTTGGTGTTTTCATTCAACTGGAAAGCAATGTTGTTATCCTACAAATTTATTCAATAAATACCAAATACCTCGACGCGGTCTCCATCAGGAAGGCTTTGAATTACGGGTGGTGGGCCTAAGTACTCTTTGACATCAGTCATTATGTCTCTAACCATCGCGTTGCTTCTCATTAATGGCTTATCTATGTGTTCTAAAAAGTACCTTATCAGTAGCATGATTGAGAAGAGAGATGATTAATATACCTTCGAAAAACGATAGGAAACTTCTTAATCCGTGCCTTACTAATAGCTCAAACGCATGGTAGAGCGTTATGCAAACGTTCAAACACTTCATGATTTCGTTGAAATTTGGACTGCTACTTCTGTTCTTTTGTTGAAAGCTCTTGGTAATCATAAAAATCTTCCCTTTGGATAAATTAGAGTAGTTACCTTGTATTACGTTGTATCTAATTAGAGTTTTTGTGTAATATTCCAGAACCTAAAACGAATACGTTGGATTAATTTGAATAAATTAGAACTTACATTTTTTACACTCATGTAATCGTCTTTGATTTGCTGTAACTTTTCTCCGAGAGGTACGACGACTGTTGTTAAATTCCTTTTAAATACATAAGGTCGTACATCCAAACTGTCTTCAGTTCTAAATTCTAGATGGGATATTAATAAGTTATTGACAATCTAAAAATTGTAAGTAAAATTAAATATCCACTATATACATAAGTGTAATCTTCTTACATCTAAAACATCCTCGATGGATCCACCTGGAGTGGCGCTCAACGCCAGGACTCTAAAGTACTTGTTTGTACTTAAGAGTTTTTTAATAATCTCACAGTAGGCGTAATTTCCTCTAGCTTTGTGCGCTTCATCGAACACCAAGCACTTTATCTTCTTGCCTAAATCTTGGAACTTATCCAAATCGTTCTGCAATATCTGAGGCGTGATAAAAAATACCCTTTTTTCGTTCCAGATGTCTTCTCGCGTAGAAATCTTTGTTCCCACTCCGGTGATTTCTGCCGTAACGTCCTTCGATATGCCTGTAATATCGTAGCAGGCATCTATTTGTTGTTTCACTAAGGGCCTCGTGGGGGCCATAAATACCACTTTTTCCCGGGGATACCACCGGTAGTAATTGAACATGATAACAGCCGCAATGAATGTTTTACCCAGTCCAGTCGGTAAACTAACCTACGACGAAATTATAATGAGCTTTTTGTGGTTGAAATGATTGAATAATTAGCTAACGAGGGTGTTATTGAATAATGCTTTTTGTATGATATTGAATTGATAGTCTCGAATTGGGTAATTTGTAGGATATATCCAGGTTTGGCCTGCTTCTGTGTCGAAACCCTCAGTCTCTTCATTATTGGACAAATGTTGATTACTATCACTAAAAATTAATTTTATTAATTACCATAGGATACTTGACATAAATGGTTTTTACATTAAAGCTTGTTGTAAATCATTACTCATACTTAATAGGAATAATAAATAAAAGGAATATAAAATTATAAAAGTAAGAATTGAAAAACAAATCAACAAGTTCTTCTTCAGTCTTTACAGAATTTGATCCTGAGCCACTGGAGCTATTCAGCCTAATTCATTTTGACAGATGACATTTTCAATTCTACTTTTTATTTAAACATACAAGTTTGTAAGTAGGTTGCCTATGCCTACATGCGTAAAAAATATACAAAATTACATTTTTTTGAAAACAGAAAAATAACACCTTTAATAAATTTAACCGAATAAATCCAATATTGAGTACAATTTATTAGTATCGTTTTATGTAGAATATTAAGACAACCTAATAGCAATTCCTTAAGAGTAAAGTGTAAAAAAAACAGTCACCTCTGAATCATCAGCAAGTACGAATATAACGTAATTTGTTTGTGATTAGAATAACTTCAAAAACAATCTCAATGAAAAATTCTTACAACAAATATAAATAAGGGGGCGCAATTATCTTCAACCCCACAAATCCTCAGATCTTCCAAACTTATAAATGATAGAAGCGATGAATATCAATGCATTTTGTAGAAACAGGGATACACCAGACCATCGTTTACCTAAAATAATTAGAAGTAATTACATTGATGTTGCCCATACGATAATTAAGATATCGCTAGTAATACCTGTTTCCATGAAATTCGCAAACAAGATCCAACAAGATGCAATGACTGCAGCGAATCCCATTACGAAACCAATAAATAACCAAATGCGGGTTCCACGGGAGCCCATGCAACCACCCTCATACACATCACCTCTCATCTACGAAACAGAAGAATATGTACATGTTTTTAAACTCTAGATCTCAGCATTTTCAGTGTAATACCTGAGCATTCGATACGGAATTCACCATCAGTAAGGAGATGGTTCCAACCACACCACACATGTGGTGACCGGCTAAAATGAATCCGTTCACGCTTGAAGCATCGATAATCGTCCACCAGCCGGCGAAAAACTAAAAAGTACAGGGGCGTTTTTGTTTGTTTTTCCTTTGTATAACAACCAAAACATTTACCAATAGACCTGCTAGCATCGAAGCGTAAGCGTTCCTTTTGTCGCCTCCTTCGAACCAAATACAAGGAGGAAAATTAATGTTCTCGAAGCAATCAGTTAAGCCCATTTTTTTTTTAATTTCCACTGGTTTTTTGTTAAAAAATTATAGTGAGTAATGTTCAACTTCAATCTGTCAAGTCGATAAATCAATATTTAATATTCTTCTTTTAGTAATTTATCCTTTGCTTCTACTCGTATTCAGTACTTTACTGAAAGTATAAAAAGAAGAATTAAACACATATGATTCGTGAAGTTAGGTAGTAACGGTAACACTCAAGTGTCCGTAGTGCGATAGTAAACATGAACATTTTCACATTTTTTTCGTTTTTACTAGTTGCGAAAATTAATTACAGTTTTGCTACTTCGGTCCATAAGAGATTCGAGTACACTTATTCGTTTAAACCGCCTTATTTGGCTCAAAAAGACGGATCCGTGCCGTTTTGGGAATACGGCGGCAGTAAGTACTTCAAAATGTAGTTACACGTATTAATTTTTTGACTAAATTATTATCGTTCGCTCTCTCTCTGCATCGTGTAGTTGGAGCGAACGACGATAGAATCGTACATTCTCATGTGTCAAATATGTACACGTATATAACCAAAAATTCCAGATGTTTAAAATTAAATGCAATAAACATTAAATTGTATTAAACAATTGTTGTTTTCGATTTTATTTATTACGATGCAATTAAGCAATTTGATTGTAATTGGTTTCTTGTCGATTAGATGCGATTGCGAGCTCCGAAAGCGTTAGAATAGCCCCATCTCTGAGGAGTCAAAAGGGGGCTATATGGACCAAACAGCCGATCAATTTCGACTGGTGGGAAGTTGATATCTCGTTTAGGATATCTGGAAGAGGAAGAATAGGCGCTGATGGTTTAGTAAGTAATTGTACCATAATTTATAAGAGTATTAATTAATACAAAAACCGGTTTTTAGGCGTTTTGGTACACTAAAAGCAAAGGGGCCTACAATGGAGATGTATTCGGTTCGTCCGATCAATGGAACGGACTTGGTCTTTTCTTCGATTCGTTCGATAACGACAACCATCACAACAATCCCTACATCATGGCTATCTTAAACGACGGTACTAAGCAATTCGATCATCAAAAGTACGTTTTATTCATATTAATATCACCTTAAATTCTAATACAAACCACTAAAACTTTAGTGATGGAACCACCCAACAACTAGCCGGTTGTTTGAATGACTTCCGTAACAAACCTTTCCCGACCAAGGCTCGCATTGAATACTACCAAAACACCTTGACCGTTCAGTTTCACAACGGCATGACGAACAACGAGCAGGATTATCAGATGTGCCTTCGGGCCGAGAACGTGATTCTACCCAAAGGCGGTTACTTCGGAGTCTCCGCCGCCACGGGAGGGCTAGCGGATGATCACGATGTGATACATTTTCTCACAAACAGTCTGCACGCGACCGATCAAGTTCAACCTAAACAATGTAAGAAAATAGGGAATCATCTTTGTAGGAATTAGTATTAATCATCTATGTGCAGATGTAGGAGAAGATCAACAGAAGCTCCAGGAAGAGTACAGAGATTACCAACAAAAATTGGAACAACAGAAAGCAGAATACAGAAAAGAACATCCAGCTGAAGTAAGGACCATTTTTAGTCCTCTTACTAAGTAAAGTAAAGTTTATTCTCAAATCTACAAAGGTTTTTATAAAAACTAAATTATAAGGAATAGATATCTAATAGTACATTTATACTAAAGTACTATAAGTATAGTAATTGTAAAGAAGTATTTTCAAAAAGTTTTTATAAAAAATCCGTTCTTTTTTTATAGTTATCTGCAATAAGAAAAATCTTGCGTGCAGAAAAAAAGAGGACTTTAAACATCATTACCTAAAACGTCTAAAAATGTTGAATTTAGTGACGCTTTTGACACTTAAAAATTCCGATGAGTTGTTAATTTTATTAATAAAGTAATTCTTTGACTTATGACATACATTTAAATCATATGGAAGTACATTATACAACTTTGGCATGTTGTAATAAATTAAATATTTTTGTCCCCCTGCTTGTTTTGCCAAAGCTGAGGATGCTAATGTTGAAGACTGTGTTTTAGTTGGATAATTATGACTTATTTGACTTACTGAATGTTTATTTTTATAACCATTCTTCCAATTTCCATTGAAAACAATTCTTTAACTGTAAATACTTTTAGTTCTTTGAATGACCCTTCTGAGGGATACCGTGTTTCTTATACATGATTTTGAGCATCATTTTTTTAGCAATATCCCCAAGCAATAAGACAATAAGTAATAATGAACTGCGCCAAGGGAAAATAAATAGTTTTTGCTATATTTAGGCTGACAAATTTTTTTCGATATTTTAGTCTTATATAATATCAACACTTACACTTTTCAGAAAGAACCCGATTTAGAAGATTGGTACGAATCGGACTCCCAAAGAGAATTGCGCCAAATCTTCCAAGGACAAAACCAAATATACGAGGTGATGAGAGAGCTGAATAAAAAGATAGACGAGGTCGTGGGTAGGCAAGAGCGAACGATGAGCTTGATATCCCAACAGGGTACCGGCGTGCAAGGGGCCGGAGCGCCCCCGCCGCCTCCGGGGCAACCAATGCACGCCGGGGACACCATCAGAAGGCACGAAGTCGATGCGGTATTCAACAATCAGAACCTGATGATCGGTTACATGAAGGAAATCAAGTAAAGGAAACGATGTCGAAGGGTTTGTCGGTTTTTATAAGTTAACGTGTTGCAGGCAATTTATTCTCGAGGTGAAACAAAGAGCCGATACCATAATCAATAATCAGGCTAAACAGCCGACGGCCCAAGTGCAATCGGTGGGCTACGATTCGCAATCGTTGATCGCAGAGATGAGAGACGGACTGAATCACGTGAAGACGAATATGATGCAAATGGCGCAGAAGATCACGGCGCCCCCGGGCGGCGCTTGCCCTACGGTCAATTGCGTGTCTGTTACTACTATTTTGATCATATCGATCGTACATTTGGCCGTTATATTAGCATATAATTTATATAGGTGAGTAACGTGGTACTCGGAGAGTAATATGTATTTAATATTATTTTTTTTCAGGGATAGCAAAGACAGCAGTAATAAGAAATTTTATTAGACTTTATGAAAATTGTGAGATTCGTTTCTGCGTGAGTGTATTAGGAGGGTTTAATTTTTTTTTTTGAGTTTTATTTTTTTTTGTATATGTTAACCGTTCATGAACAAACGTCTTCCTAATATTTTGACTTTCGGAAAATCACTTCTTTCAATTTGAATTGTAACACATTGACTTGGAATATGTTTGTTACATTTTTCATGGTCAGTTTGTGCACAAACATAATTAAGTTTTATCACAATTATTTCAACTCGTAAATGTAGATAAACACTTGTATAATTTTACATAATTTGTTAAATTATTGATATTATTTACGAAAATGACATACAAGTTCATTTTTATAATACACGATTGAAAGGTGATTTTTCCATTTATATTTTGTTTTTTTCTTAAATGTTATTTATTTTTGCCAAGTTTGATTTTCTGTTCTTGTGGAAAGGAATCGAAGCTTGATAGACAATTTGATTTACTCTCTTGGTCGGCATTTTTCTCTAAAAATTCAAAACATTCTTTTTGATTCCAATTTTTTTGTTGACGGTATTTTTTCTATATTACTTTGAATGTTTATATGTAAAAAATTTAATAAATCAACATTTTGTTACTTAATTTTGTTTTAATGATTTCTTATAGAATCGTATAATCCTACATGCATAATTATAATACATAAAAGAAAGGAATGTTAATATACTCATTAAATAAATATTGCAAAAAAATATGAAATTATCTTAATAACCAGTAATTTTTTAATTACCTTATTAAACTTAGAAATTACATTTCTATTTCACGTTTTGCATATCGTAGAATGTGTTTTTAAAAATATGTGTAAACAGTAGAAAGTATTGAATAATTTGAAAAAATGTAATGCAATGTTTAGGTGGATTTAAAAATACTTTTATAATTTAAATTTCATAATAGGTGCACCGTTTCTATGAATATCCTCATTATTTTAGAAACTCTAAGTTAAAAAATAATAACAAATATCACAATAATTATACCAATATTAATAAAATTACCTGTATTCATTCGGTTATCTATACGTTGTGGTGTTCTTTAAAATATCCAAATTCTTTGTTTCCTCATCACTCATCACAGATCATTTAAAAACGATACAGTTATTTTTTTGACGATAATTTGTGCTTTAGAAATTGTATTTCATCACATTGCTTGGTAATCTTTTCATTTTGAGCTGCTAGATGTTCAGTCATAGCTTCCAATTGGTCTTTGTAGTTTTTATTGGTAATCATCAACTCTTCGTAATTGTTTTCCAAGCAGCTTTTAAGCTTGCCGTGCTCTAATGAAATGTCCTCTAATCTAGCAGTCAACGATAGATTTTCTGCCCAGGCCGTTTTCGCTTCGGATTTCAGCAAGGAATTCGACTCTAATATTTGACTAAATTGAGATTCGTAGTAAACAGTTAATTTGTCCTCAGAGGTGGGTTTTAGTTTCAACAAGTCGCATTCCGCTTTCCATCGTTCCGCCTCGTTCTGCCAGATTTTCGCCTGAAAGAGGGCCTACTCATTGCAGCAAATAAAAATTATACAGTAGATACTTACATTATCATCAGGAGTATCTGAAATGGTTTTGTTATTAACTCCATAAGCCGATAACTCGTTGATTTTCGTCTCTAATTGATGTTTAATGTTTTTGTGTTTGAGCTGTTCATCGTTTCGCAATTTTTCGCTTTTCGACAAATCTTTTTGGAAATTCGTTATTAAGTCTTCTAAATTTTTGATCTTTTCTCTGCATTCTAAGATGTCTGATTCTTTTTCTGCAATCTAAAAGCAACAGAATACCATAAAATAACGTTAATACTATAATTACTGACGTACTGAATTGAATAATTGGGCATTTTCTAGAATCTTTTTTTGTAGCTCATCGTTCAGCACGGAAATATCGACGTTTGGGGCAAAGTCCGGTACTTTGTTCTTGTTCCTTTTACCGTTATTTGCTTGCAATTCTTGTTGCAGGACAACAATTCTCTTCGTTAATTGGTCATTTCTGAACGTAAGACTTTCGATTTCTTGATCGCGTTTCCTGACGGTTTGCTCGTGATTTCTAACCAGTTCTTGGAGCCCCGAAGTCTTCGCCTGTTCGTCCAACACCGCCTTTTTCAACACTGTTGCTTGAGATCTTATCTAAAATTTCACTTATGTAAACATTGAAGTAAAAGTATTAAAACTCACTTTAGAATATTCTGCGGCTAGACGTTGGTATTTAGATTCTATATCCGAGTCTTTTTCCATTGCAGAATATTTGTTATTATGTTATCTGTAAATATTTGTATTATATTTCTAACCTAAAAATAATTGAGTCGATATGTCACTGTCATTAGTGTCATAAAGTATCTTTAAGTTTTGGGTCTTCTATAATATGAGTATACAGTTCAAATTTTGTTTATTTTCAAAAGAATATCTGGAAATAAGTATATTATTTGCGTAAATACATATTTATTTGTACTTAGGTGTTTCCCATTACAGACAGACGGTTTGCAAAACGTTTTAATTCCCATCATATATATTTTTTGTGTAATTAAATTATAACTTATAAATCTTTTTTAACTAAACGATTACCGATATTAACATAAATATAATTCTTAAGGCATAATAAACTTATATAAGAGAATTTTAACATAACGTAAAACATGAAAATAAACCCTATATACTTTTACTCCGTTAATTTAAAAGATATTAAAAATCTTGAAAAAATAAGTGTAAATTACTTTAAAATACAAAACAATTTCATTGTTTAGTCAAATATGTGTAAAAATATTACTCTTTCTGACCAGAACCTTTAAAGTCTAGAATAAATAAAAAAATGGACGTTAGAGCGACTAGTCTAAACCGTTTTAAAAATAACATAAACCTAAGATAAATGACTTAAAAAATTAATAGTGGTGCTTTCCACCTATTCTTGAATAATTTTAACGTACTGAAATAAGAGTGAATTCAACAAGAAATTAAATAATAACACGCCTGAATTCCTTCTCAGGGCTTACACGTTTTTAAATGGTGCGTCAAGTTGCTCTTTTGTGCAAAAGTTTTGAAACAGAAAGAGCATTCGTAAGGCCTTTGCCCGGTGTGGCATCTCAGGTGTAATCGAAGTACATCTAACCGAGAGAACTTTTCGTAGCAAATCTCACAAGTGTGGTTTTTTTCTCGAGTATGAGTGTAGATATGTCGAGTAAGATCGTATCGTTTTATGAACCTCTTTGGACAGAACGTACATGCGAAGGGCTTATCGCCTTTATGGATTTTTAGATGACCGTTTAACAGACCTGGAATTTTAAACATTTAATTTGTGAATTAAATTTATATTCACACCTACCTTTGTATAGGAAAGTTTTAGAACAAATTCCGCATTTGAAGTTTTTCTCCTTATTATGCACCCTCATATGAGAAATAAGCGATTGCTTGGACGGGTAGCTTTTCGAGCAAATATCGCATGTTATAGAATCCACTTGTTTCTCCGTTTGTGCGTTGTTTTCGTTATTATAGTCGCATTTTCTGATGAGCCTATGCACGTTATGTATAGCTAAATAGTGCCTCTTCAAGTAATCCGGACGCGAAAAACGCTTCGAACAATAATCGCAAACGTACGGCTTGAAGCCGCTGTGTATCCTGAAATGTTTCGTGAGATTCCCGTTCGTAGTAAACCTCATCGAACATGAGGAACATGGGAAGGGTTTCTCGCCTGTGTGCGATCGCAAATGGGTGGCCAATCGACTTTGTACGCAGAAAACTTTCCAACAATGAGTGCACGGAAATTTTTTGCTCGCCTTATGGAATCTCATTGCTTGCGGTGAGAAAGTCCTCGAACATATGACGCATTTGGTTAGCCTCTCCTTGACTTTGTGCATCTTTACGTGATTGTAATACAAGCGTTTTGCTGTGAATTTTTCCGAACAGGATTTGCATTTTACTGGCAATTGCTTTGTTACATGTTGTGTAAAATGTTTGGTATATTCAGATTGGTTTATTATAAATTTTCCGCACATTGGGCATATCACAAAACGCTTTCCGAAATGATCACTCATATGCTTATTCCTATTTCTAACGGTACAAAATCTCTTAAGGCACACTTGGCATTTGAAAGGCTTCGATATTAGTCTCGAAAGTTTTTTCCATGAAATTGTTTTGGTATTGTACTTGCAGCAGAGTCTACGTTTTTTGTGATTGTATAACCCTCTGGCGTTACTGAATGATTCCAGGCAAAATGAACAATCTGATCTTAAATTGTCTACATTATTATTGTCGTATTGTACTGTCTCTTCTTCGATTTCTAGTTTAAACACTGCTTCTTTGTTCTCCAATTTTAAATCGATATGCTCTGCTTTAACAGGGTAAATGTTATTTGTCTTTATGTCATCGAATACGAATATATTAGGTTCCGTTTTTACTGTAATTTTTGTTGGTGTTTCGATAAATTCGTCATCTGATGGTTCGTCTTTTATGTAAGAATCCGGAGGTTCTGTTTTAATGACTAATTCTTCGTAATTCATTGTTTTTATGGTCTAATAAGGCACTCAAATGTAAACCTTAAATTGTAATGAATTATTAAAGAAATAGTGCATAAAGTAAACGTACTTACCATATTATAAATAAACTTTGGAATACAAACTTGTATAATAACTTTGGAAGACTAGTGGAAAATCTCATAAATGATTTATCATATTGTCATAAAAATGTTATAAAAAAGTAAAATTCTATGCACTATGTATGAATTAAACATTGTTAACATTTTAACATAATTCTAAAATATATTTCATAAATATGTGATGTATTCAACAATAATAAAAAAATAGGTTAGATGTCTAAAATAAATAAATTTGACATTTGCAGGGTACTGTCAAATATTGTCGGATTGTCTGTCAACTCAATTTTTCTTCTAAATTAATTCCGGGATGTCGAATAGCCTCTGCAGCTGAGGCCACATTCTGATGATGAATTCGAAATGAATAATTTGACATTTTACATGACATTTTCATTGTGAATTTTGTAGTGACCGTGCGAAGGAGTGGTTCGCTTGCCGACTATTTTATTTTGTCAACAGTTTTATACAGATTAGTTTCGTCTGTATATTCCAAGTTATCGTCGTAAACAGGTGAAGCTGGTAAGAGGTTTTTTATAAGTGTACATATTTACTTTGTCTGTTGCTACTTGTCGGCGTCAGCTTGGCATCTTTGTGTCCTCCATTTTGTATTTGTGATCAATTAACATTAATTCTTGCTATATCTAGTTCGAATTATGGCGGCTAGAAGAATCGGTGGAATGAGCGGTGGCCCCCGTGGCAATCGTTCATATAATCAACAATTTCAAGGAGGCGGTGTTAACCCTTGGCAAGGGTCAAATAATTCTATGAATCAGGGGTTGCTTTCCCAAATTTCCAACCCCCAGCAACTCGCTCTTGCTCTCACGAGCTTGCTACAACCTCAACAACAGAGTCCACCATCGTTGCTTTCTTTGAACACGTCTCCCGGTTTTTCTAATCAGGATAGAGATTTCAATCGGTTTGGTAATCGAGGCCGTGATTTTAGGCGACACGAGCCTTACAATAAGGTATGATTTTATTACTAATTTCTATCTAACGGACGAGAAATTTTGATGCCCTCTGTTTGCTTGCGATTTCTTAATTCAAATTTCTTAAAACGTTTGTATAAAATACTTCTGCTGATAGTTTCGTAAAATTGTTAGTTGCTTCAAGTGTTTTGGAATCTATCTCTGTATAATTCATGGCAGGTAATGCATTTGTATTCTTCACATCCTAAACCGGTTCTATTTGTATAATGTTAACAATTGAAGCAACTCAAATAAATCTTCATTTGATATCTTACCGAATACTTTCTAAGAGAATTCTCTCATGTATTTACATTTAGCTGATAATTTCCTTAAAGACACGCAGCAATTTTTAGCTCCAAATTTGAATACAATCGTTTTATGTTTTTTGTTTTTCTAATAGTTATTTTTTAAATATTCCAAATACTATTACATTGACCATTGTAAACGTCTATTAATCCAAAATAAAAGCATTCTGAAGGGTACTCAAATTCTTTAGTTCCGTAAAATTATTTCACTGAACTTTGTATGTAAAATATTTTTCTGTTTAATTCAATCCTTTTTACAACAAACTTATCTTTATGTACCTATCCTCGAAAAAATGTATTTTCTAGATGATACAAACATTTCGTAAATATTAAAAGTAAGTTTCTTCTTAACCAATTTATTGTTTATTGATCTTCGCAAGGTAAGTTCATTAAATTGTTTTATTGTTATTGGAATTCGCTCTATCGGGCATCTCTATTGAATGCATTACTCGAAAGTATCAGTTCACTCCAGTAACAAGTTAATATGGACAGATATCAGGCCCTGAATTGTTTCTTACTTACAATTTCGAGATGCATGGTTAACCAGGAAATTCATATTTTGTTCTTTACAATCAACATTGAAACTGTAAATATTTATATTCAATAAATATGGTAAGTTTAATGATAATATTGGTCGCTATAAGTGCAAAAGATGTAAATTAGGAATATTGGATAATATTCTTCTTAATAGGATATTAGAGTATTATTATTTTGTATTGATGATTTGTAATTGTAGTTTGTGCCTAATTGTTCCCGTTATCCTGGATAATTTTCTAAAAACTCTGTAATATATACGATTTCAATCTGATTAATTAAAGCTACTGTATTATTTATTACATCAATTTTTTATGTTCTTTGTTATTTGAAATAACTTGATTACGTTTATGAGTTGCATCAATCTTAATATTCTTGAAACGACCTTATATGTAATATCAACATATTATCACTTGTTATGTATACTTATTTTGTAATTCATAGTGAATCGTTTTTATTGTACAAATATCGTTTGTATCTGTCATAATTGAAATTCTGTAAATGATGCAAAATCATTAACCAAGCTGGTATTTTTGTACAATTAATTTTTTATCTCAGATCAATAAATTCATTTGCATTTTGCCCTGTGCGCAGAAATCTATAAGTGTATAATACCTGCAGAATTTATTATTTAATATAGTTCAATAACAGTAGCCACTCCTACTCCCATTTGCAAACCAAATGATATTCTTGATATTAATTCCTTATAAATTTTGTTTCGCAGAAAGTGAAACTCCCTCAATACGATTTTACATTTTTATTCAATCGTTTGTTGCAACTTTTTTATATGTTTATTGTTTTTAATTTAATTGCATTTATTAGAATCGCAATCAAGGAGGTCCAAATCGAAACCGAAGACTCTCTCAAACCAAGAAGAAGGAAGATTCGAGAGGAAAGGATGAGCCGAAGGACGAACATTCCGCCGATGAAGGAAACGAAGAGGGCGATAACAAGAGGGACTGGAAGGACGAGAAAAACACCGGTGAAGATAGAAAGGATGAGACCGAAGAGGAGGCTAAGATGAGAAAGGAAAAGGAAGAAAAAGACGGACCATACTATGATGTTCCTGTCAAGTTGCTGAATTGCTTCGTTTGCAACAAAGAGATGTGGGATGGCGAGTCCATGCGGAAGCACGTCAAAGGTATATTTTACGGTGAATAATTAATACTAAATTTACCAATTTCTTCTCGATTATAGGTCGTGCTCATAGACAGATGTTGGAGAGTTTGGAAGAAAGCATACACATCACCGTTAACATTCTCAGAGAAAACATGCGCCTTCAAGAAGAGAAGAAACTCATCGAACTCAACAGAGTTCAAAGGGTCACCAAAAGATTCAACAAACCCGAACCGGAAAGCCACTGCAACATGTGCGATCTCAAGTTTTTGGGAAAAATTATCGCCCATCGCAAGTACGTTAACTACATAATATGATCGAAACGAATTTTTAATTTTATCATGATCATTCTAGAACTGACGGTCACCAACGTCTCAAGCATTATTTACATCCCAATTGCCGTTTGTGCAGCAAGGAGTTCCCGTCTAGAATGGAATGGATCGAGCACCGCTTAACGCCCGAGCATCTCAGAAAGTTGAACAAATCTTTGAATGACAAAATTGGCGGAATAGGTATAAACAATGCGTAACAAATTTAATAACGATTTTAATTCATAACGTGTTGTTTAGACGGTTGCGAGATAGTAAACGAACTGGAATTGGAGCCGCTGCTCGACGAACCGTTGGAGATGGAAGCCGAAAATCCGATTTTGGAGCTAACCGAGAATCTTAATGGCTTGCAAAATCTCATGCCGGCTTACAAGCCGAACAGGGCCGTCGCCACTGAATGTCTTAAACCGTTCTCCGGTTTCGTTTGTGAAATTTGCTACAGGTCTTTCACTGATGAGGAATTGGCGCAGGTAATCTTAATCGAAAATGATTTTTTTGCGCTAATCTAAATGTCGTGTTATTTGCAGAAACATTTGAAGACCAAACGTCATCATTCTAAATTTATCGAAATACTTAAGCTGAGATACAAGGAGCAACAGAAGAAGGAAAAGGAAGAGAAGGAAGCCGAGGAAAAGAGGAAGTTGGAGGCTGAGAAAAATGGGGCCAACGAAGAAGGTAATTATTCCAATTCTGAATATATGAATGTAGAATACTAGAAAAACTTATAAACATAAAATGTTTTGTTGTAAAAGGTTTTTTCTGATATTTATTTTGTTTATTTAATTACAAGTATGTTGTATATTTTCATTTATGGCAATAAGGATATGTATTCCTTGCAATGCTAATTTTATGAATCATTGTTTTCTTTTTTATAATAATTAATTAACTAATACATGTCCTTTTACATCAAAATAATAAAATACTACCAAATTGTTGGTCGTTTTTATATTTTTTCAAAGTTATTCAAAACTTCACAAGATGCACATTGCTAGTATCAGTTTTATAAACCAAAATATGATGAGACAAAATCTATTAATTATATTAGCTATAGACATAAACATTAAAATGGTGAATATTGCAAAGTTCCCTTTAAAATACTTCTTAAATATACAGGTTGTCTTGCAAAAGAACCGACACAGAGCAGGGGCTTGTAAGGAAACCTAAAATATGTTGTTTAACTTAGCTTTGAAGGCCTATAAATTTTCAGGAATGTAACTTGGTATTAAGTTGGGTAAAACAATAGAGGTATTCTTTTTACCAAAATTAACTGAGATCCTCACAATCAGTTAAGCTTAGTTGCTTAGTTATAGGTATTCTTTTTACTTGTATCAACCGAGACTGAACTGAGATTTTGTTAAGAAAATCGAGACCTCTTTCATTACTAACACACTGTTGAAAAGCAATATCGATTGTTAAGTTAAATAAATACCCATCACCTCTGTGAAAGTCAATACATGTTCTCTTTGTAACCCGCCAGGCGACATGTACGATCCCGACGAACCCACTCAAGAAGAATCGTCCGTTCTGGAAGGAGAGGCAACGATGGAGACGTCTCAAGACGATTGCGGCGATCCATCTATCGTTTCGTTGACCACTGACAGCTTGTTGGAAACGGAAGAAGACGAGTCTCTGATTAAGGAAGAGGACGAACCGGCCGCTTCCGATGCTTCGCTACCGGCGTCTTCGCCGGTCAAGCAGACGAGAGCCGCCGTTGCCGCCGCCGCGGTCGGCGGGGCCGTCAAGAACGGGGCCGGACCCAAATGCAAGAAGTTGAATAAATAGATGAATTGAAAATAACATAATGCAAATATCATATTTAATGTTTAATTATTAGTTTTCAATTGGGTTAGGGCTTAGGTTTCTTCTTAATCGATCTTTTTTTTATTCTGATTAAGAAGTAATATATTAAGAGTGTAGTGTAGTATTTGTAATTGTTGTATTGCTGGAGAATGCAATTTCGCCTCTAAAAATTTTTAGTAATATGATTTTGATTGATTATGAAGTGTAATTTTTAGTAAGAATGAAGCGTTGGCATATTCGTGCTAATTGAACAAAATTATGTTTTCGATGTATATCAATTGAAAAACTACAATATTTGCTTTATATTCGCACTTTTTTTTGTTCCGAGTGTAACAGTAAGTGTATGTATTGTATTTATCTTAATATACTGTTCTAATACACTTGATTATTTTTTCTAAACCTTAATAATCACTTATTTAGAAGATACCAGAAGGTACTTTGTTAATTAAAACTTTGCAATTTGTCGGAGGCCTTGTAATTTACGAGTATACAGCCAATAATAAATATGACACTGACACTTCTTTTTTGTTTAACTTTACTTATTAAGGTTATGTCTAACGTCATGTAACAAAATAAACATTTTAAATCGTTTGGTAAATAGTGCAAATTCTCTAATAGATGTAAATACAGTCCAATTTAATCGCGTATAATTCCCGTGAAATGATCAAATTGCTTAATATTGAGCAAAATTTCATACGTGCCAAATATGATGCAATTTAAAAAATAACAATAGCGAAATTGCAAAACATGACTCCAAATTCCAATAACTATTTTTAGAGCCCCGAAAAAATGTGACAAAGATAAACCGAACGTATCGGAACTCGTGGATCGGGCCGCGTGCTCTACCGAGTAATACTTTGCAAATTATGCCTTGCCTACGCCTATTCAATTCAAGCAAAATTTATTCTCAAATATTCCCGACTAGTGGACGTTTATCAGGAAATCGCGCGTCACAGAGGCGGGCAATATAAACTTGTATAATGCCAGCAACCTAACCACTAACCACTGCATCATTAAAACTAAGTGGAGTTCCTGTTTTGAGTGGAAGGCAAATACATTATTATCTGAACTACTGGTAAATACTCGATACTTGATGTTAACGCTTGTTTTTCACGCTGTTTTTTATTTAGTATAGATATACGGTAACGATCCGAGCTTCTCCATTATTGAAATAACAATGGGAAAGTACGTTCTCGGGATAGATATCGGCACGACATCTGTGAAAGTGTGCATCGTCAATACAGAAACGAACGAAGTGGAGTCCCAGCATATTAAAGACACCCAGTCTAATATACCCAGTGATACAGGACCAGGGGGTAACAAACAAAATGTCACTAAAATTATTTCGGCGTTGAATTTGTGCGTTTCGAAAATGCCTAAACATTTGCTACAAGAGGTAATTTGATACATTCAAATATTTCCTTATTAGGACATGAAAATGCATTTTTTTGGAAAGTAACTTAAGAGGGGGCGGATTAAAATTATTTGTATCGTTTTTACGAAGTACCTTTAGTAATTTTTATAATAGCATATATAGGGTGTCTACTATAAAAATCGCCAAACTTCAGGAGGTGATTATACAAGTAATTTTGAACAAAAAATGCCATATAACAAATTTTCGGGAAGTTATAGTAAATTTTGGTTTTACAACCTTTAAAAGATACAAACCATTTTGTTCATTTCATAATTATAACAATTAAATCTTTTATAACACCCGTTATTGAACTTTTCTAAAACTGATAAATTCTTTTTTATAGCAAATTTAATGCACTTTTACGGTATGTGATCAAAATTAATGTGACTATACAAATAAAAGTGATATTTTCGTCTTTTTGGAAAAAAAAAATAATTTATGAAATGTTAAATAAAAGAGAAACAATCAACTTTTCGAATAGGTGTTCATGACATTTTCGAAATTATTTTTATAATCACTTCCTGAAGTTTGGTGGTTTTTGTAGTAGACACCCTGTATAATGAGAGTTCAACAATTCAGGGTCAGCAATTTATAAATATAAAACGTTTTACTTACTTTTACATGTTTTATTACATTATTAGCAACATTTGTTCAATATGTATTATAATATTTAATCGGGATAAAATCAATTTTTTCATCAATGATAATTTCACTTTTGTATAATTTTTTAAGATTTCGAAAATCGGTATTTGCGGACAAATGCACGGCGTGTTGTTCTGGAAAAACGACCCAGAGAGTAAAGCTTGGGATATAATAGAGAAAGACACTTCAGTAAGGTACGATGTCTTGCAAGAAAGGGTATCTGCTTTGTACACCTGGCAAGACAACAGATGTGATCCCAGTTTTTTGTCCACTCTTCCTACACCACAGTCCCATTTGAACGTCTCCACCGGCTTTGGGGCCGCTACTATGTTTTGGATGACCAAAAATAAGTAAGTAAAACAGCCACATAAAACTTATTATCTAAATGTCCCTTTCTTCTTGGACGGCACCCTGTCAAAAACTAGCCCAAAACAAAACAACCCAAAGATAAAATCGCTCAAGATAAAATACCCCAAAAACAAAATCGTTCACAACAAAATAGCCAAAGACAAAATCGCCCTGGATAGAAAAGCTCCATCAACATAATAGCCCAAGAACAAAATAGCTTAGGAGAGAAAACATATCACAGTACAAGAGTTATCACAAATCATGAATATGTCGAGCCATTTTTGAGGCAGAGTCGTTATTTTATCAGGTATCAGGATTAAAATTAAACGAAATATTCAATATTTTTTGGAATATGTTACAAACTCTGGAAATCTAATTATAAATAATAATATGCTTGCTTTTAATTTTGCCGGAACTGTTTTATCTCAGGATATTTTGTCTTGGGCTATTTTGAGGGTCACGAAACTAAAAAAATACTTTTTTTACTAATTTAAAATTCCTTACTTCTTACTTTAGGCCCGGCAAATTGCAGAAATATAATTGTTCTGGGACGATAGCAGATTTCGCAGTGGCAATGCTGTGTGATCTGGATAAACCGCTTATGTCTTGCCAAATGGCTGCCAGTTGGGGTTACTATAATTGCCGAACATCCCAATGGAACAAGGACGTTTTAAAGGGAGCGAATTTCCCGGTGGATTTATTACCCGATATCAAACCTAGCGGTTCTATAGCTGGTACTTTAGCCGGCAGCTGGCATAGCATACCGCAAGGAACGCCTGTAGGTAAGATTCGAATATTCCTGTATTCGTACTAGAAATATTTCGGGTTTAATTGTACAAACAAAAAATAATTTTTGAAGTCGTCTAATTTTCCATGAAAATGTTTACAGGACGAATGTATTTTAAGAACGCTCCAGTGAATTTATTTTTAAAATTTTTGATCTTAAATCTACACAAAATCCAATATGTATATAAAACAAATTGGTTTATCATAATCAAAAGCATCTAATTTTAGTTTATTTAATTCTCGCTAGCCATTATAACCATTAGTATAAGCGATATTTTTTTTGATTTATTTAAGGCGTGGGTTTAGGAGATCTGCAATGCTCGGTGTTATCCACAGCAGAAACCCTCCAAGACGCCGTGTTAAATATCTCCACATCGGCTCAAATTTCGTTCGTCGTGGAAAATTACCAAGCCACAGAAGGGCCACCCGAAGTCACTTCGCTCACTTACTGGCCGTACTTTAACAAGCAACACGTAGCAGTGGCTGCTTCGTTGAACGGTGGAAATTCATTGGCAACTTTCGTGAGAATGTTACAACAGTGGGTATTGGATTTGGGTTTCAGCGTACCGCAATGTAATTATCCCTCTATAACCTGTAGTAGCTAGTGCTATACCAATTGTAATTTTAGCGAAAGTTTGGGAGAAATTGTTAGTACTCGGAATGGAAGATTCAGCCGATTCGGATTTAATCGTAACACCTACTTGTTTGGGCGAAAGATACGATCCCGATTTAACAGCGTCCGTTTCAAACATTACCGTCGGTAATCTGGGGTTGGGTCAATTGTTCAGGGCTTTATGCAGGGGCATGATTGAAAATCTACATAGGTTAGTAAATAAGTTATTTTATTATATTCTATTATTGATTTATTTGCTTTTAGAATGATACCTCGAGAAGTTCTGGGAAACGTGGGAATCAACAGGATCGTAGGCAACGGTTCCGGTTTGTCTCGAAACAAAATACTTCAAAAAGAAGTGCAAAACCTCTTCCAGCTACCGCTAGTGTTTACCAGCGGCGGGGACGCCGCCAAAGGGGCAGCTTTAGCTGTTCATCTCTATTCGAATGCTTAAGTGCTATGAGAAACAAGATGATCACTGAAATATTTTGTGTTTTATGTTATTACTTATACAAGTTACTTTTAAAGTCATTTAAAAGCAATTGCTGGGTTATAAATTTAACTTAACAGATTTAATATTTTAGCCAAATTTTCAAAAGGCAATTTAAAAGAATTTGTGTAAGTAATACTCTCTATTTTTTATCTTTTTTATTCCTTGATAAAGTATTATTTGTTGTTAACGAAGTCTTGCCATTAAGTTTATTCCTGATAAATGTTTAATATTTATATTTTATAGATTTTTGTGCAATAAGTTAACTGTTTAAAAATTGTTATTCCATGTTCTTCCAAGATGTGCTTTTAGAGAAGAGCATTTATTCATCTGTTTAAACTCATATTTATACAGGGTAATTTTAAAGCAATATCTAGAAAATTCAATCATAGTATACATATATGCTAACTTTAGTTAGCGTATATCTCACATAGTGATGAATTATTATTTAGATAATGATAAAATAATGCAATTAATGAAATTGATGCTTAAAGTGTATAAATGCTTAAAATACTACAAATATTGTGCGAGGCTATTTACATCGTATTGACAGTAATTATCAATAGTATAGTATTATCATTCACAATACTTTCATCTAACAATCTGTATGGGTAAGTGCAAATTTGTTTACACGAGGGGATTCTCCGCGATTGCAATATGGTCACTTCTATGAGTTGAACAAAGAAAGATTATTAAAATAATAGTGGTTAGAGTGAGAAAGTTGCAATCACCCAATATTACTCTTTCTTTTTTCTTTAAATGAGACTAACGGAAGTTTGTCTTTGTTGCACTCATAGACCATCATGGAGAAAGAAAGATGTCTTATATATTTTATCTATGTAGACCATATATTGCGTGCAAATTTGCACTTAACTGTATATGTGGCCTTTAGAATGAACTGCTGTATTGAAAGATTTGCCTGATCTTTATTAATTAATAGGTACATTTAAATTGAAGCTTGCCTTATATTGAAAATAAAGCTTCTGGCTATCTAGCTGTTTTGTTGAAAAATAGAAAGAATTTTTAAATTTAAGACTTATTATTCGGACTCTCCAAAATCTTATCTTTTTAGTTCATATTGTATCAATACATGATATAATAACAAATAATAACAACAACTTTATCAATAATAAACTTAGTTGAATGGAACAAAATAGCTTATCCCTTTTAGAAAAAAAGTTCTACGTCTATGGTAATTAATCGGAAAATTCCTAACTTCACGCCTCTGTATTGATGTTTAAATATCAGACGTCAGTACTGTCAAAATTGTCAGTGCTCGTTTGATCACTTCACGAAAAAAACCCAAATTAATCGTTGGAAACAGATTGGAAGGTGGTGAATTGGGTGTTCGAATTTCAAACATACAGGTAAGTTAATTATTTGATAAAAAAATTGCCAAACAATACTAACGATTCGTATTATTTGCTGCAGTAGATTCCTTGTTACATAATCTGTCCGCGAATTTAATAGCGATCGAAATAGAGGGAAAGTACTTTTAAGAGCAATCTTTGCAACGTTTTTAAAGGAAATGATTCACCTTATTCAAGAAGTTACCGGTTACTCTTTATGTAACATATTGCGCATTTATTTTATAATATTTCTGTTCGTGACATTGCCAAACTTTTGTACCTGACCTGCTGTAATTTTAGCTCCCACGTGACATTAAATAGTCACTTTGCTACAAAATAAAAATAGTTATTTTATCAAGTTTAAATTAAATTGATTTACCAGTTCCAGTTAGCAATGAAATAGATACTTATATTGTTTCGAAAGGAATCGGTATATTACTCGTAAATCGAAATTTCTTGATTATTAATAATGTTAAACATTACAGGTGAATACTGTTGTTATTATAATACTGAGTACATGGTTATTATCTACATGCTTATCTATACTTTATTAATTTTTCCGATTGTCTTAGAATTAGAATAAAATGCACCGCACCCTTGCGAGTTCGATGGTGGGCCCACCCGGGCAAAAACTAGCAGCTTGGCTGTTGACCAAGAACGTCCCTTCATTGTACAATGCACCCGTAAGACTATACAATGTACCTGCTGCTTCTGAACCATTCCTAAACGGAAGTTCCGGTCAGTATGTGGAAGATATGTACAACGCTTGGCTAGTTGATCCATCTAGTGTCCATGCGGTAAGTTTTCGAAAAATAAGCTTTTATATTCCTTAGCTTAGCTATTCCAATAATTTTAAAAAATTCACTACATCACTGATTCAATAATAAGATAAAGGAAAATTTTATTAAAAAATAGGCACTTAAATAATACATTCTACAATGGTTTTAGTAACTGTTATAAATCTTTCTGGTAAAGATGAAGGTGGAATGTTAATATTATTGTTCGACAAACAAAATATTTTCAATTCATGTTAACAATGGCCCGTATTCAGCGTCTCTGTTTAACTTTAGAGTGACTCTAAAGTCGCGTCTCAAGTCCCTAGTTACTCAATAACAACAATGTAAATCTGTAAAGTTAAATACGAGACTTTAGAGTCACTCTAAAGTTAAACAGAGACGCTGAATAAGGGCCAATGTAAATATTCTAAATATCGTAAATAAATTATTTATAATTTATTAGAATTGGGATTTTAAATTCACCGTCGTTAATCTTGTTGTATTTGCAGTCGTGGGATTCCTTCTTTCGTAATTCATCGCAAGGCGGGGCCGGTTATCAAGCGCCACCCTCCCTAGCACCGTTGGGCCCCAACGAAGTGTCCATATCCTCTCTTCTGCCTTCTCTAACGGGCGCATCCGCTTTGGGTGCGGGTTCGGTTAGTGAAAAAGTCATCGATGATCATTTGGCTGTGCAGGCCATTATCAGGAGCTACCAGGTACGTTTGCGTTTAGGTTGCCATTGGATAGTTTTATTTTTGAAAAAGTCCCTAACCAATATTTGATATTTAATGTACAAATTTTATGAATATGAAATTGGGGGATTGATTTTTGGTTGTATAAAATGAATATTTTAAAGTATTGGGGATAAGTAATTATGGAATTTTGATGCTTAGTTACGATTGTTTCGTCTTTTTTAAAAATCTAGTGTGTTGATTTACTGAGTTGCTTTTGGTTTATTTTGTGCTCAAAATTTTTGCAGTTTTGATTTAAAATATATGTGCCAATGCCATTAATTCGAATTTAGATGGAAACATTCGTTCAAAGATTATCTTATATTTTTATATAATAGTCTAGTTAGTGAATATTTGCCTATAAATATACTTTAAAATCACTCCATTTGAGTATTTGAATTAACAATATATTACAACGTATTTAATCACAGGATAAATCAATTAAACTATCGATAAAGCATTTAATTTTTGAGTGGTTTTAAAATATCAATTATACATTTTAATCTCTACATGGAATTATTAATGGAATTTACACTATTATTTAGCTGTATTAGAATAGTCAATATTTCAATTTAGTGGTTTTAACTTTATATTCTAGAATTATTGTTACTAAAATATTGCACACACTGTTTTCCATTACCAGAATATCGTTGTTTTGTTTTCACAATTTATATTGCAAATAGCTTAGGAATTGTGTATATTGTGTATATTGTAGCCTACTGTTAAGATATTTTGGTATTGTAAAACCTGTGCTGCGGGGAATAGCATAAAGAATCCTAACAAATTTTCCTGGTTTTGTCGAACCTGTCGAATGATAAGATACGTAAATCATTATATTGTTATCACATTTTTACCCACGCTTGTACATTAAATAGGTTTAAATAATTAACACTAATGTGGAATACCTATTTTGTAAAATACCATCGACAGTAAAAAAGAAAACCCAGAGAGAGCTTTCGTCAATCCTAATGAGTTTACCGCAATCGAATTTTCGCTAAATGTAAATCTAAAATTGTAGGCACGTGGTCATTTTATCGCTAAAATGGATCCATTGGGTATCATGTACTCAGACAGAGAAAGTACCATTACTCAAACTGCAGGGTCACCTCCTGATGTCATAACGCGCCAGCACAGACTAGGTACAACCCTTCATCAGAACTTAAAAAAACGAAATGGGTCGTTCAGTTTGAAACATTTCCCGCTCGTTGTGTCATCAATTTTATTTCACAGATATTTAAAAAAATATTTCCTTGCACTTTTGAACAAACTTTTTTTTAAACGTTAATAGGAGTACGGTACAGTAAGGGCTTTTACTAATCGCTAAATGGCTAACACAGTATTATATTAAGCTTCACTAACATTATTTGTTGTGGTTGTAGTAGTATTTTGCTGTAATAAATGCACGGTTAAATTTAATTTGTGGTAGAGTTTCCTTATTGGGTACACATCGAGTACATTTAATAATATTAAAATTCGGTACATAAAAAAAATAAAACTATTGAGAAAATTTTAATAAAACCTCCCTTTCAAATTCTCGCTCTATTTAAATAATATGATAATATGTATTAATTATATTAACATGATTATTTACAAATAATTGTCATAACTATTTGCACAATGTTTCGTTGATTGCTTTACGTTAGATAGAGGTGTTGGCTGATTTTTTTAGATTCGAGGCCATCACATTGCCCTGTTGGACCCGTTAGGCATTAACAGCGCCGATTTGGACGACCAAACGCCGCAAGAATTGGTATACAAAAATTACAATTTCGGTAAGATTCAATAAAATACCTAACTTCATGTGAATATGCTGTGCTTGTTGACGTATAGACATCATTAGAGTAGTGAATCGCTTAATTTTCTATAATTGGCTGTCAGTTGAGATTTTTTTCTATTAACTTTGCTTGAGCACTCTAGTAGAACGAATAAAATATTTAAGTTTTTTTTTATTATTGCAATAATGAAGTAACATTGAAAGCAAGGTATTTTCATTGGTTTCACACTAAGATGTTATCAAAGTGAATATGGAACATCGAGTTAACAATCAATAATCATGAAAACATAAGGCTTTACTTGTCTTAATAGTTAGAATATTAGAAAGTGGCAAGTATATTAAAATATGCAACATAGAAGTACCGAAAAGTAAGGTATATCTGACAGCTATATTGTAGTTTGAATAATAAACTTACTTAGTTTTTCTTAAATATTTAATAATAGCTTGTTTGAATTTTATCTGTTTTTTTGTTCACATTTATGTGTTCTTTTTGCTTGTTGTTGTAACTCAGATCATCCTTCGAGAACCTATAGTGAGGAATTGAAGCGCCAAGTTCTACAGTTGATGCAAAGTAAGATTTTTTATTATCTTAAGTTATCCTTTTTGAAGTTTTTCAGGAGCTTTATGGAGCTTTCGGGTGAATTGAATTATGTACATGAATTTTATTTATTTCTTTTGAATTTTAAATATACAAATGTTTCAAGCTGAATCCATTTCTTATATTGTATGTGTATGGTATATGTTTGTATTTTAGCTGTAAGTGCTTTTTAGCTAGGCATTTTAAATATGCTTCATTTTTTTTATTTTCAATGTATATACTTATGTAAAATAGTAAAATATATGTCTATATTTTTATTTAAATTTTGCATAAGATGTGCATCTAATTTTTATAAACTAAATTCATAAAGAAATTTTTATACTTGCTACTATATTCGCTTTGCTCTTCATATTTTAATATTTGTAAAGTTTGTGCGTTATAAAATGATAATGACGTCATTTTTAGTCACTTCCACGCAGTTTAACATTTACCCAGTGCCAATGCTATTTATGTATATTCTGCGGTTGAAATGCTGATGCATTGTTGCCATGCCGTTAGTTTCAAAATTCTTTTTGTTACTTTCCAGGCGATTTTTTTCTTTTTCTGGAGCGTTCTAAATGATTCTAGACAATCCTAATGATTCTGGAGGGTTTTAAATGATTCAGGACAGTTCTAAATGATCCTGATTCGTATCTCCTACCGATGTTCTTTTTTATGCTTTACTATTTGTCCCGGAAAATAGTAACCATATAGTATACAACCCGGCAACACTGCAACAGGTTGGCTCGTGACGACATTGTCATTTTAAAACGTACGAACTTTATAACTTTTGGTGCATTTCCATTTACAAACGAACGAAATTTACGTTCATCAGAATCAAATTTTCAAAAATACAATTTTTATGTGTGCTTATTTAAATTTTTTTAAACTTCTATTATCGAAATTGTTCTCTTTCAAAAAAATATTTGTTATTGCAATCTAACCCATAATATTAAGGGCGACATACGTTTGAAATTCTGCACAATTGCACAAGGTATTGTTACTAATAAATTCACCATTGACTAGTAACTAGTACTTTTATGTAATGCGGTAAGTAGAACATTGCTTAAGAGATGAAGTGCACCATTATAAATGTAATTAAGCAGGTGATGAGCTTAACAAAACGGTACCTAAACACCGAGTACCTCGATTAATCTGTTGAATTATTTTTTTACATCAATAGAAGAGACCGATATGGATAGAGTATTTAAGCTACCGTCTACCACCTTCATTGGCGGCAAGGAAAAATCGTTGCCGCTGCGCGAGATTTTACGCCGATTGGAATTGACCTATTGTCGACACATCGGCGTTGAATTCATGTTCATCAACAGCTTGGACCAATGCAATTGGATACGACAGCGACTCGAAACGCCGGGCGTCATGGACCAAACGCCCGAACAGAAACGCCTGATCTTGGCCCGTCTGACGCGCGCTCACGGGTAAGAATCCAAACGATTACATCCACCTGTACATTCGATCAACGGTCGATTTTTCGTTGCAGCTTCGAATCGTTCTTGGCTCGCAAATATTCGTCCGAGAAACGTTTCGGATTGGAAGGTTGCGAAATCCTGATTCCCGCCATGAAGACCGTCATCGATAAGAGCACCGAATTGGGGGTGGAAAGTATCGTAATGGGCATGCCTCACCGGGGACGGCTCAACGTGCTCGCTAACGTTTGTAGGAAACCGCTGCATCAGCTGTTCACGCAATTCGCCGGATTAAAAGCCGCCGACGACGGATCCGGTGATGTTAAATACCATTTGGGTACTTACATTGAGAGGTAAGTGAGCGGTTTTTATTCTTTGAATTACGCCTAACATATGCCGTGTGTCCCTAGATAGAGTAGTAGGAAAGACAAGAAAAATAGTGAGTCAAATTTTTAAAATTGTTATCATCATAATTTATTTTAATATATCCTCAGAGTTTAATGAACATCTTTGTGTATTAAGGCAGTAGTAGTTTGCAATCAACATTTTATAACGACGACAACACGTTCGAAGAAGGTCCATATTGTCTAAACACGCGGAATTTTCAGTTTTTTTGGCTTTCTAATAAATTTTATCGTTTCAAAAGGTATAGTACGATTTTTGACTTGATTTTTTTGCTTTTAGATTGAACCGCGTAACAAACAAAAATATTAGATTAGCGGTAGTAGCTAATCCATCTCACTTGGAAACCGTCGATCCCGTAGCACAAGGAAAGACTAGAGCGGAACAATTTTATAGAGGAGACGGCGAAGGAAAGAAGGTAATAAAATGATAGTGAAATAATAGTAATTTTCCACGGTTTTATTAATAAATAAACAACGTTTCTTTTTAGGTCATGTCTATATTATTACACGGAGACGCGGCGTTCTCTGGACAAGGAGTCGTATTCGAGACAATGCACTTGTCTGAATTGCCCGACTACACAACTCACGGTACAATTCACATCGTTGTCAACAATCAAATCGGTTTCACTACCGATCCCAGATTCTCCAGATCATCCCCTTACTGCACAGGTGAGCGTTAAACTTAAAGTGAACAAATATTTTATTTATAACTCACCAATAATTGTAGCTTGATAGTCGAAAATTTCATTAGATACTCAAACGATTAAATACACGAACATATAGTTGGTGCAAAACAAATATCAATGCACGTCGCCTATAATTTACTACGTCACAAGTAGGCAATGTTGCCGAACTTTTATAGAGTTTACAAAATCTAAGATTTTTTTAAATTGCAAAATGGCAAAATGACAAGAACAAATTGAAAATTAGGGGTGCCTGTTTCACGTTTCTAAACGGATGACCTATTCAGGGGCTCATTATAACTAATAATCAAATTCCTTTATCATCTGAAATACATTTAATTGCGCGAGTAAAAAAATTAGTGTATGTACAATTGATCCTTAAAAGAGTACATAGTGAAATTTCTGAGAAAATTTCTCAATCTGAATTATTTAGAGCTCAAATTGTGTAATTTCTAACATTTGGAAAAGAAAACTACGCAAAAAATTATTTCTTAATTATTCGGTTGAATAACCTTTAGTAGTTGAGGCTAGTCAACTAGAAAAAAGAGTTAAATTAAAATTAAAATTTGTTAAACTGTCACCTTCCTTGTGCATGTTAATTTGATAAATTATTAAGGAATTAATGCAAAAATTTGAATATTCAGTGATACATGGTTCAGGAATGATTAATCAAATTAAAAATTAACTTTAATCCCCGTAGTAAAACACTCTTCTGTCTTCTCTACGAAATCTTGCTTTCTCCCTTCTTTAAATTCGTCTACGACGCATCCAATTTCTCGACAATTCCTAGCTACATTCGATAAGACAAATAGCAAATGATTAAATCGTCTATTTCAGATGTGGCTCGCGTCGTGAACGCCCCGATATTCCACGTGAACGCCGACGATCCGGAGAGCGTGATCCACGTTTGCAACATCGCCGCCGAATGGAGGGCCACCTTCCACAAGGACGTCGTCATCGATTTGGTGTGCTACCGCAGAAACGGCCACAACGAAATCGACGAGCCCATGTTCACGCAGCCGCTCATGTACCGAAAAATCAAGGCCACCAAGCCGTGCGTCGACAAATACGCCGAGCAACTCATCAACGAAGGTTAGACGAAATTTCTAATTTCGTATATTTAGATGATTTTTTTTTACGAATTTATAGGCGTCGTTAATAACGACGAGGTGAAAGAAGTGATAGCGAAATATGAGAAAATTTGCGACGAGGCTTTCGAAAGGGCGCGACAAGAGACCCACATCAAGTACAAGGATTGGATCGACAGCCCTTGGTCGGGTTTCTTCGAAGGTAAAGACCCGTTGAAGGTTAGCCCGACTGGCGTTATCGAAGACACGTTGGTGCACATTGGCAAGCGATTCTCTTCGCCGCCTCCTAACGCCGCTGAATTTATTATACACAAAGGTAAATCGAGTAAATAAACATTTCTTGTTCGTCACATTGATGTTTGAAACGCGTAGGTTTGGAACGTATTTTAAAATCGAGGATGGAAATGGTAGAAAATAGAATAGCGGATTGGGCTCTTGGCGAGGCTATGGCATTCGGTTCGTTGCTTAAAGAAGGTATCCACGTAAGATTATCCGGACAAGACGTAGAAAGAGGTACATTTTCGCATAGACACCACGTTCTGCATCATCAAACTGTTGATAAAGCGACTTACAGGTAAAAATTGCAGCATCAAAAACCTTTACATCATCTTTTTAATATCATAAAACATTTCTTTTCTAGGCCTTTGTGCAACTTGTATCCAGATCAAGCTCCGTACACCGTCTGTAACAGTTCTCTATCCGAATACGGCGTGCTCGGCTTCGAATTGGGATATTCGATGACGAATCCCAACGCTCTCGTCATTTGGGAAGCCCAATTCGGCGATTTCTGCAACACGGCCCAATGCATTGTCGATCAAATGCTGTCGGCCGGTCAGGCCAAGTGGGTGCGACAGACCGGCCTGGTCATGTACTTGCCGCACGGCATGGAAGGCCAAGGTCCCGAACACTCGAGCGCTCGCTTGGAACGATTCTTGCAAATGTCCTCGGACGATCCCGATTACTTCCCGCCGGAGAGCGACGACTTCGCCGTGCGCCAGTTGCACGACATCAATTGGATCGTGGCCAATTGCACGACGCCCGCCAACTTGTTCCACATACTCAGACGGCAGATCGCGTTGCCGTTCAGAAAACCGTTGATACTGATGACGCCCAAGAGCCTGTTGCGTCACCCGGAGGCGAGGAGTTCCTTCGACGACATGACCGACGGCACGGAGTTCAAGAGGGTCATCCCCGACGCCGGACCGGCCGCACAGAATCCGGACGGCGTTAAGAAGTTGTTGTTCTGCTCCGGTAAAGTGTACTTCGACGTCCGCAAGGCCATCAAGGAGAGGGATTTGGAAAGCAAGATTGCCATATCTCGCGTTGAACAGGTAAATATGGGTTTTATCCACATTCCAAATCAGCCATTCAGAAATTCAAAAATTTTTGACGCCAACATTGAAAATTATCTGTCGCTTATTAAGTAAACGAGGCAGAAAAAGTAAGATAGAAAAATAGAGGTAACATGGCGGATCCAATCAGGCGCAAAAATATAATATTATTTAATATTACGTATGAAAATTCTGTTGATATTGTATGAAAAGCAGTCACAACTGCTTCCCGCTATTTGCTATTATTCGCTGGGAAAATGAGATAGATACTTTTTTCTGATCTCTCTTTAGTCGAAATCGTCTATAAATTTTACTACGAGCGGTAGTACACCGTTGCCAAATTTGTAAGAGTTTATCTATTACAGGAATTTTGAAATATACTGCCCCACAAAAGTTAAGGAAGTTGACAAATATTTAGATTAATTTAAAAGTTGCAGGTTTTTTGATCGCCAAATTTAGTATGAGTTGTAGAGGTAAGGACAAAAAATCCACTCAGATATGAGAGAAAACATTTAATTTCGCGTATTTGAAAATTTGGTGATCAAAAAACCTGAATTTTAAAATAATCGCAAAATTTGCGAACTTCCTTAACTTTTGTGGAGCAGTTTATATAATTCGTCACATTTTAAAGCTATATTTCTTAAACTTGCAATTTATTATATGTTGTGGGTGTATTTTGAAGAATGTAAATAACATTAGCTTTTAAATATTGTAAAAAAATAGCGCGGCAACATGCAATGTTTTACCCCTATTTTCTGTTAGAATATTGTTGGTACCCTAAAATTTTGTAAACAGTTCCATCTGTTTTAGTTATATATCTATGGTTTTATCAGATGGAAGATTACGAGTACGCTCCTAATTCGAGGATCCACCAGAATAATCGTAAATAGGAGATTTGGTGGAGCCTCGAATTAAGGGCCTGGCCCGAAACTAGGAAGATAACTAGCCGAAATCTTCATGTATTATTTGTTTTGCAGCTTACTCCCTTCCCGTTCGATCTGATTAAACAAGAATGCGCGAAATATCCCAACGCTGAAATTGGTTGGTTACAAGAGGAGCACAAGAACCAAGGACCGTGGACGTACGTTCAACCGAGATTCGAAACGACTTTGTCTGGTCAAAGAGCCGTCAGGTAAGCTATTTATTTACATGGAGTATTTTATTTCGAAAACGGTCACTATCTTTTATTGAGGTGTAATTTATGAAGATATGATTTTGAAATCGTTTCAGTGTTTGTTTTGGCATTTGCAATGGAGAATTTATAATTTTTGTGAACATTTTTAGCGACGAAAGCGAGTCGAAAGGTTGGTTCGGTGGCTTTTTCGGAGGCAAAAAGACGAAACCTGAACCACCGCCAGAAAATAGCGAAAAACCCGATACGAGGGTTGTGAGGTGAGAAGAAACAAAAATCATATCTTCATTTATCGTTGCTTGTTTACTTTCTTCCAAGCGTAGTTTTTTTTTTTTTTAGTTCCCCTAGGTGGTTGTGCACGTTTAATATTTATTTTATACGAAAAGACTTTAACGCTGTCGTTTTAATGTGGTTATAATGCACTTTTTTTTTAAGCTTTGATTACTAATTAATATTATACTTTGTTTTCAGCTACATTGGTAGACCGTGCGCCGCAAGTACAGCAACAGGAAGCAAAAATCAACACTTAAAGGAACTTGCGAGTTTAATAGAAGATGCTACTAGAATTTAAGTCGTAAATACTGTGTTTTAAATACGATTAGAATGAGAGAGAATACATTTAATTCTAATGAGCTAGTAAAATGAAGTATTTTGCACACTATTCAAAAAAAAAAGTATTTCTATACCGATAACAAAAGCACCAATTAATTGTTTATTCTCCAATTTTTAGATTATTTGCATATTGAACCATTCATGTATTGTTAATTGTATTAATAACCAAAACTAACTTATTATCTTGACTAGTTGTAATTATTAATATGTACATAGGGAAGTCGAGAGGAAAACTCAAATGTACAGTGATACAATTATAAAACGGATTTGAAAATGTTTTGTTCGCTTCTTAAATGTATTCAAAGTTATTTAATTTTAAATTTAATGTAAGTATTTATTGGATGGACGTTAAATAATGATTGGAAAACGGTTGAATGAAGTTTTTTGTTCATTTATATCGTTGTTTTATTTCTCTGCGTTGAAAATTTAACGCTTAATTAATTTAAGGATTTTTATTTGAAAAAATGTTTGTATTACTAAATTGAGAGAAACCGACTCTTCATAAGAGTATTACCCAGGAAACTAAACTTTATCAACAACTAAAAATGATGATCCTTTAATAAATAAATCATTTCTTTCCCCAGATTAGAGAAGACGATTGGAGAAGTTGGGCATATTATGTATGCATTGTTTCCATCCTTAAGTCAAATAAAACGCTCAAGTCGGTATCTCCTGTCATAATATTAACTTCATCCTCGTGAATATCTTCGTATTCTTCCGTTTCTCCTTCCTTCTCTGCCTTGCTCGGTTCCTCTTCTTTTATACTATACTCTGGATCATTCACGAATTGGATCGACCTTAGCTGCTTTTCAGATTGCATCTGCATTCTCTTCGAAGCCTCCACAACGGCATCCACAATTCTTTGGCACACCAAGTCGTATTCGGCGGTCATATTAAACTTCAGGTTTTTTATGTTGCATTGGAATATTTTTCTATTGTACATTATTATCTGGAGGCGGTTAATGAGAACCACCTTGCGTATGTCGAGTTCGAATCCCAAATCTACCAAATTTCCTGCGAAAAGCGATAGGGAAATGTTAGTAGGATTTGCAGTGATCATTCTTTGCTCGGTACTCACTAATCAAGCCGTACAATCTTTGTATTCTATGTTTTATGACTCCGTGTGCTTCGTATGGGCCATATTCTATTCTTACTGTGGGGCTATCAATTATTTCCATTTCATCATATGAAAAGATATCAAAGAGCATTTTTTATAACGGTGATTTAATAAAAGTCGATGATTTCGAGTTTAACTATTGTAACAGAAACTTTATGATTTACCAATAAAATAGCTACAGTTATTCTAAAAAAATACCCCACTGAACGTTAACTAGCCGGAACACCAAAAAAGTTTAATTGATATTGGAAAAAAGGGTGAAATAATTTTGACATAAATGATGACATAAATGCTGAAATTTCTGCGACGTTTTCAGGGCGTATTTTGAAATTTGAAAGGGGTTCGCACTCTTTATATCATCTACCTGTTTAGTAGGACGGCGATACGAAGCACTTTTTTTAAAATGCCTTTGTTTTTATCTTAAAAACAAAAAACTAAAAACTTTGTATTAAAATGTGTGCAAAAAAGTAGAGAGAAAGCGTTCATGAAAGTAGAGAGAAAATTTTGTCCATAAAAGTAGAGAGAAAATGTTCATAATTATTTAACGAGAGTATAAAAAAACTTTTTTGGAGGAACCGAATTCTGTTTTGTTACTGCATCTAAATGGTTTTAGATATTCTTATCGACCTGTATTTAATGCACATTGATCCACGGATTTATCATTTAATCACTTATGAATTCATTGAACATAGTTAACTAATTTATCTAGTAAGTGTTGTTTTAAAATTTAAACAAGGGATATAATTAATTACGAAAGAATTTAATAAATAAATAGGAATGCACTTGTGAAGTACCTAATGGAAAATAGTATGGAAATATGAACTGTTTTTGTCACTATTATTTTTTTTAATATCTACAGACAATAAGAGGTGCGAGAACCATTGTAAAAATACAATAAATAACTACATTACATAAATAATACATTAAAAATATAAACATAAATAAAGGCAAAGGTGAAGGAAGAGAAGTGATGTTATGTTACAGGTAAGAATAAAGTACAGCAGTAGAAAGTATAATAGTAATTATAGGTACTAATCATCACGCTCAAAACTTCTATTTTCATAAAACATCTGCGGATTCTGTTTCTGTTCAGCACTATCCACATTTCCATCGTCTTTAGCCCAATCTTGCAGTTCTCCGGAAACGAATGTACCGTAAAAAACAGCTCCGATCAAGTAAATTCCCGATGATATATAAAACACGATCCTCCATTCAACGACGCTCGTCTAAAAATCAAGCTCTACATTTTATTATACAGTTACTTTGAAGAACTCACCTCGTCAGTCACTAAATATCCTGTGATAATCGGGCTGACAATACCGGGTATCGTGGCGAAACCGTTACCGAAACCCATCAAAATAGAGGCGTATTGGGGAGCGATATCCAGATGGTTTATACTTCAATAACAAAATGTTATTAATCTCGAATTAGTATTACAATGCTTACGTACCTAAATCCTGCCCAAGCGAACGCGCCCAATCCCACTGCCATCGATATGCACAAAGTCGCCCCCACTGGCGTCAACCAATAGGTAGCTGCCAACATGAAAATAGTTTGAGCGACGAACCCGCTGCAATTGAATATCCTCCTGACTTGGGTGGTGGTTAGGAAGCCTTTCACCAGGAACCAATCGGCCAAGTGCCCGGAAAACTGAGTCATGATCGCCATAAGTAGGTAAGGGAAGGCCGAAAGTACCCCGGCTGCGTTTAAATCGAAGTTCAAAACACCTACGAATGGCATAAATAGTAGTAATAGCAAGAGGTTTGGTCGAATTTAAGGGTTACGTTTCATGAATTTCGGCAATTGCGTCAGCATTGTGTAGAATCCCCAGTTCTCGCTGAAATGCGATACTGCTATCGCCCACACGGGCACAGATGTCACTATGGATCTCCAGGGGATCTTCGTTTCTTTGTTAGACTTCACTTCGAGACTGTTCAGAATGTAATCGAGCTCTTCTTTACTAATTTTCGGGTCGCCTTCCGGCGAGTCGGATACTATCCACTCCCAAAGAATACACCACAATATACCAACAGCACCTGGAATCAAATAAATGTGTTCTTATCTTTATATAGAGCATGTAACAGGAATTTTACCGAAGAAGTAAAAAATGCTTTCCCATCCTAAAGTCGAAGCCAGGACGGAACAAAGAGGCATCGACACCACTGTTCCAACGTAGCTTCCAGAGAAAGCTATGGTAGCCAGTCGGCTTCTTTCCAGAGGTGGAGCCCACTTTCCCCATATTGCATGAATACACGGATAAGTTACACCCTAAAATAACATAGCCATTACACCTTTTCTGTAAGTACCAGAATTCCTACCTCTCACAGTCATCATATGCTCAAGATGAATGCATAAATACCACAATAACAAAGTACAAAATAACTTCGGATATGTCATCCGGACATTAATTTAATATCTCTGGTAATCAATCTTCTTACAAACCTCGAAAATACCTTCAATAATCCTGACGGCGAGCAGGAAATAGACGTGCAGGCTGGCTATCCAGGGCGTTACCAGCGTGAGCAAGGCAGTGACCGCTATGCCGGCCCCGAAGACCCTCTTCCCGCCGATTCTGGCCGCCAAATAGCCTCCGAAGAGCTGAGTGGTGATGTAGCCGTAGAAGAACGAGCTCAGAATGTAGCCTTGCAGCTTGGTGTCCCAGTCGAAGTCTCTTACCTACATCAAACGGATCTTGTAGACTTTATTATTGGCTACTTGCACACGAACGGTGATTTCGCCGGACGGCAAAAATACCGCCAAATATTTAGATATATTTATTTTTATTAGAGCTTGCACACGGATCGGTAACGGCAAATTAACCGACCAGCAACCGGCCGGCAAAATAACCGGTAATAGTTTCGTTGCATGGAAGTCTGTTCCTGCTTGGATCTAAGAACCTGCTTGGATCACCGCTATTGAAATACAAGTCAGTAGTTATAGCAAAACCACTTTACGTTATTAATTCTGACTATAATAAGTGACGAATTTAATTTAGAAACACTAAAATTAATACCAGAAAAGCGTGGGAAAAAGATGACTGCATTTTATTTATTAATTTCGAGAACAAGGGTGAATCAATTAAAGAGAAAAAATGTACTAAAATACGGTACTGCGTAATAAGGAAGGTAACGTTTAGTTCGCCGTCACCGTGTGCAAAGTTATCCGATTTTTTCACCGCCTGCGAAATTGCCGCCCGGTCAAATCACACCGTTCGTGTGCAAATAGCCAGATATTCAGGAAATTTGCGTAACAATTAGCGAGATTAAGTTGTATCAATATATTAATAAGTACGTTGGAAGTACCTTAATTCGTGGTAATCTTTTATTATTATTCTGATTGGAAAATACACTGATGAGATAAAGTCTTTGAGTGCAATTCATCGAGTGGATCTTAACTTACTGAGATAATTGTCGTGCCATTGTCTAGTGTTATGTTTCGAAATTCTGTCATGGCCACAATGGCAATGCTTAAATTCACCCGGAGGGCGTAAGAGGTAAAGAAGCCGAAGAATGCTAGTAGAGCAACAACGTATCTTCTCATACGCCAAAAGGTCCATGGTGATACTGTCGGCCTGCAAAATTAAGAAAATAAATTACTATCTATATAATAAGCAATATAGGGTGTTAATTAATTGAGTGCCGATGCTTTAGGATGTGAATATTTGGATGATTTTAAGAAGAAAAGTTTATATCGATATTTGTCCCAAACCTTGTTCTACACTTTCACACTTTTTAATTATTAAGGAGTATTATATGAGTCGAAAGATTTTTTTAAATTCGTACCATCATACGGGGTTTGAACTGAATATGTTTGAAGAGAAAATGGTACGCCACTGTTTTTCCTCATGTATTTTGGAAGAAATTCGGTCCGAAGACTTACTTTCGTACGACGCACCTATTTGCGTAAAAAATAAAAACCAAAACATTTTTTTCCAAGTTCATTGAGACTGGTTTTGATATTTGTTGAAATTTGGTAGGCGCCCACCGGAAATAATTACACTAATCCATTGCACAAACCAATACTAGGGGAATTGACGTTTTCTGCGAAAATGTATACAAAAATACCACCTACATTTAGGTAGATGCAGGAATGATAATAAGAGAAAAGAAAGGACCATGTTATAGAAAAAAAACTTACTTCATATGCTCCCCTTTCTCTTCGATTTCTAAGCAGGCCATTTCAGACGCCTTCATGTTTCCAAATCGAGATTTTGATTTAGAAATGTGAAATAAATGTCCGGCAATTTTGTAGTGGATACCAGCTCATCCAACCATGCTCTATATACCCGATCGCAATTCTGTGGAGATAAGCAAATAAGCAAAGCATATTGCTTTTGAGTGCCGCAGGAGAGTGGTGAGGATCACCACTGATCAGTGGGCACCTTCAGGTGAGCATCATGCAGTGCTCGCCTGTGCGTTATTTTTATACGGGGTTGCCCATTGAAAAGAAAACGAGTGTTCTCGGGCAGAAAAAATTAATTTTTGGAAAATCGTCGAGGCACACCGTGCCAACACACCGGGCCAACGTGCCCGCGACCACCGAAGCGTTGAAAGCCGAAATAAGACGCTGTATCAATAAAATACCGCTACATGTATACAATAATGCCATTGAAAATTTTATCAAAAGAGTACCCTTGTGCCAGCAAAGCCGTAGCGGCCATTTACAAGATATTTTGTTTCATATATAATTCCTAAATGTACACATGATAAATTTATAAATATTTCCATATTTTGCTACAGGTAACATTATTTTATTGAACCTTAGAATCTTGCGCTCTTATTGAAACACCCTTTATAAACTTTTCTTCTTAAAATCCCCCAAATATTCACATCCTGAAGTATCGGTACTCAATAATTAACACCCTGTATAACCTACATTACAAACAAAAATGAATCAATCTGTATTAATATTTTTTAATTTTTTTCTCTGTTTTACTGGTTGCATAACTTTAAGGCAATTTCTATGGTACGTTCTTCTTTAAAACTTGCATCTCGTTTTATCACGTACACGTAGATTATAGTATGAATGCCTCTCTTTTCCTCTCGAATACGAACGAAAACACGTGTTGTTAATATCTCAAACGAAGAACGCACCCTTCCCTTGATTCTTTTCAGCAGTGACATTTAATGTAGAATTTTGGTTTCCATAAATTATAATTAAAAAACCATTTTAGTCAATACAAATTACATATAAAATTACGTGATGTCTTCCCTAAACGACAAAAACGACATATATTCATCACCGAATTCTACAGGTAAAGCGACATTGTACATCCAACTAATTTCACGAACATCCTAACCTCAATGTTACATAAATTTTCAGCAACCTTCAGCCCCTTTTCGTCACCTTATTTAAATTTCGATCCCGGCTATATACCCCAAACTCAGCCCGAGTTTATATTTCTCGATGGCGCCAGCAAACAACGAGGCCGATTCGAGCTGGCTTTCGGCCAAATCGGAGGTTCCTGCATGATAGGGGCCGCGTTAGGCGGAGCCTCCGGATTTTACAGTGGCCTGAAGGCTACGACACTAGCCGGACAAACCGGAAAGCTCAGAAGAACTCAGTAAGTATCAACAAGCTGTATTAACGAAGTATAAGAGACCTGGCAATCTTATTAAATTTCAGATTGATAAATCACATTATGAAGAAGGGAAGCGCTACTGCGAATACATTTGGATCTGTCGCTGTGATTTACTCGGCTTTCGGCGTGATTTTGTCATGGGCCAGAGGGGCTGATGATGATTTGAATACAATTGCAGCGGCTACTGCAACGGGATGCCTGTACAAATCGACAGGTAAGCTTGTACATTTAATTTATTTTTAATTGGGTTAAATTAATCGATTTGTTTTCAGCTGGGTTGAGGAGATGCGGCTTGGGAGGCGCTGTTGGATTGGGAGCCTCTGTTTTGTACGCTATTTGGAATAATAGGGATAAGCTCACAGAATTGCGGCAATATAATCCAGCGTAAGGTTTAGTTTAATTTAAGGAGAGTAGGATTATATTATTGGAGAGTTGCTAATAAATTTACAAGGACTATTAGAAATATGATTTACCAATGTAGGTGATATTTTAGCGCATTTTATTGAAAATTGCAAAGGTTTATTAGATAACATATGCAAGCGAATTTCTAAATTGATGCTAAACTTTTTTTATTCTACAAGCAGTCATTTTTTAAGTGGAAACTCTCATTTCTCATTACGCACTGCGTACTTTGTACGTTTTGTTTAAACCAATAGGCCGATTTTAATTATTTAGCCTGAACTTTACGTATGAATAAGAGTAGAGGAATAGTTGAATACGTTTTTGTTAGTCTTTATTCAACTTCTTAACTCGTTTTTTTATGTACTTTGTGCTGTGATTTTTCTTATTAAAACTGTTAATGTCGAATTGTTTTTTAATTAAATTCTAACTCTAAATCAACCAATCTTTAAATAATAATTAAACGTTTATTATTAGTTGAGAAGTTCATTTTCGTTTTTTTTATTTTAACAGGAGAAGGTAAAGCAGAGTATGGGCTTGCTACACAGATGTTCCTGAATAACGTTTTTTTTATTTATTATGTACAAATTTTTGAAATGTCTTCTGTAAATATAGGTTTATGTTCTCTCTTAAATTGTACAATATTAATAAATTATTTAAAATTTTTACACCCGGAACTATTTCTGTATTGATTAGAGGGAATTCTATGAAGCCAATGCATATCTACTAGTTGATGAATTTAAAAATAATGCACAAAAATATAAACGACAATTTTTATTTATTATTTTTTCACTTAACCTATTTTCAATAATTATCCTATTTTTTACTTTTTCTTTTCCGTCTACTATCATCACTGTCGCTTCTATGGTGCCTTTGTTCGTATTCAGAATCTGAATTAGAAGAACTCGATCTGTGTTTATTTCTTGATCTTCTACTGCTATTGTGCTTTCTTCTTTGAGGTGATCGACTCTTATCTCGGTGCCTTCTTTTATCCTTTCTTTTATGAGCTCTTTTTGATCTTTCATAATCGCTGTCCGAGTCTGAGGTATCATTGTACGTTTTTCTGTCCTCTCCACTTCTATTTTTAGAATATTTCGCGTCTGTTTTCGCAGAAATAAGTTTTTCATGGTCACTAACGTATTTTTCCGTCTTCGCTCTACCATTTTCTGCCCTACGGGTGTCTTCCGCAGAATTCTTCGATTTTCTTTCCGAATTTACTTCCTGTTTGATTTGCTTATCATCTAATTTTTTGTAGTCATTATACTTGTCGTTATCTTGAAAAAAAAGTTAAATTTTGGTTATTACTTCTATCGAAAATAATTCCATATACTTACTTAACACCTTGGAACACTTGGAGTATTCTTCTTTGGTTACGGGAAGTAACATGAATTCGTTTAGAGATAAAACGTTTCCTTTTATAGTTGTTTTAACAACCACTCTACCCGCTTCATCGTCTAATCCTTGTACCTAGAGCAAAGTGGTTTTCAGTATAAAGTAGATAATGTTGTTGGAATAAATTTGTAGTAATAATTGTATAAAATATTACCTCGCAATACATTCCGTTTTGATTACCTGCAATTATTTTTGCGTAACTGCCTTTTTTCAGGATTAAGAGTTCTTCGTTATTATCATTGGAAGCCTTTTTAGTCGAGTTGGAGGGTTTGGCTACAACAGTAGCTCCTAAACCTAATCCTTTAGGCCTCAAATCTGGGGCCGAAAGTAGGGAGGTTCTACAATAAAAATAAAAAAAAGGTAAATAACCAATTAATTAATTTTGAGTGGTATTACTTTGTTGGATTTTTTCCTATGCCTTCTCCTTCTTTCCACCCCATACCCCTCAACATTGCTAAACCAAAGTCACTAATGGGAACATTTTCGTAGTCATCTGCGGTTGATTGCCGTGCCCCTTCTAATTTGGGTTCATCTTCTGGCTTAATTGGAACAACGAAAATTTTCTTTTCTTCTGAACTTTGTTCTGCTAGCCTTCTTTGTGCCTCTGTAAAAGCAGTTAGTGTTACAATAATTTATGGAGGGATTAAACAAAGTAGAATACCTCTCAGTACTTCTCGTGCTGCTAATTCAGTTTCGGTTAGTTCCACGTCGGGTCTGTTGTCTTCGATTTTTCCATTTTCGCTTTTTATTTTCGATTTAGCTTTCATTTCCCTTACTCTATCTAGCAGGTCTTTTTTATTATCCAGCAGAGGGATAACCAATGGGCCCTTCGGAGCTTCTTTGATTTCACTGAAACAAAAGTAAATAATTTATGTATGCAAATCCAGCAGGACTTTCTTTATACAGCATTCGGTGTTACTTATAACAGTATTGAATGAATAACATACTTTTTTATTTTTATGGACTGCCCTTCTAAGCAGTCTATAAATTCTACTTGCTTTTGTTCAGGTTTACTGATTGTTGATGGTTTCTTACTGATTTTACTGAAACCAAATGATATTTTCTTTTCCGACTGCATTTTTATTTTTTCAAAATTCTTTAAATGAAAATGATTAGTGTTTATTTTTCATTTCAAAAGAAAACAAATCTAACCTCTTCTACTAATTGACGTTGACAAATCATCAAAATGACAAATGACAGTTTTTATTCTAGGATTTTGTGGCCTCTTGCTAAAACTGTTTCGGGCATTTTAATTATTTTTCTTTCAAAATGAAGAATTAGGTTAGAAATATTTGCTTTGTTTTTATTGAAACTTTACAATGAATCTGAAATCGAAATGTGATAATACTAGGAAAGAAGGCCCAATTCGTTGTATATTTTTCTGTGAATTTCACCACACAGCTGGTCCCATGATATCATGTCAAGTACGCCTTTGCTATTCTCATTTCCAAAATATAATTGAAACATTTTCAGGTTCCAGAAAATTACATTTCGAAAGAACTATTTGATAGCATAAGTGTTTACATTATTACAAAGGCAGAATTACAAAGAAGTGTCATTACAGTGTAATTATAATCATTATACTAAAAACAGTGAGAAAGTAACTTCTTCTGGTTTTTAGAACTCTTCACGATTATAAAATTCTGGGATTCCCCGTAAAAATAGACGATAGAGATAAGTACGTACGGAATGCGTTTCATTTCAATTTGTGCTTCGTTTGTGATAGTAACGCAAGAACCGTTCAATACGAAACTGTCGTCATGAAATTCTCAAACTATCTAATTGCCCGAGAAGGTGAATGTAGTTTTTTATCGGATGGTAAAGTTAACGAAAAATTATCTCCAATTTTAACACAAGTAATGGACGAGCTTAACAACAAAGGTTAGTGCGTTCTTATGAAACCTTCAATCAGTACAAATGCAACTTTTAGGGGAATGTGCCTTAATCGAGGGTGCAACAACGACTCATTTAAAAGTATGCACGATTCGTTTAGACCCTACACCTGTCATGGATCACCAGGTGCCGATATTTATTAGAGAGCTTCCCGAACAACAATGGGATTTAACGACACAACAAGTAACCCCGTTCATCGATGGTTTCAATCACGTTTCCAAAATAGCCGTTTTATCGGATGTGGAAAATAATTTAGTGAAGGCCTGCGTTCAGAATTTAGTTTACTATGGAGTTGTAGCCTTAATACCATTATTTCAGTACGGAAATGTCTATTGCACAACACCCAAACTCAAAATGATGATGCAAGATAACGACATGCAGGTAAATTCTTGTAGTGATCGCATTTGAATGGCTCCTCGAAATAATAAAATTCTTCCAGAAAAAATGTTTAAACTACGTCGCAAAGAATCCAAGGCACCTGCCGGTTATCAGAGATGTTTTCCGAATATATTCTGCAATGACTAGGGGTACCACGATACGAGATCTTTGTATCAGATTCAATCCATCTAATTTAAGGATCAACGAAAGAAAATTAGTGCAGTTTGGAGTACTCGAAGGTATCATACGTAGAGTGCAGAAATATCCAGTAATCCTCTCTGATAATGCTGATTTGCATAAAAGCCTGTCTGGCGTTTCTAGTCTCGATGAATTGTGTTGTTCGATAGGAGTGCCTTCACAACAATTGGAAGACCAATTGGAAAGGGACAATAATGTTATGTTGTTGTGGAAATAGACTCTTATTTTAATTATAATTGTTATAAGAAGTTTATTTCTAATAGTTATTGCGTGATTGATATTTTTTTGAATTTTGCAAATATTTCTATAAAGGTCGGTAAATATAAAAAGAAGAAACTATCTGGAAAGCTGTCAAGGTAAAGGCAATTTGGAATGAGATTTTTATTACAAGAATAAGAAGAGTATAGGTTATGCAAAGAAGTTTCTTTTTCTAGTTTATAAGTTATCTAAATTTTACTTTATTGATAACAATTTTAATCAAGTAAAGTGGAATAAACAATCGTGATTATCTAATGTCGTCCGTGACATTTGGCCAAAGACCGTTCAAACCAGTTCCACCGGAAAAAGGCAGTTTTCCTCTGGACCACGAAGGTCTTTGTAAAACGTTGATGGTTAATTATATGAAGTGTTTATATAGCAATAACAACGATAATTCTGCTTGTCGCAACGAAGCCAAAGAATATTTGCATTGTCGTATGGACAACAATCTTATGGCAAAAGAAGACTGGTCCAAGTTGGGTTTTACTTCGAACTAAACATGGTTAAAATACTTATAGGCTGTACTGGGAGTGTCGCTACAATTAAATTACCTTTGTTAGTGAAACATTTAGTAGATGAAGATGTAGCTGATGACAAAAACGTAAGTCCACTCCAAAATAGTGACTTATACAGGTGTACGATGTTGTATCGTTTTTAGATAAAAGTTTGCGTAACAAATCCCGCTAAGCATTTTTTGAACAAGGAAGATGTTGATAAATTGAATGTCTACACAGATTCCGATGAGTGGCAAGCTTGGTCGAAAAGGGGAGATCCGGTTTTACACATTGAACTCTCAAAATGGGCTGATGTTTTGTTAATTGCCCCGTTGGATGCCAACACTTTGGCAAAAATTAGTAACGTGTGTATATATATTTACCATGATAAGAAATACGATATAAGATGTTAATTTTGTAGGGAATCTGTGATAATCTTCTTACTTGCGTTGTTCGAGCTTGGGACGTGTCAAAGCCTTTAATTTTTTGTCCAGCGATGAATACGAAAATGTTTCAACATCCTCTAACATCTCAACAAATTAATAATCTTAAATCGTTTGGATACCATGAAATTCCTGTCATTACAAAGGAGCTTATGTGTGGAGACAAGGGTCCCGGTGCTATGGCTGAAGTAGGTACAATCGTAGAATTTGTTAAAAAAATTGTTGAAAATAAATTATAGTACTCATTCGTAAAAAAAATAAAAAAAAATACTTCAATCGAGATTCTTCAGAATTTATTTAAACTTAACAGTAATCGATTCAAGTTTTTCAAAAGAAAACATTAAACTTAAAATATCAATTATAGTTCCTGTAACAAATAATTAAATTTTCAGCACATTAAATGAACGATCATCACGAAAAACGGTATAAATTTTATCTTAAGCAAATAAAATGAACTTAATATGTCATCTAACACTTTTTGCATTGAAAAAGTACTTGACGAAAATTCGTAAGTTTGTTTTTCAATTTTAAAATCAAAATTAATGATACAATACATCAAGCTTTTAAAGCACATGGAAATTTAAAAGCCACATATTGAGACACAAATTATATTATAGATTCAATTATTTATTATAGATCTAAAGATGTTTTTAAAACCTTTGGTTATTAAAATTTTTTGACGATATTTAGAAAATTATTAATGAAAATAGAAAGATGTCTCTTTTAAAATTAATCCTTCAATATAAAATTTATTTTAATTTATATAAGCAGAAATTTTAACAACCTTAGAACTTTTAACATCAATTTAAAAGATTGGCACACTTAACCAAGCTAAACAATGACAAGAAAATTATAGGCTTTTAAGAAAATGAACAATTGTTTTTAAATGATAGCTTAATAATATTGATTTTGTCTCATTCAAAAATATAAAATTTGTTCCTATTTAACTCGTTAAATTCGTATGTACATGTTTCAAAAAATAGAAGTGCAAATTTACTGTTTGTGGAGATAATTTGAATGTTTTATTTCTCTAAGTAGTCTAGAGAATCACTTTAAACCCCATTACTTTTATATTTCAAAAATACTTTTTTTTGATATTTTTTGTATATCAGTGTTTGACACATTTTTGAATGAACCAAATACTACTAAAAATAGAAAGTTTGGTCCCTTTTCAAAATCTGTTAACAAAAATATTTATCTATTTATCATTCTATGGGGAAAACAAGAATCTATGTATTTGGAATTTTAAACAATGGGAAATTTTTTTAAAGTTATCGTTTTAAAAAAATTGGTGGAGAATTTGATGAGATTCCATATCTATTTACAATTTACGAGTAGAAAAATACATACTATTCAAAAATATAGAACAATTTTAGAGAAAATTACGAATAGAATTTTAGTGAAGATTAATTAATTAAATGTAATCTGAGTGATTCATTAAAATTATCCACAAACATTCATCATAGTAAATGTCTAGTATTGTGCGAAATAAAATAATATATTAAAATAAAAAAATATTCGTATGTTTTCGTTTTATATGAATGAATGAGACATTTATGTAAATAACTCTTAGCACTACTAATATACACAATCTTTTGATAAATATCTAAGTGTTAGTTTTAAAAATAGTTAATATAAAATATATATATAAAAATTCATGATAGACTCCGAAAACAGTGAGAGATTAAAACATCACCATCCAGCCAAAATAAACACTTTGTAAATATTATCATATAAAGAGCAAAGATGTTTTAAGTCAATTAAGGCAATTACACGTTATTATAATATATCACATGTAGTAAATTTAAATGAATTTTTTACAAAAAGCACTGCGCAAACGATGACTGTCACTAACTGGCTCGACTCTTCAAGTGCCATCTTCGAGGCCAAGGAAACGGCCAATTAAATTGTCTCGGTAACGGTCCGCCGACGTTACCTTCGAAATACAAAAACAAACTGAACCACCATTCGCGACCCAGCAGATTATTCGGAGAATGTTGCTAAAAACAAAGAAAAAACCAACACGTTAACTAACAATTAATTTACGAGATTACAGGGCGGATACCTTAACTGGAATAAATTCATTACAGCATTAAAATTTGATGTGCTTCGCGAATTTCGATAAATATGTACTGTAACCAAAATAATGAATTTATTCCAGTTAAGGTCTCCACTCTGTATATTATATTCTGCAGCATACAGAAATACAACCAACTTTAAATACCTTTGGGAATATATATTTTCTATATCTCACCAAAAGTAGCATGGCAGTTGGAATATTTAAAGAATGGTAAGACAACTCAATTGATACTCATCAATAATTTAATAGATGATAGGAAAAAGGATAAAAATCAAAAATATGGCGAATTAAAGTGAGATAGCCATTTTGTTCTAATTTCTCTTATCTTCCCGTTGAATAACAGATTTGATAGTAATACATCAATATTTTCCTACCCGAGGTCACAGTTTTATGCATTGTGACAAATTTTTTTTACGAAGAAACAAAACACCATGTTCCAAGTAAAACGGAAAAGTAATACCAATATACTTGGTTTCGAAAGCTGGTGGCCCAATACTTCCAAAAAACTGACAAAGATGTTTTCACATTTTTTTAACTATTTTTTGAATTTTGAGTGGAAAAATAATAAAATGTTATACTTTCAAATACTAATAGTTAAAACAAAGAGATATATCGTTCAAACTTTGCCATCAAATGTACTTTGTCAAAGTGTATATTTGGGCAGTAGTAATCATTTTTGTTAAATTACCGCAAAAAAGTGTTTTTGATTTCCCAAAAATAAGGTTCCCTGGAAAATCACTCAATCAATTTGTAGAGATCGATTTTTTGATTATTTTTCAAAAACAATGTTATACAAAATTTAATTTATGTTATATAAAATTATTTTGGATCACCCTCTAGCGATTCTCAAGAGGTGAGACTGTGAGACTCGGTCTTTCTTCAACTTTTTCCATATTTCTTCCTCCTTTGCACATCTAATTCAATTTTCAACTGCCAAGTTACATTTAGCGAGGTATAACACAATAATCTTAATAATCATTACCTTTAAACTACTATTATTCGCTAACGTGTGATAGGTCCAAAACGTCCTCGTGGTAACGAAATAGGCGATAATCACATCTATGCTATAATGGCCGTGAGACAGTTCAAGCATTATCACACCCAAACAGGATAAAATCCAGTACAACCAATGTATTAAATATAATTTCTTTGGAGTATCTGAAACGAAGCGATATTATTATTCGAAATTCCCGACCAAACGCAGCTTCACTTACATTCAGATATAAGGAGGTAAGTAAACGTTAAAATGACGGTGTGTCCGCTGAAGATGAAATCGCCGCAGTAGACGTGTTGACCGTTAACGGACAATCCCATGCCGGACATGAGTTTCACCACTCTTTTGACTATCATTAACGGCGAGGTTTCGTTTGATTTCGGTGAACACGCATAATGTACGTTAGACATAGGCAAAACGGTTACATACATGGTAATGGCTCGGTACAAGTATAACAACGACATTAACAAAAATATTCTTCTAAATACAATAAATCTGAAACAAAATAAATACGAATCAATAACAACGTACGAAGAATTTTGGCAATGATTATTTGAAACAGTACATCACAATGTTTGTGTGTAAGTGCAAATTTGTTTGCGATATGGTGAATACTATGAGTTGAACAAAAACTGATTGTTAAAATAACAGTGGTTAGAGTGAGATCACATATAGGTATCCTATAGGTAAATTGGGCGCAGAGTCCTCGGAAAATAACCATAAATCAATCTTATGATTGAATTTTTTACGGAAATATGTATATTATATCACCACTGCCCACAATATCAGTCTTTCTTTTTCCTTTATACGAGACTAATAGAAGTTACCTTTGTTGCACCCACAGGCCAACTTGCATACAAATTTGCACTTATGTGTATAAGTTATTGACTTACCTATGTTTGTGAAATATCATAGCTATCATACTGGTATTTACACAAAAAATAATTACATATTCTGATACATCTAAAGCCCAGTCGTAAGCAGGTACATTGTCCAGGAACACATCGGGAAGAGGCCCGTAGACCTCTTTGTCGGGCACGCGCTCGTGCACCAAACTCAACGAAGTTAGCGTTAGAACGAAACTAAAGAACATTATAATTGCGGCTAAAAATGAACTTGATTAGATGTAAATTCGTACAAGAAACGTATCATTATCATTACCTAACAGAGTTTTACATCGTTCTTGAGGGAATCTCGGTTCCTCCCTCACAGGAGGCGGCAAATCTATCGATATATGCCCGTTTCTGTCGTTACTTTTCGGTACAATATCTTCTTCCTCCTCGTAATATTCATTCGCCGAAGTACTGTGCGCTGCGTGTCCCCATTTATCCCCCTTATTCGGGTTAGGCAGTAACGGTTGTCTTTGATACAGATCTCCTGCAACGACCGCATATTTACCACATTTGTCACAAAAAATTTTTCGAGTAATAAAGACGATGAAAAAATTCAAAATCAAACGGTGGAATGATGTTTTTGACATAAATTTACATCAACAAAAAAAATTCAAATTAAATAAATGTTCAAAGTTGAACTTCAGTTCATAACTGAAACCTTACAATTACCTAGACCATTTGTTCGATTTGAACTTAGTTTACTTCTAGTAATATCTAAATTCCTGCAACTTTATTGGGCTGTTTTTTGTATATGTTATGGGTAAAGTCAGATTAACGACTAAACCTAGGTTTACCTGGGTAAAGTGCCAAATGCGGGTAGGGTAGGGTGGATTTGCCGTGGCATAACGGGAACCCAAGAAACCTAAGATACCCAAAAAACCTTCCCTCAACTAGCCTACCATATCCATGTTTCTTGGGTATTTCGTTCTTTACCTGGGTAAACCTAAGTTTAGTGGTTTATCTTTATCCGCAACATATACGCTAAAATCTACGTTCAAATCATTCTTTTTTTTTTCAATATTGGAAAATTGAATTGCTTTAATAAATAATATTCAATTCAATATCGGATTAGGACGAATTATGTGTCAATATTTCGAATGAAAGATTTAGGTGGATACGGACGATTATTGATTGCATAAAGTCCACTATTAAAATTGAAGTGTACCTACCGGAATGTACACGTTTTAATCAATAGCTGACAGAATACGATTATTTAATGATTTCTGTTTTATTATTTTTTAATTACATTCCTGGAATATATGAATAATATATGGAAAATAAACAGCATTTATTTTCCATTTGAAAATTGTGACATTTTAATAGAAAGAGCTAACATTTAAATTTAGTTAATGAAGTATATTTCTGCAAATTCTGCATTGTTACCTGCCATTTTTAATATCCAAAATAAATTATAATAATCTATTCACTGAACTTATGCGGGGTTTCGGTTTAAAAGATTAATTATTGCTAATGATGGTAAATAGATAGTTTCACCCAAAATTCGGGCCAATTGAACTAAATGTGCTAATACTGGGTCTAAATGATATGCAGATTTTACAGTAAATACTATTCATGATATCAGTTAAATTTATGGCTTTGTAGCATCAAAAAACGATTTGTACAATTCAAATAAGGCAATTATTTTTGATTTTATTCAAAATTAATGGAGGTACCAGCCTTGCAATTCAGTCTAAGTTCTTAATACAATACCGCGTAAGGAATGGACTATATTTTTGTTCCTTAAATGATCCTCATCATTTTCTTCATTAAAACTTTGTTTAATTAAAAATAAACTTTGAACGGAAATTTCTTCAAATCGAAGAGTAAAAATATTCCTTTACCTTGAGTCATTTTGCTTTCGTGAGATGTATTAGCCGGCTCGTCGTCGATCGGTAAGAGGGTGGAGGTGCGAGGATTCAATACTCCATGGGCGTTGTGTTGTTGTATTTGGTGGGAGACATCTGTCGAAGTTGGATGTATGCTGCCATAATCGACGAACTTGGGCTCTAATATCATTCTGCAAATGTAGAAATGCTTTTGTTAAATTCATCGTTGCGCAACGTAATTGTCTTATCTCTAGGATTTTTTTAATTAGTCACTTATTTCAATGTATACCCGCAAAGTTGTCTTTTAATCCGTTAAGTTAACAACGGGATTAGAATTGATAACATGAAGCAAAATATAAAGAGCTGGAATTCGTAATTTAAATGTTTTTGAACTAAATTTTCCAAGCGAAAATAATTCCAATGGAGATAAAATTCTTGTTGTGAAAATAACAGTATGCATACGAGTAGTACCTACTTATCACACACGTCCAATAATACCATTATATTTGTTCTGGTAATGTGAAATTCTAAGATACCAATAACATTTGTGAATTGGACTAATTACAACTCTATTTGAACGTTTGAAGTTTTTATTCCTCACAACTTGGAGGCAATAAATCCTCGAAAACGAATCAGAAGGTAAATATTTAATTTATAATAATTAAACGTTTCTGTCGCCGAAAAGCTAAAAGTTTCCTAAGTCCCTCTAACAAACTTTAATTGCATATACATTCTAACTATAAAAGCGACCGTTAGAGACCAATATAATAAATGCATCTTGTAAAGTTTCCAGTTAAAACTTGTTTTTGCTACCAAGTGCATTAAGTAATGAATTCAATAGTGTGCTAGATATGCAATTCAATCAAAACCTTATTTCATCACAATTATTTATCAAAACTGCAATGTCGCCTTCGTATCAGTTACAGTGATAAATGTCCAAATTGTCGAATAATTCAAATATACTTAAATCGGAGCAACCCGTTTCTAATTAACATCACCGAAAAAATAAACTTTATTACACACTATCCGAGTCTGTTATTATCATCGAACAATCTAAACTTCCCCAAACTAACCAATAATCTTCAAAAATTCTAATGAAACGACGGTATAAAACCACAACATAAATATTTAGTATACAACGCGGTTACCGAGGGAAACGTAATCGTAAATATTTCGATTCTGACGCAAAAACTACCGGAGTAAAATAAAATTGTGTCTTACCAACAGATTTCGAAATCACAACACTGAATTACCGTTCAATTAGAACATTGCAACTCGACAGAGAATTGTTAATCGCAGAAAGAAGCTGATTGGACGAATAAACCTCAACGATTTAAATCAGCTTAATTCTTTATCACATCATTAATTCAGTATCGTTTTAGATTTGATTGTGGACGAATATTGTTAGACAGCGACCTTGAAATTTGGAATATTCATTACAAACTCTGGAAACATGCACGGTGAACACGAGTGTATAGGTAATACAAACTAACGAAGCTAAAAAAGTGTTTACCACAAAAGTTATAATTTTAAAATGCACGGTTTATTTTCTTAGTGCATTATGCGATTTGTTTCATAAAACGTGAATGTAATTTCAATTTTAATGTATCAAAAATAACACCGGATTTCCTACCGTATTTACTCATGCAAATATTTTACGGTTAATAATGTTAAAAGGCGAGGATTAATGTGGGGATTAAGGCGAGTTTATTTACATTTTGAAACTAATGGGTATTCAATGCAAATTGCATATAAAAATTTATAATCGATTTGCGTCAAACAATAAACAACAGTAAATTAATTAAAATCGTGATTAATAAGCTGATTATGGAGCACTTCAGTTGCCTATTAATTTTTGCGCATACTTATCCTTTGTGCTTCACTTTTCGTGCGCCCTAGAGAATGTTTTTTTGCTGAAAAAGGCAGTTTTATTGACCTTCAAGATTGTACTAAAAACTTGATAAACCTTTTAACTTAGCATGTATTTATAGCACACAATTACGCAGCTACTTTTATTCATACAATCGACGCTATTACAAAGTTTATTAGTGCTTAATTTTTTTTTTTACTAAATACATACCACCCTGTTATCAAGCGTTTTGTTGGGTAATTCATACGTTGGGATAATGATTTTTAATCAAACTGCGTACTTACTTAATACCATATACTACAAATTCAGTATTAGTGCGTTAAATAACAACCTGACTAGGGTTTCACGATGTCAACTGGATATCAATGCGGACAGCGGACACATTACACTCTGATGGCGTTAATGAACGTACTTGTTAAATGTCCACTAATGAGCCCATTAATAAATAAATAATGATAAGAAAATAAATTTGATGCATATACATCGTGTCTCAAATTTATGTAAAACGTTATATGAGTAACTCGCAAGTAAATATGCAAATGGTAATTTAAATTTATTTTGAAATTCTGGAAAAATTAAATATTTGCTTCAATATTGCTTCTTTCTAAATTCGTTCTTCTTGTGAAAAATGGAAACCCTCTAGTCTGCAGTTGTAATTAAAGCAATTAACTTAACAATACGAAATTACTGTTGATTATAATCACTTAAGGAGTTTTGGAATTCTTTATTTAATAGTAGGCATAAAATTAAAAGTATATTCTCGTTTATTCTGATATTTAGTATGAGATTATAACTAAAATTTTCAGAAAAAGCATTTAAATGTAAAACTAAGAAAAAGAAACAGTTTCAGAATATATAAATATTTTCTTTTCAAATAGTTCATTTATTGTAACAAAGCACAACGAGCACATGTGCACACATACCGAGCTCCAAATATAGTTAATTATTATTATATTTTATGCTGAATATTGAGTAGAAATATGAGTAATTTATGAGAATGAAGTTATTTTGAAATAATGCCGAGGAATTTAAGTAACTTCCGAGACATTATTTTGAAATAATACAGGCGCACCGGAACTCCACACCGAATTTATATTAGTTTTAATCCACCAAACATTGGTCAATTCTTGCGTATCATACGCGAATAAGTGGGACTTTAAAATTCGTTCGATGATACATAAGCAAAAACTGTCAAAATTGACATTAGTGACATTTCGTATGACAGAAGTTTGATAGAGGTGGGAATCAACTTTATGGTATAGAGGTACAGTAACGACTGTTACATTTAAAAAGCGTTATTTTTCAATTATTCTACTACGTGCTACCCAACTCGAAATTCAATTCATATCCATTTTACAAATTTTATGGTACAAATTTAGTAGCAAAAAGGGATTATTATTTTGGTGAGGAATCCCGGTGCACCGTATAAAATAATATAAATAGATACTATGTAGCAATATATTGCTAATTTTTAAGATTTTTTTAATACTATTTTGCCATTTCAGGTCAGGTCACCATGTATATACAATTGAGTTGTCAACATAAATTTATCACTTAAAGCTAATTACAGGCAATGACGTAGATTCATAAGAAATTAACTTTCCTCTCGACTGAAATAGTTATTAAATAACCGATTATTGATATAAGAAAGCATTAAGTATCGCTAAATTTAATGAGATTTAAATTCTTATAAACAAGTCTATGCTTTGTGGTCAGTCTCTAAAAATAGGATACTTGCGTCGTATTTTTTTTAGCTATCGGTCAAGAGAATTAAAAATATTTAATCACAAAAATAATCGCTCGTAAAGTAAGTTAATGGAATTTTGTTTCCGTTGCAAAATCTTTTAATTAAAATAAAATATCAGATAGATATTGCAACTTATCCGACAATTTCTAGATTTAACGGACTACATTAAAAGTAATATAAAAGTAGGTACGAATCTCGCGAGATATTTTTTGTTTGTATTTGTAAAATTCAGAAGCGGTTGCGGCTTAGCTAATTTTCCCCGTTTACAAACTTGTACAGCTTGTACTGATTGTGTTATCAAACAATAGTGCATATGTTGAAACTTTTCAGACAATTACTATACACGTAAATGGATTATGATCTCATGTGGACGAACTTTGCTGAAATATAAAGCATACTATACACAATCTAATTATTTTAGTTTGAGTGGATGACTGTTTGGATAGTTATATTTCAGTATAAGGGTTGAGTGTTAGAACCATTTGTGAACTCAACCAAGTTGTTGCCATGCCATGAAGTATACAGGGTGAGTCAATGGCTATAATATAAAATCAATTAGACATGTGCAGGTTGCCCCATTTTTGGGGCAATTTTTGGGCCCCAATTTTGAAAAAAACTAAAAATCTTATAGTTAACATCTTATAGTTAATTGCATTTTTTGAATCTACATAAAATATAATATACAATACTTTTTCCAAAAAAATGTAAACATTTTGAGGTATTTTATTCATTTACAAAAAAATCACCGACCCTTATAAATTATTTTTTACGAGCATCCGGTTAAAGAATTGGAAAAAGTTTTTGTAGGGTGGCTACTAGCAAGGTCAAAGGTGTTTGAACCTGTGTGGAAAAACTCTTTACTGTATACAGGGTGTGTATAAAAATTGTGCAAAGTTGAGCTTCAAAAATATCAAGTTTCGTAATTTTTTTAAATGGAACCACCCATTATTCTGTTTTATTGAAAGCAGCAGCAGAAGATAAGAGAAATTCATGTTTACTCCCCTATATTGCTTTTATTAACAGCTATTAAACGTATACTTACTTGTACCCTCATGTCTAGACTGGGTATATTATTAATTTATTAAAATTGTAACAAAATTTAATTACTTATTATTTAATTTCTTAACGATTAATACAATGTGTAAATATTCCTACAGCAAAGGAAATACCATTATGTGGGTATTCCAAAATAAAATTAAAAATTTAAGTAGGTAGATAAAATTTTAGGAACCACTTACCAAATTGAAAGTAATCAAAGTTAAAAATGCAAAGGAAATGTAAAGAATAGAAGAAAGATAAAAAGCAGGTAAAATTCATTGCACATCCGGACGTTTTTATTTCTCAAAAACCCAAGTTCGGAATGTAATTAATGAATGTGTAAACATAATAATGTAGAATAGCCTATCTATAATAAATTACCGATAAGTAAATAAGAAGGTTGAAATTATTCATTACCCTAACTAAACTAACATTAATGACTCATAAATTTCCAACTGCTAATAAAGAAAAATAAAGGAGAAACAGGCGTATTTAGAAAACCGCTTTTGTAATTTATATCATTTCCCTGCCACACT